GAGATTGTTGGTGGCGCTGTGGTCTAAACCACTGAACCTCTTGGGCTTGCTGATCGGAAGGTCGGCAGTTCAAATCCCTGCGACAAGGTGAGCTCCTGTTGCTCTGTCCCACCTCCTGCCAACCTAGCAGTTCAAAAGCACACCAGTGCAAGTAGATAAATAGGTACCACTGCGGCAGGAGGGTAAATGGCATTTCCATGCGCCCTGGCTTCCGTCACAGTGTCCTGTTGTGCCAGAAGCGGTTTAGTCATGCTGGCCACATGACCTGGAAAGCCGTCTATGGACAAACACCGCCCCCCTCGGCCTAAAGTGAGATGAGCGCCACACCTCAGTCACCTTTGACTGGAATTAACCATCCAGGGGCCCTTTACTTTTACCTTTTTACTTGTCATTATCATCATCAATAATAATAATAATAATAATAATAATAATAATAATATTTCAGGAAATTTGTACACTGCTTGATTGTTAAAAAAAAATTACGTGGTTTATAAAATATGGTTATCACAAAGTAAAATTAACAATAATTAAAAACCTTTGAAATGTTAAAATGTCAATAAACAAAATTGTTTTTATCAGGTGCCAAAAAGAGTACCACCTGCCACATATCAATAGGCATGGAGTTCCAAAGTGTGGTGAGAAAGAAAGAATAATGTTCTGTAAAATTTGAAAGCTATCCCTGCTTCTCATTGAGAGAGGTCGGTAGGCAGGCACCATTGGTGGACTGCAAAGTTGCCAGGAGTTGTGCAAGTTCAGAAAGAGTATTTGTTGAAATGAGAGAATGGTGGATGTGTACAAAACCTGGTTTGTTTATTTATAAAGAGAGGAATGCTGTCATTGCGGAGTGCAGGACAAGGTCAATATGACAGAGCAATGGTGGAATAAGAAACAAAATGTGAGGTTTTAGTCACCCCAAGTGCAGGAAACATTGGAGGAAGATTAGCATCCATTTTAAGAAGTTCTAACTTTAAGGATAAGAAACTCAGGAGGCACATGCTGATCAGGACTGGCAACGAGGCGTAGACAGCATGAGCTACTTAGATTTTCTCAAGTACAAATAATTTGCAATTAGCCGTATCCCCAGGGAGGTGTGATGTTACATGACTGATTCAAGATGGTATAGGTAAGACTGATTTGTGGCGTAGGGTAATGCAGTCGAGAGCCATGAATGGAAGGGGCAATGAGCAAGAAAGGAAAGTTCTGCCTGGAAAATTCAGACAGGCTAATGGCAAGATGCCACGCTGGGACTGCCATCCTATACACACTTATTTAGGATTAAGTCCCATTGAACTCAGTTGAACTTCCTTCTGAATACATAGGATATTTGTCTATCACCCCACCCTTCAGGCCAGCTCAAAATGTGCAAAACTTAGATTTCACAAAAGTTATATAAAACAATCAAGCAATGAGACAGGATGGTGAGGCAATTAATAGAAACATAGGAAGCTGCCTTATATGGAATCAGAGCTGTGGTCCCTCTAGCTCCATACTGTTTACACAAACTGGCAACAGAAGCTGCATTGCCTTACCCTGACTGGCAGCAATTTTCCCGGGTTTCAGAACAGCTCAATCTCAGGGTTGTGGGTTTGAGCCCCACCTTGGACAAAAAGGTTCCTGCATCGCAGGGTGTTGCACTAGATGACCCTCACGATGCCTTCTAACACTACAAACCTATGATTCTATTACCTGTTTCTCTTTTTTTTTTAATAAGATATTTGTTAAGATTTTCAAGATATTACAAAATAAAAGTAGAAAAAAGAAAAATACAAAATAAAAATAGTTTAAAACAACTCAATCTTTCCGTTACTTATTTTTCATTAGCTTGTTTCCCGGACCTCCTCACGCCTCCCTTTTTTGTATTCCAGTTCGGTTTGTTGGTTCAGCAAATCCTTCCCCTCTTTGTTTATCCTAATCTTTAATCTTAAAATATTGTAAAAATATGGAACGCTTCACGAATTTGCGTGTCATCCTTGCGCAGGGGCCATGCTAATCTTCTCTGTATCGTTCCAATTTTAGTATATGTGCTGCCGAAGCGAGCACTCTATTACCTGTTTCTCTCCCAGTCCTACCTTGAGATGCTGGGAGTTGATCTGGGACCTTTTACAGGCAAAGCAGATTCTCTGTCACTGAATTAAGGACCTACCAGGGATTATTGGGAATTAAATCCCATTGGACAGTTACCAGGATTAAACTCCACTGGATTTAGTGAGGCTTACTCTGTGTAAACAGTCACCTCACTGAAATTAATGAACATGATTAATTTAGCTCCACCAATGGGTCTACTCTGAGCAAAACGTAGCTGGCTACAAGCCAGTAAGACCCATTCAATGCAATGGGGCTTGTTTCCAAAGAAACATGTGTAGGACTGAGCTACAAACTAGCCCTGGCTTCTGCGCTTTTACATATTTATTTATACGAACTATATTTATACCCTGCCATCTCACGCCAAAGCACTAAAAAAAGTGGTTTATGACTAAATAACAGGAGCAATGTTTTTAAAATGAGCTAAAACAATAAAATAGGCACAGGTGCAAAAACATTACTGGGGTGACACGTTGCCAAAAGAGGTCAGATTAGCATATGTATAGAGGCGAATTTAGAAATATCATAATTTAAATAGAAACACAATAAATCTCGCCACAGTAGGGAAGAGTGGGGCTAGGGGACCTGTGTGCTTGCTCCATCTGCTGCCCAAGTGCTTGCTGCGGATGGGCAACTTCAAGGCCCTCTTGCACCCCCTTCTTGGGGGTCCTTTATTTATAGATGCTGTGCATGGTTCTAGACAAAAGCTAACGGTGCTGAGATTATGGAGTAAATGGTTGGGGAAGAGGTCCTTAAGGAAATTCACATACCTCACCTCCTGATCCCGTGCAGGTTTAGCCAGACCAAGCTGCACTGTAACCTTTCAAAAAGGTTTTAAAAAGAAATGTGCATGCACACGAAAGCTCATACCAATAACAAACTTGGCCTCTAAGGTGCTACTGGAAGGATTTTTTTTTTTACTTTTAAAAACAGTAGTTAAAGGGGCTGCCATGCAGGAAAAGCTCCTCCCTTGAAACACTGGAGCTGCAGTCAGTCTCAATTTTATATGGTTTTCTAGAGAGCAGATACTGATCCTAAATAACAAGGAAGAACAGGGTCTTAATAGGGAACCTATAGATAACCTTCCATTGGACCTTATGCACAATTTAACATATGCTGTCATACAACCCAATATTTTCATATTCAATTCTGAACCACAAAGTTTTAGCTTCGTTACTAAATTTTCTAAGCAGATTTATCACAATGCACCAAAGGTAAAAATTTCACATCTGTGAAATAGTCCCACTGAGTATAGCAGAACTGCTTAAGAACGTTGAGTTGAGCGTTCTTCCTGCACAGACTGCGGTGTTTGAGCTGGCTTTTAAAATTTATATTGTCCTTCCAGTGGTTTTTGCATACCTTGTAAAACAGTCTGTCTTGAGATATCAGACAGTGCTGCTTTTTCAACAGACAGAGGATTTCAGTTTGAGGATTGGGTTACAAAGGCCCTAGACAAAAGGTTTGTTCCCGTTCCATGGCTAAACCCTAGTGATTCTTCTGTGTTCTTCAGACCACTGGGATCCACAATCCACTAAAAGGATGAGAGATAGCAGGGGCAGAGTTTGGTAACTTGGCGCCCTGAGCGAGGACAAAATTGGGGAGGAGGCTAAATATTTCTTAATTTAATAATTCTTTTGGGTAAAGTTGCTTTTTATAGATCTTCTTAGTAGGTACCTGTATAAGATAGTAGTATCTTGCACCCCCTTGGTTTGATGCCCACTGTAGGGGAACCACCTGCACCACTGTAAAGCTGGCACCTTGAATGTCAGGGTGGTAGCATAGCATGGTTTACATTGCAGCCATGCCAAAGTAAGAGATTTCTATGCACGCACATCTCCATCCTCAATCCAGGCAAGCAAGAATCACAGTTCAAGGACACATTTCAGCCAGGCAAAAGTATTCTAGGAGGATGTGGGACAGAACTAGTGAAAGATGTAGCCTGGGAAGACTCCTGAGAGGCCTGGAGGACTATATTTGACCTACAGATCTGAGGTTCCTCCCCACTGGTTCAGATGACTGTCCAAACCCAGCCTGTGAATTGTGGCAGAAGAAGAGATGACTAGCCAAGATATTTTGCTGCCAAAGGCAAAGGACAAGATCAGGGCTGGATTTAGGTTTGATGAGGCCTTAAGCTACTGAAGGTAATGGGGCCCTTTATATGTCCAGCTGTCCTTTGTCAACAACAAATTGTCGCTTTTTTGTGTTGAATATATGCTACATGGTAATTTATGGACCTAATAGGTATCTAAAGCCATTTGCACATAACAAAATATGTATTTTATCAAAGTAATTGTTGAACTGAAATACAATTAAGAAGAAATATATTAATAGTGAAATTTGGGGGGGCAAGAGAGTGGGGCCCTAAGCTATAGCATGTTTAAAGGTAAAGGGTAAAGAGACCCCTGACCGTTAGGTCCAGTCGTGGATGACTCTGGGGTTGCAGTGCTCATCTCGCTTTATTGGCCGAGGGAGCCGGCGTACAGCTTCTGGGTTACGTGGCCAGCATGACTGAGCTGCTTTTGGCGAACCAGAGCAGCGCACGGAAACGCCATTTACCTTCCCGCTGGAGCGGTACCCATTTATCTACTTGCACTTTGACGGGCTTTCAAACTGCTAGGTTGGCAGGAGCTGGGACTGAACAACGGGAACTCACCCCGTCGCAGGGATTCGAACCTCTAACCTTCTGATCGGCAAGCCCAAGGCTCTGTGGTTTAGACCACAGCACCACCCGCATCCCTTTATACGTAAATCTGGCACTGGCCAAGATGCATCTCTCATAGCTACTTCATAGCTACTGGGACCGCTTCCCCCACCCTACCTCAGGGCAGCAGGCTAGTTTAGAGAGTGTTCAAAGCTCTGTCTGGGTGATATATGCAACTCTGCCCTCCAGTAGAGGTGAGCAGCTGTGTGTGTTCAGTGGAAGAACCATAGCTCAGTGGCGGGGCATCTGCTTTGCGTACAGAAGGTCCCAGGTTCAATCCCCAGCATCTCCAGGTAGGGCCAGAAAATATCTCAGCCTCAAATCCTGGAGGGTTGCTGCCAGTCAGTGTGGTCAGTGTCTTCAAACTCTGCCCTCCAGATGTTTTGGGACTACAATTCCCATCATCCCTGACCACTGGTCCAGCTAGCTAGGGATCATGGGAGTTGTAGGCCAAAAACATCTGGAGGACCGAATTGAGGGAGCCTGGTTAAAAGGTATGTTGCTTTGCTCCTATGAACAATATGAAGGGGGGACTGCTGCCACTCTTCCTCCAACCCTAGGCATCTGCCTCACTCTCCCTTACTATCCAGGCTGGCCCTGAGACGACAGCAAAGGCCAGTGAATTACACACACAAGATGATGATGACTTGTAGGGAAGGCCAAAGCTCCCATATTTGTATAGAAGAGAGAATTTTGACAGGTTGCCACTATTGTCACCCTGCAGCGCGATGACATGAATAGGTTGCACTTGTTGAAATTCCTTGGTTGAATACAGCCAAAATTTCAAGCGAGGGAGAGGAACGCATTCTCAAACCAAGGATATTTGTGCTTTGTTTAAAATTAAACCTAAGATTCTGGTCTTGTTCGGCAGCTCAGCTATGAACTTCCAAAAGGGGCCCAGACTTATCAGATGAATCATAGGCTGGTTTGATGTCTAACTGTGAAGAGGCAAACTTGAAACATGCGAGCCATCTGCCCAAAGTCCCTCCCCATTGAGCTTGTGGGCTGAGAAATGTGAATAAAATAGAAAGTCCCTCCCTACTGGTAGGGGGATGTTGAAAGGGAAAATATTATCACATTTTTGGCTGACATTCTTTCCATTGACCAGTCCCTTGGCTGGTATTTGGCCTAAGGGAAGGCTGTACCCAGATGTATGAGCAGACAGGAGAGACTCTGACAGTTCACTCCAATGCATGTTGACTCAGACGTTAAGTCCCACAGAGTTCAATGGGACAGACTTCCTAGTAGGCATGCCTAGGCTTGCAGCCACAGACCTTGAAAGTGGCCAATGGAATTATGTGGGGAACAACTGAAAAATAAAAGCTTGCTTGGTATTGTAGTACAGCAGCTAGAATTCTGGGCTTTTGAAAGAGGGCGGAGACTTGGGTTCAAGTTCCTGCAAGGCTGTGAAGGTCACTGAGTGGTTTTTGTGCAACCTGTTGCCTTGTAGGCTAAGGGTTATATCCAAAAGTTAAAGTCATTGACTAGTATACTTATTTGCACCAGCGGAACATTCTTGTGCAAGAGAATGCATAAGCAGTTTGCTGGCAGCTTAATTGCGCAATGGATTGCACTATCATTGCACAACGAGTTTCTGCTAGTGCTAGTGTTGTGTTGGATTCCTCTGTTGTGCCACATAAAAACTCACCTGTTCACTAACCCTTGCACTAGTGCACAAAGATCCCTAATCTACCTCTCACAGGGTAAAATGAGAGAACCACACACATTCTTTCTGAAGCCCAGCTGGCACTGCCAGTGACATTATTCCAGCACCAAGGTAATACCATGCCATTGACTTAAGCATTTGGGTGGCATTGACTTCCATTGTATTTGTTCTGCTTATGTTGATTCTTACTGCTGAGGAATGGGATTTAAATTTATAATCTAATCACCATCACAAATATGCAGTATGAATGTTTGTGATGGTAAGGTTGTATGTTGTCATTTTATGCATTGTAACTCTCCCTAAGATCATTTCATATAAATAACAGCAATGTCTAGAGTCGTGGAGGCAAGGGAAGGGTCAAATGATGCTGAAACACATAACCCTGTTCCCAGCCACATGAGGCAACCACTTAAGGCCAGTGGCGTAGCGTGGGGGGTGCAGGGGGGGCCGGCCGCACCGGGCGCAACATCTGGGGGGGGCGCTCGCACTCGCAGCTCTCTGCCCCTACCTGGCTCACTCACTCTAGGGGGCGCAAATTACTTGCCTTGCCCCGGGTGCTGACAACCCACGCTACGCCACTGCTTAAGGCATCTCATAAAAACAACAGAAACCAATCACAATGTAGTCAAACAAATGCCAATATGAAATACAAGCTGGCACCAGTATAAACCACCAGAATGAAGTATTAGTGCTTTTCCTGCAAACATCTTTACTGCCTACCATGAGGTGATACTGACTCAGGCATACTTCCCCACAGAGCCTATTCTGTCATCTAGCTGCCACTACTGAGGAGGGTCCTCTTCCATATATCTGTTCAGTGAAGCTGAAGTTTCTGGGCCACATCCATGGGCAGCCCCACAGAGAACACAGGACAGGATCCCAACCCTGGTAGTGACAAGGGCGTTAATGACTTCTTGCCTTGGGTTGCTGTTCATCACCTTTTTTCAGTGGACACAGGCACCTTAAGCTTTGACCCAGGTGCCATGATTAGGGTGGCCATCTCTAGAGGCAGAAATTCCATGCCCCTCACAGTTACCTGCGAGACAGAAAACCAACTTCTCCAGAAGTGTTAAGAAAGGGACTTCACCTGTTGACTTTCAGCCTCTCACACCGCTGTGTTAAGGACACATGGTTTCTATTCATAAACAGGTGGTGCAATGCTAATTATGCCACCTGAGCCAAGGCAGAAGCAGAAGTGTTTGGCAGGCAAATGGCTCTTCAGCTCAGGAACAGCTTTGGAGCTGCCTTTGTGCCTGTCCCTGCGTTGCTGCTGTTCAGGAGGGCCAAGAGGCCTTGGGACTGGCAGGGAGCAGTAATTGAAAGCAGCAGATGAGGCAGGAATGCTGTGCAGAGCTGCCAGCTCAGGGAGCCGACTGGTCATCAAGATCATTGTAGGAGAGCAAGTGAAAATAAATCCAATGGGGCCGTTGTTTGAGAGGCGGCTGGGCTTCTCTGGAGCACATGCCAGCTCCCCCACCCCCCCACCCCCTTCAGCCACACAGCACTACCCCAACCAACAGACTAATCCCCACAGGGAGAGTACATGAAATCAGATGGACAAGTTTTGATGCGAAGCAGCAGCTTAGGGCAAGCTCAGGTTTCCTGGAGGTTTGCTATATTTATCTCCATGATTTAATGCCCGCACGGGGTTTAAATGCCACCAAGCAGTTGGTGCGAGGAGCCAGAGTTTCACTCCCTGACGCAGGCTCTGCCTTGCCAGACGCTCACCATGGAACTCCTCGAGACCAACCCTTACTTTTTTGCAGACCAGAGGTTTTACGACGGGGAAAACTACCTGAGCCCTCGCTTGCACGGCTATGAGCAGACAGCCTACCAAGAGCGAGCAGCCATGACCCTGTGCCCCGAAGTCAGGGCTGGCTTAGAGGAGAAGGCCTCATCCCTGCCGGACCACAGTCCCGGCCAGTGTCTGCCCTGGGCGTGCAAAGTGTGCAAGAGGAAAAGCGTCTCCATTGACAGGCGCCGGGCTGCCACCCTGAGGGAGAAGCGCCGGCTGAAAAAGGTCAACGAGGCCTTTGAAGCTCTGAAGCGGAGCACTTTATTGAACCCCAACCAGCGGCTTCCCAAGGTGGAGATCTTGCGCAGCGCCATCCAGTACATTGAGCGCTTGCAAGCTCTGCTCAGCACTCTCAATCAGCAGGAGAGGGACCAGCGAGAACTGCGCTACTGCAACTCCAGCACCCAAGCAGTGGTAAGTGCCAGGGGAAGGGTATGAGTGAGCTGTTGCCATCAAGCGTAAGAGCACCCACACCACCGTCCGACTGTAGGAGCCAAATGACTACTCTACTGGTCGCTCTTACCGAATGCCTATTTTGGCCCATGGACATAGGAATATAGGAGTTATACCAAGGCAGATAAATTATCCATTTAGCTCAGTATTGTCTACACTGACAGTCAGCATTTCATGCAGGGGGCATCTCCATCCCTACCGAGAAAACCTGGGGACCTTCTGCATGCAAAGCAGAACTGAACTATGGCCCTTCCACAACAGCACCCAGCAAGATGTTCCCAATTTCTAAGTTGGCAGTGAATGCCAGCTTTTCTCGTTTCAGTCATTGGCTCCTACACCATACCTATCTTGCATAGAATACATATATTTTGAGTTAGCTGTATCTTCGCAGGGAATAGCATGCATCATGTTTCCTAACGTGTTCTCACAAGGGGTTTTTCACCGGAATTCAGTTCCAGCACCTCTCAGGTGGGCACTATTGCCATTATAAAGAGAACAAAGGAGGTGTCCGTGGTGAATTCTGGAACCTTTTTTCCTAGAAAAATCACACTGGTTCTCACCATTTATGCAGCCTAAGGCAACTGTAAAGCCAGCCTGAGAATTGATGCAGAAAAGTCAGCATGGACTGGAGGATTCATCCCCCCCCCCCAAGTGAATTTATCACAGTGGGGCAAAGTTATTTTAGTATTATGTTGCCATATAACATTGGTTGAGTTATAGCCTTCATGTTCTCAGCATGCAGTGCTAGTGGATAACCTGCAGGAATAATAATAATAATAATAATAATAATAATAATAATAATAATAAATTTTATTTATATCCCGCCCTCCCCAGCCGAAGCTGGGCTCAGGGCGGCTAACAACAATCAAAATAATCCAACGTTCTAAAAACATTTCATTATAAAAATTAATTAAAATCAAATTGGTGGCAACCATTAAGCAAAATTCTGTGCAGATTGCCAGAAGAGGGGGTCAGGCTGCGCCCTGACCAAAGGCCTGGTGGAACAGCTCTGTCTTGCAGGCTGCTCTTCGTTGCGTTTCTCCAAAGTGCAGTTGTGGCTACTTTGCTACCTCCCACTTACAATTAAGTACCATTCAGCTATTTAAAAGGCTGCAATACAACTGTGGTAGTCAAAGCTGGGTTGAATTAAAAAAAAACAATTTTGAAATATACTTAAAGTGCATTAGATGCTTTTCATACCAACAGGATGTTCCCTTTATTGTCTACATAGAAGATGGGAATAAACAGCAGAACCATGACTGGCACACCCCTTGTAACCAAAGTGACCAGCATACAGGACTTTATTCAACAGATGACTATTCAGAAGCGAGTTCTAGCATATGTGCCAATGAGAAAGTATGGCGGGGGGGGGGAGCTTTGATAGCTGGACACCTGTCAAGTTCAGATAGGTTACTGGGTCTCCGTTTAAAGATGCACAAGGGCATTTGGGTACAAACCTGGACCTACAGTCCAAAGGGGAAGAAGAGGTGCTTAAAAGGTGAACAAATGCTTTAGAAACATTACTGAGTTTCTCTTCTGAAGCTTCCCTGTAGCCGAGGGACTTGCTTAGCTCCACCTTTCAGGGCATCCTTTTCAGGATCTAGATCTTGTAACACATTTTGTTTCATGGTTTTCTTGACATTGACATGTAAACATCAATAATGATGGAATGCACAGGTGGAGAGTATTTTTATAGCTATATTATTTGTAAATGTGATCTTTGCATGAGTTAACACTATTATTCATTTGGAGCTGCACTGTACTTTCCAGGCTGTGACACTTTGTGGTTTACATTTTTTATTTTTGCTATGTCTGCACTTAAAAAATAATAATACAGAAATCAGGAAGACAGCTGTTGATAAAAGAAAGAAATGTGTGAAAGCAATTGTTCTTCCTGTCTTCTGAAAGCTGTTTCACACTAGCTGCTGTCTGAAACCAAAACTGTAAACTTCAGGGCTTATACTGATCTTCCCCTTCCATTGTGTTGAGCAGCAACAAGTGTTTTGATGTCTGTTGATCAATTTCAAAAAGGGTTTGGGAGGAACAGCACTAGAGGATTTTTGAGGTATTTTGCAACATCTAACAGTTCTATTTAAAAAGCAGGGTGAAGTCTTCCTTTTTAAATAGGAAACTCCCATTTCCTCTACATTGTCTTTAAGAATAAGAAAACTAGTCTTTTGCATGGTCACTTTTTAGCCCAGGAAATTCCCAGCTGTTAATTAGTTGCAAACAGAGGATAGCTGCACTTCTGTTTACTAGCCCTGAAGGATTCCTTATGTTTCATACCTGGAAAATTTTCCACACATGCAAATATATCCTCCTTACTGCAACACAAAGAATGTGGTGGCCAGGCATAACTTGATTGTTGTGGGGGATATTTTGTGAAAATCAACAGAACTCCCCCTTTCATATCTGCCTCACTTTGCAAAACTTGCCCTCTGGCTCTGCTGGACTAAATTAAACACTCATCCACGAGCAGTAGTTTCCTTTATTTTTAAGGTCAAAGAGCAGCATGGTTACCCCATCTTCTTTCCAGCTACCTTATCATTTCAGGAATCTTTACTTTTTGTAGGCTGCATACTCCCATATAGCACAAAGCCGGCTCTGGAATGCTCATCCAGACTGATTTATTTTTTTAAGAGAGAATAATGAACAGCTGCATGCTACCCACCTGCCCCCCCCTCAAATCACATGCACACAGCATGGCTGTACACACATTGCCATTGAGTGAGGATAGGTTACTGTACTACTGGTTCAGAATTCAGCTTACAGGAGTTTTCCCCCCCAAGACACATTTATGGCACTTCTGTAATTATGCAGACATAAAGCAAAAAGAACAGTGGGAACATCAGTACCACATGCTATAAACTAAATCATCATCTCTCTCACACACAAACACACACACACAAAAACAATAAGCTCATGCACACACCCCAATCTAAATTCCAGGGGGATCCTGCATACAATGCCATTTCACTGCCTTTAGGACTTTGTCAGTATTTTCAATCAGACAGCTGAGAGACCATTCCTGGCAAAATAACAAATAAATTCCATACAGGATGCTAAAAGGACAAAAATAACTTTTGAGAGTTAGTGAAGGAACAAATGCAAGGGCACATTCCTAATGGAGATCCTTAAATGTAACCAATCCTAACAGCCTCCATCTTCCAATTTCAGGTGACTAGTGACCATGGATCCAGCAGCACCTCATGCAGCCCTGAATGGAGCACCCAGCTAGACTTTAGCACTCATCCTGGAGGTAAGCAGGAAGCCTTGTCCAATGACCAATTCCTCTTTGGAGGTTCCGCCCTGTCATCAGCCAGCACCATCACTCTCAAGAGCTCCTTCCAGGCTTTTCTGCTCTCTCCCCTCCACCTCTCTAGGCATGTTCCTGCTGCCTGCTTCCAAGGTCCTAGAGGCAGGAAAGCCATGCACAGTCATGAAGCTTCTGGGTTTCTAAGCACAGGCATCCCAAAATGTTGGTTGATCATTAAACCATTGTTTTTCCATAAGCAGTTGACATCCAATATAAAAATCCATTGGTCTATCAAGATGTCTCTTTCTCCCTCTGATCTGAATCAGCTTTGATTTTAAAAAATCAGAATTGAGAGACCATTTGATTAGGAAGAGACTAGCTGATGGGCTTGATTCCATTTGTCCCCTGATAGAGCACATTTTTTTTTTTTGAACCTGTCTGTTCCATATTAAAATATGCCATATCATTCTGACAAACTTTCAAAGGTGTCTACCAACAGTTTGATGGGATAAAAAGCTCTGCAAAAGTATCAATACAGTTGTACGGCATTGCTAAAGTGCAACAGGAAATTAAAAAACTAAAGCAATAGCCCAAACCAGAAGTCCCATGATTCATTTTTGTAACCATGCAGTGGAATGTCATCAAGGGCAGAGGATCTTCCGCACCTTATATTAAAATTAAAAACATTTTAACTTAAAATGCAATTTTTTAATAACCATGTTTAATAACACTGCTTCTTAAATTCCTGCCATTGTACAAATGAATAGAGTTTCCTCTGTAATTAGAAACCAGAGGAAATTCAAATGAACTGGAACAGAATCCTTTCTTGCAGGTGCAATGGATGCTGAGTTGTACAAAAAATGGGGCTGGTGTGCTTTAGCCTGCAATCGAGTATCATTAAATTTAGTATGAAGGTTGTGGGGTGGAGTAGGGGGGAGAGAACACATCCTTCAGACAGAGAGAGGCATACACAGCACTAAGCTACATTCCACAAATAGTCTGAGCCTTTATTTCCCCCCACCTAGGATTCCCTCTACCCTTGTTCAGCAGCAACCAAATTCTCAGAGAAAGCCACCTGCTTAAGGTCACTCTCTTGTTCTCCGCAGATCATTTGCTGAGTGATGATTCTTCTGAAGACCACAATCTTCACTCGCTGTCTTCAATTGTGGACAGTATTGCTGTGGAGGATGTGGCCGTTGCGTTCCAAGAGGAGAGGGCTCAGAACTGAGGATCCAGACAGTGATGTCCATCTCAGTCTTTCTTTATTCAAAAAAAAACCCCAAAGTCATTACCCGCAGATTGTAGGGTAGAAGAAACATGATACTAGGACTTTACAATTAAGAGAAGTTTCTCTGCTCTCCTCACTAACACTGGATGATGTTCCAAAGGGGGGAAAGGTCTCCTTCCCAACTAACACTGGATTTTTTTTTTTATTTCCCATGCCAAAGTCATAGACTTTAACCACTGAAGCCACTTATCCAATTCCATACACTTGAAAAGTGGTTCTTTTTTCTTCTGCTTTCCCCCAGTCAGAAGCAAGCTAATGAGAGAGGGGCCTAGTAATTTTCATAGTCTGCTTGCTTTCCAGAAAGGAAGGGTATCGTGGCTTTACTGATAAGCTTATGGATCTCATTTCCTCTGGAAATTGGGCTGGAGTTGACTGATCAAAGCATTCTGATGTATTACTGGGAACACTAAGCGTGTGAGAAATTACACTCCTGTGTAAAGGAAGGATTCCAGTGTGGCCTTTATTCTTTCTTCCGTTTTTGTAGAAGTTTTGTTTCTTTTGGGGGCCAATGGTCTTTTTTCTAAAGAAATGTGGGTGTGTGCAAGTGTGTATTTTTTTTATTTTACTTTAAAAATACTGTCTGACCAACTTCTTTTGGCAGTCTGCAATTTCCAGGCCCAGAAGCCATATAAAATGCTGCCTCTGAAGTCTTTTCTACTGTGTGAAGTTGCCATTTTTTTGTATTTTTGCTAACTTATTGTGGGATTTCTTTTTTTAAAAAAAATAAAGGATTTTTTTGTTTGAATTTCTTTTGAGATTGTGTGGAAGAGTTTTGGTTTCCTATGGAAGTCTTGAATCAAACTAACTGAAATGTATTGGGCAATATAACTTTGTGGTCTTTGCCCCCTTCTTACTATAATTGATGCCTGCCCTCATTCATTCCATCAGAACAAAGCAAAATATGCTGTGTTGTACCAAAGGGGCAGTACACATATATCCCAAGTGTCAGACACCCAGCTAACACCAAGTATTAGCTACTGTCATGGACCCTGTGACAAACTGCTCAAGGTTTACTTTACCTGAACAGACAGCAGGAGAACATAGCCATGGAAATTTCCCTTTTTCCAGCAACCATTCTGAATTTTGTTGTTCCTCTGCATTCATAAAATGGAACTCTCAAGAACTTCCAGGGACATAAAAGCTGATCCCTGCAAAAGGAGGGAAGTCCAGCCACAATTTCCAGTGCTACCTCTTGCAAGAGCATAAATGCTCAAGCATACCCTGGTTCAATGAGAGAAGGTAGTGATTCCATTTTGGGGTGGCTCTGTGCATTCGTCTACCAAAAAATCACCCTCTTTGATCCTATTTCATTTGATACTTTGCCATTCAACCTGTGTTGTAACTGATAATTATCTCATATCTCTGTACTGGATACGATTAGATCCATCAAAACCCAGTGTAAAAAAAAACAAAACAGCAAAATTGCCCACCCTCAAATAAGCCTGTCATTTGTTTCTCTGCATGAATTATAAATTAAAGAGCTATACTGCATCAGATCAAAGGCCCACCTAGTACAGCATTCTCTTTTCCACAGTAGCCAATCTGATGTGCATGGGAGCCCTGTAACTCATACACATTCCTCAAGTAAATCTTTTTTTGAGAGTATCCCTGTATTTAAATGTGCTTCAGCTATTGGATGTCTAGGGGTCAACTGCCCATGTCTGTTATGTGTACTGCTACGGGATCTACATATGTAAGATCAACACAAAGGGTGTGCGCCTTGTGAAATCCCAAAAAAGGAATCGGTGCATCCAAGGCCCCAAAATGTTCTGTGCACACAGGCCCTTGAAACACCCCAAAAGAATAACATCATTGCATCTTCACTCCCTGGGCTGCCAAGGGACTCCTAGATGACTGGGTCTAAAAGCTTCTGACTGGCATGCCTTATTCAAGTAAGGAGACTACAGGGAAAAGGTGGGTGGCTTTGGGCTTTTCCTTACTTCTCATCCCACCCAGCCATAAGGATGTAAGATGGTGCTAAAAGGCTCCATCAAGCCATAGGAAGTGTTCAGTCAACTAGTGGGCCAATTAAGCATCATCATGCCAGATATGGCTTACATGCCACCAGTTACCACAAACATCGTGCCCAGAGAATTCGTATTAATGCAGAAGAGAATTATGAATCCACCGAGCCTTGCTTTAAAATCAGATTTATTGGAACACACATACACCCATTCCTGACTTTTTTTTCAGGGTTTGGAATCCATGCAGTACCAATAATATGACAAAAGAAAGAGGTTGTTGATATAAAGGGATCACTTACTCTTTAAATTAAAAAAATATTTAATACTGTATTAGGCAAGTCGTACACCAAAAAGACATTGCAACTGTACAGTCTCTTGGATATTGCACTTCCAAACAGCACGGTATGAGTATAGGGCATTCCAGCCACCAAGAAATACCACGTCAGTAATAAGAGGGCCACACTAGGCAAAAGGCAGCATGAGGAGACAAACGGATCCTACCCTAGAAGGAAGAAACAGCTAGGAACCTTTTTGGATCACAGGCTATCTGTAAATGCAAAGAGAAGAAAGGGGAGATTTTCTGTTTGTCTACAGGGAAAGATAAGAGCATTTACTGTTTACCCAACAGAGATCTGAGGACATCACTTGTACTCCCAGGGTCAGATTTCATTTCATACATGACAAAGGGACCTGGAAGACATACAAACTTGTTTGGTAGCTACTCTCTCCTTCCCACCAAGCACCTCCATGCCCTGCTTTCAGCCCTGGCCCTTTCACATCAGAGGAACAATACTGCCCATTGGCAGATGTTCCTTGTTGCCTGTGGCATGGTGGGCAGTCCCAGCAGAAATGCCTGCTGCTGCGTTTGTGGGAGAGTTCAGAGCTGGGTCTCCCATAGTCTCATCATTGCCTTTGTCTCCTTAGCGATTGTCTTATGGGGTCCGAGGTGTACGGTGGGAACCAGCAGCTACTGCTGCTCTCAGGCATATTGGCAAAATGAAACACAGGCAGATAATGGTGCAGGGACTGCTGCAGACCAGTATTAAGGTGCTTCCATGTCTTACCAGACCTACATCAAGATCACTGCATCACACACAGTGGGGAGAGAGATGTCTGTTCTCTTTCTCAGTGAGAGCATGTCTAAAGCCAAGGGAACGGGGGAGATAAATGGGAAGCCACAGATATAATTGGGGTTTAAGGACACCAAACAGGAGATCAGGGGTTGTGTACAAGCAGGAGGAAGAATCTTCTTTTGGCCATGTGGCCTGAAATGGTTGGCCTGTAGCTTCTGTTCTTTGGAGCCAAGGAGCAGGCACAGTCTGGTCTCTGGCCTAATCTCGGAAAGCAGCCAGTGTATAACCATACAAGTAGTGGGAATGTGCTGCAAAACAAAAGGGTACAAAGTCTACATAAAACATGAAGGATACGATGCTGTGGCAAATCTGTTCTGTGCCTGTGCTCCTCCTACGACTATTTGCTAGGGACCGGGTGAAAGATTAGGCATTCAACAAAGCCCCAACAGAAGCAACAAGGCCCAATGCTCCAAGCACCTGTTTGCATGGAGCACCTAAGAGGGTCAGAGAAAGGTTGAGAGAATCCGCAGTTTGCACACCCCACCTCTGCCAGGTTAGGAGATCCCACGGAAGCTGCCTTGCTCAAGAATCCTCAGAATCCTGATGCTGGCAAACTGCTGTTCACCAGCCTTTAGCACAGATTTAGAGTCCACACGGATCAGCATAGAAATAGCAGAAGCTAGACACAAGCACAGTCATGGCTGATCCATGGATTTTGACCGTGAGACCCACAATGAACATGGCCAAGTCTGTTCTTGTCACTGGAAGCGTCAGTGCTGATGTTGCCTTGGGGAGAAAGGGATAAACTTTGCTATCTTTATCCAACAGCTGTCCCCTTCATTTCTATAGATGCCTCTCCAGCCCCTATTCAGCACATTCCTCCTTCCTCCTCCTCTTTGTTAGTATGATCCATTAAGATTTTGCCGACACTTCAGTCACCGGAATTTCTTGGTTATTGAGCTTACAGCATGCAACTAGACTAGAAAGTTTCCTACTAGGCAGGAAACAGCTTCTATAATAATCTGAAGGAGAAAGTATCCAAACGGCTCAACTGTAGCAATTTCTCTGCCAGTAAATGGGCAGAGAACACCGTAACTATTAAACCAGTCTTGGAGGACAGCTTTATAAAAGGGGAGCAGTTTCATCAAAATGAAGCTTCTGTTGGAATAACAGCTTGATAGTCGGGCTGAATATATTGACCTAAAATTCATATGTAGGCAATTTGTGGCTCTGTAAATAGTGTTGGATTGTTGTTGTTGTTGTTTAGTCGTTTAGTCGTGTCTGACTCTTCGTGACCCCATGGACCAGAGCACGCCAACTCTCATTATCCCTGACCCCTTGCCATGTTGGCTGGAGCTGATGGCAATTTGGGTTTAATACTGACAGAGCCACAGGTTGCTTGTCCCTGGTTAGGTAGGTAGGTAGGTGCATCTGCTAGGCAAGATCCAAGATGTTTTGTCATGTACTATCAGTTTCTACCAAATACCATATTTTTCGCCCTATACGACGCACCGGCCCATAGGACGCACCTAGATTCTGGGGGGGGGGGGGAATAAAGGGGGGAAAATAATTTTCCCCCCCCAGGCGCGGGACTGGGGCGGGGGAAGCCTGAGCTTCCCCCTCCCCCAGCCCCCAGAACGGGACCCAGAGCAATGCCGAAGCTGCGTGCAGCTTTGGCATCGCTCTGGGAGCTTGCGGGGCTGGCGACGGGGAGGAGCAGGCTTCTCCCCCCCCCCGCCAGCCGTCTAACCAAGTCGTGCTGCGCCTCCCCGCTATTCCCCGAGCTTGTGGGGCTGGCGGTGGGGCTCTCCTGAAGCCTGGAGAGCGAGAGGGTTCGGTGCGCACCGACCCCTCTCGCTCTCCAGGCTTCAGCGAAAGCCTGCATTCACCCCATAGGACGCACACACATTTCCCCTTAATTTTTGGAGGGGATAAAGTGCGTCCTATAGGGCGAAAAATACGGTATTCATGTTATAATCCTATTCTTCCTTTCTTCCAAGAAACTCAGAATGACATTTTAACTTCACAGTAAACCTGTAGGGCAGATTAGCTTGAGGGAGAGTGACTTCCCCAAAGTCATTCAGAGAGCTTCAGAGCTGAGCACAGAATTACAGACAGGTTTTCCATATCGTAGCCCAACAATATATGGTTCTCTGCTGAATCAAACACATCTAAAAGAAATGTATGAACTCCATTAAAGTTTTAGAAACTGTGCACAATATTTTTTTCAGAAGCTATACCCTCTACCATCAGGAATATCAGCAGTTCTTCTTCGTACAGAACCCGGGTGGCCAACAATTAAGCCAAGAGTGGACTGCACTCAATCAAGTATAATAAAAGAACAGCTACTATGCCAATTAAGTTCTTTCCTGCACTGTGCTATATAGAATTGGGTGATAACCAACTCTGGAAAACTGCTTGTCAATATGTTTTAGACGATTATTCTCTTTCTGAACTGAGCTCTGCACTGACCTTAAATAAGTATCAACTAAGGGACTGGCTCTTCTGGCAGAAAATGTTTGGTTTCTTTTGAGAGACAATAATAGCTTCATAACACACTGAGTGGCCCTCTATGTACTGGCTGCAATATATATATATATATATATATATATATATATATATATATATATAAAACAAATTGGGGAAAAGGAGTTAGATAAAATTGCTATAAGTTGTTTTGGTGATTCAGAGGTTTAATCTGAAATCAAGCTAGATCTAAGCTTGTTGGTGTCTCTCTTCTCTTTCTTCATGGATGTTGGCTTATTGTATAGGCTCCATGGATTGTCCACTTGTCTTTGCTTTCTATTATTTAAATGTTGGATTGCAATATCTCTGAAGAAAAATGTGCCTGTGCCTTATTGCCCTACAAAGAGAGGCCACTGAAGCAGTACTGGATGTTTGGTGTGCATTGAGAAATCACCTATAACACATGCTAGTTATTGCTGTGCTAACAACTGCTCCTGCAAACACCAAGACAGAGCTAAAGTGTTGAAGCCCATGTTTGTTGTTGTTGAGACTAGGGTTGTTGAATGAATAAATCTGGCACCCATCAGATATATAACAACTGTGCTGAGTCCTCTGGTCTGACATGGACTAGAGGAAATGGTGAGGCCACTGGGGTGCTGCAGTTCAAACATGGGAATACAGCACAATCTCCTGCGCAACTTCTTTTGTCATGATACTGACTCTCACACATATAGCACAAAAAGCTGAACTGGTGATACAGGAAGCTTCCCTGCAAGTGATTTAAGGCAGACAACAAAAATTGTGTTTAGAAGCCTGAAGACAGAGAAATTGATTTCTGGTTTATTTCATTAGTTTCTGGAAGTTCTCTAGACTACTTAGAATATAGCTGCTCTACCCTAATTTCTACACTTACCTGGGCCCTGGGCCAATGGTCCCATTGGAAACTGAATCTCAGCAGGAATATGTGCGAACTGTGGATGTCTCCAGCCTTTGGGACCCAGATGCACCAACTGCAAACCATTTAGCAACAACACATAAAAAGCATGCAATTAGTGAGATCAGAGCTCTCATGCAAAGCACACCATTAAACTCTTGGTTCCCTGTTGCCTGACTGCCTAGCTTGGCTTATTACAAAGGTCAGGAGCAATTAAAGTCAATTAAGCAAGTTTAGTCGGTTAAAAAGTACTAACTAATGCTTTTTAAAAGGCATGAAAGTGCAGCTGCCTATCATCAGAGGTATACGGCTTCAGAGCTCAGTAAGAAATAAAATTTCAGACCACTGAATGACTAAATAGACAGGAGTCTAAAGCAGCCAAGGGTGCTATTCATGGAGCAGAACTGGAGGGAAAGGAGTTGTTCTATTATGTGAGGGTGTAAATTCACATCAGCTGGACACCACAGAGCAACATACCCAATTTGCAAGATCAGATCCTTGAAAGGTCCTTTCTTCCAGACTGATTAGAAACTCATCAAAATATACAAAATAGCTTTCTCATTTATCTTTTCATACCTTCATCCCTGGGCTAAAGCAACTAAGCAAATCCCCTGCATGGGATTCGGAAAGGGATAATCTTGGCAAGATCAAATGGGACATCAACTGTTCTCAGAACTTTCTGTGCCTATCTAAACTCTCTGATACCAGCATCAGATGCAGGGAGTTCACAAACCAAAAGTAAGGTCCATATGTAGTCTGGGCAGGCAAACCATGTTAGAAGTCCAATTAGTAGTGACAATCTTATTCAGGAAAACAGAGTGTTGGGCTTCTTATCATCAAAGATCACACACCATGCAGCATCCAAACACTTGGCGGTTTGAAACTGTCTTATTCATCTCTCATGAACAAGAGCAAAGCTGGACCTTACCTTCTGGTGGCATTTTTTTCGGTGGTGCTGAAGGAGGTGGAAGGGGCACCAAGGAGGTCACTCGGAACCCTGCTGGGAGCGTCTCTGCTGATCCGCTGAGCATGCTGATGCTGTGAAAGTCTCGGGGGCGGAAGCGCTTTCGCCAGGAGGGAGTTCGCCGAAAAGTCTTGTCATCACCCTGCAAGGAAAGAGAAGATTATACCACATACCAAGCAAAGCAATCAGGTAGGCCTTCCTCAGGGAGAAGCAGTAAGTACTGGCATTTGTGGAAAGGAAAAGACTTGTGCAGGTCTCTTATGCTACAGGAAGATCGGCAAAGTCTGAAAAACATTGACAGAGAACTCATTGAAGGGAGTTGGGCTGGGGCAGACCAGCTAGTTTTCCTGGGTTTGGGGCATGCCTCTGAGGCAACATCTCTCTGAATCTTAGCTAGCAGCACTGGCCACTGTGAGCTGTCCAAGGTACTGACAAGCTGCCTTTTGCTCTGTCCTGCTTTCCTGGCTGGGAACAAGCAGAGTTGACTCTGACTGGATTACCCATTTTGCCATCATCCTGCTCTTTGGCACACAACTGCTATCAGTCAGTACCCTGGCATCAAACTGGCCTCCCCTGAAACTTTAAGACAAGACTCCACAGTGCACATTTTGTTTCCTGCAATTAGTCTGCCACATACTGGTGTATATCTGTTCTTAATTTGCTCAGTGTGCCATGCCAAAACCCATGTTTCTTCTACATTTTGTCCACTGGCTGAATCTTCATTACCAAATAGGCATGTTGATAAAGTAGGTTGTGTGATTGCTTCATTATATATCCACCTCAACTCACATAGACTACACTGATGCAAAGATTTTGAAAGTGGGTTAAAATGTGGTATTGTAATATATTTGGATTCAGTTGCAAGCTAGGATTTGGATGAAATAATCTATATTTCATGCTGAACACAGCACAAATCAGCTCAATGAAATTGTGTGAATAGGCTTTCAATCTCCTTTTTATGGGGTCAAATAGTACAAAAACTTCAGCATTCAGTGAGAAATCTCTCAAGGATTATATTCTAATTTTCTAACTGAGTCGCATACTTTTCAGAAATTGGCTCTATTTCCCTATGGAAACCATCTAGAAATTTGGCCATCCTACAAAGTGGGATAATGAAGATAACAATATACCAATAGTGTTTTAAACCAGCATTTGTCTTGGTCAAGTGATAATTCTATCTCAGATACAAGGAAACTTAAGCAGAACACAGTTATGGAGAATTAATGAGAAGTCCTTGGGGACTTTATTCTTTCCTTCACTCACTGACACAATACTGAGATGCTGACGGTGATTAACAGAAATGTGAAAGAATTCAAATTTACTTCAATTTGCTTCGAGTAGAAATAAGAGTTGACTTGCCAGAATAACAGAAGATGTTGTTTACTTGAAATGACCAAATCCCTTGTTTACGTACTTTCTAATCCGGTGCCAAAGTTTGTGATTCAGTATCAGTTTTTTTAAAAAGTGTTTGCCTTGAGTTTTCTAAAGCCAGCCTCCTTGCCTATAACCCCTAGATGTTTCCCTCTTAAAATTTTAAAAATTCATCACAAAAGATGATTTCAGAGTGTGATAACCCAAAGAAGATTGCCCAGTGTCATCATTCCTCATAGCCCCTTATTTTCTTCCTTTTAAAGTTTCTTCATTGTGACCTCTAAAACAAAAATATTGCATATTGCTAAGGGTAAATAGGTTGTTTAAACACATAGATAGCTGCTGAAGATTCACATTCAGAGGTAAAATCAAAACACCTCATTAAAAGAGATATATTCATTTTTAAGGCAATCAAAGCAATTGGAACGCAGTACACAAAATGGGGAAAAAAATCTAAAAATTTCTTCATCCTATTTTTTTTAAATGATATTTATTAAAGTTTCAAAGAAAAAATTACATATATAAAAAGGAACAAGAAAAAGAAATAAAAAAGAAAAAAATAGAAAATAGAAAATAGAAAACACTTAAAAAAAACAAAAACACATCGTTCTTTCCGTAACTTACATTTCATTTCCTTACTTCCCTGACTTCCTCACACCTCCCTTTTTTGTATTCCAGTTCTATTTAGTTAATTCAGCGATTCCTTTCCCTCTTTGTTTTTATCTTAATCCTTTAACTTAACATATTATAGCTTTAGATTCTCATCTGTTAACAATCCGTTTGTACATATACCTATAGCATTGCTGCTAAGACCACTTAATTTCATTCTGACATCATTCTAACATTCATTAATTTTGCAATATTTCTGTAAATAGTCTTTAAATTTCTTCCAATCTTCTTCCACCGACTCTTCTCCCTGGTCTCGGATTCTGCCAGTCATTTCTGCCTAAAAATCTCTTCATCCTAATGGGATGGGGCCAATAACTGGGCTTTGAATTAGTCCATTTCTAAAATCATTTAGAGCCTAGGAAACAGACTGCTAGCCTCTCTAGACTCCAAGCACATGACACTAGTTCCGTGTTTGCATTGATGGCTCCCAAAATGCATTTTTACAATAGAAGCAAATAATGTTAAGCTGGTGAAATCTTAGCAATCATGACCAATTCACTCACATAAATTGGCCAGGTTTCACAGTTCAGCATCTAGAGCTATTCTCTCTGGCCTGTCACTAGCCAGTTTCTGACTGGTGAATACCAATGGTGATGCCACACCTGTGGAATTCTCCCTCTAGAGAGATCAGAGGTGTTCCCATTTTTTTAAGGCACAAGAACATGTTTATTCTAGAAGGCACTCTATTTTTATTGCCTTCTGTTGGTTCTTAAAGCTACTGGGTATTCTTAGTGTTTTATTTGATTTTTAATATTCTATTCTATTGCTGTAAGTAGCTTTGGGAAACTTAACCAGAAAAGCCAAGTATATAATAGCTTAAATAAATAAATACAGGCCAGGGTCTTCACAAGTTCAGAGCAAAATTACCATTTCCTTATCATTCTTTATTTGCTGAAAATCAAAGACCTGCCTTTCCCAATACAAGTGTCTTTGAGTATTATGGTCATCAACAGAGGCCCTTCTGCTCTCTGTGAGGAGGGAGTGGACTTTGTCAGTGGCTGACTCCAGGCTCTGACATTCCCTGCCCAGGTAAGTCTGCCTCATTGCTTCTTTGATAGCCTTCCACCGCAGTGTGAAAGCCTTCTTTCTTATATCTTTAGTGGCTTAAATGAAACCTGTTTTACTAATTTCAGTGGTCATTCTTATGGTTTTACCAGCTCATCATTGGCTGCTTTTCTAGTTAATAACAATGCATTCCATGTTTTCATTGTATTTGTAACTTTTTTTACTGCGTGTGTATTCTTATTTTAGTTAGTTGCCTTAGAATAAATGTTTTAAAATTTAAATTCATCTCCAGTTGAAAATACCACAAAATTGGTTGTTATTATGGAATGCACTAGTACTATGAGATGCAATATTACGCGAGATACATTCTCTCCCTCTTCCAAAAGGGAGGAAGTCCCCGTAATGTACTCTCTCTAGCTACTTATTTAAAAACACTTAAAAACTTTAAACCAAACTCTGTATATGGCATTGCCATACTCCCTTCAAAACTTCCATGCTCATTTTTTTTCAGCTGTATTCAAAATGGCAACAGCAGAACAGCTTTCTGGGTGGCTTGACCAAACAAAATGCAATGCCCACTCCTTCACTAAATTATTCCTTTAAATTATGGGTGCTCAGCTTTGAATATGGTAGAACTCATGTTCTACACTTTAAAAAACCTTGAAGTAGATCAGAAGTGGGCAATCATAGGCCTAATTTCAAAAGCCCTGTGCAAGTGACTTGTTCAGGCCTCTGGAAAGTGCGATCTGTCTCTCCCCAGCAGCCTACTGAGTAGAAAGGGGAGAGAGGAGTGTGTGTCAGAAAAAGAGAAAAAGGGTGGCCTTGTCCACTTTTGGCTCTGGTCTCACTCATCACTGGCTTTAGCCCTGCCCAGAGAGTCAGCATGCAGTCCCCCCAAATTATCCCCATGTGAATGCAGCTTCTGACAGAAAAGAGTTTGCCCATCCCTTAAGTAGATTAATAAATGCCCCTCAAGGTACATAATACATTTCTTCTCCCCAGACAGACAGTTCAGTCAAGAGTTGGGGAGAGAAGCATTAGTGCCTTAGGAAGCCACAAGGTTAGTAACTTGATTTTGAAGACAGATGAGGGACATTTACTGCCTAGGCAGAGTCCTTTATGGATGAGCAGAGTAGTCTGCAGCTCCAGTGCTGCAAAAGAGAGAACTATTCCGTGCCAGCAGAGTCTCCTAGGTATGCCCTTGAGAAGGAAACACAATATAGCACTGTGCTAAGTGGGCTAGAGCAGGGGTTTTATTCCTCCAAAGTAGGACATATACATGCTACTGGATGAGCTCTGTGGGATGAGAATTGGGGCACAGTGTTACAATGGCTCCAGCGCTATCTACAAGACCAGCATTGGAAGAGTTCTTTTTAGACGCCAGGCAGTTATGCTAAGGAGTGCTGCAGGGTACTATTTTAGCTCTAATACTAGAGGATGAGGCAATGTGGAGCATGATGCTATCAGCATGCTGATGATACTCAGCACAGTTTCTTCATTTCAGAATTAGGGGATTCTGTGCCTGAATGCTGCTGTGGGCTAGCTGTGGAAAATAAACTGAATTTGAGTCCCAGAAAGATGAAGGTGCTCTGGGCACGTGGTCCCAGTTTCTGAGAAACTAGTCAGCTGCCTGCTGTAGAGAGGGTTGCACTCTGAAACTACGTAGTCTAATGGGGATCTAAGCTTTGTCACTAGAGGCGTAGGCAGCCTCGGTGCACCTTTTATCAGCTCCAGCTGGTACAACAGCTGTTGCCATTGATGGACTGGGATAGCTTGACCACAGTTGTCCAGGCACTGGTAATTTCAAGACTGGATGACTGCAATGCACTCTACATGGGGCTTCCTTTGTCCTTGAATTTGGAAGCCACAGTTAGCAAAGAATGTTGCAGCATGATTACTGACAGGAGACCTTATCAGTATACTATAACACTGGTCAAAGATCTGCATTGGCTGCCAATTGGCTGCAGAACAAATTCAAGATATTACTGGCAATATATCAAGCTGCCAACAGCTTAGGACCAGTTTGCTTGAAGGATCACCTTACCCCATTTGTGCCCATTTGACCACCCAACTTTTGTATGTGCTATATAATGTCTGTTCCACACTTGCGATGAATTAGTCTTTTACTGAGGCAGTACCTAAGCTCTGGAACTGACTGCTTATTAATATCAGGCAAGCAACTTGCTGGTACTGTTTTCAAGACAATCTAAAAACCTTTTTCTTTAGGAAAGCCTACCCAGACATGTATTTTCATTATGTGAACTCAGATCTTATTTATATAATTTGATCATTTTATTATGTCTACTTGTTTTTAAAGTCTGCTGATATTTTCAGCAGTTTCTTATGAGTATTTTATACTATTTGATGCAAACCTCTGAGAGATTTATTTAATGTTTAATTGAATGGTGTATAAACCTTGTTGAATATGAACTGATGGGGACCCTGTGATCATGATCTTCATGTGCCACCTCCACCAGAGGTCCAGAGGGTGGCAACACAAAAATAGGCTTTTTCTGTGGTTCTTCATTTGTGGAATGCTTTCCTCATGGAGGTTCACCTGGCACCATCATTATCTATCTTTAAGTACCAGGCAAAACCTCTATAACCCGGCCTTTGGCCTGTAACTATCACTCCACCTCAGATAGTAGAAATTGGGTACATGGAGATCAGAGTATCTGGGGGATTTCTCCCCTCTAGCCCATTCCCATTGTAGCACAGAGGACTGAATGTTGGATGTGATGTGGTCAGACCTGGGTTCAAATTCTAGCTCAGCTACAAAAACCACAGAGTAACTTTGAACCAGTCACACATCCTCTATCTAATCCACTGCAAAGAGATAAAGTGGGATAATTCCCATATATGCTGTCTGAGACACTGGGGGAAGGCTTGTTGGTTTATACACCACCCTTCAGCAATGATGCTCAATGACAAAAATGAGGTAAAATGCAAGATCAAAGTGACAGCATACTAAACTAACAATACATTTAAAACCCTGGGATTTTATTTTATTTTATTTTATTTTAAACTTCCTTCTGGGGCCAAAAAGGTAATGGGTGGAGTTCACCTAACCATGTGCAAGGGGCTTTTCCTCCATACTCCCCCCCCCCATTGGTTCTGGAGGGCAGTCAAGAGAACCTCTGAATCAGCGTGGGAGGGAAGGGGCTATTGTTCCATCTGGCAAACTGAAACGCTTGCATAGACAGAAAGTTCGCAATACTGTGATATTGAATTCCTCCCAATTGCAAAATTTGGGCTGGGCTACAAATAGTGCATACAAAGCACATGCTCCTATTCTGGGCTAAAATGTATTAGTTATGCTGTGATAGCCAGATTATTTGATTTCATTTCTGAAGTGGAGATTATGGGTCTCTATACAGTAATTTGCAACATACTTACCAGTACTGAAGCTCACAGAGATCTGTGTGCTTACCTGTATATCACTTAGAAACTTCCTCCATCTCCAAAGATTTGAAGGTACAGAATCCATTGCATCTGATTGACAGAACCTTCCCTATATTGTGGAAAGCTGAACATACCATCCTATGTGTCCTCTCCTCTCCTAGAGAATGTTGCTTCTTACTTTATGATCTGCTTATCATCAGCTGCCCTACCATTAGGCGCCAGCCAACCTCAGGTAGTAGATTGTGCAGTTTCATTAAATGGTTGTAAATTTTTGATGATATAGTTTATTATACATTTACCCACTGGAGGAAGTTTGGATTTTCTGCCTTCAAAACCAACACTTTGGTGAAAATAAAAGTGTGCATAGTAATGATGTCTGAAAATGGCACAGTATTTGATTTTGCTTCAGTTACATGAACATTGAATCTGATCTGTACACCAGTTTCCATCACGAGTAACTGTGACAAAATAAAGCTATTGCCTTCCAAAATTGTGGTGTACATGGTGTAAATATTACCTGCACAGAGATTATCTCTCTGTAGAAAAATGTTGCTTTAAAGATTAAGCCACTGGTATTTCTTCACTCTGTAAACAGTGGATCACCCCTTTAGAATGAGTAGATCCTCACAAGGGTTTTTATTTTTGACCTACAATTTGCACATTATGAGTGCTTTAGAAGCATCAAAAACACATACACATTCCTCAGGGCATGTTTTATGGATAGTCTATGTGATAATCTTAGTGTCAAGATGACTCTACATGAGAAAGTAGAATAGCTTGCAAAATCTTATGAGTGTAAATGTTGAAGTGGAATAACAGAACCACTTGAAAAATAACTCCAAAGTACTCCAGAATATTCAGCTCATGCAGGAAGTGGTACACTGTCAGCTGTTGCTACTGTTTTTTATGAGGACTAAGTCACAAAAGGATATATTGCCTAACTCACATAAAGACAACTGAGCGTACCACAGATTTTATCCTAAAGCAGCCGAATGTAGTTATGGATAAGAAGGATGCACCATCAAGAGAAACCAGATAGGTAACCAGTATGTATATATACCAGATTTTTCTTCTTGAACAGAGAATAGAGTTTTCAGCTTTGGGGAACCATTTGAATAATTTCTATTTCACTTTGAAATTTTAGGTGGCAATATTCATCATCTAAACAGGTGGTCTTCAACCTTGGGTCCCCAGATGTTTGTATGTTTATCTATAATAGTATTCCTATACAGCCAACATTTCAGTGAGGTAAATGCACATGCAATGCTCAGGTGTGTGCCAGTTCTTTTCACTTCATACATTCCCTTCCTGAAAATGCAACAGATTGCTGGCGAAATCCATACCTTACCCTTGTCCTTGAATAATGCTTCACTTCAGAGTTTCTTCTCATGAATGGATCATTTCATGCATTACACTGAGGAAACCCTCAGGCTTACACTCAACAAGCAGCTGCAATCAACCAAAGTTCCGTAAGAAGTATACCCGTGCACTACTTTCCCCATGAAATAGCTAATTTCCGGCCAAAAGTAACTCCTCTTGGTAGAAAAACTGCTGGGGAAAAGATGTGAGGGGAGGGCAAGTAAGTGTTTCGCTCTCCCTCCTGCCTCCCCATGCTGCACTTTAAAACTCCCCATACTGCCCGTTGCTTTAGAAGAATTTGGCATGACCTGTGTTAGGATGCGCTACTGTCACCTATAGCTTTGCGCTAGGATCACTGAGGGAACAGTTAGTGTCTTCTATTGTTGCACTAAGCATTCCAGGAGATACTCCATCCTCCCTCCCATATCCCTCCCTCAACTATGTCTGCAAGATGTGTGTTGATACGATCTTATAATGATTATTTAAAAGGCTCAGCCAGAACTGTCAACTACATCAAGATGTTCCCAGATCCCCAAGTTTAAAGAAACCCTTCAATATATTTCCAGTCCAGTGTTTATAATTTATTGACTGACCAATACAGATAACTTTGGTACACCAAGCAGTGTGACAGTGATTCACAAAGCATACAAAAAGGTTGTACTCCACAGAGCAGTGTGTCTGTGTAAACTCACTTCTGTTACAATAGTACGAGATCATGCTGTTGACAGGGAGAGCAGCTCCTCGCCTCATGGGGTTTGGTTCACAAGAAGTTATGACAAAGGAGGGCTAGGAGGTCCCAGCTGAAGGTAGGAGTGTTTTCAACATCACTGGTCTTCAGAGCTTTGTCCAGAGCAGTATGAAAACAATGATTCCTACTACTTAGGGGAGTAGATTTCAGATAGTCCACAGACTGAGCTTTTGTCTATCAACATACTTACATCATTTTGACTAGTGGGATGGATTTAAAATGTATGCAACCATGTTGCTGCTCAGATTTTAGTTTATAGTCCTATTCAACAGAAAATGGTTTATGGGAAACTAAAATAGGAACATTCATGCGGGGATGGTATTACATTTCCTAAAGGAAAGAAGAGCAGGTTTGTTGGAGCCAATGCACAAGTGAATGGCAAGCAGAATTTCCTTGCAGATTTACAAAAAAAAAAAAGTAAGCAGCATAGGCTCTACTAACACCAATCCTTTCTCACATAAGAAGTGAGAAGGCAGCCTGGGTTCCAGCTCTTCTCACAGCAGACAATTTCATAACAGGGGATCCTACACCTGTCTGCAAGTTGAAATCTCTCTGGCTTACCAAATGCACTTGCTCTCTTCATGAACAGAATTTCAGCACTTACAATGTTCCTTCACAGAAGATAACTGCACTGCCAGTCCTACTTCCAACACTTCTCTTGCTTCATCAGTTTCTTAGCCAACAGTATGGGCCCAAAATTTCTCAAATTCCCAGCATGTTTTAGTCAGAGGATAGTACTTTGTACTCACATCGTCAAGCCTCCTATCAGTGCCCAAGGCAAGCAGATTGTTGAATTCTCTCTCCATCACTTGTCGTGCCTGCAAAAAACATTAGATAAGCCAACAATAGTTGTCTATCAAAACAAAAACAGCACTAACAGTGCTGCCAAATTTCCAGTCATAGTAAATGAAATATTTCTTGAAAGTTGCTTTCTCTCCATGGAAAGGACTATTGCCTTTATGTCCTGTTTGTAGTCTTCCCAAAGCAGCTGGTTAACCACTGTGGGGGAAAGGATGGTGGACAAGATAGACTTTCTGCCTTGTATGCAGTATGCAGTATGCACTTTGGGGCAAGTCATTCATTTCTCAGCTTCACTAGTTTGCCTTCAGTGAAATAGATGTTGTGCTGCTGAACAATTGTAGGGCCAAACAAGTGGTTGATGCTTGCTACTTCAATTCCAGCTCTGTAACTTAGTTTGTGGCCTAGGACAAATCACTTGTCTCCATCTATTCCAGAAATTTGTTTTTAACAGTGCCCTGACAAATGCCTTTGGGAAGCTTATAAACAGGGAAAGAAGACAACAGCACTATGTCATTCTGCCTGGCCAATAAGCTGGGTGACCAGGGTCTTCCATAGGTGAAGTCAGTAGGAACAGTGTTGGGGAGAATCAACCAAATGAGGCACGTAGGGCAAGTAACTTAGCAGGGAAACTTGTAGACTCCTTATTTTTTGGAGATGCCAGCTGCCACTAATAAAAACACATCCAACTCAGATCTCTTTAAAAAGAAACATATAATGGTCATCCTAAAAACATCAGTTTCCTACCTGAGTATTCTGAGTGGGTATTTGTAACACAAGTGCCAGACTATTATAATCAAAATTTTCATCCAATGCTATGAGGGCTCCATGGACTCCACTCTCAACAATATTGTTTGCATACTCTCTAAGCCCAATAGACTGAATCCAGTGAATTACTTGATCATTGGTCCAAACCAACACATCTAGAAGGAAGTGAAGCCATACATTCAGGACAAAACACAACAATATTTAAGTCCACATAAGTTGGTTAAGAAAAAATAGAAAAAGCACAATGACTGATATATTGTTTAAAATTTGCAATGGAAGCCACAAGATTAAAAACAGGCAGGTTATAGCATTTTCCTAAGCTTGCACCTATCAGTCACATTGCCCAAAGTGTAGCAGTCTCATTTGTTCACATTATCATACACCCAAAACAGAATGGTCAGAGCTCTAGCATTGAAGGAAGAAATCCCAGGAGGACAAAATTAAAATGCAGAACATAGAAGGCTGGTGCCCCAACCACGTAGTAAACATGAGCCAACCAATAAAGAGAAATCCACAGAAAATTATAATGAACAAATGCAGGTACCATCTGACAGAAACAGTTTTTCAGTGGCTGAAAAGCCTCTAGAAGTAATCGAAGTAGAAGAGATGCCAGCTTCCCCTGCAACTGACAAATGTTGAGTTTGTAAAACAGCACTGATGATGCCTCAAGAAGGGGAAAGCAAAATGGCATCAAGAGCTCAGTCTCATTGTCTTGTTCCTTTGAAGCCTGCCACCAGCAGATCTCTTCATTGTTACCTACCTTTGATTTCATGCTGGCTTTCCTCCCGCCTCCTCTCCAGCTCTTTTCTATCATAGTTTAGTCTTTTCAGGCACATGATACCATACTGCAGGCTTGTGCTGCAATGATACAATGCAGCACTTACTTCAATGCATTTCAAACCAAAATCTTACTATTTGAAACATCATTTATTATATTTAATTGCAGCAATTATAAGACACTGTGAGGAGGTTGCAGCACTTGTGCCATGCCTCTGTGAGTCCTTGAAGGCTCAACCAGTGCTAAACAAGGTCTGTCTCCTCTCCCAGTGGACAGAGATAAAGCACAACTGTTGAGGGAGAGGTGTGGAATTGAGGGGGAAAGGAAGGAAGGAGGAAAAAAGCAGCTGCAGGGGAAGCCCCACAGCATCTGGCCCTATTAAGAGCACAGTCAGGCATAGACAGGCAAAGAAGAGAGTAGCTCCTTCTGTGTGAGTGTTGCAGATTTCCAAAAGCCTGACAGGTTTAAGGAGGGTGGCAACCACAAATCCTAAGAAATAAAAGGAAGCCTAAGACAGTGCTCCGGACTGTTCAGCAGGGCTAATCCGAACTGTGCCATCTAATTCCACACAAATAAGGCTTGAGAATGCACTGTAACCATCCCAGATCGCTGTATAAACCACACAACCCAAAATGTGTTTCTGTCCCGTCCCCCCCAATTACTTATGCTAACAGGGGAAACTCTTCACATCTATTTCCAAAGGTTTTGTTGCTGTTTTTTAAGTCTGTGGCAAATATGCATAGCACTATATTGTAGTTTCATTGCAAATGATAACCACTGCACTCATCTCCTCTTTTGCTTTAAGTATATTATAACATGCAATTTCTAATACATATAGTAAACACACAAACCAATCTCAACTTCATCAGTGTGCTTCACTCCAAAAGAATAAACTGACTGAAAGACTTTAGGTGAGATACGTTCAGATGGGGACAGGGTGGGAAATGAGCACATTAAACATCTCTTAAATTGGTTACAAGAAATTCTAGTTTCCTGGGATGAAACAATAACCCTCCAAGAATTTGCTTACCGGTGGAAACTGTCCACCATCTTGAGGTGCACTCGAAGATCTTTCTTAGTCAGATGATCCAGCATTCGTGCATCCACAAGACACTCCATGAAATAGCTGCGATATTGTGGGAGACCCAGACTAGGAAGCCATTCATTCCCTATCCACTCATGATTCATGTCCCCATAAGCCAATGTCTTTGAAAGTAAAAAAGAATAATGTAAGAGCAGGTCCCTCAGAAGCATTAACAGAATCCTATTGGGAAGTCTCAGAAATGTAATTTAGAATAATTTAATAAAGGTACAGTAATCTCATGTCTTGGATTTATCTTGTTTGTTTACTGATGTCTTGATAATATATATACACTATTGTGTGTGATAATGATTATCACAGAGATGAAAGATTCTCATATTGTTGGTGATACCACATTGGCAAGTTGTTTGGATCAACCAGTGTCCTAAATATTGCATATCTTGAAAACCTTAATCATGAATAAAACATACATAATCTGTGCTCCATTTTCAGCCCCTTGGGCAGAAATATACCACAAAATATAAAGAACAAAGCTGCAAAGTACTGTGCAGGGATCCTTCCTTACAAGCTCATTTGGATGCAGTGGCTTCGGGATCCTGCTGTTAAGTCTAAAGACCTAGGGCAGTGGGCTCTATTATACATGCTTCCCACTGAAGCCAGTTAAGATAAGCCGTTCTCACTGAAGGGTTTGGATAAACTGAAGGGTTTGAATCTATCTCTACCCTATATCTACTTTCAGACTTTCCAGTGATTGGGAAGAAACATTTGAAAAGAAAGGAAGCAGTGATGGCCTAGTCATGCATGCCAGAATTTTATTATGTCTGCCTTCTATTGGCAAAATGAGGACACATCTGGTAAGGAAGCAAAAGGCCACAGGGATTCGCTCCCTTTGCATAGGAATTTAGAGGTGTTCCAAATCTGGCTGAGAACAAGGAATACTAAAATTAATGTGGGAAACAGCAGTAAATCAATAGAGTAGATCTGTATGGTTTGCAAAACTATAGCTGTAATGGAACTAGGTGAGGGGGTGAGAAATGAGAGCTCTCTTATATTATGGAAACTTTTTTCTGTTTGGAGAAAACTGTATAGCATTAGTAATCAGAAAGTGTAAGCAGGGTTAAGAGCATTCTGCATCTGTCTTCACTGAGAAAAGTCTTCCCATCTTATTGAAACAAAACAAAACAAAACAAAACAAAAGCAAGGTGGTATAATCAGATTGTAAGTGTTATTGTGGAATCAATTTTGATGTGTTCTGACCATTCACATAATTCTGTGTGTCTAAGCACAGTGGAAAAAGGCAAGATAATATACAAGTCTCACCTGTGCCCAACTGCCCTCCTCAGTGTCCTAAATGTAACAATGCAGCATGTCAACAAAACAACAGGCAAAGTAAGTTATCACCATATGGGGGCTGACAATATTTAAGATACAAGCAGAGACTCCTTTATTTTATTTTTATTTACTACATTTACATACCACCTTTTCCTCCAAAAAGCTCAAGGTGCAGTACATGCTTGTTCCCTTTCCATTTTAACCTCACAACTTTGTGAGGTAGGGTACCCTGAGAGAAAGTGACGGATCCAAGGTTAGCCCGGTGGGTGGGGATTTGAACTCTGGTCTCCCAGGTCATAATCCAACCATTACACCACAGTGGTTCTCCAATGAGTGTAAAACAAAATAATCAGGATACTTTCACACACAGACCACACACATGGCACAAGCACAAATATGATTTCACTTTCCGGCTCTCATTCTTCAGCATGCATAACATGAGGGATCTCACTGTAGGCAATATTTTGAATCTCTCAATAATGAGCAAAAGAGTCATATTATACTGCACATGCCACCATAATGTTACATGACTCAAACAGAGAGGCATATTCAAAGCTCAAGAGATAAATAACAGATGCTGCACTAAAGGAAGGAGCAGATGAAACTTCCTGGAGATTGATGGATTGATTGTTTATTAAATTTCTATATCACCATTCACACAGGGCAGTTTACAAAATAAAAACACAAAAATGCACTGCATAGTAACAAAAACGTTAACATCCATTCTTAAAAGACTTATTAAAATGGGCAGTGTGAACGTAAGCACTGTTAGTAGACGGTTCCCTAAACTGGATGGAGGGGGGGGTGGCCTGTTCTTGATGAAGCTACACTCCCTCTAAAATAGTGGGTACGCAGGTCAATGGTACTTCTGGATCCATTGTCACTTGATGCTCAGGTGGCCTCAGTGGCATGGAGTGCCTTCCATCAGCTTTGGCTCCTGGCCCAGCTGCACCCCTGTCTGGGAAGGGATAACCTAACTTCTATTGTCTATGCTCTGGTAACCTCTAGGTTAAATTACTGCAATGCATGTTACGTGAGGCTGCCTTTGAAGAGAGCTCGGAAACTTCATCTGGTACAAATTTCTGCAGCCAGGTTGCTCACCAGGGCAAGAGGGTTTGAGAATGTAATACCAATCCTGGTCTGACTGCACTGACTGCCAATTACCATATTTTTCGCTCCATTGGACGCACCGGACCATAGGACGCACCGGATCATAGGAGGGGGAGAACAGGGAAAAAATTTTTTTTCTTGTTCTCCCCCTCTAAAACAAGGTGCGTTCAAGGTACATTCACCAGAGCTTGTGGGGCTGGCGGTGGGGAAGCGCTGCTTCCCCACCGCCAGCCTCAAAGATCCCTGAAGCCTTTGGAGCGCAGCGCCCCGCTGCCCTGCACAGGTTTGCGCGCAGCTGTCCCCAAGCTAGAGCAGCGAGACGGAGCGCTCCGCAGTGCTCCGTCTTCCTGTTCTGGCTTTGGGCTTAGCGGCGCAGCCTGCATTCGCTCTATAGGACGCACACACATTTCCCCTTAATTTTTGGAGGGGGAAATGTGCGTCCTATAGAACGAAAAATACGGTAGTTTCCTGGTCCAATTCAAAGTGCTAGTTTTGACCTTTAAAAGGCTTGGGACCAAAATACCTTAGGACCACCTCTCTCCATATTAACTGACGCCATCCCTGCAATCATCATCTGAGTTCCTCCTTCATGTGCTCCCTTCCACAAGAGGTCTAGAGGGTGGCAGCACAAAAATGGGCCTTTTCTGGGATGGCTCCCCATTTCTGGAATGCTCTCCACAGGGAGGTTGGCCTCACACATTCGTTATATATCTTTAGGTGCCAGACAAAAAATCTCCTTTTCCCAGGCTGACGTGGGTGAACAGTAGCCACAATATGTCAATAGCCACAAATTAATTTGTTTTCCTGATAAATGTATACCTTTCATCTTCTGTTCTCAAGCAGTAAATACAAAAAAGGAAATGATGCTGACATGTACCTGTGAACAACTGCTAGCTACCAATGGCTGTGGTCACCACACAAATAGGTGAATAGCAAGTTGCCAACTACATGAGGCAGATATATGTGCTTCTTGTTAGGCATAACCCACATACATTACACTTGTATCTGCTTAATTAAGAGCAAGAAACGTGCCAGTCACATTACATAAATATTGTCTGGGCAAAGGTACAGCTGCCAGCCACCTTTTATAGATACATCTCAAAAGAGACCCTTTACTGTTATTTATTATTAATCTACAGGATTCATAACCTGCCAAACCAAAAAGGCTCTCAAAGCAACTTTCAAAAATTAGTTCTAAGATGGTCCCTGCCCTCAGGCTCACTATCTAAAAAGACATGACACACAAGAGAAAGGGAATGGGAGGGAAGCAAAATAATCAAGCTTAAGCATATGTTCTTAAAAGTTACAGTTAACTAGAATAAGTCAGTTATCATGCATACTGAGGGGGTTCCTAAATATTGTGGGTCATGTTTACCTGATAGAAAAGAATAATATATTTAGTTATAGCTCACGTTTCCAATGGAGTAAACACCAAAGATGGCTCAAAGATTGTTGAACCCTCAACAATATGAACAGTGTCCTGAACAACAATACATTTTGTATTTTTATCAAAGAAGTGAATCACCTGGCCAAAATTGAACCAACTTCTCATCATGAGTAAAGTACAGTGGTACCTCTGGTTGCGGACACGATCCATTCCAGGGTGCCATTCGCACCCTGAAAAGTCTGCAACCAGAGCAGCACTTCTGCGCATGTGCGAAGCACGATAGAGCGCTTCTGCACATGCACGAACTATGCAGAATGCTTCTGCGGATGTGCAAACCATGTAGAACGCTTCTGCGCGTGCAGTGAAACCCAGAAGTAAACCCTTCCAGGTTTGCCGCGTTCTTAAGCCGAAAAAACACAACATGAAGTGTTTGCAAGAAGAGGTATGACTGTATGCTGAAATAGGTATACTGTAGTATTAGTCCTGAAAAAGCCTTACATTTTGATTAGATGCAAAATTATTTCCCTGCCTGTTTTTATGAGGATGAGATGGCTGGGATCTCAGACACTGAAGGACAAATTATACAAAGGAAACTATCACACAGAAGAAACTTACCGTTTTGGTTGAAGTTGCCATAGTTTCCATCTCTTCGTGTGTCACCCAAACATTTCCAGATGACTAGGGAGAAAGATGAAATAAATTAATGAGAGGGGAAGGAACAACTGTGATCATGTCAGTAAAGCATTTTAATCTGAAGTCATCTTAAATTAAACCATGGCTAATGTATGGGTGAAGATAGTTTTCAGTGGCTGTGGAAATGACAATAATGCTATGAAAAATCATGCTCAATTTACATTAAAGAAAAAGATCCTGATTTTTTTGTACATTAAGTTCAATCAGAAAAATATTTGAGGCTTTTAAAGAACAAGACCTCCTTTCTTCCCAAATGGTAGACATTGTACCAAGCCATCTGAATGAATATGCAGTTCTCTTTAAAATTTTCAACCATATTAGAAGACCTGTAATTGCAGCCCTGTATTTCCTGTGCCTCACTGCCCCACTTACTATCTGCTCTGCCCCATTTCCTTCCGCCTCCCCTGCTTCTGCCAAATTCTTGCATTAAGTCATCATGCCCTTTGCTTCTTCAGAAAAAAAGAAGGGGGAAAGCGAGATCTCTCAGCATATGTTAATTAGTCCTTATATTTCTACCTATTGCTACTTCCAACCCAGTAAGCAGGGAACTCAAAGCAAGAATATGATTGAGTTTCTGAGAGAGCCAAGCACTCTTCAAATACAACCAATCCAGCTAGTGCCCTGGGAATATTGTTTGTTTGTTTATTAGATTTTTTTTTAATCTGGCCCTTCCTTCCAAAAGGAGCTCAGGGCAGCAAACAACAAAATAAAAAAGTCAATTTTAATATTTTTAAACAGAACCTAAAATAATCACAACTAATATTTCAAAGGTTGCCAAAAACAATAAGTTTTAGTATTCTTCAGCCCTCCAAAACCTGGGTGAACAGGAACAGGTTACAGTCACTAATTACAGGGACAAGTCTAGCACACCTAGCCCTAGAACAGCTACCAGCCAGAGATAAGGTTGTTTTGAACTGTCTACTGGCAATGAGAAAACAGGTGGGCAAGGTACAATACCTTTGAGCAATTTTACCTGCCATCTTGACAGAAAGGCTACAGGCTCCCACTACAGCCAGCAAATAAGTATGTTAAGTTAAATGAACCCCTAGTGAAAGCCACTGGCTCTCACAAGGTGAAGTAAGGGCCAAGCCTTCTTGGATCAATTTTACCAGTTACACCTGAGGCACAAGATTTACCAAACGCTGACGACAAAAGTTACCAGAATACAATGTGCTAGCAACAGCCTGCACTACTCTGCCTCTCACTAAAAGGCTTTAGGCTTGGGTTTTATCCCTTTACGTTGGCTGCAGAATGAGCAACTGCAGTTTTCTAGGCCAGTTTGTTAATCTCAAGAATGCAATATGAAGCACTTACTGTCCTTGAAGTAGGTGGAGCTGAAGGGCTTGTTAGTGATACCATTTCCTGAATTGCCAAACGCAGTTTTAATCGGTGAAGAGCATTACTAATGCCAATCTCCCTCTGGATCTCTGTATCCGACAAGGCAGACATGATAGCACCACTCTTTACATTGGCTCTGCAGGCTGCAACATACCAGGCAGGCATGCCTACCCAAAGCTACAACACAGAAGGTCACAGGTGAGCTTATGTTTACATCTCTACTCAGATACTCATCCTTCCCCACAGCAGAATTATTGTTAAACCACTTTGTTAGTCTGAGAGTATTGATAGAGAGCAATAGGAATGATTTCTCACTGTTGTGACAGTAGCCTTGGTCCAGTATTGGTAGCTTAATAAACAAAATAGAGAAAGAGGGAAGGGCAGATTTTCTGCAAGAGAAAAAAAAGTTTTCCATTCCATCTTTCTAGTTCCTAGTTCAATACTTTTGAACTAGTTCAATACTTTTCCTAGTTCAATACAAACAAAGTGATGAAATTGACTCAAGCAGTTTCTGGTCTAGTCAATTTCACCACTCTAGAGTGAACTTCAGGTGCTTTTTTCTGTTTTAATAGACTATACATCTATGCTTTCATGAAACAAATGGACTTTCTATGTCTAGAAAAGATCTACAGCCCTGACTTGTGACACATGGTAGCATTAAATTGTTCACTTGTTTTGAAGAACAAATACAATAAGGCTGCAATCCTATACCAACTTACTTAGGAGCAAGCTCTCATTGGGAATTCTGCATAGACATGTTTAAGAATGCATTGCAAATCTAATTAAAATTTTCTCAGCAACACACCTGCTGAAACTGGCAGAGGCAAATACAACAAATAAATAGATGAATAATTGGGAGGCTGAAGCCATTATTGAAGATAGGAACCAGGCTGCAATTTATCTCCTGGTGGGAAATTAAAAGGCAGCTGCTTTAAATTAACAACACAATACTGTACCATTGATATGCAACTTCAAATAGGTTAGCTAAAAATATATTCTAATTTAGGGACACAATTTTAAAGAAGATGCGAGAATTAATTTCAATGTGTGGTAGAGAGTCTGGTTGTTTGAAAAAACACTAAGTCAAATAATTGAAATAAATGGTAAATAACCTGTCTACAAAGAGCCAAAGTCATCTACTAGATACCATTAATCATCTGAAGCTAGAGGCAGGCTTACCTCCAACCAGGAGACTACAGTTGGGCCATCCCACTGAGCAAAGGGAATGCCCCTTCTTCGAGCATCTTCCAAAAGTTCATGTCTAGAAGGAGAAGCAGTAAGCAGTAATACAACCATTTCCTTACTAGCTAGCTGTGCACTCAACAGTTCACAGCCAGTAATTTATAAACTGATATAAAAAAATTATACTGTTTTCAGTCCTAACAAGTGGTTTATGTTTTGTTTTTTTAAATCAAGTAGCAAACAATAAAGCTAAAACCTTGAAATAAAAACGAGAAGGAAAATCTCCAGTCATATATTAGACACCATTAGAAACCACGTAGTGTGTGTTCACTGCCCATTTAAATGCCACCTGGAATGGGGCTAGTTTCACCTCCCTTGGGAGAGAATTCCATGAGCTACCCTAATAAACCATAGATTTAAAAAGATAAACAATACTCTCTTGCAGAGTGTAGCTGCAAGAAAGTAACTAGAGTCACTTACAGACCAAGTGTGATAGTTCTAATAGGGCTGGCTGGTGCCCCACATAAGAATTTACCCTGGCATACCTCCCAGAATCCTCTGCACCACACAAAGATTCTGTGTTCAATGTACAAAAGGTACATTTTATTTGGCAGCCAAATAAATTTTCTCTGAAGGTTGTCTGTTTAAACAACATACAGTGGTGCCTCGCAAGACGAAATTAATCCGTTCCGCGAGAGTCTTCGTCTAGCGGTTTTTTCGTCTTGCGAAGCAAGCCCATTGACGGATTAGCGCTATTAGCGCTATTAGCGGTTTAGCGGCTATTAAAGGCTTAAAGGCTTAGGGGATTAGCTGCTAAAAGGCTATTAAAGGCTATTAAAGGCTTAGCAGATTAGATAAAGGGGGGGGGAAGCGAAAAAAAAATCTCAAGACTTGCAAGACATTTTCGTCTTGCGAAGCAAGCCCATAGGGGAATTCGTCCTGCGAAGCAACTCCAAAATGGAAAACCCTTTCGTCTAGCGGTTTTTCCGTCTTGCGAGGCATTCGTCTTGCGGGGCACCACTGTATCTGAAGGGAATACTAAAGCAGGCATTCTCACTTTTTTTTGAGCCGTCGGTCTTTTTCTGCTTGAGCTCCTAGTTTGCCAAGACCAAGAGAGTCCTGTATGTTTATCTCTGAATCTGTCAACATAACTGAGAAACACAATAGATAAAGAATTAGATTAGATTGTGACTCACAAGTGCTAGGGCCCCCAAAAACTAAAAATAAGCTAATTTATCTACCCAACAAATATTTTGCATCATTTTCCCAGTTGTTGCATTTCCTTTGCTACCAAGAACTTAACTATGACTTAGTGTTACATGTGAATACAGGCAGTTTCAACTGATCATCACGCCATCAACTGTATTATCTGCTCTGCATCTCCAGAATCCACTTTGGCTACAAACCTACACACAGTTGGACTGCTAAAATCACGCTGATTTCCATATGCTTTAAGCAGCCCAAATTCAGATAGGCTGCAGTGTTTTTAGTGCCTTGTATGGATCTCCACAGTTTTTGTGCTACCTGCTCCTCATCCCCACTGATTCCCCTGTCCTTATTTCCTCCCTTATTTGCACTGTGCTACTTACATGGGCACCATATAAAGATGATCCACACCAGTACTAAAGGGAAATTAAATCTGAGTCTTACAATAATTCAGGGAAAAGGTATAACTGGCATAGCGTCCTGATCTTATCACTTAAAATAATGGAATCATAGAATTGTAGAGTTGGAAGGGATGCTGAGAATCATCTAGTCTATGCAATGCAGGAATCTGTAGCTATCCCATACGGGGATCAAACCTGCAACCTTGGTGTTATCAGCACTGCACTCTAACCTACTGAGCTATCCAGGCTGACATTTATTTTTCCTTTTTACTAAGGGTGGGTGAGTGAAAAAAGAACCCTATCCAAAATGGCCAGCTGCCCCAGAAACCTTTCTTTAGAACAAGTGAAGAGAGTCAAAGACCTTGCCCAGTAGCGCCTTCTCTGCTGAGCTGGATCAAGCGTCCTTTCTCTTTCTTTCCAAACAAGCGCCCAATAGAAGATTTGATGCCTTTCCTTTTGGAACCTTTGTGCAGAGAATCCTGGCTGCTGTTACTGCTGCTGGGATTACTTGCTTGGTCCTCTAAAAAGCTAAAGGGTGTGAAAGAAACAGCAAGATATTCAGTCTGTCAGCATCTACAATGAAGTAAATGCCATTGCCCTCTTGGAGTCAGTCCCATTTCTTCTTTTTACAAAAAACATCCCTAATACATTTCACAGTGAACTGTTCAATCACTCCCTGTTTAGAAGGACAGCATCCACATGTGCCAAATGACTGGGGATAAGAAAACGGGAGAAAGACAGAAAATGGAGTTCTGTCTATGGAAGGGTGGTGAACCTCCATGGACCTAATTAAGCCTGACACATGTCCCTATTTGGCCATGAAGCCATTCCCCATGGCCACTTACCCCACACCTGATATTGTATGTGACATCAGGTGTGGGTAGGATGTAGACATGCCTACAAAAGAAGTATCAGAAATTTAAAGTGAGCTCCCAACTGTTCCTCTGCAATCAGGGCTGAACGGCTCTGACAGGGAGCCCTGTTAGGTTGGCTACACTAGAGAGTTCCCTATTGGAAATTCCCTAGCATAACCAAGGGAGGAAACAGTTTTCATTCAAATTGCTTCCTCCAAATATAGCATTTTTTTCCTCTGCTTCCTCCAAACGGGGGTTCCAGAATCTACAGCATCCTCCTCTGAACACTGACAGCTGTCAACCACCAGACATCATTATGTCCAACTGTCAAAGTTGGCCTGCACGGATATGGGAATTAGGAATCTGGCTCACTAGTTGGATCCAGTCCCCCATCCCTAGTGTAAAGGGATGTGTTATTCTTTCAAATACAGAGAATGATAGTTATCAGAAAGACCCTAGAAATTCCCTATGGACAAGTCTTAGAAAACATCAGTCTTCCATTTCCGAACAACTTTGCCTTCATGGGAAGGAGAGGTACTGTTAGAAAGTTAAGAGGAACAATGAGAAGATAACAGCCAACAGTCTGGAAAAGAGCCAACCTATCACCTGGCAGAGATCCCCACCCTTCTTAGGAATTAAACAGAGACTCTTACTGCCTTAGGAAGTCTCACTGCCTTTGTGACATCCGCAGTCATTAAAACAATCACCACACACATCTCAAATTCACACCTATTTGCATGCCATGCAATCAAGGAGCAAAGAACGCCATACTTACAGGCCAGAAAGCAAAGGGCCAAGAACAAATTTGTGGGCATATAAGGGTGAGATACATCACTGACCCAACCACTCAACTACAGCTGATGTTATAGCCACATTTTCATGACCATTCCTGTCATTTAATGGACATTTCAGTGATTAGATGTAATGTTCCAATTTGTTGTTGTTTAGCCGTTTAGTCGTGTCCGACTCTTCGTGACCCCATGGACCAGAGCACTCCAGGCACTCCTGTCTTCCACTGCCTCCCACAATTTGGTCAAACCCATGTTGGTAGCTTCAAGAACACTGTCCAACCATCTCGTCCTCTGTCGTCCCCTTCTCCTTGTGCCCTCAATGTTCCAATTATGCCTCATCAATCCTGTACTAGGAGTTTTCTCCACAAAGGAAAGGTCAGATCATCTACAGGACATTCTGAAGAGCTATTGCCATCTATCTTTGAAGGAGCTCAAAGGAATGAAAAGTGCATGCTTGGGTTTCTAACAGCTAGTTGCAGACTGCAGTACACATTTAATTCTGGTACCTTTCTCATCAGAATTGGGACACAAAATCAGCTTTAGACACAGGAAACTTTTGTAGATTTTGATCAAGTACTTTATTCTGCAGGAAACTTTTGTAGATGTTGATCAAGTATGTACTTTATTCTGCAACACCAATGTGACACTCTCCTAACTGAATTGGAAAAGATTTCAGATTACTTTTCCATAACCTCTGATCCACCTGTCAATGTAACTGAACATACAGTACGCTACTGGCTACCTACAGTAGGCGGAGCCCCTCCTCCCCTCACTTGTCAGCCCCCTATACCTCTTGCCTTCCTCCTGGCTCAGAGCAGGATGTCCAAGCTTCTCCAGCCGCAGTGTCCTGGGTGAGGAAGGAGGAGAAGTCTCACATTTTATGGTGGTTTTATCTTCTCGACTCTCATCTCGACCAGCTGGTGACTGAACAAACAAGGGGAGGTCAGAGTGCAGATCCCTGTCCAAGCACCTCCCTCCCATCTCTATCTCACTCACCATCAGCATAGCTCACCTGCCAGTTCAATTAAAGGAGAAGGTGGAACAGGGTCACATGCATTTTCGGGGGCTGCTGCTCACTGCATGCCCTAATCCAAAGGCCTGGATGACTGAGTGACAATTATCAGTGTCACTTGGAGTGATGTAGCCCTAATGGGAGGGAATGGAGCCCAATAACAGCAGGAAGGAGGAGACAGGTTGCGACCCATCACCATCATAGCAACAAGGAAAGCAGCCTCTGCCTTCCCAAGGCCTATGCTCCAACTTAGAAGCAACACATATACAGAGCTGCTTTTGAGTCTGACCATTCAAACTGCACAGATCTCTGAAGAAGGTAAGTGTTGTCATCATTTAGATGAGCATATTTCCATTTGGTACCATCAGGTCCAAAGTAGCTTCCCACTGTTATAAGGGTCATCCTTGAAGTATCCTTCCATAGTATGTTGTCCACAACTGGGAGCAGGCAATTTACTGCCTAAGCCAAGGAACAATCCTCAATCAGCACTCTCCAAAGATTGACAGGAGGGTGAACATGTACCCTGCTTCTGCCTCCTTTGCAACAGCAATTGAAGGGGCAGGCTTAAAGAGCACTGCATGCACTAAGTCAAGGTGAGAGAAAAGTGGTAAACGTAAGCTAAGCATGTGCCAAAATAATGTATTGTTCTCACAGACAAGAGCCTCTTACGGTCTCTTATAAATATGACACGATTCTCAGTGTTATGATTATCTTAGGACTTCCATTTCTGTCATGCTGAACTATAAACAGGAAGTCAAGGGAAACTGCTTTGGCTTCCCCAAAGCATTCTCCTTAAAGTAAATAGAATCTGACACTACAAGCAAGATCTAAGCACCCAAACAGAGGAAGTAAACATGCTTCTAGAGACATAAGGCATAGCCACTGGGACAGGAGGTAGGTGGAGAGAATACACGTTACTGTTTAAACAGGAGTCATCTCCAAACTCATTTGCACTGAACAAATCACAGGCAGGCACTGAAGCTGAACACAAAGACAGATAAAAATGAAGAAGAGGGCGGAAGCATGCAGGGAATGGTAGGGGTATGCTGCTGCACACTACCATAGCCAGCCAGGCTGCAATTATGCTATTCATCATGTAGAGTGGGTTTGGAATGCAAAATTGGTAGGGTTTTTGTTTTTGTTTTTTAGAATCCTAAAACTGTGTATGGAGGTAATTTTTCAGAAGCAAAAGGAACACTTCCTTGTGTTAAGGGCACTCATAGATAGAGCCCCAATCCTGCACCAATAGTGGAAGATAATTGGCCAAACTAGATGGGTGTGGAGGGGTCACTATGAGGAAGAGCCACTTTTCCACCATTTAAAAAGGTTAAACAGGGCAAGCACATCCTGCCAAAATAAAATGGGTTTGTAGATTTCTCCCACCAAAACGTTTTTTACTTGATGGAGAATTGGTTCTTTTTTCTTGGTTCTCCATGTTTTAAGCTCTACACAAGGACTGCAACACTGCAGCGAAGAAGTGCTTCCTGAGAAGAATTATTTTTAAAGAACTAAATTCAACACACGTTCCCCCACAAGTTCCTTGTCATCAATAATGCCATAGCTACTGTATACTAAGGATTATGAGGCTTAGAATTGGGAGCTTCAGGGTACAAGGCTGGAGACTGATCCAGTGAAGTTCCATGGGTTGTGCTAAGGCTACAGAGGGAAATCAGTCTCTGCCCAGGCATGGCATAGATCAGGCATAGGCAAACTCGGCCCTCCAGATGTTTTGAGACTACAATTCGCATCATCCCTGACCACTGGTCCTGTTAGCTAGGGATGATGGGAGGACTTCTGCCTTTGCTTGAACAAAATAGTATATTCCATTTACTGCACCTCAGGCTTCAATTCTCTTCTTCTTCTTCTCAGACTACTGATGTCTGGGACCCCTGAGCCAGAGAATACATTCTCCAGGTTTAGTTATGGCCACTAACCAGTTCTAGCCTCAACCTGACAATCTCTAATCTAGTGCTTCTGACAGCCATACAACCAGCACAGCAGTTTCAGGGAACTGTCTGAAGTGCCCAGTTTAAGTATTGGGGAAATGGCAACAAAGCTTGAATGAAAATGTTTGTATCCATTGTAATTAAAAGATGGCAAGGTTTTATTCCTTTCTCACTGAAGATGTTGCCTGTGCACAGCCCAGAGATCACATTTTTAATCTATCATATGTTAACCATTATGTACTTTGAGGAGATGCACAGACTTGAGAAAACTACATTAGCAATGTATGCGTAGCACAGCATAGTGACTTATCATAGATTAAGGTCCTCTTATGCACTTTATTTTTAAAATAAATAATGGCACAGTCATGGTGGGTAGAGTTATGTTTGTCAGTGATGTTACAGACACTGACCAATATGAATCTACAATAATATTTGCATAGCTACACCACTCTATAAACTGCAATATATGTTCCAGCAGAAAAGCACATTCAATAGATCTTGGTTTGAGTGCAGGGTATCTTGGTTAAAGACCACTGGATCCTCAGCAACCAACTCAGTAATAGCAGGGTATTTACTGCTTGACATACAATTATCTATATAGCATTTACATGGAGAACCAAATAGTACCTGTGACTACAGCTACAGGATAAACTTTCATCAGCATCTTGAATGTCTCACCTTAAGCCAACTATAACAACAACATTTTCAGTGTAACTATCTTTTACAGATGAATACAGTTGCTAGGTTGCAATCTAAAAAAAATGATTTTACATTTATCATTAACAGCATTAGCAGAGGGAAACTGTCCTGCAGCCCTGCTTCTGACGATTCCTCCTCTGATCTTCCTGTTGCAGAAGATTGTAATATTCCATTACAGCACGCAAAGGAAGAAGGTATACAGAAGACAAAAGTGAAATCAGATTCTCCAGGTTGCAACTTGGGAGCCCTAAGGAAGAATTTAGCCAATTCTCTGATTTTTGTGTGCAAACGTAACATGAAGGCTGTCAACATCAACCCTGCTGTGTGGGAATCCCTTGCAGAAGACCACAGTGCCTGGAGACAGGTTATTATGTCATGTAGCCACAGCAGTGGCCAGAAGGAGAATGATTGCTGTGAGGAGCGCAGAGAGAAGAAACACTATGGTGCATCTGCAGCACAGCAGCAAAACTGGATGCCTTCATCTGCCTCAGCTGCAACAAAATAGGTCTCTCCCACAGCAGGCGCTGTAACTCTTCAATGGTTTGACTTCACCCCCAAAGGCGCACTCCTTCATTGTCTCCTGAGACAGATGCTAACAACATTTTGTGGAAGCATTGAAGGTAGTATAAGCAAGTTAAGAGTCCCTACCTAAAACAACACAATATTTTGCAACCTCCACCACTTGTCTTTTCAGCATACAGAGGTTTCCCAGAATAAAGCCAGCTCCACTATGTTAGTGCACTAGACCTGCTTGACAATAGTTATGACAGGGTTAGCGAGGGAGCAGAAGGGCAACGAGGTTACAGAAGTGGAACAAGAATACACATAAAAGAGAAAATAAACCAATAGACTCACAAGTAGCTTCCTCCTGTGTTTCCTCAAGTCACTGGGCTGCGAAAAACAAGACACAAGAGTAGAGAAATTAGTTTAAAATAACAGTATGAAGGAGAAAGCAAACTGTTGATGCTGTAAAAGGCCTGCTACAACTTGGACTGAAGAGAACATCAAGAGATTGTGGGCATCAACCAGGATAGACAAGGCCTCTTGAAGACAAACAAAACAGCATATAATTTTGTCATTGAAGTAAATGCCTATGCACGATAAATAGAACCCAAGTGAAAATGCTAAAGACCAGAAGTCCTGCAGTCTGCACAAACGATATTCGGAAGCAACAAGAAAGCAACAAGACAATTCTAAGGAGAGCATATATAATCAAACAGCCGACCTGTCTATCTGCATTATCACCCCTCCTCTTGCCCTGCTTACCAGGGTCATGCTGCATATCCGATCAAGATCCTGAGCTGCGCTGCGAGAGGTGAGCTTGGGAGTAGAGCGCCCACTGACAGGAGGAGATGAGCTGGCCAAGGATAAGGCAGTAAGGGAGGTGGGGATAGATGCTCTTTTGCGTAGCTGTGTTAGATTCAGGGCCTCCATGCTACCACTGGTGACACGGCTCTCCAACTGCTCAGCCCGCAGCTCAGTTGATTCTTTCTCCTCCTGGATCATTCTAAAGGGAAACAGGCATTTCAGCTCCGCTTGCAATGCATTTTAAAACATTTATTTAGACAAACACCACTTGGAATTCTTATCTGCTTACTCGTATTATGCAGAAAAATATAAAGGTATTCAATGGCTCCAACTCAGAACCATGTCACCCAGAGGGCAGCAATCTACCCCACTTCTCCTTAATGTGTTAGTTACCTCCATCTCCCCAAGGGCCTCCTCAAGACTTACTCCATGGTTTATGCATCTACATGACTCAACAAGCTATAGCAGTTATTCAACCTGGGATCCCCAGATGTTGCTGAACTACAACTCCAGTCATCTCCCACCATCTTAGCCAATGGATAGGAATTATGGGAGTTGCAGAAGTGCTTTTTTTCTGAGGGTACTCAAAGATACGCAGCACCTACACCTTTTTTCTGGAAGAAAAACACTGGTTAAAGGTGTGGCACTTACTGTAACAACTTCATACTGAGTACTGTCACCTTTTATCTAGAAGAAAAGTACTGAGCTGCAGTATGACCTTGGGTACCCAAGGCTGAAGAACTCTGAGCTAGAACACAGCTTCTGATATTTCACTGAAGGACTCTATTTCCTAAGAACTGTTTTGCCAGGCTCTCAAGCTCATACTCTGTAAACTTACATATGGATCACATTTGTAATACTTTCAAAATCCATAGGGCTAACAAACTAATATTTTTATTAAAAGTTAAGCTTGGCCTCCCTATGCTCCATAAGCTCCTTTGGCATATTTATTGACAAATGATAAATGCAAGGTAACTTGGGGTAGGATTCACCTAACAAGTTCTAGCAGTAGAAGTCCTGCATGAAGACTTCTGTTTGTGCAAGAGAGCTGTCCCCTCCTCTCCTCCCTTAGCACACACCCTGGCTTTTGGAGTGGAGTTGTGAGAACCCCCAGAACAGTGCATGTGGGAAGAGTGGAGGGAGGGCGTGTTCTGTCTGGCAAACATAGCTCAATGTTGAATTCTTCCCTTAAATTAGAAAATTAAAGCAGGAACTAGAAGCCACGCTGTTCCTATTTTATCACTTTGCAGAATCTAGGAAAAGATTTGATGGAAATCACCAAGCTTCCTGCACATTAGTTTCCTCAACCTTAAAAAATAAACAAAAAACTTCACAGTTTCACTTGAAGGCATTAGAATCACAACAAAATGTTTTCTTTGGACTTGCAACTATGATGTTGAGTTGGGGACAGATGGAAGATTACTCATTTTTCTTTAATTAATATAGCAATGTTGAGTTTTCTTAGAGCATGGGAGCACTGAATGAGAATATGCTTCTATTTAGTACTACATTCAAACCAGTGCTGAGACAACATTAGCAACTAATCATGTGCCTTTATGTGGCTAGGTTACTCTGCAGCAACCAAAATTGGTTGTTTCAAGTCTTCATCTCCCTCCCAGGTTCAGCTCTTCCTCCCATCTTATTTTGTTAAGGTTTCCAGAGAGAATGCTACAAGGTATTTCTTCAGGCTTTATGGATTATGCAGACTACTGTATCTTTTTTTAATTTCATCTATATTATGCTTTGAGATCTTCAGAAGGTTGAGATTAGAGATGACTGAAAGCAGTTCACTTTTTCTGAGAGGTAGTCCAAACAAAATTATTTAGATTTTTTTTCAGTCACTGTGAAAATATAGATTCAAGTCAATATCATGAAATAGACTGCTCCATTCCATACCTGATCTCCTCATTGATGGCATCAAGCTGTTCCTGCAGCATCATAGCAAGGGTCTGGGCATCAGAGTGACCGCTTGGAGACAGCATGTCCATGGAACTAAACACAGTCTCCCGATCATCCTCATCAACATCAGAGATCTCTGGGTCACTGTCAAAGGTGTGAGATGTAGCGGCAAGGACCCCACCTGGCTGAGCAAGGTCCCAATCCTGAATACATAAAACCACAAAATAACTCATGCAACCACCACCATGTTAAAACTCCAATAAGAAGGAGCCAAAAGGAAGAATGCCATTTCCCATAGCTGTACTCTGAAATGAAGGACCTTCCATTTATCCTGGGCTATGGGTGATTTCACCTAGCCAACCTTGACAAAACTATGCTGAGACTAGAACTTACGGGAGTTTGGATTTGTTCCTCTGAAAAGCTCCAACTTTTGAAAGGTATAGCAGCATCAGGAGGACTTAAGGAAATTATTTAGTGGATTAAGCAGCCTTCATTGGCATTCACTTGGCTACAATAGAGCAAAGTGTAAATGGAAGGCCAGAGAAATGGCTAAGAGAAACATAGTTTCTTTTGTTTAATGCAGTCTGGGAATGGCTTGCTATAGCGTTGGAGTTGCCATATTTGATACAGGTCAGCAGCATGCCTTTAAATAACTGTGTAGAAAGACGTTCCGTAGGCTTACTAAACCATCTCAAAGTAAGCAAGCAGTACTGGTATGTTGCTTTGTCTGGACCACATATTGTTAAAGAACAAAAACACAATTTATAGTCTGCCAGAACATCATGCAAAACATGGTTTTAAGTGTCAATAAAACATTTTGATATACAGTACACATAACAGTCTACTATTTAAATCTCAGCATAAATATGACAGTTTGCTCCCAAAAGAATAAGCAACTAATTTTTCTACAGTATCCATGTCTCTGCTATTAATTTCATAGTTGCCCATTCTCTAACTGTATTTGTGAGCTCCATACAGAGCTGTAAATTCATTACACTAGAGTAGTCTTCCCATATTTGGTTTACTATTTGATGTAGGACTACAACTCCCATCATCTCTGACCATTGGACATACTGGGCTGGGGTTGAAATTGAACATCTAGAGATCCAAAGTTGAGGAACTTAACACTAGATTCACTAGAGCTTAACAAGAAAATCCTTGTTCCCTATACTCTGCAACTATGGTAATTGGTCCTTTGAACTCTTCCAATAATACACTCACTAACTTGAGTTTCCTGATGGAAAAAAGGCAGATACTACATCTATCCACCCTTGAAACAAACAAACAAAATTCACCAAGGTGTTCACACTTTGACTTTTGCCTGTTTTAAATGGACTGAATTGAGCCACGTCCACTAAAACAAAACTTAAGTGAATTCAAGTTGCATTCAAGCTTGAAAGTGGTCCTTAAAGGGATGATATGCAACACATTCTCTTTCTTCTCAACATGTAGCTACATCTATAGTATTCAAGCAAGTCCTGTGGCTTCTAAGAGTAATTACTGTATAACAATACAAGTATACGCTCCAACTAAGCAGTAAGGCATAAGGCTTCTTTCTTGCCCAGATTTCACAGCATAGCAAAGACCTTTGAAACTTCATCTCACCATCCTCTGCAGAAGCCCATCAAATAAGTACTATCCTGGCCACCATCCAGTGGCCTTTCTACACAACAGGGAGTCTCTTTCCTTCAGATGGGGTTTAGGTCTGCAGCTGTTACTGCCGAGTGAAAGGCCAAAGCCCCTCGTTTAAAGGCGCAGGACAGCTGCTGCAGCTGCTGCCATCACAAAGATTTTGTGATATGCTCCAAGATACAGGCGTAACTGGAGCTGCCCGCTGAAGATTAGCTGGAGCAAGGCAAACATCAGGAGCTTTACCTTGGAGGGGTCTTCCCGCAGAGTTGTAAATCGGCTCTTTGGTGCCCGGTGAAGACTGGAGGGTGCTCCAAAGGGCTCGGCTGGTGCATGGACAATAGAACTCAGGGGATACCTGAGGTCTGGAGTACTTCCAACAAGCGACCTACAAAAAAAAAAAAAAAGAGTGGGAGAGGAGAAAAGTCCTAAGTAAATAAAAATAGCATCACTTAGTTTTGTTTAATGGGGATAATATGTAATAAATAGTTTTAATATTTTTTACTTGTCTTTTTAACCACCAGTCTAAAAATAGATTGTAATTTCAGATACTGACAGTATAACGCAACACACACTGAGAAACACAGTATGCTATCATTGTCTCACAGCCAAAATATTCAACTAATCATAAGTCTGGAAAAACAGGAAGTCCATACAAGGATGAACAGTGAATGTAGTTTTGGATAACTGAGATTCAGACAGCAATGTGGGTCCATAGCCAGTACCAGGGAAATCCAAACTGGGTGGGGAACAGGGTACAGTTCTGGTCAACACAGGTCCATCCCTTGGTAAATAAAACACCTTGAATTTAGTTCTACTTTTAAAGAAAACCAGTGACCTTCCCTCAGTAAAATCAGGAAAGCAAGCTATTCGGTAGCGCCCTGATTCCCAAGGGTGAAAAGAACATTCCAGGAGTTCATTTTTTTACAATGCTTTTTACTCTATAACAAAATAATTTAAAGTAATCACAAGAAGCTTAAAACAAATGCCACAACAGACTTTAAATAGCAATCACTAAGTTGGAGTTAGAGTGCTGCCAATCATCAGTCAAGGAAGGAAACCTCCATTTCCTCCAAATAGATGATGAGTGGTATTCAAGATCTTGCTCCAGAATCTCTTCATTGCTGGGAAACACATGTGCAACACCCATTTCAATGTCCCTTCTTGTTGGACAGAGGCCAATATATATAGCTAAACAAGCACTTAAGAGAGTGCAGGATGTGACAATCCAAACTTTGAAGAACTTGACCCTGAATATGAAAGAAGCATTCCGTTGATTAGCAAGTAATAAGCAGCTCATAATTTTCTACTTAAAGTTTAATGCAAGCCCACCAGGTCAATTGAAAGGGTATTAAGTTTCAGTTCTTTAGAAGCAAGCTTGAAATGCAGGGTCTCTTATTAAAGTACATGTGTGTGACAGTGCACACACACACACTTTTGAAATTTAAAATCATACTCAAGTAATATTTTAAATGTTATATGCCAAGCTTATCACATGCCACACCAGGCTCACATACAGGCTACCAAGCCATCTCTCATCGCACTGGCTGAGCCTAAGAGCCTCATTTCAGTCTGGAGAGAAGGAGATCAAAGTGAAAGTGACAGCTGAGATCCCCAGTGGGTGCAGTACTTTCCAGCCCTATCATTTGAGCACTCCAGTGTTCCAGGATATTGGGGGTGAGGGAGAATCCAACACAATTATCTGCCTCCGAAATACAAGGACACATCCTGTAGCAAAAGCTACAGAGCCAGTTTCAGTCCCATCTACCCTTCCATTCACCCTTTGGCTCAAAAAGACTGCTATGGTTTATTCTGCAGCATATCCCTAAGCAAGAAGTTATTCTAGATTGCTAAGGTTAATAGCAGAATATGAAAATCATCATTGAAACCCCAGGTATTCAAACAATGGTGTTTGAAGAAGTTAGGGGCCTGTGAGAAACCATGGGGGGGGGGAGAGAAATCATTGTAAAATCCCCTCATAGTACAATACATGTAATGTAAGACTGCACACTCCTGTGGCTAAATGAATAATTTACAGAGTGTATGGAACCTGGACACAAAAACGGACCATTAGTAGGAACATATTCAAGAGTAATTGATGTGAGAAGGTGAAAGACAATAGTGTTTCACTTTCCTCCTTCAAACTCCAGTATTTTGTTCTGCTTGGAGAAAGCAGTAAGGGGACATAGTATCCACCTCTGCAAAGCAGGGGGAAGAAAAACCTGCCAGGTGTTCCTTAAACTAGGCATGATTCAGACAAAAGAGGCTGAATTCAATCCATAATGGCTGAACAGTGTAGAGAATTCAGGCTGCAATCCTACACAATATTTACCTGGAAGCAAGCCCCAATTACCTCAGTGGGGCTTACTTCTGAATAGATATGCAAAGGATTAGGCTGTCAGGGATCTGTCAGTAGGCTGTTTGAACAAGCAATGATAAGTGTACATGGAAGGGATATCATCTCTTTTCTTCCAATGAAGAGACTGCCACCAGTGATGGATTAGGAGTGAAGTGACATGATTTCATATTTCATATTTCATCTTACTTTTCTTCCTTATCTCATAAAAAAGCAGAACATGTCGTTATATATGAACATAACAGCCACATATTCAACTATGTCTGTATGCTTCTTATTACCAGAAACTGTGATCAGACAACACAGCACATTACAGGGCTTGTGGTTTTTCTCTGAAGATTACAGTTTCACAGATTACGGATTACAAGGGTTAGCAAGACTCGGCACGACAGTTCCAATGGCTTTCCTTTACAATACAGCTTCAACTTTCTTTTCTCACCATCATCCCTTTTTTCCTGGCTTGTAAGTCAATTTGCATGAATAGTCATGGTTAAACACAGCACTCGCAGCAGTAATGCTGATTTGATAATTCCACAGTGAAGTTACTTTAAAAATGGGTTACATACATACAGGGTAAATGCGGGCTGAACTGCAACAATGTGTTCACTGTAGCAATCACATGACTGTCAAAGACAACACAAATTCCATTCAGAGCTGCATTATTCCAAATCATACCAATAGTCCATCTAGCCCAATACTACTTTATCTTCAGCATCTCAGGAAGAGTTCTCTCAACAGCTTGCTTATTGGAGAATCTTTAATTGGACATGCCAAGGATTGAAGGAGCCATGGGCCACCACAAAAGGTGCAGAGTGTCCACTAAGAGCAGGATTAGCACAATGGCGTAGACAACCTACTAAAGGTTACTGTGTCCACTAAACCTATTAAAGGTTGCAATCAAAAGACAATACCTGAGGATCAATATTTATTTTAGGTTAAATTACAGAGGTTTAAGACAGGTAACATTTAAGACCACAGTGTACTGACTAAATAAACTTTAGCAAGATAATCAGGTACAAAATGAAACACACCGAAGTTCCCTGTTAAAAATACAGGTTTGAATTTCACCCTGTTTTATAAACTGAAGTACTATCAATATATGAAACATGTAATGTGCGAAGAGAACAGATGCCCATTGGAGAGGTCATTCTTCCTATTTACCAGTGAGGCTCCAAAACAAAAGCAAAACACTGGTAGCTAGAGCACTGCAGGTGCTTGCTGTCTTATCTATTTTACTGGCCTGTTGTGTAATTGCACCCTCTACTGGATCACACAGTGATAGCAAAGAGTCAGATTTTGCTTTCAGATAAATTTTATTAGGCCAGTTTAGCATTTGAAGAGGCAGGAGAGAATGGGAAAGCTTCTTTTGCGTTATTTGCAAGAAGGACTTGCAACAAAACATAGCAGTCTGCAGTGTTCCTGTTCAGATGTCCAGGATGCCCAACAGCATCAGACTTTTAATCTCAGGTTGTAGGTTCGAGCCAGATGTCAGGCAAAAGATTCCTGCATTGCAGGCAGATGTACTAGATACCCTCAGGGTCCCATCCAATTCTACAATTCTATTCTATGAACTGTGCAGCTAAAACCCAGCTGGACCACCAGAAATCAGGCTATGATACAACTGTCAGGTATGCAGAAGACCTATGTTTTAGTTGTCATTAAGATGAAAACAATTTGTGACACAGCCACTTGGGCTCTGGTAGCCCTTCAATTTCAGCAGCATCTATCAAAGTTACAGAGGCCAAAACTAAAATTTTGCCAAGAACATTTTTACAAGTTTCAATAAATGCAGCCCACCTGATTGCACATTCTGCCTCAATGTGAAGAACTCTGGGATGTGAGAAACATCAATGAAAAGTCTGTAGATACAGCAACACAAGCTGAGGCATTGGTTCAGAGAGACAACCCCCCTCCCATCAGTATGTGGGATCATTGGTTTGTGTTTGTTTTATTTTGTATTTTTCTGTTATGAACTGGCCTGGGATCTTCAGATGAAGGGAGGTATACAAATTTAATAAATGATTAGGATGATGATAACAACAACAACAAATTGTCACAGAGGTATTTGCCATGAAAAATAAATAATATTCTCACCTTGTATGTACACTGTCAAGAAAAGATCCACTTCTTGTCTTTAACTGGTCAATTTCTAATCTCAATTTGTCAATTTCATCTGACAGCCTTCTCTGTTCACAACAAAATAAGAAATAGTTTCTCTATAGCCAGTACAACTATGGTAACACACACATTTCATACCATCTGTGAAGTCAAAAGTCATGCAGCAATTGTAGATTATCATGCTGAAGGGAAAGCAGGGGAGAATAAGGGGACAAAGAGGCAGACAAAAGGGTGTGGGAAAAGCAGGCACTTATTGGTTGTTGGCTGTTACATGCAGCAAGTGAATGCTACTTGGACACTAATTGTATTCCTGTTGTTGCTCAGAGAATGTATTTGGTCATGCTAGCAAACAGTGAGAAATTTATAGCTGTAAACAGAAGTGACCAAAAAGCCAAGGCTTATCCTAAAAATCATTGAATGAAAGCCTCAATACCATAAACAAGAATATCATGCAATATAGTGCAATTTTTGTCCACTTATTAAAGGTAGGGGAGTGAAGTAGTCCTGCTACATCCATACAAAGGGTGGGAGTCAATTAATGCGCCCTGCCAGCAAAGCCTGCACAAGAACTTTGGCAAGGGCAATGGGGTCGGAAAGGTTTCCAGTTAAAATGTTGAGATGACACTAGACAGGACTCCAAAGGGAGTTATTTGCAGTTTACTTTACTACCTTTTAGCTAAGATCCTATCCCTACTAAAATTCTGCCCAAAATGCAGTGTTTGTGGGCAGAACAGAACCACTTCAGTCCTCTATGAGGACATCCTGCTCACTGGAAATGAACAGAGTTTGATCAGCTTCTCTTCTAAAAGAGGACCCAGCAGGGAAGCAAAAAACTATTTATAGTGATCTATAAAACTATTTATAGTGATCATGATACAACCATTTGACAGTTTCTGATCATGCAATTTCAAGGCAACGAAAATGCACTTAACAAATATATTTGCCACTCCTTCCACAGTTCCCCGGAGTGGCATTTACCTTGTCATGCTGCTGCTCCTCTATTTGTTTTTGGGTATTTTCCAGTTCTTGTAATAATGTGTTCTTAAAAAGCAAAGGTGAGTAATTACAAGAGAGAGAAAGGGTGTTTCAAATTTGATTTAAAATTGGAGCTCTTGGAAAACAAATCCACTTCCCCAAATGATCAAACTTTTTGCGTTAAGGAATATGACAGAAAAATGCACTGGAAAGTGTGTGTTAACACTTTCTTGATGCAATTCATCTAATCTCCCCACAAACAAATCAGACTGAACACTCATTAAGAAACCAACGTTGTCTCATCTCTCCACAAACCAATCAGGCTGAATGCTCATTTAGCAAGGGACCAAAGAGACTATATGGGTCTCTAAGTAAAGCTGTTCAAGTGGCTTTCTGGAGAACTCTGACTATTGAGATTGAAAGCTATATATCAGAACAGACATCTGCATTGTCCAAAAGATAATTGTAGAAGTGATCCCTCCACAAGTGTTCACATGAGCCTCTAGGGAGGCTGCCCAAAATTAACTGCTAATCACTAAAAAGAATGTTAGACATGGATAGGAGCTACCTTGGAGTAAAACTGCCTCTGAAGGCTAAACTAGATGCAATATTTGTCAAGTGGATAGGCAAAGCAAGCAAGGTTTTTCAAAAAATAGAATTGGGGGTGGGGTGAGCCAGATCGGGAGTATGGCATGAACAATTTGCATGCCAAAGTATTGCATGCCAAGCCTATGTGCCAAATTTGATGGCCAGTTTGACCTTAATTCTGAATTCCATCTGATGTGATAATAGATCAGAAATCTGTCTTTTAAAAAATAAACAAACTCCTGTACAGTAATACTGCACATAATACCAGTCTAACCTAAACATTGTTGTGCACTTCCAAAGGCAGCAATGTGCCAATTTACAAACAAATTAAGCACTTAATATTTTTATTAGCATTAATAAAGGCAAATGGTATTGGGGAACCTACAAGGCTACTTAGATGTGACAGTGACAAATCTGAGCCAATGAAAGTTCTTTATGCCAAGTTTCTAAACTTGAGACCAGTAGAACAGGAGGGGTTCCCAGATGGTCAAACAATTAGGATTTCAGCCCACAGCATTACTCCCTAAACTCACATAAAATCACCAGTATAAATGAGATAATGGAAGAGGTAATGACCCACTGGTGCCCTAAATTCTGGGCTCATTAGCTACAGAGGAAGAATTTGCTATAAATGGCACTGAGTGCTATCCTTGTTGATAGGAAGAAAAGCTGCCTCCCATAGAGCAGATCCCTACATGGTGGACCTTTTTGCAATTCAGAGAGGAGATGAGCTCAGCCTAATGGTTGTTTTGTGTGTTACCTGACCATACACCTAACTGCTTGTATGGGAGTTTCCTCTGATCCCTTTTCCATGCTGGGGGGGGGGGGGGGGAGAAAGAGAATAAGTGTATTCTTAAAAAAAATATGAAGAGGTGTGAGTCAGGTCCAGAGCCGTCTTTCCCATACAGCTTAGTGGTGCGTGGTGCCACGGTGCCGGCCTCTCAGGGGCACCCCAGTCAGTGGGGGAGCTGTGCAGCTTTGCCGGCAGCCTCCCCTTTCCCTTCACGCCCGCCAACTGCGTCCCGTCAACCATATGGCTGGTGGGCGTGCAGCTTGCCTCCCAAGCCTCCGCAGGAGGAGAGCGATCCCTGCAGAGGCTTAGGATGGAAGCTGCGCCCCGCTAACTATATTGCTGGCGGCCGCGCAGCTTCCCTCCCAAGCCTCTGCGGGGATTGCTCTCCCGCAGCGGCATGGGAGAGAGTTGCGCATCCCTCCCATGGCTGGCAATGCGCAGCTTCGCACCCTTCCCCACTATCCATGGTTAATTTGGGGGCGCTAAGCGGATATTTGCACCCCGGCACCGCATCTGCTAAAGACGGCCCTGGTCAGGTCTCTATCATACTGGCAACAAAGCAGAGCTAGAGCTGAAAATGGGTAGGCTTCAAAAATGCATTCCACCCCTGAAAATGTACTGTACTGAAGAAGTCCCTGTCTTTCCCTAGCAGATTTCAGCCAGGCAATTGTGCCTCACTGACTGCTGTTATGGCTCCCTTTTGTGCAATTTGGAACCTGTCACACCCCAAGAGCTAAACAACTCTAGTTACAGAAGAACTGAGACAATTGAAGTTAGCATTCAAAATGCATAGGTGTTCTAATCAGGTCCATGAATTGTAAATGCAGCAAGGAATACTTTCTATAGACCTTGAGGAGAGCTTGTCAAAGTCACTAATGTCTGAATATCCAGCACAACAGTCATTTTAAAAAAACAAACCACCCTTTGAGATGGAATGACTAACACAGGGGTCATCAACCCAGCACCTGCAGGCACCGTAGCATCTGGAAACAATTTTGCTGGTGCTCCTGGACAGGTGCCCCACATTCTGAGCTTTTATTTATTTATTCATTTTTAGGTAAGTATCAACCCCTCCTGGACAGAAAGTTATGGGGCAAAATGTGCAGGTACCTACAAAGTGAACTCTGTGAAATGAGAGTGGTGTTGCTATCTTCTGTATTTTTCTAGTACTGAGAATTGCTCCTTGTTGCTATCAGACAGCAACAGCATCAGCGTATGCGTATATGAAATAAATATTGTGTGAACTCCACAAGCAAAACCAATACTACAGAGCTGACTTTCTATGATAAGCATAAGGTTGTCCAGAGTGGCTGTCTCTGTTATGCCCCTCCTCATGGCATCCATTTTGCATTATGCCGCACCACACACAGAAGGCAAGTTTTGTCTGGTGCCCCCAGAACACTCTCAAAATTCTTAATGTGCCTGTGGGTACAAAAAGGTTTGCAGCCCCTGGCCTAACACAATCAGAGCTCAACAGACCAAACAAAGATTATTTTCTTTATGACATTCTTTTTATTACATTTTTGACATGTGCAATGCAGCTGATCATCATTGCACTCTAACTACATGATAATAATTAGAAGAGAATGGAGTGATTGATTCTTACGGAGCTTATTCTCATTGAAGTTGGCCCAGTGAAGATCCAACTTCACACAGTATAGATATTACAATTACTACACACTAGCAGAAGGAAAAGAAAGTGGTAGGGACACTTAAGATGGTTCAGTTGAGGTATGAGGTAGGAAGTGAATCAATATCTGTGCCATCCAAATTACTAACAAATATTTATAGACCCTTTGCCATTACAGCAGTACTGATCTCAAAAGTACAGGCTAGACTGCCCCTTCAAAACCATGCACATGAGCTAATAATTTGGCACAGTAAAGCAACAAAAACATTTTAAAAATCTTCCCACCCATCCAACCAATTATCCATCCATCCTCAATGAACAATGGCTTTTTGATACCACTACAAATACTTAGATGCCAATACATGAAGATGTAGGTAGCTGAGACTTGATCTCACACAAGAGCATCCTAAAAGCCAAAATTTTGTTTCACATTTATTGCAGCAGCCAGTTAAATTGTACCAACAAATCATTCAAGAAGCCATCAGTGCAATCCTCTATCCCTTAGAATTAGTTAGAATACACTAAGCCCAAAGGAAGATGCAAAGGGACCAGCAGAGCCCAAGGCAGCAAAAGAGGCCTTCTCTGCAAAATCAGTCTCTAAGATCCTCTACTTATGGCTTCCAGTTGCTAAGCCAAGCCAACCCATGGACCCCCTACTTAGGAAATTTTTGTTATCTTTATGCTAGTTTTTGTTACACATGAGTAGTGTCACAGACCCTCTGGATGGGTTATGCGGACCCCTTGGGGTCAGCAACCACCAATTGGGAACCACTGCTCTACTCTATAGGCAAAAGTATTTTGCTAACATTCATTTTAAAAAGAATCTTGGGCCTGACTCAATAGTTGGAATTAATTGATCAATAATAGCTATGATCTCAGTTTCTTTTTAGGATGGCCCCAACATTCCAGTCAAATCCTGACTGTCAGCAAAATTATCTTTTCAATCTTAAACATAGCATGGCAAAAAAGCCAGTTGTGTATGACACCCATAGAGCTAATTTTATGAGGTGTCTAATACATACATACCTTCTCTTCAAGGGCTGCCATCCGTTCTTTCAAATGAAGTTGAAGCCGCTCATTGGACTCACTCAGCAGTCTATCCACAGTATCAGACAGCCGCTTGTTGTGTTCCTCATTCATTTTCTCCCTCTGACGGGCCTGTTTGGGAGTTGAGGGGGGAATCATGATCAACCAAGTAATTCAAAGCAGATTTGCCTTGAAATTGCTGTAAAATTAGCCCTAATCATTGAAGAATCTCCTCCAAAATAACCTTCTTTCTAACAACCTAATGTAGTAAAGTTTTCACAAGCATACTATGTCCACCACGTTGATTGGAAGATTTGAGAATCCACTTTCCAAACTTTTATTAGTTCCACTACATCAGCTTATACCAGTGGGGAGCCCAATTCCTATGAATATTATTTACACTGCAAAGTAAGAAGTGATTTTATATCATTCAGTGGTACAGATTTATTTTTGTGTACAATGACAAAAAAACCTTTCCTTGCAACTATTTTACTACTGTGAAACTGCTTACTGAAATTAGTATTAAAAGTCTTTGAAATGGCAACCCAAAACAAAATAAATGTTTTGTTATTATACATTAAAGGGCTATCAGGAAGGAAGAGGAATAGATTTTGGTAGGAGTGAAATTATAAGAAGTCCCATTTTATTTCAGAACTTGGATTGAATTCAGAAGTGCTGACCACCATCTGTGATACAATTGTTCCACTACGCAGAGCGGAATTATAAAGGAGTTTCTTGTGTGCCTGGGTGTCACAACTTAACCACGCCATTAAAACTCAGCCTTAAAGAAGCAGGCTGTAACAGCGTGGTCAAAGACTTGCAGCAACCATGTGATGCAACACTTGTGAATAAGACATTGAAATTCTAGTAGCAAATGTAGAAGCTAACTCCAAATCATCTTTCTCCCTCCCACAACAGGATCCTGACCTAAACTGTGGTGCTGTAAATAAGGTGTTAAAAATGATAAAAAGCAGTGCTATATACTCTACAGAAGTCAACCTACCCTTGCTAGTTCTTGGTTCTTCTCCTCCAACTGAGTCTCCAGCTGCCGCAGTCGCTCTTCAATACTGCCATGCCTTTCTTCTGCCTACACAGACCAAGACAGTCTCAAAGGAATGAGCAATTCTTACAAGCTCTGGGAATTAGGATAGGGAGCGGGGATAAGAGATACCTGTTCTTACATAAGAACATACTGACACAGCAATCAGGCAGAGTGCAGTACTACCCAAAAATATAGGAACGTGACCATGGTGGATTTGTTCTCATGAGATATTTGGGTGGGTGTTAAACATAAGCTGAGGGATTCTGGGAAAGGTCTCTCTCAGGCACTAGCACATTAATACACTGGAGATTCTTAATGAGCTCAGCTCTAAAATAACCTTGCATCAAGCTAAGCTTGAGGAAGTGCCATATGGGCCTTCTGAATCTGGCTGTACAAACGTCACAGCAACTTCCTGGTCCATCTCACTCCTCGCAATGCCTATTTCATTAAACAGCTGCACAATTAGTTTAACAGAGATTTGTGCTCCTGTCCCATTTTTTTCATGCCTGTATGAAGGTAGCAATATCTGAGGTAAAAGACTCAGGAATGGTAAATGGACCTCAAACCCTTGTTCCAAGCTTGCCTAGCCCAATGCAGTGCTTGGCTTCTTGGTTGAAAAGAATGCACTTTAGGTCATTCTTGAGAAGCAAGCCCTGCCTTCAGATTCTGGGTGCCTAAAACATACCCATGAAAAATGCAGCATGACCTGCTAGAGCATCATTTAAAAACAAACAAACAAAACCCTCCTTAGGAGAGGTCACCATCCAAAGAGGTGGCTCATCATAGCCAGCTACTGCAGAAGAGACAACACAGAGCAGAAAGGAAAAAGTAATACTTGTAACATGAATTAAAAAGCTCCTCTTTCTTCCACCTTTCTCCTCCATTCCAGGAAAGTTCTAAGTTCTGGAGAAACACTAAACCCTTTCTGTACCCTGGGCTTTGAAGCCAGCTTCTGGCTGTGTACTTACCTTGGTGAGTGCTGCTATCCTTTGGGCCAGCTCAGCTTCCACCTCAGGCAGTGTCTCAGCTTTCCTCATTGTCTGCTGCAGTTTCTGCTCTGCCAGTTCAAGAAGCTCCTGGAGATGTCGTGCTTTCTCCTCACACTGTAGAACAATGCAGAATGGCAGTCATGAAAAAGGGGGTGACCAAACACAGCTTCAGCCACCATCCGTTCCTGGACAGGAATAGTCTGGTTACAGTAGTCCATACTCTAGTAAGTTACTCACAGGCTTACTGTAACAAGTTGTACATGGGGGCTGTCCTTAAAGATGACCAAAGCTTCAACTAGTGCAGAATGTGCTTGCCAGAATGTTAATGGGCATTGACTAAGGGGATGCTATTGCACCAATTCCAAGAGAACAACTTGGGCTGCCTATTTGCTTCTTGTCTCAAATAAATGTGTTGGTTTTAATCTTTAAAACTTTAAAAGGATTGGAAGCTGGGTAGCTTGACTATTTCTTCCTATATAGCTTGCCTGTATCTTAAGATCTTCTTAAAGTACTTTCTACACACAAGTGTGTCAACCAAGCTAAGCCTTTTCTGTCATGGCACCCCAACTGTGGCACCCTCAACACAGAGATACAACTGGTGCAAACTTATTGGTGTCAAGTGAAAACGTTTCTGTTTCCCCAGGCATTTTATTTGTGTATTTTGACTGTTTTTCATTGCATGGTTGCACTTTTGGTTGTATGACCTTTTTGGCCTTATACTGTACACCATGCTGATACCTACTTGTGGTTGATTAGTGTTAAAATCATCAAAAAATTATATATATATATATATATATATATATATATATATATATATATATATATTCAAGAGTGTCAAAGGAGGGTCTTGAAGTACCTATGACTGTAGCCACACATGCCCTTGACTCAGAGGAAGGAAGCTGGCTTTTCAGATGGCATGCCATTAGCGCCTGTTACCTGGCGATGGAGAGACTCTTTATTGGCCAGCTCATTCTCTAGTTTATCATTGAGGTCATGAATAGAGGTGGCTTCTCTTTGGGCTGCCAAATAGCGCTTCTCCAAGGTGGTGATCCTCTCCTCCATGTCTTCTTTCTGTGCCAAAGCCTGGTAGGATGAGCCATGAAGAAAGTCACGAACTTTGTGGTTGTATGGCCCTCATGATGATAGAAAAATCTGCCTGAACCACAGCATGAGAAGGGCTTGTTATGACTATTGAGGTACTACACTGAAGCTCAAAATGTAAACTCTCTCCGCATTAATAAGCTGGCCCCATTTTGAAAGGTTGTATTGGAACCATTTAAGCTGATTCCAAATGAAAGTTGGGCTCACACTTGCCTCCACCACTCTCCAGCCCTGCCCAACAGCCTCATCCATCTTTGCCCCTCAAAACAACCATAACTTGAGGGACAAGACAAGGCAAATGGTGGTGGAGGCTCGCACCACAGTCAAACCTCATGATTGCAAGAAATAATGCTCTATGCACCATTTGCAGCCACAAGGCCTTTCCTGTGTTGTTGAGAACCCTCTCACTGTCATGTCTTTCTCTTCCCCAGGGTTTTTGGCTTGATGAAGTAGAGAGCTGGCAGGGAAGGGAAAGTGGCAGGAAAATGGTAACTGTACTTTTAGAGTACAGTGGTACCTCTGGTTACGTACTTAATTCGTTCCGGAGGTCCGTTCTTAACCTGAAACTGTTCTTAACCTGAAACTGTTCTTAACCTGAAGCACCACTTTAGCTAATGGGGCCTCCTGCTGCTGCTGCGCCGCCGCCGCCGCACGATTTCTGTTCTCATCCTGAAGCAAAGTTCTTAACTCGAGGTATTATTTCTGGGTTAGCAGAGTCTGTAACCTGAAGCGTATGTAACCCAAGGTACCACTGTACTCACAGGGAACACCTGAAAAACTGGTGTCCCCACCCCACCCCAAAGTATTCTACTAGAACTCTGAAAGCCCAATTATTTATCTGGGCAAACTGAGAGGAGGCCGGGTTGCAAATCTCTAGTTATGATCAATTTTTTCTTACTTTGACACTGAATAACTAAGCTCACTGCTAGAAACAGCAATAACTTTCTGCAAGCAGATGCTCAGACTATTTTATTTTTGCTACACCTGGAAAAAATAAGATGGCTTTTAAAGTTGCTTCAGAGATTCTCTCGGTAACATAGTTTATGCTGCTGGAACAGAACGCTCTCACCTCTCTTAGGTCCCTCTGGTACTTGCCGCTCATTTCTTCTGATTTGATTAGGTCCCTCCTGGCTGTACTTAGATCTTCTTCTAGCTCAGCAACACTGGCAGCCAAAGCAGCTATTCGTTCTTTAGCTTGCGCTACCTCAAAGTTTTGCTTCTCTAGAAGTTCCTGCAGTTCCACAGTCCGGCTTGCCTCATCATCCGGATGTATAGAGCCATTAGGAAGTCTCTGTGAAAGTCATATAACAAAGAACTATGTTTCCAAGGAATATGAACTACCCAGTCAAACACAATACCAAACAAATGCTGCTGAGCGACATTTCAATAAATTAGCTCACCAAATGAACTATCAGTTTTTCTTCTTTCTAACAGTATGCAAGAGATGCTAGATTGCTACTGTAACACTGGTCTTTTCTGAAAAGGAGGCATTTTGAGGTAGCTGTAACGTGCCACTGGACATTTATTCAACAGGCCTATTATTGCAGAGTTTAAAAATAGTAAGGGAAGATAAAATTTATCAGTAAGCAAAGGGTTCCCATTTTGTACCTTCGATTGAATGACCCACAGCTATAAACACATAGTACTTCAATATTATATTAGATACTCTCCACTTCCAAGAAAGATGACTCTCACCTTCCAAAGTAGCTTCTGCCCAGATTCTTTTCCCTCAGTCCTTTTATCATCTTCTCCTACAGGTGCTTCCCTCTGGGAGGGGCCTTGCTGAAGAGCACTTACCTGCAAAATACATTTTAAATATACACTTGTACTTAAGGTTTCCTTAAGTGTGAAAAATAAGAATGCAGAACATGCAGAGAGCTTCTTGTCCACCTTCTATTGTTGCTGTCACTGTTAAGAAGCTGTCATTGCACACGCTTATGAAGGAGAGTTCTGTAAAAGCCAGGATTTTTACTATGCAAAGCGATTCAATAACTTAGTGTGGGAGCATAGGTAACTGGCACTTTAACAGGTAATTTGACTTCTTTTTGTGTAAGACCAGCCTGGAAAGTAAGGGCCCAACCACACAATATTGTAAAAGCATGAATACATTTAATGTGTCCAATTATTGTTTTTCAAGTAGAAGCCGTGAGGTATGAGCTGATCAGGTCTGTGACATGCAGGGGTGTATCCCGTATCTTCCTTTCACCTTTAATTTTGTAACATATTTTTTTTCTTTTTGCTACCTAGTCACATTACCGCAATTATTTTGGTTTTTTTTCTCCCTTTGCAATATTCTCTCGACATAAGTTTGCTGCTGCAATGTGTGCTTCTTAGCAACTGGTCCTTCCTCCCCCTTCCTGTACATTTTTTGTTTTTTCCATTTATGAAACCCCATGTAGCCTGGGTAGCTTTCCACAATTATTTTAATTATCTCTCATAACAATAGCTTCAAGTTTACCTTGGTTGTTACCAAAATTCCTTAGATCAGTATAAAATAGCTTTAGAGGAGTATTTAAAAAGGGATTCTTGTCTAAAGAAAATAAGAGAAATATACAGGAGTTTGTGTCACAAGTCCAACAACTGAAACAAAAATATAAAGATTGCATGTCACATAGTGCTGCAGATACATTTTTTTCTGCAATCAACAGTCTTAGTTTCTTTGATTTAACCTCAGTGAAATCCACAGTACAATCTAAACAGTACAATATTTACCTGTTGGTGAGCACTAGAAAGCTGTTCTTCTAGTGTAGCTACTCGTTCCAGTGCTGCCCGTAAGCGCTCTCTCACCTGAAAGGAAAATATATATATTTTCAAAGGCAGAGTTGACACATAGCCCTTAGGGATGCTTCAGGCAGCTTCGTAGCCTACCACCACCACCCCTGCTCCCAACCATCAGGAAATCTAGTTCATAACACAGATAATTCAATTAAGCCACACTCCCCTCATCATGAGAAAGGACACAAAAGAACAGTACATGGCTCCAGAAGCCCGGCATCTCAGCTAGATTTGCAAGCAACAAGAAACACTAGGTATGATGAAGCGGGCTAAAGCCTGGAATCTTGAGTTAACCTGCCAATTAGAATAAACGTAAAAGGATCTCAGCAGAGATCTGCCTGACCTGGAAGAGCTACTACACTAACACCATATAACAATATCACTGGGTGTAGAGCTGAACTGGGGTTGGGAGAGTGGAAGGCCGGAATACTCCTTCAAAGGAGCACTGGCACAGATTCAATCCTGCTAACATATTTCTAGGATACAAAACAGTAATTTTTGGGACCATTCTTCAAAGGGCAAATGATTGGCTCAGGCTGGAAATTACTCATAACCAGAAAGTTGATGAGAGATCTGCAGGATAGCACTGACCAAAAGCAATACTTTGGGCCATTAGAGACCAGGAACTTAAAGGTCGTGGGTTATAAATAGCTGGTTTTGCTGAAGCTATGCTGTCACTTCCCAAAACAGCCTTACCTTCTCATCCAATGCTTTATGATGTTCAAACAAAGATTTCAATGCTTTTAGAACTTCAACTTCACTGGAGACACCAGAAGGAGACTGAGCTTGCCGCTTCACCACAGTCATCCTCAGGGAGCGTTCGTGTCTTGAGACCAGGCACTCCAGGTGCTCTAACAAAAGCTGCAAGGCAAGGAACAGCTCTAGACATTTCTCATTCAAAGTCAATGCGAGGTAAGAAAAGGCTTTATCTGTCCTCTTGTTGATTTCAGAGTATAGCAAAAACAAATATTAGAGTGTAACCCCAAAAAAAGTAGCCAAGTTTTACTAGCAGGCAATTTCTGCCATGAGCATGACTTGAAATAACTTTGCCAGGATCTCTAACAAAAAGCACTCATAAACACATTGCTCAAACAAAACTATGATGACACAAATGACTTTTTTTTCAGAGCTGAAAGCATTTTGAAAGAGACTCCCTTGTCACTTTTGCCTCAGATAATCAGGTTTTTGTAATAATAATAAAAAACACCCTGTTGTACCACAAGCAAAAGTTGAACCAAAATATGTATGTACACATCATAGGAAGCAATGCATTCTCAAGTCATTTTCATTTCTCTTAAAAACAGCTATCTCCTGCTAACATCAGCAGCAAGCTGCTTTAAACTAAACTAATGATGTACATTCGGAACAAGTGTGATGTATGTCATTAAAGAATATCAGCATACAAAATATGTTACATAGATCACTTTGTTAAGTAACAAAACATTATTTCTGCCAGTGTCCGATGAGTAAGATTCCATGTCTTGGATTACTACAGCTAAATTAATAAATGTTATGTGGTAGATGCATATAATACCTACTGGCTTACAGACAACCAACTTCTTCTTTCAAGAATGTGTGTGTGTGTGTGTGTGTGTGTGTATACCGTATTTTTCGCACCATAGGACGCACCGGACAATAGGACGCACTTTGTTTTAGAGGGGGGAGAACAAGGAAAAAAAAAATTCCCCCTCTCTGCCCAGCGCCCCTTCAGTGAAGCAGCAGGAGGCGCTGCACAGAGAGGGGGAGAACTTTCCCCCTCTTGTTTTCCTGCTCTAAAACAAGGTGCCGTTTAAGGTGCGTTCAGGCGGCTACCTTGGAAGCCTGGAGAGCGAGAGGGGTCGGTGTGCACTGACCCTCTCGCTCTCCAGGCTTCAGGTTCCTCGACCTGCTCTTTGGGGCTGGCGGGGGGAAGCCCACCACAAGCCCCAAAGAGCAGGTCAGGGAGCAACGGAAAGGTGCAGCGGAGAGGCTCCTGCCATAGCCGCGCGTCACCTCTCCAGCCGGGAGAGGGTCGTAGGGCTATGGCTTCTTTAGCCCCGCGCGCGCTCTCCCGGCTGGGGAGGTGACGCGCGGCTATAGAGGCTCCTGCCATAGCCGCGCGTCACCTCTCCAGCCGGGAGAGGGTCGCGGGGCTATGGCTTCTTTAGCCCCGCGCGCGCTCTCCCGGCTACAGAGGTGACACGGGGCTGTAGAGGCTCCTGCCATAGCCGCGCATCACCTCTCCAGCCGGGAGAGGGTCGCGGGGGGCTTCTTTAGCCCCGCGCGCGCTCTCCCGGCTACAGAGGTGACGCGCGGCTATAGAGGCTCCTGCCATAGCCACGCGTCACCTCTCCAGCCGGGAGAGGGTCGCGGGGTGCTTCTTTAGCCCCGCGAGTGCTCTCCTGGCTGGAGAGGTGACACGCGGCTATAGAGGCTCCTGCCATAGCCATGCGTCACCTCTCCAGCTGGGAGAGGGTCGCGGGGCTATGGCTTCTTTAGCCCCGCGCACGCTGTCCCGGCTGGTGAGGTGACGCGCGGCTATGGCAGGAGCCTCTAAAGCCGCGTGTCACCTCTCCAGCCGGGAGAGCGCGCGCGGGGCTATGGCATCTTCGCTCCATAGGACGCACACACATTACCCCTTCATTTTTGAAGGGGAAAAAGTGCGTCCTATAGAGCAAAAAATACGGTATATATTTTTAGGCCAGTAGCACCTTAGAGACCAACTTGGTATAAGCTTTCGAGTGCATGCACACTTTTCCAAGAACAAACTTAGTTGGTCTCTAAAGTGCTACTGGACAATTTTATATATATATATATATATATATATATATATATATATACTGTGTCAGACCAACACGGCTACCTACCTGCTTCAAGAATCTAATCAGTGATGTTCACATTTGTTCCAAAAAAAAAAAAGGTGATGCAGTGAGATGTGGGTTCAGCAGGCAAAAACAGTCGAATATAGCAATCAGCAGGGGCTTTTTGCCCGTCAAGGATTTGCCCTTCCCTTATAATCCCAGACCTAGGGCTATCACAAAACTTGATTTCTGCAGCAGTTCAAGAGCATGCCAGAAAAAGCATCTGAACAGTAAAGGGTGGGTGCTATGCAGAAATGGTCCAGTAACAGGCAAATTCTGGAAGTGTACACAAAGCTATTTCCCTAGAAGGGGCAAGTTTAAATCTGCACACTAGCAATGGGGATGCTGCAGGTTGAGGTTTCTTAGCACACCTGGAGGCTCAGGATTGTTGAGATGTAGGGCAAAGATAGTTGTGACAGAGGACTGAATGGTCTCTGCAGGCATAAACATAAGCTGTACTGGAATAAGAATAAAAAAACAGCAACATTCTATAGAAATTAAATTGGATTTTACAGAGATTATGCTAAACCCTCCCCATTCAATCAAGAATACAAGTCTCCTATCAAACTCTATTCACTGGGTGGGAAATTCCATAAAAAAAGCCTTCTATCCTGTTAAACCTTATTGAGAGGGCAAACTGGATACAACTTGACAACTTGAACTGGCATACCTTGAGCCTAGGTCAAACCAAGTATTTTTATCTATTTGTGTTTGTTTCATAAAATTTATACACAGCTTGATTGTTTTAAAAAATGCTCCCTTTGAAGGTGGAGGGGGTGTTTCTTTCAAACCAGGCAGCCAACTGGGCTTCTCTACTCACCCTTGTATTATTACGCTCTGCTTTCAGTTCAGATATTTCCTCTTCCCTTTCCAACAGCTGCTCTCGGCATGCATTGAGTTCCCTAGTCAGTGTTGCAAATTCCTGCAAAGCAATCACATTTTTACAATCATGCGGAGCCAGGTTTCCTCAGATTCCCCAGCTTTAAGTTAGCTTTTTTATGAAGAAAAAGAAGCATCTGCATGAAAAAACATGGTTGCATCACATGCACCCAAGAGGATCCCCTTGTATTACCAAAAATGGGCTGTCACACAAAAGAGGATGAAAGTCATCAAAACAACCATCAGAATTAACAACAACAGAAAAGCATTACAACTTTTCATTCTGGGACTCCTTGGTGGGTTTTTGTGACACTTCAAAGGTAAGCAAAGGTTCTGTTTAGTGAATTACAGTACTTTGAAATACAGTGGTACCTCGGGTTACAAACTTAATTCATTCCGGAGGTCCGTTCTTAACCCAAAACCATTTTTAACCTTTCGCTAATGGGGCCTCCTGCTGCCGCACGATTTCCGTTCTCATCCTGGGGCAAAGTTTGCAACCCGAGGTACTACTTCCAGGTTAGTGGAGTTTGTAACCCGAAGTGTTTGTAACCCAAAGCCTTTGTAACCCAAGGTACCACTGTATAATAAATGATATTCAGACTAATCTGTCACCCAGCCAGCTTATGTATCTGCAAAGCCAATATCAAAACTGCCACCCCAATGCATTCTAATAAGGCAGTACTGGTTCCACCAGAAGTTCTCCCCTGGGTAAGAGATTCTCACCTACTCCCCTTGGTACCAATTAAAGAAAGTAGAAACAGCAGGTAAAGCATTTCATTCCAATCAGTTAAGGCAGTGCAACATGCCAGCAATCAAGTGTATCTTCTGGACAGAAAACAGCTTGAGACTTACATGCCAGCTGCTGCCATATGTGAATCACAGTAGTGCAGATATACAGTTTTTTGTTTTGTTTTTCTCCCACATCCAGCAAAATTCAGAATACCCTCTTTAAAAATAAGCAATGTGGGCATCTACTTTTTTAGCAGTAGAACTCAGACATCATAAAACTAAACACAACAAAGAAATTTGCAGGCACTTCTTACTGTTTCCTTTCAGATTAGCTTTTGCTTCCATTTTGGACTTTTCCTGAAATAATTTCAGCTTCCAAGAGTCGTAAGCTTGGGGGGTCTTTAGGTAGGGTAAAATAGTTTTAATACAAACTATCTCAGTCATGAAGGTGTTTGTGTAAAGGAGAATTCCTTGTTTATCTTGGCCCTCTAAAGATCTATGCATTCAGCATCAGATAACTTCTTAGTCAATGTTTCTTTATAGATTATTGATACTTCTGATACACACATACTCCACGCAGCATCCCTAAGGAACTGGTGTGGGTCACACACCAATGAGCCTTGCATTAATTAGAACCAATGAAAGGCTAAACCTGTCTCAAAATACCCTAAGACAGGATGAAGTAGGGCAGTGAGGCAGGTTATCACTTGTCTACCACTGTGTTCAATAGATTTTCTTCACTTTTTCTGCTATACCCAATGCCTTGTAGAAATAATTCTAGCAAGTAACAATATCTGAACTATTTAAAACACAAATACTGTTATTTACCCTGAGCATTTGGTATGAGGCAGGCTACACATCTAAAAAAACGGAAGTCAAAGTATTGTTGTCTCAGCCAGGGAGCAACGTCAAAGGTGCCCGTCAATGCAATCTTCACAATGAGCCTGAAGTATGTTTCCCACAACAGTATTCAATAACTACTGTTTTGCTTTTTATAACAACAGGGACATACATGGACTCATTTGTTACAGAAGCTGCAGTGATTATGTCTGTGCTAGGGGTGTAGAACCTCCCTGGCAACACAAAGATATGCACAACAAAGCAGGTAGTTAAGGCAGGCGGCTAGGGAAATTAAAATAACAGCAGACACTTCCCAGCCAGCCAGCCCTTCCTCATTGTCCCTTCTCTAAACTGGAGGTCTTACAAAAGTAAATTCCAATTGGTAAATTCTAACAGCTGCAGGGATTACTTCTGAAAGGGCAAGGCTGAACCAAGTAGAGTTCAAAACAGGCAACCAAAATAAGAACTGTGCCGGGAGCCCACCCACCCACTTGATGAAGCATTTGAAATAGCTTGAAGGGAACCGAGTGGGCCTGTCGCTATGTTTCCTGAGCTTCAGAATGCAAACAAGTGAACAGCATTTATGCAGTCATCCTGAATTATCACTGCTTTGTAGTTTGGCATACAAATTAAGATACTGTAGTAGTAGGAGAAAAATTCCTGTGTGCATGTTGATTTTTCACTGAGACACTAGAGGCCTAGCTTGAATACATGCATATTAGATGTGGCAGTCTGTAAAAGGATTCAGACAAGTTAATCGGAAAGGATCCAATAAGCTTCATGTTAATTTTAATATTCCTGACTTTCAAGAGTAGAAATTAGTCTAAGATTTCATCATCTGCATATGTAGAAAATCCAATTCACAACATTCCAGCAGATTTTTAGAGTGACCAAGAAACAGAATCCAGAAAGAAACTATATAAACGAAGGCGCTGGGCTAGATACAGGAGCAGACTTGCTTCTCAACGCTGGGTCAGTAGAAGCAGCAGTGGTGTGTGGTCAATGGACTAGGGGGACTAGGCTAAATGTTCTTGGTATATTAGACTATTAAAGCCTAGTGCCTCCTTCCCAAAGTCCAGGAAGCTTCTGCCCAGCTTAGGGAGGGAGGTGTGATTCTCGGATGAGGTGCAGGGCCCTCCAGCCACCTTCTCAAAGCCTGTCCAGCTTTGGGAATGAGGCAGCAGGGCTCCAGCATCCTGTCAGAGGCCTGGTGCTTCCTTTCCAAAGCCCAGGAAGCTTCTGCCCAGATTAAGGAGGAAGGTGTGATGCCCACACGTGGGGCATCAGGACATTGACCCCCTGAATCGGCCTCACATACTGGTGCCTCTGGCCCTAACTGTCCCCTATGAAAAGAGTTCACCGCATGCCACTGAGAAGCAGGGTACATTTTCAGCCCCTTCTCCAATGGTATTCATGTGCATTTCTTAAACAAGTGAACTGCTGCCCAAACAGCTTTCATTACATTTCCAGTGGTTTCCCATCAAGGTATTGATAAATAAAACACTGGATTTTGATGGATCTTGATCATTTTCTATAATTCTGGAGGACGTACTAGCTAACATGGCTGGAAGTTCTGTGAAAGCAGCCTTTCCCAACCTGGTTCCCTCCAGCTGTTGTTGGACTCCAACTCTAAACAGCCCCGGCCAGAGCAACCAATGGTCAGGAATGAAATGAATTGTTATCTAGAACAGGCATATCCAACTCCCAAGAGACTGCGATCTACTCCCAGTATAAAAAAACTGACAGTGATCTACCCAGTGTCATTGCCCAGAGTTGCGATCGACCTGTTGTACATGCCTGATCTAGAACATTGGGAAGAAGGCTCCTGTAGTGGATCTTTAAAATCTGGAGTATCTCATGCTGAAGACATGGTTACTCACACACGTCATCTCACTAGCTGGTAGTGATGAGTCAGTTGGGAAGACAATATGAACACAAACGGAGAAAAACCCATGACAAATCTGACCAACCACAAACCTATGTAAAGGTACATTGCAATGGTGATGGCAATGAACTATACATTCTTTACCACTAACACTTCTGTTCAATGCCATTTAGTAAACTTCACCTTGTAATACTTCAAATACCTGCATCCTAAACCATATACAGCATTAAAGGACTAGCAGGCCTTTGTTCTGATTCTGTAAGGCTCTTCTCATGTCCCTGTAACTGTTTTCCCAATGCCATCTTGAGGAATCCATGGCACAGGAAAAGCTTGCATCCAAGTCTTGACAAATCTAGGAGTAGCAGGTATTTTGAGACATTTTAGAATCCTTTTGAAATGCTAAGTCTCTTTTCTTGATTGCATATAATGGCAACTGCAGAAACATCCCTAGAATAGTTGTTGATGGAGCTAGATCTGTGATGTTATGGATCTAAATTAAAAATGCCCTGTGTTTTGCCAGCTAGCAAATGACTGTGAAATGTCATGGGGGGAAGGGAGAGATTTTAGCTGCATCCTCCATCATTCTCCCCATCCCTTCAACTCAGCTCTATCCTGCCCTCAATACAACCTAGAACTCTTACCAGGACTCTCTTCTTTATGCCCATCCAATACATCCTGGTTCTCATTCTCTTTATCCCCTGCCCCTTTTGTTGCATCTCTCTGGCACTCCCACCACCACCCTTGGCTTTCTCCCCTGAACACTACCCCAACTATTCCCTTGAATCCCTTCTCTTCTCCAGCAATGTGTTGGTGCTCTAATCTTCCCTCCCCACTCAAATGCAGTGCTTTACATTTCCTCCCTAGTGACACCACACATACTGTATATAAACCATACTCCTTCCTGCATAACCATATCCTGGTTTCTGTTTCTTTACCCTAAGTGTGATGGAATGTTGCATGCTTGCTTTTAAGATTTAGTCTAACAGACAAACATGTCCCCTAACTGATCAATATCCCATCTTGTATCATCTTAATTTCTGGGAATGTGAAGTCTCCTTGTGAACTGGGAGGGGGAAGAGGAGAAAGAAAGAAAAATGTTTTCACACCTTTTTTCTGAAGTCCAAATTTGGTAAGGATGTATACACAAAGGGATTAAGGCAAGTGACAAATTTTACTTCAAACTCTTTCTCTGGGCCTTGCATGGCAACAGAAAGACTGTGCAACTTGTACAGTGGTGCCTCGCAAGACGAAATTAATCCGTTCCGCGAGTCTCTTCGTCTTGCGGTTTTTTCGTCTTGCGAAGCACGGCTATTAGCGGCTTAGCGGCTATTAGCGGCTTAGCGGCTATTAACGGCTTAGCGGCTATTAACGGCTTAGCAGCTTTAAGAAAAAGGAAACAAACTCGCAAGAACTCGCAAGACGTTTCGTCTTGCGAAGCAAGCCCATAGGGAAATTCGTCTTGCGGAACGACTCAAAAAACGGAAAACTCTTTTCGTCTTGCGAGGCATTCGTCTTGCGGGGCACCACTGTATGTTTAAACCGTCAAAGAGTTGTTCATGAAAAAATTCCTGTAGCCAAAATGAAAATTGCCCTAATCATCAACCCTGTGATCAGACACTAGTGCATGTAGAGCATCTGACTTGTACTTTACTTTTTGGCTAATAACTTTTTTTTTTAAGTTAAATAAGCATTTCCTTAAATTCAGTTGCATTTATCTTTAGGTTCAAGAGACTGCACCGCCACCTATAGGAATGTTGCTTGCTACTGATTGCCTTCATGCCTGAAAATGAGCTATGTGCTTAAAGTGGTTAAAGCGTTGGACTAGGACCTTCAAATGATTTGTCACATGGTGGAATTACTCAAAATATAAAATGTAAGTTACAAAATTTAAAAATTTAGAAGGCGATTTTTAAAATTAATATAATTTTTGAAAATGTATTAATTAATGTTTATAAGAGCTACAACAAAATGCATATCAAACAAAATTAGAGGGAGGGACTCTTACACATTAAATGGGGCTGAAAACATTATTTATACTTTACACCAAACACTTTTCAAGAGCATTGGTTGCACGTTTCATTTTTTGTCAAAGTGTGAGTGCGGCCAGTTGCAGTCCTTGGTTCAACGCTTGTTGGAACTTGTGCTCGCCCTACCTAAAGTACATCCTGACTAGATGGGTAAACAAATGATGATGCTGGCCCTGGCAGGTGTAAGGAGGTCACAGTTGCTTCTTCACTTTCATAGTCCACCAACAGCATCTAAGTTAAGCAACGTGTTTTATTGTATTCACAGGTCACATACCCAGTTATCTCAGTCATATCCAGAGATTTTATACCTCCTTCACTGTCAAACTTCTCACTCTCATTGCTAAAAGAGTACACATTGGTCACAATTTCTGTTGGATGAAATGTAGCAATGAAATCCTTGTGTTCCCCTGATCACTTTCACTCTTTCAAAGCGTCTTTCAGGAACATTTCTTCTTTTCTGTACTCCTCATTTGTTGAAAATAAGAACTGGATAGAAGGGATGTTATCTCAGCACCAGTTAAACAGTTCCAGCTGTGTCATAATTTTGCTTGATATGTATTTTGTTGTGCTTCATGAAATAAACTACTAACAATAATTCTTTCAAAGTGTTAATTCTATCATGCAATAGCAAGCTATCACTCAGCTTTGGAACACATTTTTAAAAGAAAAGCCTGACTAGCTTTTCAGACACCTTTTAATAAAATAACTTTATGATGAAATGCCTGAAGCAACTAATATTATGGTTGTGGCCTTGTTTATTCTGTTATATATTTCTTGGAGAAGACCCATTTATCCTAAATAGAACCCAATAAGGCAGACGTGTATTAACAATTTTTTATTTTTTTTTGTAACGTGATCCCACTGAGATCCCAGGATGAAATTCTGCAGGTAGCTCTTAGAAATATTAAATGATCAATACTGTACAAGTTTTTTGGAATTTTAAAATCATATTACTTTTTTTCATCACTTTAAAATTTTGTAACTTAAATTTAAATTTTAGAGTGAGTTCATCATATGACATATATTTAGGCCCATGAAGTTCTGAAAGATTTGTTTTTTAGGTCCTGACATATCTCAATCTTGGGCTAAACTTTTAAGGTTTTTGTGTAGGTCTGGGAAGGCCAAAATTGTCAAATTTCTGAAATTTCAAACCTTCATAACTCAAAAACAGGATGAGATAAAAAATTAAAATTTTAGATTTTAACTTAGATTTGATCATTCAACAAATGTACAAAATATTAAGAAAATTAGATGACATGAGATTTAAAAGTTGGATCACTTGATATGGAATGATCCCACTGAGGAAGAATGTCTCTACAGTATCCTCAGGCAGGATGTTCTAATCGCCTAGCATAGAAGCAAGAAAACAAAAAGGCTGCAGCTTTTAGAGATTAACTGGTTTATTATGGCATGAGCTTTCATTCAATTAGATGAAGATTTGGGAGATTTATTCTAATGTTAAGCTAAATACTACCTTTCAGTCCTATGTTGCCTAGTCACTTTGGAACCATGTTAGAAAATGGTTGTCTTGTGGACAAGTTTAACAAGTCCTTCATCCTCAAGTTACTGAAATCCCTTATAAGCTTATACTTTTTCCAACAGACATTTTAGATTAGACCTTACCAGACCTTTTCTCTCAACCCTTGGATGGTAAATTGCATAGCCATAAGCTTTCCAGATTAGGCAGGGACACCTATAAATGGATTAGAAAGTGAAACACGGATGCCTAATCTTGGCTCAATTAAGAACTCTTAAAAACTTAAGACTACTGAGAAACGTCAGAAGACACCAAATGTGATTGTTCAAGTATTCGAAAGCAATGAATTATTGGACGCATTTTATATCAGAGATTTAAAACCTATACTTGCTTCTCGTTTGCTTCCCGGTGTAGCTGAAGGTATCAAGTTTAATTTTAAAGCCTTAAGTGGATATGGCACAGGCTACCTTAAGGGGTATCTGTCACACCTCAACTGTTTGAGCAAAAACAAAAGAACTTGTGATTTTAAATGTTAAGAGCATATCAATTATGTAAAGTGATTTTCTTAATATCAGAAGAGCCAAACACAGCAATGACTGAGAATGTGGAACATTTTTTCAGATACAAGGACAATTCTTCTTTTCCCTACTGATTTGCCTCAGAGTTCAAGGAATGAATTGGGTCCATTTAGGATGTAAGTCACATTTTTGGCATCTAATTGGAATAACTGTTTGTGCCAGGAATAGTGGATCAAAACAGATACAGAAGCAATCAGTGTTATTAACTGCATCACAGATAATAATTAGTCCAGTGTGCACATAGGAGAATTTTAAAGAAGAAAAAAGAATGTCCAAATGAATCAGTATTGGACTTAAGGAACCCATCTCCTGATGGATCAGACCAAAGGCCTATCTAGTCCAGCATTGTGCTTCCCACATTATGCAGCCAGATACTCAGGGGAAGACCACAAGCAGGACATAAGGGCAATAGTTCTTTTCCATGGTTAGTCCCCAGCAACTGGTATTCAGATGTCTGCTGGCTCTGTGAAGGCTGCTTGTAGCTGCTATGACTAGTAGCTTTATTGTAAATGCATTGGTCTAATTCCCTTTTAAAAGATTGGTTTTTCCTACAATCCTACAATCCCACTGTCAGGGGGAAAGCCGCTAGGTCGGGCTAGAAAATGACAAGATGTAAGGTAGACCATTATGCAGTCACCTTTCTGAGAGATATCAGGGGAGAATAAAAATGAGACTGCTAGGTACAATCCATGATGCTAATCACAGCCTAATTCCAAAACTAGTCAAGCATATAGAGCAGGTAAAGAGACTTTATTATTTCTCTTGGGCATATCCAATAGATGCCCAGGATGGTCACAGGAAAATAAATACAAATACGTTGCAGCAGCAACACTGGTCGTGCTCCTGAAGGAAAATGTATTGTCTGTTCACAGGCTGCCTGAGAGGTATGCATACATAAAGACAGAAATGAAAGGAAGGAGTAGGCAGGTTTGAGGGTGGAAAACAAAATTTCACACATTTTTTGATAGGCGTGAATTTTTAGGTATCAGTCCCACATGCATGCCATGTGTTTTGTCCAGTTCCATGGTGCTACCAATCAAAATTCTAGGAGTCTGGTGACTATAGACTCCCTGAGAATTTCTCAGCCCTCATAGTGGGCTTGGGGAAGTGCCTTTGGGGCTATGGCAATTAGTTCCCAAAAAGGTAAATCACCTATGGTCCACCAGGAAGGAAAAACTTCAGCCCTTTGAAAGTATGACCTTAGTTCACATGGACCCTTCAAAATAGAGCAAAGAACTAGCCATTTTACCATGATGTACAGTGGGCAGCTCACAAAGTAGCTTCAAACAGCAGGGGAAAACCAACAGGCTATATGTTCATACTTAGGCGTTTCCCACTTCTAAGTTCCAAACCTGCAGGTCTCTGTTGTTCAAGCATGTTACGGTAAACAGATCACTATAAATCAGAAGCTCCCAAAGGTCAACTGCTCTTTTGTTTGTACTCAATGAACTTTTCATATAAGGGTTCAGCTTGGTAGGAAATCTCTGCTCCACGCAACTCTCTAGGAAATATTCTTTGTCTTATCTGTCAGGGGAATCACCTGACAGCACTAACTGTGCCCAATACTCTTTCCCAGTGCTTCTTTTCTGGGGGGACATGGGGGGACACATACCCCTAAACATTTTGTGAATCTATGTTTGGCCTTATTGAGGAGCAGTATTTCTATATGAATAGGAAAGTGAGAGTACCCCTAAACATTTTTAAAGGGAAAAAAACTGCTCTTTCCCCCTCTCCCCCTCAAGACATTTGGAGTAGCCTATGGCACTGATACTCCATTTCTTAACAGAAACAAATATGAACAGAAGTTCATGCCTATAGGCAACACAACTCCTGAAAGAAGTAGAACTAGAAGAAAAGCAGCTGCTTGTGGAGGTTTGGACAGGCCTCAACACTTGCTTTAAGAGCCTGGAGTATTTCCATCTACCAAGAAAAGGTGAAAAGCTATGGTGGGCAGACACTGCAAGGGGTATCCTGCTTACCTGATACATGTACATGCTGAAATTAATGCCATTGGACAGATGGATGGTTATGGATTTGTTCCCTGTATTCATGCTGGGGAATCATAGCCAGCTTGATCTGTAAATCCATGGCTCTGCCAGGCCGAGGGGAGAACAGCAACTAAATCCAGAGATGAAGGGTAGAGGCAGCCTAAGTTCCATGTCCTGCTGCAGACCCTGGTGCCTGAGGTTCAAACCAGCAGGAAGTTGCTTCTTGCAGAATCTGTCTGTCCGGGAGGAGGAGGAGAACTGGGCACTGGAATAGTATCAGCGAAGCCCTTGTCAAGAGGAGCCATTTGGAGCTCACGGAAATTCCCCATCTGCTGCCTGTGCTAATCACATCCCTTTTCAAGATCCAGGGGAGGCAGCAGTGCGACTTGGTAAGGGAGGCAAAAATGCTACAAGCAGAAGCTGGGAGCCGGGAGAGCCAGCAGCCTCCCCCAGAGGATCTCACAGATGCACAAAGTCCCTTTGCAATGACCTAGTTTGCTCTGCATTGCTTGCATGTTCCCTATACAGAACGTCGGAGGGAGAGGAATTGAAGCAAGAGCAGAGAGTAAATCCGCATAGCCCCTTAATCCAAGCGGCTGCAGAGCCCGAGAGGCGTAACCCTCCCTTGGCTGACCTGGCATGCTCTCTGCCCAGCTGCTCAACATGGATGAGTGCAGACACCAGAGCTGTGGCTCTCAATCCAAGACGTGGGCATTGAGCATGTGAGGCCACAAAGGGGCGTGTGCCTGAAAATCAGCTACGGCAGAGCCCATTTAGGGCCATGGTACCTTTTGACCAGCTTGGAATTTATTGGATCTGGCTGACCCAACTGGAAATTTGCCAAGGGCAGAAGGTCACTCAGCTCAGTGAGGAAGCAGAAAGACCAAAATGTGTCAAGGCCAGAAGGTGCTCATACTGGGCTTGTAAGCAGCCTGTCTGGCTGAGTGCTTAGCTCTCCCTCCCTTGCCAAGCTCTTGCAGACTGCTGTCGCTGCTCAGCTGAATGTGAAGTACCCTGGGGTTGGTAGTACTATAATGCAAGAAATATTTTAGTTTCTTTCCCCCTTCTAAAAATACAGGGCCTCCCCCTTCTCACTACAAGCCAGAAAGTGAGCTGTCATACCCTTGGCTAGGCTCTGCAGCATGCTGCAGGGCCTAGCATCTCAGTTTGGGGTTCATGGTTGACCTGCTAAATAATCACCTCAGAACATGGCTGCCAAGGTTAATCCCAACCCTGGGCTCTCTTCTGTTCTGAGAGATATGCACATGAGACTCAGAGCCTTGGACACACAATATTAGTAACAGCCACTCGCACTGTTTTCAAATAATCTTGCCTGCATTTCACTGAAGGTAAACTCAACCATCCCCACTACACACACACACACACACACACACACACACACACACACACACAAACACACACACGTTCAATCATCCGCATGAAACAAGGAGACAGTGACAACTACATTTAGGATTGGCTTATTATCCTCCTGCCTGGAAGCTGCCAAGTGCTACAGTGTCATGCCTACCAATTTTCTTCAGTAAGAATGCTAAGACCACAGGTAGCCAAACACAATGCTCTCCAGATGTTGATAGACTACAACACTCATCAACCCTCACCACTGGCCATGCTGACTGGGACTGATGGGAATTATAGTTGAACAACTTCAGGAGGGTATCACATTGTCTGCACTTGCTTTAGACAATAAAAGTCCACGTCAGTTAATGTTGGACTTTGTGCAAAATCTTTGTAATGCTTCAAAACTGCAACTGTTCCTAGTGGCAAGGAACCTTCACTGCACTCTTTTTGGTGCCTGCTAAAAATATTTTCGTTTAGGCAAACCTATCCAATATGTAAAATGTTGACATGCACTTTAACCTGGCTTTTAAGCATATACCGTAATTGAATTGAATTTTTTTTTAATGTTTTAAATAGTTGTTTTTAACTATTTTCTTTACTGATAATTCTTACTGTAAACCACTTGGAGGTTTTATTGCAATCTAGCTGTGAAATAAACAAACATAAATAAACCTAGGTATATGGATTACTTTTGATTCAAGCCAATGTCAAACTTTGGCTTGGATTTTATGCATCCTTTGAGTAAAATTATAATGTGTGTGGGGAAGGGTAGAATACTTACTCACATCTCATTGAGAGACAGATAGTGGTGTGCCCAGAATTCAGGAGCAGCTTAGTACACCATTGTATGACTCAAATACTTGCAAAAAAAATTCCACTTTCTGATTTTGTATGAATGACTTCTAGATTCAGCTCCAGGAGGAGTAACGTGGGAAGTAGACCAAATATATCCCCTTTGAAGTCTTCTAAGCACTTAAGTTTAAATAATAAATATATGGGAGACACCCATTATGGTGCCCGGATTTCAACTACCAGCTAATGGGGTAGGCAATGAAAAGGCCATGGCCCCAGAGACCTGCTCTGTGCAAGATCTGCCTCTCTGAGGTGAATTTCACAACCTCCACCTGTTTGACAGTATACAGTCCTCCTCCACTGCCGACAGCGGCAAAGGTGGAGGAGGAGGAGGAAGGAGCAGCCCAAAAGGGCTGCTTTCAGGCTGCTTGTTCCTCCTCCTCCACTGACAGCCACCGACAGCTGCCGACAGGGACCCTCAATCGAGTATAAACTGAGTGGGACTTTGTCAGCATAAAAAATGTGTTCCACCCACAGCATCTTTGGTTGGGTAAGGTATGCCTTTTCCTAGGCTGTTACAGTAAACATCGAAAATTACTGTGCTAGATGATGTAATAGCACAATAGTTACCCATTATTGGAGTATTTCCGCAGCCTAGAAGTCTGCAAGATTTATGATAAAACAAGGTATTAAGGACAGCGCTTTCTGTCTTCTCTTACCTTTTAAGTACCATGTGAAGCTGGATTGAGCAAACTATTTTCTCTGGCCTCATCCCTCCATGGTCCGGATCATGGGTGCACATGAGCACCCACGCCCACAATTTCCAGCATCTGCGCAGACGTGTTTTCCAGCGTCTTGTCAATGCGATTTGTGGCACTGCACTGTGCCAGTTTAGTGCAATGCGCGGGGACTCGTTGAGCGGGCGGCTTGGTTCAGGGGCAGCTCGTGAACTGGTAAAACAACCCCCGTGGGCTGCTTGTGGCCCATGGGCCTTAGGTTGCCAACCCCTGGTTTAGATAATCTGCTTCCTTTAGGTGTACCTGCAGCTGGCTTGCCACCACCATCTCAATCACCTTGCTCAGGAAAGGAATACTAGAGAGGGGACAGTAATTTTCTAAGACCTCTTGATCCAGGGAGGCCATCTTTAAGACAGAGGCATTAACCACACCCTGGAACTGTATTACACATATTTTTCCCTATGACAAATATTGTCATATGTATGTATGTTGTTCCTTTGCAAGAGAACTTGAATGCCTTCTGTCAAGCTTCCAAGTATAAACACTGTATCTTTTCCCTATAAAAACTGTCTTCCAAGTGTAAATCTGTATTTAATGCCCTTGATATAATATGAATCAACTGTAAATGGTGTGAGCAAGGAATAAATGTTTGGGTTTGAAAAGAATGAACGAAAGAAGCAATGAATGATGTTGATAAGATACAATGCTCATACTTGGAATTGTGACTGGAGGCATCCAAGTTCTCTTATAAACGAAGAACACACATAGTATGTTATTATGCGTGTACCTAACTTATTAAAACGCATAACAGAATGGAACAGTTTGGGAGAAAATAAACAGGCAAAGGCATGATTAAGCAGTTCCTGCAGCATTGTAAATGAACACCTCCGATTCCACCTGAATCGGGGGGTGGGGGGGTGGAAGCTAACATAAATAAAACATTACCCTGGGCACCAGCTATGGGTCTTCCCTAGATTTCAGCACCACCTGCTGGTACTACCACGCCACAACACTGTACCAAACCTGTTCAGCTTCCCCTCAGTTATCAGGGATGGATTTTCATGAGAATAAACACTCTATAGCATCACAGTATTAATGTTAGAGTACCTGTAGAAAAAATGCTAATTATGAATTTGCACAGAATACAATTATTGTGTCAAAAAGGTTTATTAAAACTTTCATGAGTTTAGGTACTTGTGCTAAGGGCACACACAAAATGCTGGGAAGAGTTTGTAGCACTGCTTTTGACAATCTGTTTATAAACATACTGCAAAAAGATGGTAAATTCTTCATATCCTACAGTGCTATGTGCTAGCTTAGAACTTCACATTTGGCTCTCCCTCACGTAAAAGGTAGTAATACAGGTAACTCGCATCTTACACAAGGGTTATGCTCCTGGTCATTTAGTGTATAAGCAAAATTGTGTAAAGCCAGAGCAACCTCTTGAAACCTCAAAAAACATTGCTGCACTTACCAATGAGGAACAAATGCAGCTCTTAGTTTCCCTCCTCCTCTTCTTTGCTGATTGATGCTTTGGGGGATTAAGTGCTGACAAGAAAAAGTACTTGACTGTGGTTTAGAACCACAAGTGGATTGTGTGGGCTCATCTAATGCTGCTACTGGTAGTTTCTTCATCAGGAACATGGTGATTGGCAACTGCCACTGTTGTTTCTTGGGTTTGTCAGGCATTTCCTTTTATGGTCTCCTAGTGCTGTAATGTCACGGATGATATTGAGGCTGCATTCCATGGAGGCATCAAACTCTGGAATCAGATCATTTGCGTGCTTTGTTACTTGAAAGAGTTTATAAGAAGTTATGCAGGTTCCAGCTTGCTGTCTCATGCTCACCATCCTCATCCTCACATTCTGAACTTGATCTGACCAGTTCCTCAAGCTCTTCAACAGTCAATACCTGTTGGCCTCCAATTAGCTTTTCCCCTAAATATGGTCAACAAAGCTACCACCACCCACTTGCCTGGCCATCTGCACAATGTCCTCAAGCTCAGTGGCAATGCTTGGAAATCCCTCAAAATCATGCACATACATGTTCTGTCTGTATGCATTCACTGTTTCAGCCCTGATTGCATTCACTGTCTGTTTGATGTAGGTGACGCAATGGGCAATATTGAAGGACTTCCAGCATCCATCGCATTGATCATCCAAGAGAAGGTGAGCTTCATGTAAGCAACCTTGAAGCAGTGAATCACACCATGATCCAGACGCTCGATGAGGGAAGTCGTATTGGGCACTATGTGCAAAGCAGAGGGCCTTGGGCTACCCAGAAGCAGTATCCACAAGCAGCATCACTTTAAACTCCAGGTGAGACTCTCTCAGTTCCTTCCAGTCCAGAAATTATGGAAAAGTCACCCAGGCCTTTTTGTTAGATTGCCAAACCACAGGAAGGAGACCTGTACAGCAAGCATCTTTAGTTGCATGTGGTATGTTTTTGTAGCCTCTTGTCTGCAGATGAAGTTTCCCCAGTCATTTGGACATTCATGAGGTTGAAGTGGATCTTAAAGCTGTTATGCCAAACTGGGCTGGCTTTCCACAACTGTGGTGGAAGGTTTGAAGTGGTCATAGAGACTGAGAGCCTTTTGCAGCAAGATGCTGCCCTCCACAGGAACACATTTACAGTTCATGTCTTCCAGCAACAGCTTCAATGCCTTCTCCATCTTCACCAAGGCCTTGTCCCACACTTGGCTCCTCACCTTTGCAGTTAGTGGTGTGCTTGCTGCCACAAATCTCCCCACAAATCTCCTTCTCACACACCTTGATGGCACAGGGGCTGGACTTGTTCTGTCCATATTTGCATGCCGCAGCACACATAGGCATGCCATCCTTCAAATAGTCCAGCACAACCACTTTCTCTTCCAGCATGGGAGCCACCCTCTGCTTCTTTGGTTTCTCAGTAGCTGATGACAATGATACCTTGTGTTTGGGGGCTGTTCTGCAGTCTGCAACTCTCTCCAAGTACCTCCTCCACACTCCAACCTACCCCAATGTCTTTCCAAACTCCTCCACAAGTCTCTCTGGCCTCCTCCAATCTCTCTTCAACCTCTTCAACCACCTCCTCCACTCTCTCTCCACACTCCAATTACTCTCTCAACCACTCTCCCAAAGACTGACGGATTGCTGGCCATTTTTTCCTCACTCTGCCTCCCCACCCCCCATGCATTTAATGGTGTTCAGCATAAAGCTGTACTCAAGTACAGTATAATAAGCATAAGATGCAAGTTACCTGTACTTCATTTAATTAGTTACAGAGTAACCTTCACTACATGTACATACACATCATGCCCCATCCAACAGGTAGCACACTGCTGCATCAAATTCCATGAAAGCTGAGTCAGGAGGGAATCACAGAATTGTAGAGTTGGATTTTAGTCGAACCCCCTGCAATGCAGGACTATGCAGCTGTCCCAAACAGGGATTGAACCTGCAACCTTGGCATTATCAGCATAACGCTCTAAACAACTGAGCTATACAAGCTGACTTAGGAAGAAATGAGAACCAGAATTAAAAGAACTATGAAGATCAGAGGAAATCTGTTATTGGCACACTACTAGTTAAGGTGTTAGAAATTAATTAGAACAACTCTGGAAATAAAACTGCAAACAATTATGACTGAACAGTTTTTTTCCTTGGAATTTAGCCTGGGGCACTGAGGCAGTCTCTAGTTTTAAATAAATAGCTACAAAAAAGACCAACATTCAGTTGCTAAATGTAGTATTTTACATGTGGCAGCTGGCCAATTCACCAAGAACCAGATTTTATGTTCCTTACACAAGCTTTCAGAACAGCCTTCCTGGACATGTGAAGAGATTAAGCTCCATCGTAATCAGACATGGGTGCAGTTATGGCCATTTGTGACCTAGGCCTATAATTCCTGAGCCCCACAAATCCTGCTTGGAACTGCCTGCAATCATGATAGATAGACATATGAAGTTATGACTGTATACATAAAGTTACTACAGCATGTATAGCAATGTCTAGTTTTTCTCCAGCAAACGATCAGCTGGAAAAGTAGCTGTATTGAGCACTTCCAAATTGTAAACCTACTCATTCACAGGGAACTGCAACCCCCTCCAGAAGAGGCAACCCACCTGCTCCTAGGCTGACTGGCTCATCCATTATCAGCTCCCATCATATCTTAATTACACTTAAGCTTTTTCTACCTCATCTAGCCCACCACCAACTTCAAACATCAGCTCAGAGAATCCAGACACACCTGGATCCGAGGACAAAGATAAAAAGAGTTAGGCATCACTGATATGTCACCTCTGGTTCCCTTATGTTCTTACCCACAAGTTTCATATGGATGTTACATTTCTTAGAAGGCAGGATTGGACTCTTATTACATCCAACAAGATGAATTTCAGTGGAGCCAACTGGTGGTCTTCTAGCACTATCTCCTAGTCAGAGCAAAACCACTGCAGAGTTGTACCAGTCAGTCGAGAAAGACACTGTTGTCAATGCTATTGAAATATTGCAAACAAGAAAGTATTAACACTGAGAAAGTGATTGCTGCAATTAGAGCTGGAAGGGGCCTCAAAGATCACCTAGTCCAACACCTTGCTAAAGCAGAAAATGCCGTATTGTATAGTACCCGCTATAAGCAGCTATGCAGTTAATTTAGAAGGAAATTAGAAAAGGTTTCAAAACTCCATCCCTGGCAAGTGCCTACAGTGATGAGAAACCAATGCATTATGCATTACATTTATGTCCAACTTTAGCCACATCCTCTCAAATTAGACTAAGAAAGCCATGCCCTCTGTCCTGGCATGCCCATGACTTTTCCTGCTGTTGCCATCTTTTAGTTTCCACAAAATCTGTGTATTTATCTTACCTGAGGTAAAGCAGAGTTCAGTTGCCTCTGCAGCTGGTCTCTCTCATGCACGGTCTCCTGTAGCCGGCCCTGAGTCACAGACAGAGTCTCACGTGTTTCCCGAAGAGTCTCTAGCAGCTTGTCTCTCTCATCAAGCATATTCACCATCAGCTGTTCAAAGTTGGCATCAGAATCAGAGCCCGGCTGTGACCCCAAGGGGTCACTCTCGCTGATGGTAGGCATTACCTCACACATCATGGCAATACTTGGCAAATGCCCCGCGTTACAGTAAGATCAGAGACTGGCAGGGAATTCCTCCTCAGGATGCCTCTTAAGGCTCTATAAACAGTAAGCTAAGGTCACATGGTTACTGTAGCCAACTGCAGGTTGTTGCAACTGTCAAATGCAGGCTGCATGGTAAGGTCCGTAAACCCTCCATTTCTCTTTGCAAACAGCTGAAGTTTACATTACATCTATCAATGTCTGAAAAGGTCATCAGAGCATTTTTAACATCAAATACATCAAGTAATTAAGACCAGCAAGACCCCAGGACTGAAGGGTAATCCTGTGAGGGTTGTTCCAGATAACTCTGGCATATATTCCTGAGACCCCTCCAGTGATGGTCACCAGCCATGGCAGAGCTCTCTGTCATTCAGAAAATAGGATGTCCCCTTTCAACACACATATACACACACATTTGCCGCCTTGAAAGATTCAGAAGTATTAGGAAGTCCATGAAATATTTCATTTTCCTTGATATCGTTAGTAGGAAGTCAGCTTGGACAGATCAGCCAATGGCTTGTGAAGTCTTGAGTGGCATCAGAGCAGACTGATCACTCTCCAAGCAAGGTTATGCCTTTGCCAAATACCTGTCGTACTTCGCTCTTGATCTAGAATCTGTGGAGAAAGAACATTGATTCATTAGAAAAGTGTCCATCTATTGCTTTGCAATTTTTTTCCTCTCAAGAACTTAGATTAGTATATTGCCTTTTTTATTTCCATGAGATAATCCAAAAGAGGGTGTTTTTACAGCAAGCTCTGCACCACAGGTTTCAATTAACTTGTTTACCATCTGTTTCTTGTTACCACCCTTAATTTAGACATGATATTTCTATGTATAGATTCTAGATGCCATGAACCACTTCCCCTCATTTCAATTGTTTTTATCTTGTTTGAGGTTCCATTTCCTCAGCCCATTTTTATAAGGTTGTGTCTTAGAGTTAAGTATCACGTTCACTAGCATCATTCCACCACATTTCCAAAGAAGAATATTGTATACATTATTTCTATTTGCTATCTTAGTTATTGGCCTTTCTGCATGACCAGATAACAGGTACAATAAAAAAGCAGTAATGTTTATTATTTATTGAGCACTTATAGTAAGTAGGTATGATACAAGCTGAATAAAAATACAAGGACCTGCCACAAAGCTTAATTCAAATAAACAGAAAAGAAAAAAAGTGGAGGGGTAAAAATAATAAAGTCAAGATACACTATATCAATTAAAATGTTATTGTAAGAATCAATGAGATGCAGATGATCATGCTTTGATATATAATGCACCGCAGGTACAAGGACTAGCTAATGAATGGACATGAAACTGATTTAAACAAAAGAAAATGTAAAGCTTTTTTTAAAAGGAGAAAGAACCAGAAATATGCAAAAACAGGGAGGACAGAGATAATAATGATAATAGTAACAACAACAACAACAACAACAACAACAACAATTTTGTATTTATACCCTGCCATTCTGGGGAAATGAAGGAATAAAGGTATAATAATTTGTTTAAAGCATTTCTATGCCATATTTATGGCTTAATAGAAACTCTATCAGCCAGCTCTACAAAGGAAGGAACTGAGAAAGCATTATTTCACATTCCTGCTAGATGAGTCATAACTATTAGCAATAGGGACCCTCCAGATTATAAGAGAGTGGGCAGATTCATGTTAGGAGACTTTTAGATATCCTCTTCCTAAACTGTATGGGGCTTTAAAGAGAATAACCAGCACAGAAACACATCAGTAACCAGTGCAGATAACACAACTCAACCATATGCCCCAAACACAGACTCAGGTATGTGGTGCTTCTGCTGTGTGCAGGTGCTCATATACCCACATATGTAGACACACACATGCCTGTGGACTAAGCAGACTTTTGTCCTTTCCAATTCTATGATTTAGTAATTCCTGCGCTAGCAACTTCAGGCACTGTTACACAAGTGCAATGAATTCTTTTAGCATCAAACTAAAATCAGTAACAAGCTAAGAAATCAGTTATCTTTTAAGGAATTATTATCCACACAAAAAGGAAGGAGTTGCAAGGAGAATCTAGCCATAAATTTGATGAAAAATACACTCAAGGGGAAAATTTATCACATTGTTAGAGTCATTCAAGCTGAACACAGTTCTGCTTCTGTTACAAGAAGATAAATGTCAAGCATTTCTGGGAAGAGGCTTTTCAGCACCACTTTGCCCGGAAAGAGGGTACTAGATGCCACCAGCAGAAGACAATATACATTCTCAGAAAGAAAGAAAAAAGTCTGCAATTTATTAGTATGTAAATATAGATTCAAATGCCAAGCTTTACTGAAGAGGATGCTACTGAATGCTAGAGCTGCATGAAGACCCTGATCAGCTCAAGTTATTGTGGTCTTCATATTTGACATAGCAGAATGTTGGAGATAGCACCATCACTGACACAGCATTTTTGTGTCATTTCTTCCAGAGACTAAAGTCAGTATGCTTCAATGACATACTTTTCTGCTGATGGAGAGAAAGTATTGACGAGGAAAGGAAGCAATATTTGTATCTTAGAGAGATTTGTATCTCACTATTATAATGCAAAATCTTTACTCAGGATGATTTACTATCCTTAAAACAATAATCTAACAAACACACACAATACACATATGAGTATAAAGGAAACCAGGGACAGGCTCAGCAAATAAACTAGCGCCTGGCAAAACAAAAGTCTTCTGGAATAAAAGTTTCCGCTGCCTGGCAAACAATGGCAAGAGGGGACCTGAATCTGTTCCAGTACCACCAGAGTAGGTTTGGGAGATTTTTGTGGGGGGTGGGAGTGGGGGTGGGGAGATTGAGGGGAAATTCCACCATGTGAGCAGAAGTTATTCTACAAACACTGTTGTTGTGAAGGATACAACCCTTAATTTCACAGAGTATGCTTTCCTGATCATTAGTTATAACAGGAACATTTTCATGAACCATGCTGCCTGCCTCTTAAACCTTGACCGTGTTTCACTCTTGAATGAGTGAGCCATGCCTTAACTACTAAAGCTGGGGTAGCCAACATGGACGCAATGACAAGTTTGATAACTTTCCCTGTTCACAGAAAGCCACACATAAATGGCCTACAATAAGCAAAAAAAACCCCCCAAAAATAATATGCAGTCATCACCAGTCCACTAATGAATACCCGGATGAACAGGTGAGTTTTATCCAGGCACCAAAATGCCAGTAAAACTGCTGCCAGGCATACCTCTTGAGAAAGGGTGTTCCCAAGTCAGGGTACTACCCCCAATATTCTTGTAACCTCCATGTATATGCCATTCCACCAAGAAGGATGCTGTAAATACAGTATTATTTGTTACCATGCCTTTCAATCAAATAATTATCAAGGCACCTTAACAATTCAAATGTTTGAAATTTGACACAATGAAGATGGGGTGTTTCACTTATTAAGACAGTGCACATTATTTGTGACAAAAAAGAATGGGGTTATAAGTATTGATCAATAATATTTTCAGTTTTAACTCTTCCTTGGATACAATGGTTCAGATTCAAGCCATTTCTCCAATGACATGAAATGCATTTCAGCTATGAGCTGTACAATTTGTAACCACAAAGAGGCTGAAATATAGAAACTGATTTCATTTTGTTCTCTTTGCATCACACATTCAGAATAAATAATTATGACAGCAGCAGACCAAGAATGCAAACCTCAAGACTTCTCATCTTGTCCTGGAATAGAAACTAGAGCTAGCTTGCATTCTTGGATGTTTAGGACAGAGCAGACCTCACTTTAACTCCAGAATACCTGGTTAGGAAGTAAAGCAGGTAATTTTCTTCTCTTTTTCCCCTTTTTGTTTACTTGTTTTCACCACACCTCCTAACATTCTGCATCTCTACTGCCCTAGATCCACATAATTGGTCCAACTTTTGATCCCTTTAGACTTTCTGCACTCCCCACGGCAGAAATCTGAAATGCCTAGAAAAATAATAATGGTGAATTCCAACACATACCATTTACTTTTTTAAAGCCATTCACACAATTGCCTGGTTTTCAGTAAGATCTTTATGATACCATTGATTTTAGTGGGTTTGTGCAAATAATAATGATAAAGAAATGAAAGAAATACTTTATTTATACCCTGCCCATCTGGCTGGTTACAGGTAGGTAGCCGTGCTGGTCTGCCGTAGTCGAAACAAAATAAAATAAATAAAATAAAATAATTCCTTCCAGTTGCACCTTAGAGACCAACTAAGTTAGTTATTGGTATGAGCTTTCGTGTGCATGCACACTTCTTCAGATACTCTAGGTGGCTTCCAATACATATAAAAACATAAAATGTCAAACATTAAAATCTTCCCTATACAGGGCTTCCTTCAGATGTCTTCTAAAAGTCAGATAGTTCTTTATCTCCTTGACATCCAATTAGAGGGTGTTCCACAGGGAGGGAAATACTGTGTAAAGTGCTAGCACCTTCAGAACCTTCAATGTGAATACAGTGGTGCCTCGCAAGACGAAATTAATCCGTTCCGTGAGTCTCTTTGTCTTGCAGTTTTTTCGTCTTGCGAAGCACGGCTATTAGCGGCTTAGCGGCTATTAGCGGCTTAGCGGCTTTAAGAAAAAGGAAACAAACAAACGTTTCGTCTTGCGAAGCAAGCCCATAGGGAAATTCGTCTTGCGGAACGACTCAAAAAACGGAAAACTCTTTCGTTTTGCATTTTTCGTCTTGTGAGGCATTCGTCTTGCGAGGCACCACTGTATTCTCTCCACCCTAACCTGCAAAATAGGAGAGACTCTAGAAATAATTTCTTCTGTATAAGATACTGAAATGACAGTTAGTGAAAGAAGATCCTTCTCTGGCCAATAATCCTGTACCATAATTTTCTATAGGGGAGAAAGGCCAGCTGAGTTTTTTAAATGTGTAAATCAACAAGTAATCAGCTAGCATATTATGTCCCATCTCTCTGATATAGAGGAGTCACAAGGAAACAGGTTACTGGATCCAATTTTTACCTAGACCCCATGGGAAAGTGTGTGCTCACATGTGAAGATAATTCTACACTGGAGGGTTCTTCTCAGTTGAGCTGTCACTTTTCCTAAAAGTATGAGTAACTGCTCAGGATGACATAAGCAGCAATGGAAAGAGCTGAGGGGCTCAGTTGTACTGCGCCAAAGGAGGAAGCAAAGAAGAGCTCAAACTATTTTACATCCAGATTCAGGTAGGTAGCTGTGTTGGTCCGACGCAGTCAAAATAAATAAAAAAATTGTCCAGTAGCACCTTAGGTAAAGGTACCCCTGACCGTTAGGTCCAGTCGTGGACGACTCTGGCGTTGTACGCTCATCTCACTCTATAGGCCGAGGGAGCCGGCATTTGTCCGCAGACAGCTTCCAGGTAAGGTGGCCAGCATGATTACGCCATTTCTGGCGAACCAGAGCAGTGCACGGAAACGACGTATACCTTCCCTATTTATCTACTTGCACTTGACGTGCTTTCGAACATGCACATGAAAGCTTATACCCAGAACAAACTTATTTTATATCCAGCGCACTTTGAATACTTCAGCAAAGCTCACATTCATATGCTCAATTAAAACATAATGCAGTGACACATCAGAAAAAGGAAACTATATCTTTCAGTTGCTTTTTCAGAAAGCCATATGCTTCGAGCAATCTTGTAGAAATACTATTTCGTAAAGAAAACAAAGAGAATAATCATAACAGTTGTTCCATAGCCAAGTAATTCCAAAAATACAGCACTGTATATACCACTGGTGTTATAAATGTTTATTTATATATGCACTTAAAACAACTGACTAGAGTAAAATGTGATACACATGTTGTTTTTTAAAATCAGCTTTCTGCAAATGATAAAAAGGGACTAAAAAAAGACCAATCCTAGCCCCTGCCAGATGGCTGATGGACATGGCAGTGTGGTGCAGCCGCCACCACATCCACAGTTCTGCTGCTCATGCCAGCCAGGGTGGAAGGCAGGGAAACTTATGCCAGCTGTCTTTTGGGCTGGGTGAAATGAGCCCTCTGCCCCATCCTCCACCACAAGTGCAAAAGACTGGGGATTTGAATTGTAGTTCAAGTAAAAAATCTCTCCAGTGATAAAAACAACCACTTACTTCCCAAGCTATAGAAATAGGAATAGGAGAAACAGTTTCACCAGACAGCAAAGCATATACTGTTGTCTAATTTAAGATAGAGTCATTAAGATACAGCATTCTCTGGCAATATTCCAACAACAGGTAAACAAAGCACTTCCCAGTCCCAACTCTGACTTCACTCATTGGCTAAAAACACTGACAGGCAGGAGCTGCCAGTCTGGCTCATTTAACAAAAACAGCACATTATACTTCATTATTTCTTTCTAGAAGGACTAGAAACTTATATTTAGAAAAAAGAAAGCTCAGAGCCTGGTGCCCCATTTTGGGGCACCAATTAAGGCCAATGAAGGAATTGGGTTGGCAACCCCTGTCCTAATTAACAAGCCTCCACAAACTTTAGAATCATAAAGTTGTAGAGTTGGAAGGTACCCCAGGGTCATCTAGTCCAACCCCCTGCAATGCACTTAAATCAGGAAGTAGTACAAATAAAGAGTGGAAGCAATGAAATAAACTGAAATAGCAGAATTCAACAATGGCAATTGATGGTTCAAAGGTTTATGTTTCAAATGTTAACAGTCTCAGTTAACAATGTACAGTCTACAAATACTGGTAACTTTGGGTGGCCATCAGCTATAGGGAGGTCTAATTCTACACATACCTATAAACCCACCACTGGCAATATGGCTCTTATAGGGTTACAATAAATATTTACATTGTGTGTGTCTCTGGTCTAAACAATGCTTCAGCAGTCAAGCTAAACATTTTGTCTCTTTTGACTTGCAAGCCTGAGAAAGTATTCCGTATTGGGGTGAACCAATGAAAAGTGGAAGTACCACTTGGTAATGAGTGAGGGTTAAATATAAAAAATCATTTACAAGCAAGCTTCCAAGCTGAAGACTACGCAGTTTCAAAGAATTATTGATTAAATAATGTCAGAACTATCAAGGACCACTGATAAATGATAGGATGCTGCAGAATCCAAGCTGCTGCTTTTGTGGCTACTCCAGCCAAAGGAAAGATCAATGTTCTAATCAAAACTCAACATTCTACCATGGATTCTGGATAGGAATCCACAAGCAGCAGCTCAGAAACTACAAAGCAAATGCACAGCTTTAAAAGGGGGCAAGCCTTCCTTATTTCAGAAACGAGAAGTGGTGCCAGCACTTATTTACCATTCACCTTTCAGACATCAAAGCAGAAGGAGCTCCCAGTGTCATGCAAGTGCCAATATATCAGTGAGTAATTATCAGTATCACTGTGGAAATGGAGCAGCTCTGCAGCTAAAGCAGTCACTGCTTTCTCAACACACAATTCTTCCTCTGCATTACTGAGATCATGACAACAAGTGCTAATTTATTCAGAGTCACCAGCACTGAGCAGCACTGCCGAAGTCTATGCTATAACACACTAAAGCTTTGATGAGACAAATAATTATGCCTTGCTCTTCATCACGCCCCCCTGCCTTAGCACCCAAGTCACAGTGGGGAGTGATTTCACCTCTAGATCACAGACAAGAAAACTGTTCTTGAGAAGGAGGGGTCCGGCCGCCCATTCTATTTGGAAAATGAAAAAGCCAGCATTAGTAAGAGCATTTGCCACCAGCTGCCTCTTTCTGTATCAATAGAACACATTGGTCTGCAATGACTGCAACAATTTAGCAGCTACTCAGCCTCAAAATATGAACCTATTTTCCATGGAACTCACAAAATGCCAAAGCAAACCAGAGAAACCAAACAAAGAGCTCAAAATTCAAAAAGCATCATTATAAAAACATGCAGATAATATCTCACTCAAATTCCTGTTCTAAGGCAGGCTATACGTATTGGGTGGCATTCATCTAATGCGCTGTCAATGGTAATTCTGCACAAGAACTTTTGCTTGTGCAATGGGGTTTTACCTTACTCTCCTCACCTTACTCTCCTCCTCCTACACCCCTCTCAGAATTGGCAGGGGGGCAAAGGAGAATCCTGAGAACAGCACATTGGGGAGAGAGGGATCATCTTCCACAATACTCTCACACACAGACAGAACATTTGTCATAACACAGCACTGAATTCCATCTTTTATTTCTAACTTAACCCATCAACCATGCCGTGCCAATTACATGACTTTTTAAACAAGTGCTGGCATATTTTAGCCAGACAGACCAGGACACTGATTTTCAAATAGGCTGAAAAGGCCAAACATAGCCTGTTTTATCAACCACCGAGACTGTCATGAAATTGCACCAGAAATGGTTCACGTGTAACTTTCAGGTATAATAAAGGTGTCATAGAAAGCGAAAGACACAGAATCTATCTCTACAGGCCTTCCCCAGAACTAAAACAAGTAAAGAAGGGACATGTCCCAGCTGCATTGAAAGACAGGGAAATGTGTCTCTATGCTGTCAATTAACATAAATGTCTATCTAAGTGTGCCAGCAGGCTTCTCAGACTAGAAGGAAAAGCCCTGCCAGCTGGATACTAGCAGTTAGCATGTGACAAAACATCAAGAGGCAAAAATAAGCAGGCACATTGAAATTTTAGAGATGGAGACCTTCAGGAAGGGATTACATGGGCATTCCAGAAGACAATCTGCATGCCTATATACAGGATTTTTTCATTGTAGCAGGCATCCCACTCTATTGTAGATTTTAAAGACAACTCTTTGGCAAAACAGCAGATCCACCCCAACTACATTTTCCTGTGGCTACAAATGGGAACATATGCATATAACTGGGGAAGGGTTTGGAAAGGGAGGAATGTGTGAAAGTCCCTATACAACCCCTCATAATCTGCTTTAAAATGTAGGCAAGCAATGCAAGAAGTTGAGATATCCCCAGCTGTCTTAGAGACACCTCTTTCCACTAGATGCTTCAGCAGTGCTTGCCAGTCCATACTGCTTCTCTCTCCACTAGTACAATATGACCGTAAACTAAAAATCCGAAAACCTAATATTGCAACCAAAGCAAAGCATAGGAATTAAGGAAATTCATGAAAATCAATCCATTTGCACAATTTGCTCCCATTACAGTTCTATACCACCTCCCATGTCAAGTTCGAAGGTGGTGTGTTCAACAGTATTTAAATACATGCCAGTACTTTAAAATACAGGAAGAAAATGCAGCTGAAAAACTAAGGCAGAATTAAAATTATAATACACAAAAATCAAGCACCAGTGAAGATCTGCAAGCAGAAATGTGTTTTTAAAAGGTGCCCAAACATCATTAATGCAGGTGCTCACCTAAACTCAGGGAGAAGGTGGTTCCATACTACAGGCATTGTCACAGAAAAAGCCTTCTTTCTAGTGGCTACAAACCATGCTTCCATAGCCAGCCACACAACCAGGAGCGCCTCATCAGTGGATTGTTTCAATTCTGCAGGCCAAAAGGGAGAGAAACACTCCTTCAAGTATCCTGGGTCCCAAGATATTTAAGGCATGGAACACAAGGAAGATTAAGCACATGGGGACACTGAGGGTGGAGCTTGCAAGTGCACTGTTGTCCTCATAAACACTTTGAGCATTTGTGTGTACAGGCAAATTGTCAAGAATTGCTGTATTTCTGACCTCTCTGAGGGGAATTCCATCTGTCTGATCATCATCTCCCCTCTGTCCTGATGTGAACACTGACCAGGCAAGGCTAAAGTGGCATGGCTAAAATGCTATAGGAGAGCAAAGCTCTAATGCTGCTTAAGGGTAGCAGTTCTGTCACAATCACAAGCTTTGCTTTACAAAAATGTCCCTCTTCAATTAAAGAGGTCCAATCTTTAAAGGAGGGGAGGATACTCTGGCTAAACTGTGGCTTCTGCAATGACGTCCTGTTCTCACCATGGCCACCAGATGCCTATGGGAGGCCCCAAAGAAGAGCCTAAGCACACCAGCACTCTACCCACTTGTGATTCCCAGCAACTAGCATTCAGAGGTCATGTTCAGTACATGCCCAGCAATACTATATGCATTTTGTTGTCCTCCAGTAGCTTCCAGTGAAAAGTCCCTTATGCATTTATCTTCATCTCTACCCATCACTTTCAAAACCAGTTTCAAAGTCACCTGCCCATAGCAGTGTTTCTTTTTGCCACAAAATAGAATTTAAGAATAAATACTCTCATAAAAGGAACCAAGCTGGCATCATTTGCACGTATGCACAATTTGTTAGTGTTGAGCTTCCTGGATGAAGATTACATAGATTCTGTTCACATGCTTTCCTAGATTTTACTTTTTTATTTCCACTAGAAGATAAGGTCCAATCATTCAAGATTCAAAGCTCCAGGAATTAATCAGACAAGCTTCTGCTTTCCCACCAGTTTAAAAAGCTTGTTAATGGTTACTTTCACTATCCACTTATTTCAGACAAGAAAAGTAGTCAGCACAATAGCAAGGCCGTTTAGATGCAATGTCAGAGAATCAATTAGTATTTCATGGCTAAGCTCATACACTGGCAGGCAATTATGAAATTGCCTCCAAAGCGAGTTCTGACTGGCTCTGACTGAGCTTTAGTCCTCCTGGGCATGCATTTAAAAGAAATCCCACTTGGGGTCTCTTAAACCAACACTAATTAAGTCATATTCAAGTTAACAGCTTCCCTGCTGGCTTACTCAGCTGGGACGTCCTCAATTATAGAGCTTAATTTTGGCCACCAAAGAAGTTGGGAAATAGGAAAATGGGCTGAACATCTGTCTCACCACAGGTCTGAAAACCCAAAGACCCCGGAGGAAGAAAACAAGTTGCTTACCTTTAACTGGGGTTAAAGGTCATTAGTGCTGCCACATATACAGGATCAGAACATGTGCAGAGCCATCCATGGAACCTTCTAGCACTTTAACTAAGAAGATGGTGCTCCTGCCCACCCACCCTCTTAGGAAAAGCATTTTGACTCTCAGCATCTTGACTTTCATCTTGGGTCTTTGCAGTCTCATGTAAGAGCGCCTAGGGGGCTAAAACACAAGAAGGAATGTACCTATGAGGAAAGTGTATAAAGAACACTGTCAAAGGCAGTGTTTGATCTGGCACACATAACCAAGGACAATAGTGCTTTACGGATGTGAGCAGAATGGACCATCAGTCAGGGTCTATCATTAGACAGAGTGAGACTACCGCTTCAGGCTGCGGATGCTGGAGGATGGGGAGTGGTAGGGAGATGGTGGGAAGACAGAGCTGTGTGGGTCAAACACCCTGCCCTCTGTCAGCCTGTTGTGATGCACATGGAAGTGGGCACCAGCCACAAGGAATGCACAAAGAGCTGAAACTGTCCTCCTGAGCAGGAGTGACAGCTCCCTATCTAGAGCACTGGAACATTCTGGAAAAAGTTTGCACAGGCAAATACATACAGATCCCATTTGTGTGATTAAGAAGAATGCAGGAATCCTAAATATTGCAAATATATTACTTGAATCATTTCAAAATCCAGAACCTTGGCTCCCCCTAGCTCAGGGGTAGGCAACCTTTTTTCTGTTGAGATCTGCATTCCCTGGGGGATAATCTGTCGGGAGTTGCATACAGACAGTGGGTGGGGCTTAAGCCCAAAGTAGGTAGGGTCACCTTTTCTCTCTGCCACCCCCCCCCCCTTTATTCTCTGTCAACCAAAAGTACTCAACTACAGTTGGGAGATTGAAAGCATTGTCCTTTTTTGCAGCATATGTAATAAAACAAGTCTTTTACAGCATCTCTGAAATTTTATAATGTCATCTCCGGGTCTGTCTGCTGCCCTGGGCTTAGGGTAAAGGGTTTGGTGAGCTCCGTCAATATCACTTTCTGTCAGCTCCATTTCAGGAAACAGACCATTCAGCCATACAAGCAGATCAGTATAGCAATTTATAGCATTATTTTCATCATCAAACTTACCCCTAAGGTTGTCTGCAGCAGCATTCCTTCCAAATCCCCCATTTGTCTCTTTATACCTAGCTGTTCCTCTACAAGGTTTCTAATGGTTTCTAAGTCCAAATCCTGACCCATCAGAGGGAAGAATAGAAGGGCCAGATGGAACCTGCTGTTTTAGGACACTGTGCAAAGGCGGGGATCTTTTTTGCCCTGGCAGACCAGATGCTTATCTCCTCCCTACCCCTGCAGGCCACCTTCAATAGATAGCTGGGAAACCCCACGTCAATAATCTGGCATCACAATAATTGACATGTGTCAAAGTCCCTTATGCAGCACTTTTTACCGTACTTTCCAAACGGTCAACGGTCAACAACCAGTTAAAAAAATGGCCTATCCAGTGTACAGTTGTAGAACAGCAGCATTAGCAGCACTGGTTCTGCAATACAAGGATAAATCTATTTCTTTAAATTCTGGGTCCTTGTTCTATACGATAACAAGTTTTTGTTTCCAGATGTTTTTGTTTCCTCATGTTTGCAAAGAACCCCAAATCATCTTAATGAAGCAAGTGTGAGGAACCTTTGGCCCTCCAGATGTTACTGCACTACAACTCCCATCAGCCCCAGCAATCATGGCCAATGGCCAGGGATGGTGACTGTTGTAGTTCAGCAATATCTGGAGGATGAAACATTCCCCATACAGTGGAACCTTGGGTTTCATACCGTCCTCCTTATGAATGCTTCAGATAACGAGCTCCACTAACCCGGAAGTAGGTCTCCTGGTAGCGAATTTTGCCCCAGGATGCAAGCAGAAGTCACATGTTGGCAGCACGGCGGCAGCGGGAGTCCCCATTAGCAAAAGCACACCTCAGGTTAAGAATGGTTTCGGGTTAAGAACAGACCTCTAGAACGAATTAAGTTCATAACTGGAGGTACCACTGTACTTGTAATAAAAGGTAAAAAAGCCTAAGAGGCATTGGAGGTATAATGAAACATGATTTCTCATCCCTTGCCAGTATTCATGTGAGTCTGCATTTTAAAAAATAAATACAAATTTCAGGAGCTTATATCAACCAAGTTAATCATGCAGTGTTACATAAACTTGAATTTATTATAATCCAGGTAGCAGCAGTACAAATGTCTAGAAGAGAAGGACTGCAGAGGCATGACATCAATGCAGAATTTTGCTCAAGGACTGCAAAACTGAAGCCTTTAGACATTAACACTGCAGCTGAACAAGATGTCTATGGTTATCACAATATTATGAACACAGAGAAAGATTGAATGGTACTCCTCTTATACCAAATTGCCCAGAGGCTACAATGCGCTTTGGGAATTCATGTGCGCCTCAGTCCACCATACATAATGAAATTTCCTGGAACCAATACAGAGTCACAAAGTATTGACTTCTAAAACCCTGTGGGAATGAGTACTACAATCCACATCACTGCTGAACATATTTTTATTTTTTTCAAAATACAGACAGCAAGGCTTAAACTACAGTATCAAATCAATGGTATTACTTTTGCTATTCTGTTAAACTTGGCTGCCTGTAAATTATGAAGACCCTTCAGCACTGTGACTATTTTCATTTACACATGTGAAATTTTGGTTTTATCAACCAAGAATCAAGTTTGGGAAACATCAATAGACAATTATTACTTTTGGGGGTGGAGGAGAAAAACACACAAGCCTCGTTTGCCAATATCGCAACTTTCAACCAGGGAAAGGACAGTAGGTACTAGAAGATTCACATAAGGAAACTGCACCATATGAATATATTTTTTTGTATTACAGCCAGCAGGAGACATGTGCCTACCCCTTGACATCCAAAGAATTTCTCCAGAAGGCTCATTCTACATTTATCTGTATATAACATATTATAAGCACTTAACTACCCAAGAGGTTCAATACACACTTAGATAACCCTCACTCTTATCTATTAGATTATAATATTCTTACTTTCCTAGAGGTCATGGTAATTGATCTCCCTGGCATAGAGAGTTTGTTCCAAGATCTGACAAAAAGCCACTATGGAGAGAAAGTTTTACATGGATAAGGCAGGAGCTGCCACTACAGAACCCAAAACTAGTTTGGAAATGCAGGGATAATCTATAGAATATTAACTCCTTGGGACCCAAGTCTCTCCAGTCTGAGTTTTTCTGAGTTGTCTTTAACACAGACCGACAACCTGCCACATTCTTGTCTGCTAAAGGAGGATTGAATGAGTCATAAGATTCTCCTACCTCTGGCCCTTAAGGTTTAGCAGATGTTTGGCTCCCTTAGTAGCACAGAAGTACAGTACTCTGTTCAATTAATTCTGTTCTCGGTAGCACAATATGCTCTTAAACATAAAAGTGGAACAAAGCCAAATGAGGCTTTGAGTGTTTATTCTTAATGCATTAGGTCATCAAAGGTCCACTTCAAAATCAGAATTTACATTCCTGAGCCAGTCGCGGAGCTTCATGCTCTGGCACCAGGGGACGGAGAAAAGGCAGGGGCGGGGCTGGCACGAGTCCCGGGGGCATGGCACACCACCTGTAGGGGAGTGGTGCACGTCATAGGGGCGTGGCGCACCGCTCGTAGGGGTGTGGCGCCCAGCACAGGCAGGGGAGCAGCCGAAATGGCACCCCGCCAGGATCACGCTGCCGGGGGTGGTGCACTCCTCCCGCAAGCCTCTTCCTCCGCCAGTGTCTTGAGCATCATGCAACTACCCTGGGATCCTATGGGAGGAAGGGCAGGATATAAATTTAATAAATAAATCCAAGCACCTGGATAGGTTAGTAACAGCAACAACTGTAGCAGCAAAAGGATTTCTTCCCTATCTGGGAAACGAATTCTATGACTATGACAAGAACCACCTATTTATTTGATTTTTATGTTGTGTATTGTTAATTCTCTTCAGAGACCTACATAACAGATTTTGCTGTTTGCTTCCTAGCAACACAAACTAATTTAGCTGCTACATTCCTAAATGGAGTTAATATTTTTAACATTACGTAAGTGCAGCAGATACATTAAAAGTCAAAAGAGACATAGGATCTTATGTATCTCTTATGTGTCCTGGCCTTTTTTGTCCCATTTTTCTGTAGCCCTTATCTCATCTCTGCCTGCCAAGAGTAACACTTTTTCTCTAATTAAGTGGGCTCTGGTCTACAATTAAGAAGTAACAATAAATCTGTTGTTTTTAAAGGTACAAGAAGATTTATTTCTGCTGTAATAAAAGTGCTTTCTCAAACACGAGCAGAAGCAGATCTAGACATGGTTTGGCTATTTAATAAGTGCATCATCAGTAACAGATGAAAACCAACGTATGCAGTGGTCTGGATTGAGAAGCATTCTGCACTAAAGAAGATCACAAATGTCACAGCTGCATATTTGAGTTTAAACTAGTTTTCTATAAATACACTCATAAACAACATTTGTTTTCTTCAAGGTATAATACAGACAATCCACACAAAAATGCAGAAATGTTCCAACTGTCAATGTCTTGACACCAAAAAGCAGTGTCAAGCCGTTTGGATCAGTAATAGAGCAAATGCTTTGCATGCAGAAGGTCCCAGATTCAATCCCCTACATCTCTTGTTAGGGCTAGGAGAGAATCCTGTCTGAAATCCTGGAAAGCCTCTACCAGCCAACATAGCCAATACTGAGCTAAACAAACCAATGGTGACTCAGTAGAAGTCCGTTTCATATGTTACTATGTAAGTAGTGAAAACCAGTTAGCTGCCTCAGAGGTAGATAGTGGGGGCAGCAGCAACCCCCAAACCATTCCTTCTGAACCCCCTCTGCACCTCTCCATATACCTCCTTAACTATTCTTCTACCATCAGCTGCAAACCTTTTCCTAATTTTGAAAGCCAATGTAGTATAGTGGTCAGGGTACTGGACTAGGACCTGGGAGACCAGGGTTCAAATCCCCACTCAGGCATGAAGCTAACTGGGCAACCTTGGGCCAGTAACCATTTCTCAACCTAACCTACCATTCAGGGTTGTTGTGAGATACAATTATGACTGGTGAATAAGAAAATAAAAAGTTACCACGTCTGTAAAATTTATTTTTGGGAAATGAAAAAGAAAAGAAGACTAATTAATTTGAACAAAACAACCCTAGTTGTCAGCAAGCAATGCAGTAGTGACAAATAGCAAAGCAAGCTTAAAACTAGTTAAAATAAGAATTTGGTTTTGTACAGTTACAGTTATCAAATGAACAGGTGGACTTATCTCAAAAGAAATCCTTCAGAACTGACATAAGAATCATTTCTCTGCTCTTTCTGTTATTTGCGAAAATGACAATGCTAATTTCACTCCAAGGAACATAAATAAACTTTTTGAATGTTGGGTTTAAAACTTCCTTACGGTTAATATTTGAAGAAGTAAATTACAGTGGTACCTCGCAAGACGAATCATAGAATCATAGAATCATAGAATCATAGAGTTGGAAGAGACCACAAGGGCCATCGAGTCCAACCCCCTGCCAAGCAGGAAACACCATCAGAGCACTCCTGACATATGGTTGTCAAGCCTCTGCTTAAAGACCTCCAAAGAAGGAGACTCCACCACACTCCTTGGCAGCAAATTCCACTGTCGAACAGCTCTTACTGTCAGGAAGTTCTTCCTAATGTTTAGGTGGAATCTTCTTTCTTGTAGTTTGGATCCATTGCTCCGTGTCCGCTTCTCTGGAGCAGCAGAAAACAACCTTTCTCCCTCCTCTATGTGACATCCTTTTATATATTTGAACATGGCTATCATATCACCCCTTAACCTCCTCTTCTCCAGGCTAAACATGCCCAGCTCTCTTAGCCGTTCCTCATAAGGCATCGTTTCCAGGCCTTTGACCATTTTGGTTGCCCTCCTCTGGACACGTTCCAGTTTGTCAATGTCCTTCTTGAAGTGTGGTGCCCAGAACTGGACACAGTACTCCAGGTGAGGTCTGACCAGAGCAGAATACAGTGGCACTATTACTTCCCTTGATCTAGATGCTATACTCCTATTGATGCAGCCCAGAATTGCATTGGCTTTTTAGCTGCCGCGTCACACTGTTGGCTCATGTCAAGTTTGTGGTCAACCAAGACTCCTAGATCCTTTTCACATGCACTGCTCTCAAGCCAGGTGTCCCCCATCTTGTATTTGTGCCTCTCATTTTTTTGCCCAAGTGCAATACTTTACATTTCTCCCTGTTAAAATTCATCTTGTTTGTTTTGGCCCAGTTCTCTAATCTGTCAAGGTCGTTTTGAAGTGTGATCCTGTCCTCTGGGGTGTTAGCCACCCCTCCCAATTTGGTGTCATCTGCAAATTTGATCAGGATGCCCTTGAGTCCATCACCCAAGTCGTTGATAAAGATGTTGAATAAGACCGGGCCCAAGACAGAACCCTGTGGCACCCCACTAGTCACTCTTCTCCAGGATGAAGAGGAACCATTGATGAGCACCCTTTGGGTTCGGTCAGTCAGCCAGTTACAAATCCACTGAGTGGTAGCATAGTCAAGACCACATTTTACCAGCTTCTTTACAAGAATATCATGAGGCACCTTGTCAAATGCCTTGCTGAAATCAAGGTAGGCTACATCCACTGCGTTCCCTTCATCCACCAGGCTTGTAATTCTGTCAAAAACGAGATCAGGTTAGTCTGACATGACTTATTTTTCAGAAATCCATGCTGACTATTGGTGATCACAGCATTCCTTTCTAGGTGCTCACAGACTGTTTGCTTAATGATCTGCTCCAGAATCTTCCCTGGTATTGATGTCAGACTGACTGGGCGGTAATTATTTGGGTCCTCTCTTTTCCCCTTTTTGAAAATAGGGACAACATTTGCCCTCCTCCAGTCTGCCGGGACTTCGCCTGTTCTCCAGGAATTCTCAAAGATGACTGCCAGTGGTTCTGAGATCACATCTGCCAGTTCTTTTAATACTCTTGGATGCAGTTCATCTGGCCCTGGAGACTTGAATACATCTAAACTAGCCAAGTATTCTTGTACTATCTCCTTAGTTATTCTGGGCTGTGTTTCCTTTGCTGAATCATTTGCTCCAAATTCTTCAGGTCGGGCATTGTTTTCTTTATCGGAGAAGACTGAGGCAAAGAAGGCATTGAGGAGTTCAGCCCTTTCTGTGTCCCCTGTTTGCATTTCACCATCTTCTCCTCTGAGTGACCCCACTGTTTCTTTGTTCTTCCTTTTGCTACGGACATACCCATAAAAGCCTTTTTTGTTGCTTTTAACCTCTCTAGCAAGCCTGAGTTCATTCTGTGCTTTAGCTTTTCTGACTTTGTGTCTACACGTGCTGGCTATTTGTTTGAATTCCTCTTTGGTGGTTTCCCCCTTTTCCATTTTTTGTACACATCCTTTTTCAATCTTAACTCAGTTAAAAGTTCTTTAGATAGCCACCCTGGCTTCTTTAGGCACCTTCCATGTTTCCGTCTCATTGGTATTGCCTGACGTTGTGCTTTTAGTATCTCCCTCTTAACAAACTCCCAGCCATCATGAACTCCCTTTCCTTTTAGTATTACTGTCCATGGGATCTCACCCAGCACTTCCCTAAGTTTTATGAAGTCAGCTTTCTTAAAGTCAAGAAATTGAGTCCTAGTATGCTTGGCTGCTCCTTTCCGCTGTATAGTAAACTTCAGAAGAGCATGATCACTTGCGCCTAATGATCCTTCCACTTCTACCCCACTAACCAGGTCATCAACATTGGTTAGGACCAGATCTAAAATGGCTGTTCCTCTTGTTGCTTCTCCCACTTTCTGGACAATGAAGTTGTCTGCAAGGCCAGTGAGGAATCTGTTTGACCTTATGCTCTTGGCTGAGTTTGACATCCAACAAATATCCGGGTAATTGAAGTCCCCATTACTACTATCTCCCTTCCTTTTGCATGCTTGGCCATCTGTTCCAGGAAGGCATCATCTATGTCCTCCGTTTGGCTTGGGGATCTATAGTAAACTCCCACAATGAGGTCACTGTTATTCTTCTCTCCCTTAATTTTGACCCAAATGCTCTCACTTTGGCTTTGAGGTTCTAAATCTTGGATCTCTTCACAGGTATACACATCCCTGACATATAACGCCACTCCTCCTCCTTTCTTGTCTGGTCTGTTTCTCTGAAATAGATTGTATCCCCCCATTATTACATTCCAATCGTGGGACTTATCCCACCAGGTTTCAGTGATGCCTATTATGTCATATTTAGTTTGCTGTACCAAGAGCTCAAGCTCATCTTGTTTATTTCCCATGCTTTGCGCATTAGTGTACAGACATTGAAGTCCATTAATCATTCCCCGTGACTCTTATTTAAGGATTTTTCCTCCCACCACTAGGTCTGTGTGCTGTTTGCTCCATTTGGTCTATGACATTTGGATGATCATCTTCATCAATTGATAGACTCCTACCTTCAGGAGCACTATCTCCCTCCCCACATTAGTCAGTTTAAAGCCCTCCTGATGAGGTTTCTGAGATTTTGGCAAAAACATTTCTCCCAACCGTTGTGAGGTGCAGCCCATCGCTTGCCAGAAGTCCATCTTCAAGAAACTGCAGTCCGTGATCTAAGAATCCAAACCGTTCCTGTTTACACCATTTGCGAAGCCAGCTGTTCACTTCCACTATTTTCCCTCTCTCCCTGGGCCACGTCGTTCAACTGGGAGGACAGATGAGATCACAATTTGTGCATTTAATTGCTTCAATTTCCTGCCCAGAGCCTCGTAGTCTCTTTTGATCTTCTGGAGGCTATTGCTTGCAGTGTCATTGGTTCCCACGTGAACCAAGAGGAAGGGGTATTTGTCAGTGGGTTTTATGATTCCTTGCAGTCGTTCAGTTACATCTTGGATCTTAGCCCCGGGGAGACAGCACACTTCCCGAGACATCTTGTCAGGCCCACAATGCCTCGCAAGACGGAAAACTCGCAAAACGAAAGGGTTTTTGGTTTTTTGAGTTGCTTCGCAAGACGATTTTCCCTATGGGCTTGCTTCGCAAGACGGAAACGTCTTGCAAGTTTGTTTCCTTTTTCTTAAAACCGTTAATACAGTTGCGACTTGACTTTGAGGAACAACTCATAGCACGCAGTGTGGTAGCCTTTTTTGAAGACTTTGGTGATTTTTGAAGCTTTTCCAAAACTTTTCCGACACCGTGCTTCGCAAGACGAAAAACCGCAAGACGAAAAAACTCGCGGAACGAATTAATTTCGTCTTGCAAGGCACCACTGTACTGGACTTATAAGGCTCCATTATGTTATGTCTGCAGGGCTCATTAGATGACATTATCTTACAGAGTTTTTCTCATCTTAAGTCTTTTAAGTCCTGTGTTATTTTAAATCCATTTGTGAGAGCATTTCTCACACAGATGTGCTTAACTGTAAATCAAGAGGCTGTTCTCAGATTCTGCCATCTCAGGAACAGCATCTAGAGGTTGAATATCCTCTGACATTTGTTCTCATCACAGGTGTGGAAACTACTCATAAGGATAACTGTTGCCCACCCCTGGAAATAGTTTAATTGTGTAAAATAGTCATTATTCCCACAACTTTAGACATCCATCCAAAAAGCAAAGCTTACACTGAGATGCCTAAAGTAGTAAAACTAATCTAACATAGCTGAACTCTGGCCTAGCCAACATAATTTTGAGTGGATACCTTCCATTGTTTGGAAGAGGCTGGGAAGGCTAAAAGCACTAAGAGAGGCAAATTGAGCTTTACATGCTGATCAACTTTGGGATCTGGGGCAATGAGAAATAGCAGTAAAGTGGTACCTCGGGTTAATTCGTTCTGGATGTCTGTTCTTAACCTGAAACTGTTCTTAACCTGAAGCACCACTTTAGCTAATGGGGCCTACTGCTGCCGCTGCGCTGCTGCTGCACGATTTCTGTTCTCATCCTGAAGCAAAGTTCTTAACCCGAGGTAATATTTCTGGGTTAGCGGAGTCTGTAAACTGAAGCATATGTAACCTGCAGCGTATGTAACCCGAGGTACCACTGTGCAGTGACATTCTCAGGATTCCCCATTGTAATGTTTGCCAAAGGATAACTCAAAAGCTTGATGACGATCATTAGGTTGAAGTATATATACCATTATCATAAAACAGCAAGATGGAAGGGACAATAGGGCTTGCGTGTCAAGACCCCATAGCCACCCCCTCAACTTTATTGATTACAGAATGTGAGCGGTATTGGCTTAGGCATTGAATGGACCCGACTATATCTGACTCCTGCCCGATGCGCAGGAAGGCCGGCAAGGGTAAACCACCGGAAGGGGGAGCCCTGTCAATGCATACCAACTCGAGCTTCCCCTCGTGTTCCCGTTGGGGTCGTGTCATGGCCCTAGCCCCTGACCCGGGCTTCGGACAAGATCAACACCCCCGGATTCCTTTAACAGAATACCTTAAGCTTGGAGGGGCAGGTGATGGACATACCTCCCCTCCCCCACCACAAGGTCATACAATGCCTAACCGCAACCCTAACAAAGTTGTGACAATTGCTACGAGGTAGGCAAAAACCAAATGGCCAGTGCCAATTTGCCATGTGCAAAAATTCCTACCAGGCCCCTTAACGGCGACCAACCAAGGTCCATAGCAAGGCCAGTGCCTAAAACCTGCAAAATAGGGAGGGAGGAAGGGCGGGTGATTGAGGAAGTGAGCCAAAGAGGAAGCCCTCCGGCTTGCACCTCAGCTTAAACGGACCCAACCACACACACCCCGGCCAGCGGATTGGCTGGCCGGGCTCTGACATGGCCGGGATCCCCCAGGCAACGGGGGACAAAGTCCCCCGCCCCCAGTGGGGAGTAGGTGGCCACGTGATCCACCGCAACTCCTCCCCACTGAGAAGTGGAGCAGATTTGCATGTCAAGACCCTGTAGCCACCCCCTTGTTGGGAAATAACTCACACAAGGAACTATAATGCTTATCTTTTCTAGAACTCATGGAAAGAGAGATACTCTAAGATATTAGTGTTGGCTACATGCTTACAGATTGTGCTCGTGTAACAAATAAAAATAGAAGGTCAACTCCCAGCACTGTAGCATGCACTTTTATATTCAAAAAGCTTCAATTACACACCAGGTAGCAGTTCTGTTTCCAGTCAGATTCTGCTGATGTAGTTTAACTATTAGATTTCCAGAAATCAGCAGAAGTGCTAATCCTGCCAATTAGCCAATTTCCACCTCACACTCTCAACATCATGCAATTATTGGAGTAGTTAATGAGTAACATGCATTCAGCTTCTAAGGCCATCATCAGCAATGTCCTGAAAGGTTGCTGTGCCAAGAGAGTACTAAATAGAATGACTGGACCTGTTTTAAACTTTACAAATTATTTAGTTTACAATCCTTCATATAAGGCAGCCACACCATGCTAAATGCAAGTGAGCTGAAAAAGGCAAATATGCTTGCTTCAGGGTTAACATACTAGTTTTAGAAGGTAAAGGTATGCATGCCCATGTCCAAACATGTGTTAATATTCAACTAACCACTGGAGGGCAACAAGTATATTTCCCCAGAATTCAAAGCATATATTTTCCAGTAACTGGCCCAACCAGTATCTTCTTTATAAAACTTATTTAAAATAAAAAAGGGGAAATATCCCTAGAAGTCTGAGTGCATTAAGCATGTTCAGAGTGGCAAAAAAAAAATCCTTATGCATTTCTAAATCATTTACAGATCACAGAAATAAATATTACTTCAGAAAATTTGAAGTCCTATACTGAATTTCAGAACACATAGCTGCTAGCGTTCTGCTAAAATGGTGTGAATTACAGAGTAGAAGATCTACACTTAAGCTGATCATGCACACAGGAAGTTGTATGAAGAGTCAGATGCTACAAGGTGCTGCTGACTCCACAGAAAGTTCTTCAAGTACGGTACTTCACATTTATTTTTATTCATATGCAATTAGCGTATGTCCAACATGAGTTCAGAGCAGAGTACATGGGGTTCCAAGTTAGTCTCTAACCAAGGACTAGCTTGGCTTCAATTTACTTAGCTTTAGAAACAGAGCTACACCAGGTGCCATCAGGCTGTGATGTGGGGCTATGAAACCATTTCATTGTATGAATGCAGCATGATTACTCTTAATTATTTAATAGCACTGCTAACAGTATTTTTAGTTTGAATTATTGTGGCAGGCGATGAATTTGGATTCAAAATTATCTGGATGCAGTATTCACAGACCAGATTGTGATCTTCTGTTACCCACACTGAGGGAACAGATGATGTACAACAGTGGTCTGTTCACATGGAACTGTGCCCAGATTATTGTAGGAAAAAATCCTGTACTATCTGCAGGTCTCCAGAGCCACTATGGTGGATTCAGGCATGCACATTTCCTCACCAGCAGAGGAAAAAGAGACACATATGTTGTTAATGCAAGATAATGTGGCTTCTAAGCCTAGGTGGGGAAACTGTAGTCAATTCTTGCTCCACAGTATTTGCGGAAGGCCACCTGATTAAAATATGTTTAATGAGTAAAAAGCAAATACAAAGGAGCACCGTGATGCTCCATGCCAGAAATACTGTGGAGAATTCTCTATGGTGCCATACAGGTTGCAAATGAGAATTCTGAAAAGAGCTGCTGGGAAGCAGCAGCAGTGGGGGACTGTCTATATTAGAAAAGTACACTGTGTTACTAACACAGATTAGCATTCTCTGTCAAAACATATTTGTTCACACAAATTTTCCTTGAGGACTGGTAACAATAAGGTGTTACAGCTCACTTAAAGTTTTAACAGAACAAGCAATGTATTAACATGCTTTTAATGCCTCAACAAGACATATACTAAAGGGCTGGTTCAGACATAATATTCCTAACTTCATAATCCATGGAAGACAGTTTATGAAGTTTCTAATTTCAACAGGACTGAGAGTCCTGCCACTGTGCACCAGTTTTAAAGCAGATATCCTGTTTCTTTAAAACAAAGTTCCCCACTCTGCATGTAATCCAAAACAAAGGAAGATCCCCAAGTCAACACGTGAACAAGGGGAAGAGACCACATGAACAATGCTTGTTCCTGGCTTCAAAACCATAGTTTATGGTTTATGAAGCCAGGAACATAACACTTGAACTGTTCTTTTAACACATGCTGGTTTATTAGCATTTTTTAAAATCTACAGTGGTACCTCGGGTTACATACACTTCAGGTTACATACGCTTCAGGTTAGAGGCTCCTCTAATCCAGAAATAGTACCTCAGGTTAAGAACTTTGCTTCAGGATGAGAACAGACATCACGTGGCAGCAGCGCGGCAGCAGCAGGAGGCCCCATTAGCTAAAGTGGTGCTTCAGGTTAAGAACAGTTTCAGGTCAAGAACGGACCTCTGGAACAAATTAAGTACTTAACCCGAGGTACCACTGTATATTGTATTATGCCTGTGGCACTAAAGCCTTTGGAACAGTTTGGCTAATGGTGTGAAATATTTGGGAAATTAAAAAGGGAAACTAAGAAAACTGCAGCCTGGCTTTTCAGAGAGAATGCAAAGTTGTCAAACTGATTAGTTTTCAAAGCCACATACAGGGTAAGTTGCATATGGAAAAGAGGTACTGTGTGGGACATAGTTACAGGTAGGTAGCCATGTTGGTCTGCCGTAGTCGAAACAAAATAAAAAAATTCCTTCCAGTAGCACCTTAGAGACCAACTAAGTTTTTTATTGGTATGAGCGGTATCTGAAGAAGTGTTCATGCACACGAAAGCTCATACCAATAACAAACTTAGTTGGTCTCTAAGGTGCTACTGGAAGGAATTTTTTTATTGTGTGGGACATAGTGAGGCTAAAGGACAAGGAGAAAAGTATAGAGTAAGCAATGGCTTGAAGGGCAAACATGAAGGATAGATAGTTGGTGAAGAAGATTTGAGGATGAAGAACGGAGGTGGCAAGGAATCTGTGACACAAACTAATAAAGGAGGAGATTCTGAATAAACTTTAGAAATACTCCATGACCCTCCCTGCAAACAACAGGCACATTTGCTCTGTGGTCACAAGAATCAAAAGCAGAAAGAGCCACATGGAATTTGATCCCATGTCAGAAGACCATTGTGCCTAGCAGCATAAAAATCTACCTGTGCCCCAAAGATGCTTTGGTCAGTGTCATTATCTTCTGTCTCATCAACATCAGTTTATCATGAGTCTAGAATCTTAGAATCCTTTGCCAAGAAAAAAATGAAGTTGTAGTCTCCAAGGCAAACATCATAGATCAGAACTGCCTCTCTTATTCACTAGATGAGACTCAATAAAGATAATTTGGAACAGTATTTTGTTTTGTTTTCATTAACTTATAGACCAAGATGACAGGTGATAGATCTAAAGTTTAGATTCTGACAAGGAAATTCAGTTATGGTTTTTGCTGTCACTGCAACCACCTAGCATGGAAGTCCCCCAAAACCATCAGTCTGAGTCCTCAACACCACCTTCGAGAACAGCTCTGTAAGCTCGACTGCTGGGCAGTGATGCTGGCAGTAAACCAGCAGAGACTGAATTTCTATAGACCACAGTAACTTCCCCTTCCTCAACCCTCAAGTCTGCCCTGATGCTGCACCATGTACACAGGTGGGAATAGCTGGATAAGACCACCCTGCTCACCCACCCAGGACTCAAGTGATACAGAGCAGATCAGCTCTTCATCCACAGTTGGATCATGGATGAGGGATATCTTATTCAGAGCCAACCTGGCATTCAACAGCAGCAGCAGCAGACTTGAAGGTTGGCTGATAAGAAAAAGTACTGATAAAGCACGTCACTTGTTGGGTACCTAGACATTTAACATTGTGTCCCAGGTCCTCTAGCCGAAACCAGTAAACGGTTGGATGAAAAGAATACCTAAAACTCTACATAAAACTCTAAATTTGTTTTCCCTATGGTGTCTGAAACAAATAATGACATCAGTAAAATGTTTAGCAAATTTAAGTCAAGGCACAAGGGGAAAATGCAGCTTCACATCCCCAATGTTCAGCTGATTATTATTTAATAATAAGATGCTCACTGGCATACAACACCACTTGTTTTGGAACCCTCTATCTCAAAATCACTACTGAAGAATCTGTCCCAATTTTGAAAAATTAACATACCCTACAAGCAATTTGACAGACCAAGGCTTAGCAGTGCAAATGTTGCATTAAGCATTTGTGAACTGTAGATTTCTCTCTAATGTACATAGCAAGAACAGAACATGTTCTCTCAATGCAGGCAAGTCTTGGAATGAGCAAGCAAAAAACCAAAAAGAGTGCTCAACTGGCTCTTCTAGCCAAGACACCAACTAACGGCACACACTCTTGACTGCATGCAAAGACATGGACTTGTGCAGGGCTTGAAATATTCTAGGCATCTGCCCACCAAAATGCTTAACATGATGCTGGAACTCAGAGAGACAAAATATTTCTCCCTACTGAATATATACAATGAATTTCAAAAATCTGGTGGCTGTTAGATTCAAAATTGGCTTTAATCGTTTCTATCAGAAAACAAAAAATAAAAAGAATCATAAAAGTGTGTCAAACCCACACAATGTCCACTGGCGTCTCAGCTCATTTGTACAACCATCTGACTCAAAATAGTAATAATGCTGAAAGTACAGAATCCAGTACTCACAGGCCCAATCCACATGATTGCCACCCCTCAGAATCAAAGTGTGTGTTCAGCCATAATATATACCAGCCCTGTGCATACTGGAGTATGTGCATAGGCCTTTTTCCAACATTATCTTCAATGTGTGGCTATCAGGCATCCCTAGTGGTCAGAGATAGCAGGTACAATCCCACTCCACACTGCATGGGCTCCACACAACTGGAGCTCTCTGTTGATCAGTTCAGCAATATAGAAATAAAAGTCAAGGCTTTGGGGGTAAAGACCTCAGACAGTAAGTAAAATAGTAAGAGAAACTAAAATGAGTTGCTAAGAGTTTACAACCATACCCTCAAATAAAATAGCAAGTTAATTTTCAGATGGCAATAATTTACTATGAATTCTTCAAAACTCCAAAGAGAGTCAGATACTTGTTAAGAAAAGAAACTGCACTCTACTACCATCAGTCTTGCTCCCTCGTCATGCATGCTTGCTCTACCTACCAAAGCTGCTTTGGGGTTGCTGAACAATGTCCAAATGATCTAGCCTTCTAGGCAATCTCTACTGGCTAACAGATTTTATGCTTGTCAGTTTTCAGTGCTGACGTTTTTGACACTAGCTGAAGTCTGAGACACTTCAGAACTTAAACATTCCTTCGTCCATGGTTGCAGATACATGCTAAGTAGGGATGCAGCCAACATTTACTCTTCAGCAGTTTGAACAACACCCTATCCCCTCATATTCCAGCCAGCTAAATCAGAATACTTGGTTTTAAGAACAACTTAGTCTCCCAGTCAGTCTCGGTGCCAAAGAATCTACCCATTGTCACAGTCATGTGTTTTATTTTTTAATTGAGGAGTACTGGATGGAAAGCATGGTTGAAAAAGCTCTCACTGCTAATTCCAGATACTAATAATAATCCATTACAAAACACCCCTTTATAAGCAAGTGACTACTTTAGCTGCAGATCTTATGTGGATAATTACAGAGAAATATATTCTAAAGATATTGCTTTTTATATTAATGAATGGCATAAGAAAGAAAGCATAGTTCCCCACTTTACTTTAGAAATAATCCTATTGAGGGTATGAAATATTTTGCTGTAATTTCTTTAAGTAACTGCCTGAAAAATCCCTAGAGCTGAACAGCTTGGGCAGTGCAAAGTAGGGGTGAGGTGTTTTGTTTTTTTAATTAAACAGAAGGAATGCAATGCTATTTATGAATTGTGCTAGAGAAGAAACTGTTATCTGTCAAGTTAAGGGAGCTAACATTCAGGAAAATAACTACAATGAAAAGGTACAATGGCCATGAGTTTTGGCACTGGCTATAACATTGTTTTACTGTTTTTAATGTATGCTGCTCTGACCTCCCCAGGAACAGCAAAATATAAATTATTTTAAATTAAATAAATAATGTGTTTTAAGTTTCAAAACCACTGCTACAAAACACTGGTATAAGGAAGTGTGGAAAGAAGAATATGAGCAGGACTATCTGTCTGCTCATAAACATAATTAGATCATGAAGATTTGCACTTTAGCAACAACTAATTCAGAGCTCAGTGATACTGAGGGCAGCAACTGTTATTAAGCAAAGATAATATCTAGGACTTCAAAGCAATACTTCTGCAATGTAGTATTTCATGGCTGAACTAGCAAAGTTTAGGTACAATGTTATTTGTTGAGCTCTCCTGCCATACATTCTTCAGGGACCTGGACTTACATAACAGTAGCCCCTACTAAGACTATAATTTCACCACCCACTATCCTCGTCTTACAGTATTTCCCACTACCATAATACCATTGCTCTACAATTCACAAAAGCATAGTGTGAAACCTCAAACTGTATTAGATTACAAACGTGGGGATACTGCAACTATTCAACCTTTGTGCAAAGATTATCTAACTATATAAACAATTCCACCAATCCTGTTTTGGCCACCTCAAAAGCATATTATTTCCATGGATCAGGAAATACAAAACTAATTCTTGTCAAAAGAATTATCATTATAATTTAGAGAATGCCCCCACAGCTTGGTGGATTAGGGCATATCAAACTGTAAATGAATGGGTGAATCCATTTAAATCAAGTGTCCAATTCTAAAAGTCAAGTGTTTCCAGAATAAGCATACTTAGTACGTAACCCCTTAGTATTAATTTGCAGCTATAGCTTTTATACCACCTAGCAGTGTAATTCAATATATTTCATCATACAACCCACAAACCTTTTGCTCTGCCCATTAATATCCATTCAGAGGTGAGACAGATTTCTGCTTGGCTTTCTGTGTATACAAAAAGAATGTATGCACATTCTTGACTGGTGCCAGTCATACCTCTTAGGGGAAGATATTCCAAAGCTGGGATACTACAACAGGAAATACTCTCTTGTTTGTGAATACATAGGAAAAGAGTCTCAACTGAAGATCTTACGACCCAGGCAGGCAGGTATGGAAAATAGTGTTTCAGTGTCGTGGCGAACAGCATTGTTTCATCAAAGCCAGGCCAGAGTCAACATAATGATCAGAAGACACAGTACTTATGCTCTCCAAACTGAAATAGAACCAGTGAAAAGTTTCAAAGGGGGGAGGGGGATCAAGCATAAATACAGCTGCAGAGCAGCACATGTGTGACTCAATGCTTCATTAACACTCCCTTACCAGAAAGAATTAGAATTGAAAGGTGGGAACTGTTCACAAAAGACAGTACTAAAGAAAACACAACACACTGGGGAAATCAAATGGTGACAAAATAATCAGCATAACTATATCATCCCATAAGGGTTGCAATGCAGTGCCAATCTCTTGCTTAAACCACTTAAATGAGGCCAGGATCAAAACCCAGTGGTGACAAGTAAGATCTTCCCAATACTGCAAGACAATTCAAATACAATCAGTTGGGGAAGAACTAATTAAAGCAGTTGGGTGGAGAATTGTGATTGACACAGGAACTGAAACATAGAAATGGGTGCTTTGAGACAATGCATTTTATATAGAATATAAGTAATGCCATATATGATCAGCACCATGACCAACTATGAGAGTCCTCAGCCCCAGCTGTTATTTATGAAACATCTAACTTTGTGCTAGGTGCCAAATTCTCACTTGAATGCTGTTATTTCATTATAGAGGAGCACAGAAAAATAATTTTACCTGAGCAGGATATATAACACATATGCTCTTGAAGATTATATTTAAACAGAGAATCTAGCATACTGAGATTCTCAAGTTCAAATTTTAGAAAAGCCCATTCCTAGCCCTTACAAAATATTAATGGTAGGCTAGAGGTAGAGTTGTTGCAAGGTTAAATACCATAAACTGTTGACAGGGGGCAGCAACAGGGCTTCAGTGTCCTACAAGCTCCTTCCTCATCTCATAAATGTTGGAAACAGAATACGTTATTGAAAATAAGCAGAAAGACATTAAATTCTTTAATTCATTCTGGCCACAGAATTACGCTTGATATAGAATTATGATCTTTTTTCAAAGTAGAGAACGCACACATTTTATTATCAAGAGGAAATATTCAGAACTCAATTATGTGCCAGAGAACAACCCTCTTGCCAATTTACCAGAGCCTCATTTCAATCACATTCTGTGGCAATGAGTGCCATAATACAATTAATTGCATATATTCATGGTTTAGTTAGGTAATTTTAGTCTCTTGACTAAATAGACTCACAAGAGCCTGCTCTTTAGATGAGTTTCTATAATTTCAAATACTTCAGGATATGCCAGGCCCAAGGGAGCCTTGGTGTTACTGACATACTACATCTCTAATTTTGCTGAGTGGGGTCCTAGACTTGTATCCCCAGGTCTTGCCTAACAGCATAACTTGTAATAATTTTTTAACACCAACTAATACATGTCAATCCTACACACATTTCTTAGAATTCCCACTGTTTTCAATGGAACATACTAATCACACTTACTTTGAAGTTCCCTTGCCTCAAAAAATGATCTCATAACTACATAATTCTCTTAACTACCATCAGCAGGTTAAACTCTTTTCAATGTATAAAATTTAGTAATATCTATCAGTTCCCTTATCTACTAATTCATCAACAAATAATTCTCTTTGCTTCATATGCTTGCTAAATAACTGGTGATTTCAAGAGACTCTAATTTATCTTTTAATTTTTTTGTTTAATTTGTATTAAATTCCACTAGTCTACACTGCAACTATGAGATTTTTTAAAATGTTGTTTGTTCTGATTCAATGGTAAAACATGGTTTTCCTGGGGAAAGCATTGAGACAAAAAACTAAAACCAAAAACTGCCTGGACATGGAGCTTTAAAGCTTGGCCCTGTACCTAGAAAGGTAGCATAAAAGGCAGTCCAGACGAGCCCTTGGGTCATGGTACTCCATGCTCTGGTCATTTCCAGACTGGATTATTGCAATGGGGCTACATGGGGCTGCCCTTGAAAACAGCTTTGAAACTTCAACTGATTCAAATTGCAGTGACCAGATTACTGGCTGGGGTTACCTTTAGAACTCGTATAACCCTTGTTGTAAAACAGCTGCACTGGCTGGCAGTTCATTTCAAAGCCCAATTCAAGGTTCTTTGGTTACTGTTTAAAGCCCTGAATTTGTGAGACTGCTTCCTTCTCTACAGACCACCTTGGATGTTAAGATCAGAAGAGAGGGCCCACTTGGTAGTTACCAAACCCTAGATATTTGGAAACGAGGTGGCCCAGAAGAATGCATTCTCTGCGGCAGTCCCTAAATTGAGATGTGTGTGGTCCCTTCACTATACAGCTTTTAGCAAATCTTTACACTGGCCTTTGAAACATGAGATGGTGTTTTCAAAACCCACCCTATTTCTGTGACTGTAATTAATTTTAACTGTTTTTAATACTGAATTTTAAACTGTTGTAACCCACCCTGAGACCTGCTGGTGAAGGGTAGATAATAAATTTAATAATAATAACAACAACAACATGCAATACTTAAAGTTACTTATAGAAGTACCGTATTTTTCGCTCTATAAGACGCACCAGACCACAAGACGCACCTAGTTTTTGGAGGAGGAAAACAACAAAAAAAATATTCCTAATCTCAGAAGCCAGAACAGCAAGAGGGATCGCTGCACAGTGAAAGCAGCCATCCTTTTTGCTGTTCTGGCTTCTGGGATAGCTGCGCAGCCTGCATTCGCTCCATAAGACGCACACACATTTCCCCTTACTTTTTAGGAGGGAAAAAGTGAGTCTTATAGAACAAAAAATACGGTAAATATACAAAACAACAATTATCTAATATCTAAGAGAAAATAGCAATAAACAAACAAACAGGCCATACATCTTTACTGGCTTAGTGGAAAAGACTACTAAAATAATGATTTCCATACTCATGAAACAAGCAGGAGTGTGTATGTATGATGCAGAGAAGAGGTTTTGCTGCAGGGCAGCAGCCTTGCTACAGAAAAAAATCTTTGCTCACCCTCCTGCTAGTTGCAAACCTGCCAGGAAACACGTTCCATGGTGTTGAGAAGTGGAGCATGTATTCAAAGAAAAGTTTGTTGAAATGCTGTGTGGAAAGGGGGAGAAAGTTTCCTTTATTACTCATTTTAAAATATCCGTATCAGGTATGGGAAGCCTCTGACTATCCAGATGCTGTTAGACTACAACTTTCATCATTCCTGACCGTTGGTCATGATTCCTGGGCTATGGAGTTAGAATCTAACAACATAAAGTGGGCCACAATTTCCCCATCTCTGGTATTTTTGAATGCTGATTTGGTACAAAGGCAAACACTAATACAGTAAAGACTGAAGACAAAGATGAAATCTAGTCTGAAGTTTAGGTTCCTAATATGTTAGGCAACTCTAGAAATGTGTACATGTATTCACTGGCCTGAATCCGCAGTACAGGCAATTTCAACACTAGCATAATGTCTCAGTGAAAGCAATGTCTCATTCCTAGAAACATAAGAATGCTTAACATTGGAAACAGGCAGAGAAGGTTCTTAAATACTGCAAAGAACTATTTCATGGTGCAGCAAATTAAACTGCATTCATTTTCTGTGCCTTTGCAACAGACAGAAATAAAATAAACACGCCATTATGGAAAGTCAGTACATGAAAAACCCTGAAATTTCTCCAACCTTAGAATTGCTATGAAAGGAGAACTGCAGCAAGAATTAGATTTATTTAACATTTAACAAATCTGACTTAATTTATTAGGCATGAAGTAAGGATTTATGTGCAGCTCTCTCACTACAGAAAGCTAGCCATCTTCTATTGATTACACATTCAGATTTAGCAACCCAGTTACTATTTTGATTGACTTAGTGATTATTTCATAATCTGATGTAAATATATGGCTTTAAAAACTAGTTTGAAAGAATTATCCTAAAGTCTTGGAAGCCCAACAAGCTGATAGCTACACAGATTATAGTACAGATTAATTCCTCCAAGAAATCTGCCAATATAGAGTGGTATCCAATGCTTCCATTCTGTTAGCATAAGAGACTTGCAGTAGCAGAACAGAACTTGTACTACATGTGCCCTCAAAATCAGCTCCAAAGGGAACCCTCTGGAGAATATTTTCGGTGGAACACAAAGAAAAAAAATGAAATGGAAATATCACTACACCAGCAAATCTCTGCTGGCACTGCTTTAGATACAACCTTCAGCCTTGATTTCAATATACTCCAGCGCTTACCTTCTCAAGAAAGAGATGAGAATTGTCTTGAGACAAGAAAACTATGAGGGGAACCCAGACTAAATGAACTGAATATCTGCTATTCAAATCAATGGAACAAATCAGTCCTGACATATTTGTCATAGTTCATCTAACTTAGTCTGGATCCAGCCCAATGAATTTAAATTTCAAGGATGCAGACATAAGGCTAGAATCCCTCTCACTTTTCCTTCTTTTTTCTGTATCACCTTAATTCTTTTAACTGAAATCACCTTAACAAAAATAAATATGAGAATCCAAAGTACAGTGGTATCTCGGTCGACAAACTTAATTCGTTCCGGAAGTCTGTTCTTAAACCAAAGCATTCTTAAACCGAGGCGTGCCTTTCCTCCTGCCACCGGTGCCCTTCCACTGTTTGGCTTCCATTTGTCTTCCGGGGTAAAGTTCGTTAACCAGAACACCTACTTCCGGTTTTGCGGAGTTTGTTGCCCGAATAGTTCATTAACAGGACTGTTCATAGACTGAGATACCACTGTATATTCACTATGAACTTGTTTATTTTACTCGTGGTAGGCAGGCAAGAAAGGAACAGGAGTCCAGTAACATCTGGAGGGCATTATGTTGGCTACCTCTGGCTTAGATACTGCTGTGCCTAAGCCAGAGGTAGCCAACATGGTGCCTTTCTAAGCTTTGCACATGTGATACAAGTCACAAAAACATAAGAAACTGCCTTATAGTGAATCAAACCATGGGTTCATTTAGTACAGTATTGTCTACACCAGAGGTCAGCAAACTTTGTCAGCAGGGGGCCGGTCCACTGTCCCTCAGACCTTGTGGGCGGCCGGACTATATTGGGGGGGGGGGGAATGAACAAATTCCTATGCCCCACAAATAACCCAGAGATGCATTTTAAATAAAAGGACACATTCTACTCATGTAAAAACATGCTGATTCCCAGACTGTCTGAGGGCTGGATTTAGAAGTCGATTAGGTCAGATCCAGCCCCGGGCCTTAGTTTGCCTACCCATGTTCTACACTGATAGCAACCCTTCAGGGTTTCAAACACAGGCCTTTCCTAATCCCACCTTGAAATGCCACACAGTATGTACTCTTCCACCGAACTATGCCTATCTCATTTTTCAGAAACCAAGTTCTAGTAGTCCCCAATATCTTAAAGAGTACACCCATCCATTTTTTATTTATAAATGTGAATAAGGCAAGGAAATTAACACCCAGAATAGAAAGGGGGACCCATATGGCACAACTCAGGTGGCTGGGTTTCCAAAAAAAGTTTTGCAACCCTATAGAAACCTGAATACTTGTGTAACACACTGTGAGGGCAATATTGCAAGGTACATTTCCCTGCATTTACTAATGGAGAAACATGCTTAGGATCATGTTTTAAGTCATGTTTAACAAAAACTCAAAACTAAATTCTGTTTTTCTTAGTATGCATTAATTGAGTGTAAGTATGAAATATTTGGATTTTTGGAGCCCAGAATATACAAAACTCTGCCCAAAGAAAGACCTCTACTTCATTCTTTCTCCAATTATTATTTCTAAAGAGCCTCCATTAAATAGTTGCTATCCATAAATCAAACTGAAACAGACTTGCAATCTAAAACAACAGACCCACAAGGCTGAAGAGTGAATTATGACAGCTATCAGTTTGATAGTGGGAAAGCAACGAGTACACTTTTAACAGGCAGCTGGAAGTTAGATTAATCTGTTGGTGTTCTTGCTAAGATTAAGGTGATGCAACTACTCAGAGGTCCTTGGTTCTTTAATCGTTTTATCAGTCCCTCCATCCCTATGAGCATAAAACTTTTGAGGTGGTCTTTTGGAACTGAGGTGGGAAATAAGGTCCTTGCAGCTGCTCATTCCCTGAATACTGAGCCTAGGATGTTCTTCTCCTTGTTGTGTGCTCTTTATGGAAGACAAAAGGTACAATCTCCCTTCTGTCTAGTGACAATTGCTAGACTGCCCACTCCCCTCATTGGTTTTACCAAGTCCATGTTTAGAATAAAAGTACTGTATGCGCTGCCAGAAAAGACAGTCTTTCTTTATTGTAGATATTACAGATGAGTTGTTTTACAAGCAGCTCAACCCATTTGTTTCTTGACTTCAGGAGACCAAGAGCTTGTCTAGAAAGCATATTCTCCTTTGGCTGCAGCAGAAAGCTAGAAGCAGAGGTGAGACACTAAGCCATTGGTTCTCAAAGGGTGTGAAGCATCATGCTGGTGTGGCAGGAGAGGATAGCAAGTGTGGTGAGAAGATTCAAGGACAATCAATATTATATTTTGGGAATGATTCATGTTCTTAGTGGTGCAGCAATGAAACTGCTAGCACATTTGCAAAGCTAAGCAGTCTGATATGGTTTCAAACGTAATGGGGGACCACATGTTGAGTGAGGTTCCTGTATTGAAGGGGATCCTCAGGGTCCTTTCCAACTCTAAGATTCTTAAGTATCTGCATTGTTTTATACTTTCTGGATGCCCCATGATCATATGATAGAGTAGTCATGTTATAAATCACTGCTAGAAGCTGTTTCTTTTTATTTTCCCATGTATTTCGTATCAATAAAATATTCACCGTGGCATGAACAAATTTTTATTCTGAAAGTGTGGCCCAGAAACAAAAGTTTGAGAACCACTGCAGTAAGCACTGCTGGGTAGTGCTACAATCAATTTGTCTCTGCTACCTATGCCAACCCTATTCATCCATTCACACTAGGCTACGGTGATTAACAGGGGCATCACCAATATATTTTTATTTATTTTTTTGAGACTGCGCTAGAAGGCCTTCTTTATTTTTTATTTTTTTATAAAATATTTATTAGGATTTTACAATAAACATAGGTTTAAAAAAATTAAGAAAATTAAACCAAAGATTACACATAAACAGAAAAAGAAAAAAGATAACAAGGATAATACCAATAAAACAAGAACCTAAGATAATACCAAAAAAAACAAGGATCTAAAAGAGAAAAAGGAAAATACAAAATACAAAAAAACAGATGGCTAAAAAAGAAAAAGAGGAAAAAAATTTTAAAAAGAAAAAATCCATTTTTCAATATCTTTAGGCTCATTTACTTATTTCCTTGACCTCCTCACACCTCCCCTTTTTGTATTCCCGTTTACAAAATCCTTTCAGCAAATCCTTACCCTCTTTCATTTATCTTTACTCTATATCTTAACCTATTATAACAATATATTTTCATCCATATAACAATCTATATTTGCATATTCTTATTAACCTTATTACCAAAACCACTTATTTCCATTCCAACATCATTTTAACATTCATTAATTTTACAGTATTTCTGCAAATAGTCTTTAAATTTCTTCCAATCTTCTTCCACCGACTCTTCTCCCTGGTCACGGATTCTGCCAGTCATTTCCGCCAATTCCATATAGTCCATCACCTTCATCTGCCACTCTTCCAGGGTGGGTAAATCTTGTGTCTTCCAATACTTTGCAATAAGTATTCTTGCTGCTGTTGTTGCATACATAAAGAGAGTTCTATCCTTCTTTGGCACCAATTGGCCGACTATGCCCAGGAGAAAGGCCTCTGGTTTGTTCAAGAAAGTGTATTTAAATACCTGTTTATATTCATTATAAATCATCTCCCAGAAAGCCTTAATCCTTGGGCACGTCCACCAAAGGTGAAAGAATGTACCTTCAGTTTCTTTACATTTCCAACATTTATTGTCGGGCAAGTGATAGATTTTTGCAAGCTTGACTGGGGTCATGTACCACCTGTATATCATTTTCATAATATTCTCTCTTAAAGCATTACATGCCGTAAATTTTATACCTGTGGTCCACAACTGTTCCCAGTCAGCAAACATAATGTTATGTCCAACGTCCTGTGCCCATTTAATCATAGCAGATTTAACCGTCTCGTCCTGAGTGTTCCATTTTAACAGCAAGTTATACATTCTTGAAAGTATCTTTGTTTTAGGATCTAACAGTTCTGTTTCCAACTTTGATTTTTCCACCTGGAAGCCAATTTTTTATCTAAATTATAAGCCTCTCTTATTTGATAATAATGAAGCCAGTCTCGCACTTTATCTTTTAGTTTCTCAAAACTCTGCAATTTCAATTTGTCTCCTTCTTGCTCCAAGATTTCCCAATATTTCAGCCACTTGGCCTCCATATTGAGCTTTTTCAGGGCCTTTGCCTCCATCGGTGACAACCACCTTGGGGTTTTGTTTTCAAGTAAGTCTTTATATCTTGTCCAGACATTAAACAATGCTTTTCTGACAATATGGTTTTTAAATGCTTTATGTGCTTTAACCTTGTCGTACCATAAGTATGCATGCCACCCAAAAACATTATTGAAACCTTCTAGATCCAAAATGTCTGTGTTCTCAAGAAGCAGCCAATCTTTCAGCCAGCAGAATGCTGCTGATTCATAATAAAGTTTAAAGTCTGGCAGGGCAAATTCCCCTCGTTCCTTTGCATCAGTTAATATTTTAAGTTTTATTCTGGGCTTCTTGCCCTACCAGACAAATCTAGAAATATCTCTCTGCCACCTCTTGAAACAATCCATTTTGTCCAGAATTTGTAGTGATTGAAACAAAAACAGCATTCTTGGCAATACATTCATCTTTATAGCAGCAATTCGACCCAACAAGGAAAGCTTCAAATTTGACCAAATTTCTAGATCCTTTTTCACTTCCGACCAACATTTTTCATGTCTTTAAATAAGTTCCCATTTTTAGCTGTCATATTAATCCCCAAATATTTCACCTTCTTAACCACTGTTAAACCTGTCTCATTCTGAAACCTCTCTTTCTCAATCGATGTTAAGTTCTTCTCAAGGACTTTAGTTTTTAACTTGTTCAACTTAAATCCTGCCACATAACCAAATTCTTGGATCAGTTCTAATACTCTCTTAGTACTAGATTATGGCTCCTGTAAAGTCAGTACTAAATCATCTGCAAAAGCTTTCAATTTGTATTGTTTAGCTCCGACCTTTATACCCTTGATCAGATGGTCCCTTCTAATCATATTTAACAAGACCTCCAGGACCGAAATAAAAAGCAATGGGGAAATTGGGCAGCCTTGTTGTGTCCCTTTCTCTATCTTGAATTCCTCTGTCACCACATTGTTAACTATTAGTTTAGCCTTTTGTTCTGAATAAATTGCACTTATACCATTTTCAAACCCTTGACCAACCCCCATCCCCTGAAGATTTTTCTTCATAAAGCTCCAAGAAATATTGTCAAAGGCTTTCTCGGCATCTACAAAAATTAAAACGGCTTTGGTGTTAATGTCCACTTGCAACTTTTCCAAAATGTTAATTATATTCCTCGTGTTATCAGACAAATGTCTGCCTGGAAGAAAGCCGGCTTGGGTCCTTGTGTATCTCTTCCACTAATACTTTTTTTAGCCTTTTGGCCAAAATGTCAGCAAATATTTTGTAATCCACATTTAACAGGGATATGGGTCGGTAGTTCTTAAATTGTGTCTTTTCAGACTCAGTTTCCAGTATAAGTGTGATATATGCTTCTTTCCACGACTCTGGTGCTTTTTTCCCTCCAAAATTTCATTGCAAACCTCCTTTAGTGGTTGAATTATCCAATCCTTCAAAGTTCTATAGTATTTTGAGGTTAAACCGTCCGGCCCTGGAGATTTTCCCAACTGCATGTTCTGAATGGCACCTTCTACCTCCTGTTCCGTAATTTTATAGTTCAGCATTATCTTATTTTCTTGAGAGATTTTTTGTAATCCATTTGTTTTCAAAAATTGGTCTATATCAAACTCTTTCTGAGGCCCTTGTGTATATAACTGTTTAAAATACCTCTGGAAACATTTTCTAATTTCCACTGGATTCTGGATGTTCTTTCCATCCACTTCCAAATTGGCAATGGTATTAAGCTTTTGTCTTTTTTTCATCTGCCAAGCTAGCAATTTCCCACATTTATTAGCCGATTCAAAAGTCCTTTGTCTCATTTGTTTAATTTTCCATTCGATTTCCTGATTCATCATCTTCATATATTGCACTTGATGTAGCTTTATTTCTCTCAGAATCTCTTGTGAATTTGGCTTCACTCTCAGTTTCTTCTCGCCCTCTTTTATTTTTTCCAATTTTTTTTCTTTTTTCTCATTTTGAGCTCTCTTCTTTAATGAATTCTGTTGAATCAGAAACCCCCTCATAACTGCTTTACTTGCGTCCCAGATTACTCTTTTTGCCACGGTAGTATTCAAATTTATCTCAAAATAGTCTCTCAGAGTTTTTTGGGCCTTCTTGATAACCTCTTGATCTCTAAACAAGGTGTCATTCATCCTCCATCTGAAGGAACCGGTTGGTGTTAATTTCATCTCCATTTTCACGGCATTATGGTCGGAGCACGTCTTAGGGCAGATCTCTACTTTTCGAGTCTTAGGTGCCAGTCCTCTAGTTATCCAGATTTGGTCAATTCTTGTCCACGTCTTTTGGCTTCAGAAAAGAAGGTTCCCTCTCTACCCAAGGGATTCCTAGTTCTCCAAATGTCAATCAAATCCATATTGTCAGTCAATTCAAAAAAAGTTTTTGGTAGTCTACCATCTTTAGTAACTACCTGTCTCTGCGACTTATCCATGTTTGTGGATACCACTCCATTCATATCTCCCATCAAAATAATGTTGTAGTCCATATAGTCCAGCAAAATCTCATGCAACTTCTTATAAAATTCAGATTCCCCTCATTCGGTGCATATACTCCTACTATCAGAAATTTTTCTCCTTGTGTTTGAATTTCAATTGCTACAAATCTTCCTTGGTCATCTTTAAAAACAAATTTCGGTGATAGGCTCTCTTTTGCATAAATGACTACTCCTCGCTTTTTAACCTTGTCCGATGAAATAAACTCTTGGCCCAGTCTCTTATTAATCAATATTTTCCTGTGTAGCCTTATCACATGTGTTTCCTGTAAGCAAATCAAGTCCAATTGTTCCTTTTTCAATAAATAAAAGACTTTCTTCCTTTTCTCCGGGAATTGAGTCCATGAATGTTCCAGCTTAATAGTTGCAGAGACATGGTGTATTTAATTTATTTTTCCTCCAACTGCTCCCAATAAATCCTCTTGTTCTGACGGTGGTATCACTTTCTCTAACTTGTCCAATCCCGAAGGTGGTGATACTTTGTCTAATGTTCCTGGTCTTAGGGCTCTTGGCTCTTCTTCCACTCCTTTTTGCAGGTCTTCTTCGTGATCTCTCAGAAATTTTTCTTTATCCTCCACTGATCTTATTTTAAACTTTTTACCTTTAAAGGTAAAAGAAAGGCCTTGGGGAATTCCCACCTGAAGATGGTTCTATTACCTTTCAACAGGGCCACCAAATCTCCGTAGTTAGACCTAAGGTCCAAAAGATGTTTCGGAATATCCTTAAATATCTCCACTCTTGATTCATGTATTTTTAAAGTATTCTGGTAGTGCAGACTCAATATTTTATCTCTCTCTTCTTTTGATCGAAGGGTGATCAAACAGTCTCTCACCCTGTTCTTTCTCCCTCCTCTTCCAAGTCTGAAAGCATTTACTATCTTAAAGTCTTGCTTATCATCCAGTTTCCAGAAGTCTGCAAATTCCTGTGTTAGAAAATCACTTAGGCTGTCTTTCTCAAGTTCAAGTCCTCAGATTGGTCTGCTTTTCCTTCAATTCAATCATAGACAAAAGTGACTGATGGGCCCCAAGCTGTGACTGGTGGTCTCCAAGCTGTTTACATATCGGTATTATCTTTTCCTCTGCAGCCACTGCTTTTTCTTTTGCTTCCTCAGCTGTCTTTTGATTTAATGCAGATTCTTGCAGCAATTTTTCAATAGATTCTGTATTTGAGTTTACCTTCTGCCCCAAATTGTTAATGCTTATAGTGTTCTGGTCAATTTTATTTGTCACTTCAGTAACTTGTTTACTTAATTTATCTAAAGTTTCATAAATTTTACTTAAAACTGAAGTAAATCCTTCTTCCGATGTCATACCTTTTACCCCCGCTTGTGCCGGGTCTTCCCCTTGTGGTACAGGAGGGCCAGATGCAGATGCTCTGCGCTGTTGCAATGCTGCACTGGTCTGTTGGAGTCTAACCTTGCCCGATCTTGTTGTCTTTTCCTCCATAACACTTTGTCTGCGAGTCAAGGTCACTCCCACGATCAGGCTTGTTTTGCAGTGGAAAATTCCCTGGCTGGTTAGAAATGGAAAATTCCCCAGCCAATTGTAACAATTTCAGTGAGCCTCTAGGGGGACACAGTAACAGTCAGTAATAATAACAGTCAGTATCTTCCCAACTCTTCAAAAGTCCCCCTACAGCAAAGTTAATAACAGTTTCAAGTCCAAAGTATCTCACATGCAGAGTTGGCTATCAAAGAATTACATTGTCCATAAATAGTGCGGCTCTCAAAACGACAGTTCTATTAGTCTTGGCAATCCGTTCCCAAGGATTAAGTGGTGGTCTTATATCCCTTTTTCCTTCTTTTCCTTCTCCTTTTTATTTTTTAACAGGCAGAAAATACTTTCCCTTCTTCCCTCCCCTCTCAATTCAGGGAGGGAGTTCTTTTTATTTGACGTTTGGGTTTGAATCTTTTAGCGCACCTCTCCCGGTCTTAGCTTAAACAGTCTTTGCTTTGATCTATATACAAAACGGAAGGTGGACTTCCTGTTTGCACCTTGCCGCTTCGGTACCAAATTTGACCTTCTTTTTCCTTTAGCATCCAATCTTAAAGCTTGACCTACTCACGGGTTGTTGTTTAATAGCCGAATTGTCACAGGAAAAGAGGTCAGCGCTCTCCGGCAACAGCTGCGCGGCTTCACTCCACGGAAGTAGCGATCCACTCTCAGCACCGTGTCAAACCCCCGTTTCGCTCCGGAGCCCCTCGCAGGGTTCCCTTGCAAATTGGGGGAGCGCTTAAGGTGCCCACCGAGTCCCACAGTCACAGGCTTCACCCGCCTGTGGTTTTCGAGGGGGTCCCCGCTTCGCCGTAGCAGCAAGACCCGATTTCCGAGGAGCTATTCCCTCAATACTAGAGGGAATCCGCCATTGCCGATGGCGCCGCCTCCGGAAGTCCAAACAGGGGCATCACCAATAGACCCCACATAGCTTGCAAGTATTAGGTGCATGGATAGAAAGAACACTCCTAGCACTTAAAAAAAGCTTCAGATTAAAGAGCTAGAGTAGGAGGCTGCAACCTTGTCATTTTTATTTTATGTAGGACTGAATTTTATTACTTGATACTAAAAAGCAAGGGGCATAGTTTCATTTAGGCATTCATTTGTGACATCTGAGTGTAGATGAAATCACTTATTTTGTCTAATTCTGTGTGTGTGTGTGTGTGTGTGTGTGTATACATACAGTTTAAAAGCAACCATGATGCTTACAGAATGCTCAAGAATGGTTCAGCAGCTGGTGTGTTATGACAGCTGTTTCTCTTGTTCTGTACTATCATGCTCTCCCCTTGTGTTTCTTTCAACCATTTGTCACATCCATCTGTTCCTCCTTATTTCAGGCTTCATTTTAAGATATTCGGGACAAGTACTGGAGAGGGAGGGGCCATTTTGCATATCACCTTTGGAAATTATGGCAATGCTAAGAAGAGAGGGATCCAAGTATTTAGAGTATGCAAATGTTCCATGGTGTAGTGCTCCTATTTCATAGGAATCATATATACAAAAAAAAGCATATCATTCATATTTTAGGAAGGAATACAGCCCTGTGACATGGGCTGGATTTCACAATAGCCTATTATACACCACCCAACAAGCAAATAATAATTATGCAATAGCATGACACCCTAATTGCCAACTGAAAGCAAAGTCGCAGTTTGTAAAACAGTGAATATCAACTGCAGATTTCTATGTGCGCCTCAAATTACAAAACCGAAAGAATCCATCTCTAAGCTAAATACATTGGGTTCTAATAATAATCTTCCAAGTGTTGAATATAACCCCTCCCTGAACCACACAAAAGCAGCTGAAACTGAACACCTTCTAAGAGACACAGGGAAAAGAATTCATACTCCTACTGGTAGAAGCAGGTGCCAAGGTTTAAAAAGAAAATAAACCAGCAGGAGCTTTTTATTCTTTTTTACTTTTCCACAATGAGAGCCACAAGCCACAGCAAACATGGCACTAGGCCCGCACGTCCCCCTTCTCACTCTGTGGGCATCATCAGTATCAATACACTGGACTGTGGCGAACTGGCAAGGCCAGGCTTGGCTACACGAGCACGGTACTCTTTCCCAGCACTTGAAGCGTCGCGGTCCCTGAGTGACCGCCGTCTACGCCCATCACCTTTACCTCCAATGCTGTGGAAGCGAAGTAGCTTCAGAAGAAAAGAGGCAGGCGATATCTGCTAAGCTCAGAATACTCCCCCCCCCCAAGGTTTGGAGGGGCTGAGAAAGACCCTCGCTTCGCATTCCCACCCTGCCCGACTCCCAGCATCCCTGGTATGACGCGAGCCCGAGAAGCCAAAGGGACGGTGGCGTCGATGGATGCGCCTCCGCCCGCCACGCTGGGCACCTGCTCGCGGCCTCATTCGCCCCCCGCAGCAGCGGCGGCGGAGCGAATCAGGCGAGGGGGGCTCTCTGACTGACATGCTGCGGCAAGGACGGGCAGGCAGAGGCCTGGAGAGAAAGAGCGGGTGGTCACGCTCGCTTCGCCCGCCCGAGCCGCCTCCACCCCGGCCGAGCCGCAGCGCCTCAGAACGGCGAGGCGAAGATGGTACTGGGCAGCCACGTTTCTCCACCACCGCCGTCGCCCCGCCGCCTTGCATTCCCGACCACGGCAAAGAGCCCCCTCAGCGAGACAACGGCTCCCTCGCTTCGCCTGCTCCCGCTTCCATCCGGGCAAGTCGCCCTCAGGCGCGCTGAGGTAACCAACCTGAAGTCAGCACCCCGCGCTCTCTTTCTCCCCTCCCCCCCATCATCTCGTTCCCCTCAGGAGCAACCGCCACTCACCGGCTTCGGAAAGGAGCTTTCGCGCACCGCAGCCGCTACCACGGCAGCGTCCCTACTCGCGGAAGGCCCCGCCCCCCATGCCGCCTCACCCTTCTCTGCTCGCGGGAGGCCACGCCCCCGCGCCGGCCTCTTGCCGAGGTGGCCACGCCCCCTTTTTATTCCACTATTATTTCCCAGCGCCGTTTCAATAGGGCGAGGCCCCGCCCCCTCGCTTACCCCGCGCTCTCAGGACCGCTCCTTCTGGCCCCGCCTCTCCGCATGCGGAAAAGGAGAAAGCGGCGCTGGCGGTACGGACTTTTTCTTACGTCCCTTGTCATTTGCTAAACGAGGAGCCTAAACGCCGCTGCCTGGCAAAAGGAGTCGCGTTGATGTCAGAGGGATGGATTTCCTCCAAGCATACTGAGGATCAGAGCATTTGAGTTGAGTGGCTGGCTGGCTTGGAGTCAGAATGGTCCTTGCTCCTTGGAAGTGGGTGCTGATGCTCATGCTCAGCGGGACATAGCAGTACACACCCACCTGCTTGCATTTAACAGCCCGATTCTGTTCGTGTTTGAAGTTCTATTGAGCTCAGTGGGGCTTCCCCACAAGCTAAGTGAGGGAACACAGGTTTAAGGGGCTTGGTTATTGAGTAAAGGCGCATAAGATCATGCCGTCCTAATAATGTCCGTTGGAAACAGTGGGAGCTACCTAAAAGCACACAGTAATTAATGGGATGATATGGACGCCTATCTGAGAACCCAATAAATAGCACTGGGGTGCAAGTTGCACAGTACAGTATTGCTGTTCAATTCTGGGAGAAGGTCCTGCACATATATATATACACGATCCAAGTAAAAAGATTCAAAAACTCATTTTCCATGTGCTAATCTAAAGGAGAGTCTAGCTAAGGAGCTTATTAGGCTGGAGTATGTACTACTGCTAGGAAATGGGCCTCTTTCCAAGTTTTCTCTATTCTGCCAGAGACATGACTTCTAGCTGTACTTGGGAGAGGAAGGAAGGTTCTGAATTATTAGCCAGTGCCAACTTCCATAAATAAACATTTAATTCATGATGCAGTATGAAATATTGAGATATCCTTTGGCATCAAGGCTAAGCTGGAGCAGAGAAAGGTGAAATAGGAGAGGAAACCAGTTAATGTTAGGCAAAAAAATAATGTCCAAGCTCACAGAAAGTGCCAACACCTGTTTTTAAAAATCTGACATCATGGTCTGAGCGCATCAAAGCACAGTGTATAATACATACACATAAGGTACTGAGGATTAAGTCCCACTGAATTCAATACAGTACTTCAATTTTTTTCCAGTCTTCTGTACTTTCTTCAGTGGCACAAGAACAGCAGTAGGGATGATGACCTGCAGCTTTAGGGCTGCAACCCACTGTAGCAGACCATAAAGGTAGTCTAGGAGGATGAACACAGTATTTATATTCACTACAAAGTACCTCCTTAATGGTATAGTTCTCATACTCTCTGTAGCTGTTTAAGCTATTGCTAAATCCCTTTACTACCTTTTGAGCTAAAAACCATTACAGTATTTTTAAATTTTAAAAGGAGTTTCTTACAGGCAGCCTAAATCTAATTAGGCCTTAGGATGCACACCAGCACAAAGTAAAGCAGCTTCCTAGCGTCTAAGTTCTGGTATAGATTATATTAAGACATTGGACCACTTAGCTTGCTGCATTCTACATAGCAAATCATCAGTTAAATTTGAATAATTAAATTTCCCATGTGAGATAACTGCTAAACTTTGTCACAATCCTATGCATGTTTACTCAGAAAGTGCATGTTTAGGATTGCAGTCTTAATTTATCTGAAATTAACTTTAAACATGAATGGCTTTAGTCCTCTAACACTGAATATATCATTGTGTACACATTTTGCAGACCATGATTGAACCAAAATGGGCTTTTTCTTGGATCTTTTGAGATTGGCAACACATCTATATTTTAACCAGTTCCTGCAGCTGTGCCTTTAACAGCAGCTTGATCTACAATTAAGCAGGAGACAATGTTAAAAAAAAACCACTTGCTAATATTTGCAGATCAACAATCTGCAGTTAAGAGAAAGCTAAGCTTTCCCCCCTCCCTTATCTGTTTGCAGCATATTTATGGTCACACCCCCCCCCATGTGGTAAATTGCATAAAGAATTCTGCTCTGTTGGTTTCGTTTTTATAGGCTTTCTTAGTCTATATAAATCAAGTTATTTTGTTACTGCATAACAAAAAAAAATCACAGCCTATTGCTCTCTAAATATGTAATTCTTGGCTAAGTTGCTGGAAGTAATGATTTTATCAGCAGGAGCAGCTATAGCTGTTTAGAAGATGGGAGGGGGAACTATAAGTGTTGTGTGAAAGAAGAAATGAGTATTGATTCCTCTCATCTAGAAAAAGCTGATGGTAAGTGAACTAGGCCAATATATCAGAATTTAATGCTTTCAGGTTTATGCTAGAGTGTGATCCTTTGATATTATAATACAAATTCAGTTGGGAAAACTTGGGAGAAAAGATGAGGCGACTGTTTGAGAGAAAAAATGTAAAAGTTATTAGAACCTGAGTGGGGAAGGTTGAAATAAACTGAAGTACAGTACAATGGCAACTAACATGCATTTAACTTGTGCACATTCAGATTTACGCAGATGGCAAAAAATAAGGTGGACAGGTGTCCGAGGGGGAGGGAACTTTAGCAATCCCACCCACCATTGCACCCAATATGCTTTGATTATATGCAATTTTGGCTTTGGTACAAACCCCAAAGTGTAACCCCCACTTAAATTGCAGCCTCCTGTAGGTTAATCTGGGTATCACCCATTTTACTACCTAGCATGGGCATAGCTGGGGGCGGATGTTTGCCCCCATGTGTTTTAAGGGTTGTTGTGTGTAAAAAAAGCTACTCTGCTGATCCGTGGGGGTGACCTTGGAGCAGGCATAGGCAAACTCGGCCCTCCAGATGTTTTGAGACTACAATTCCCATCACCCCTGACCACTGGTCCTGTTAGCTAGGGATGACGGGAGTTGTAGTCCCAAAACATCTGGAGGGCCAAGTTTGCCTATGCCTGCCTTGGAGGAACTCTGTTTAACTGTCTGTAGAGGAGAGTAATAAAAAGATGTACATTTCATTATCTTGCCTATCATGCTGCAGAACACTTTAAAAAGTCGCTACTTAGAGGAATCAACGAAGTTTGCAACATTTCTTTCATCAGTGAGTGTTATGAAGTTATTGGATGGAGAAAGCGCCCAGAAGGCAATTCACAATATATTGGCGTTTCATCCTGAAAAAGATCTCTCAACAACTTTGTTAAATGGGGTCGCCTGAGAGTGATTTAAAGCTTAAGCTGAACAGAAATCTGACCGCAATTCTTCCCGGAAAGTACTATCTATATACGGTGCCGCCCTGTCTCTTTGAAAGGGGTGCATTTGGGACGCAGAGCCGTGGGAAAGCCTTAAAAAGAGGAAGGACCCGTGGTGTTGTTTTCAAGAAGAGATATCTCATGAAAGCGCATCAGCGGCGACGGCGCCCAACCACTTTCCCGTCGGTGAGAAACGAGGCAACCGCAGCGGGGAGACGCCGCACTGCCCTGCGCGCCTCAACGAGCCGCCGCGACTTTCGCAGGCTGATGACGTGGCGGCTCGGCGTCGCGGCCCGATTGCGTCCGTCTCGCGCGCCGGGGCGCTTCTGGATGTCGCGAGAGTTGCGGGTAACGTCGGTTTACGGGGCCGGCTGCAGCGGGGATGGCTGAGGAGCTGCCTGGAGCCGACGAGCGAGGCTCCACGGCCTGGTTTTCGCCGAGGAAATGGCGCCCCGAGACCGGCCAGTAACCGCGTCCACTTTGCCATGCGTAAACGCGGGGCCCGGAAACGCCTCAAGGCTCGGGCCGGCGACGTCTGCTTGGAGCGCGGTGAGTCGCTGAGGCCCAGTGCTAGTGACCGGGGCGGGGGGGGGAGGTGGAGTCGGCCATTATTGTTCCGGATCCTTAAACTCTCGTTTTCTGCCTGTAGTGACCGTAGCCGATTATGCGAATTCGGACCCCTCCGTGGTGAAATCCGGCCGCGTGAAAAAGGCTGTGGCCAACGCGCTGCAGCAGGAAGGTGAGTTCGGGCTTGAATGGCCCACGGAGGGTTTTTTCCCCGACCTGGAGAGTCGTTACAGAGGCTACTTAGAGCATGTTGGCATTAAAAAATTAGCAATCTGTATTTTAGTGTCCAACGCTTTCGGGTGCCCTCTTGCCCTCTTGCCTTCCTCTACCCCCCCCCCCCCAAATCTCGTAAACACTGCAGGATTTAATTAGGTCCCAAGGTATGGTCTAATCATAGTACCTGGGACCACCACATTGCCCACCAGGACAAGACCTTAAGCAACTATATTAATTGTTTTCATCACTGTAGACATGTCAGAGTAGGAGGCTCCATGTATCCTTGATGCATGTATATGTGGGCCTTTAGAACAGAAGAGTGAGCACGTCCCTGTAATCTTTTCATTCTGAAGAAATGGTACGCTCGCTATCAGAAACTTAAAAACGCTGTTATAGGCTAACAAACTATTAGAGCCCTGTAGTCAAATAACCAGATGGTTAGTATAAATCAATAAATAAAAGTCAGCTACTTGCTTTTATCATATCTGCTTTTTGGCCCCATTACTGCTCTAAATGCACAAACATCTGAAGATGCAAATGACAGAATTTCTATGTGCAGTCTAGATTGAGTAGTCCTATCCCCTCTCATGTCCCGAGTCCACAGTCCTCCAAATCTCCCTTCCCCATTTCACATCTTATGATTTATCTGGAAAATGCTTGATTTGGTTGTGTACTTTCTGCTGTTCAATTACTGTTTATGACTACCTTAATTATGTTTGTAATTATGGATTTTCTTGTTGTAATCTGCCTTGAGCATGGTTTTAACTATGGGAAGGCGGAGTACAAATAAAAACATGTATGTGTGTACACAGCTTCTCCTCTAGGTGTAGGACAAACATATAGCATTGTACCAGTCCCATTTTCTTTTTGGCTTTTCTTATTTCTTCCTCCCCAACTCCATTTTTCAATCATCCATTGACTCAAGTTTCCTGCTTTTCAGACCACTACTCTCTTGCTTGCTTTCTGTAACCAGAATGTGTTATGAGCTAGCCTTCCTAAAACTCCTCTGTATACTAAGCAAACTTTTCTTTGATTCTTCTTGTATCAGTTTCCCTGTCACCTCTGAACTTTTCCCAAGCCCCATTCTCTTACCATATGTTCAGATTTCTCTTACTTAGTCTGTTGCTTGCTGTTCACCCTTCCTTCAGACCCGCTGCCTCTGGACTCCCTGTCTTGGCTTGCCTAATTCCCATTATAGCTTCCCTGCTCTTGACCTTCTCCTGTGTAAAGTTTTAATCAGAGCCAAACCGGTAACTTCCATTCCTTAGGGAATCTGGCCCGTAAACTAACTAGTTTACTTTGAAGCTGAACATTTTGTGCTACCACACTACTTCCAGCAATTGGAAATTTCACCACCAGTGCAGATAGCAAATCATGCTTGGTAAAATAGGCTCCATGTTGTTTTTGAAACTACCAGTTGGCTATTTATTTCTCCTCTAACAGTTGGATTACTAGGATAACATTCAGCATAGGCATTTGCCAGCTCTTGTATCTTAATATGTTTTTTCTTTGTGGTTTTAGCAAAATCACTTTGTGGTTTGGAAGCCTCTTATGTGCCTACTGATGAAGTGTTATCAGTGGCAGAATCTTGTGATAGTTGTGATGAAATGGATTCTAAGGATATCACCAATGATTCAATATTGTCTGGAAAAAAGAAAAGCAAGAGACATAAAGGTAAGAGCTGAGTTGATTTAATCAGTCATTCCCATTTGTCAAATTAATTACTTTGTGTGAGAGAGAGCTATATAGTTTCTCAAGTTTCTATCCTTATTTGGCATGCAAGCTTCCTTTTTACTACCTCTGTAGCTGGTAAAAACCCTAGCCAACAGCCATTGTAGACATGCTCCAGCCATGAAGCTTACTGGTTGAACGTGAGTCAGTTAATTGGCTACCTGAAATACGATCTTAGAAGATGAAGTTGTTTGAATGGGCAACTCTTTATATTGCAGCTGACTATGCTGATAACTTCCTAGCACTTGCTGGGGAGCAAAGACTAACTGCCAGGTTCTTGATTGTAACATACTTGATACTGTACATTGCCTTGAGATGTGCGTGGAAGACGATTTTTAAAAATTGAGTGTTTTAAAGAAATTCCCCATACATGTAATCAATCAATCAAAACATTTATACCCTGTCCTGGTGCAAAAGCACCACTTGGGATGGCTTACAAAGTTTAAAACATCAGTAGTATAAAAATGATATTAAACAGTCAACCAAGGAGGTTGGAACAACAATTAAAATCAAGCATAAAAACATTTATTAACCACATATGACAAAAACCTGCCAGAATAAAGTAGCCATTAATAATCAACCAAGAAAAGGGGCAGTGGAGAGGGCCAACTTTACATCATGATGCAAGGTGTTGTAAATCTCACTTTGGAGCCTAGTTCTAGCAAAGCAATGTCCATTTCTTGCTAGCCTTGAAGACTTGATAGGATGAGTGTCAGTAACGGGTTTTTTCCCTTTCCTTCAGATGATTCTGATGAGGTGATAGGCAAAGACTATCCCATTGATATTTGGTTGGTGCTGGCTTCCTACATACGTCCAGAAGATACTGTGAATTTTTCTCTTATCTGTAGAAAAGCCTGGATTGTCACTTGTACTGCTGCCTTTTGGACCAGACTTTATAGAAGGTATGACAATTTATAACTGTTTTTTTGTCAGTAGTAATTCATCATACAGGAAGAATGGAGAATTGAACTGTAGGCTAGTTTTGATGCAGGATGTGGTCTGCAGTCCTCCCATGTGCATAACATATAACTGGCACACTGCATGGAGGTCAAATTAATGGAATTCTTTTCTTGTGCAGCAGTAGGGAGATATTATATGGCTCACTGGATTTTGACACAAAGCTTTGCATTGGCTTTATGAACGATGGACAAGAGAGCACACCAGTGTCTGCATCACAGGAAAGAGGCATAATTGGCTATATCTCTATGTTGACCAGCTCAGTGTTTTGTGTAGTACTTGTTTTTTTCAGCTTCTGCTAAAGTAACTGTAACTGTAAATATACTAATTGCTGTTAATGTGACTACACTTGTATTACTGTGTGAGGGAGGATATTATAATATAGGTGAGCAACACTTAGACAGTCTTTATCTCTTCCGCTGTATTAGCTATTGTACTGTACTTTTGCTTTTACTTTTGCCTGTTCTTCTCTCAGAGCTGGAGAGAGAGGACGCCTGAATCCCTTTGTCTGTATGTAGTGTATAAATAAATACGTAGATTAGCTCTACAGTGTCTCACGCTTCTTGCTGTGTTAAGCTAGAAGATTAGTGTGCATATATCATTTGATTTATTTCGCTGAAGTGTACTGGAGAAGAAGAGAAAGGCCTATTCCAGAGCTGCGCATACCAGAAGACGCTTGAGTTCGGGGCTGCAGGGGCACCCCCAGGCTGTTTTCCAACAATCTGGTTATCAGATGTATATGATAAGTGGATGAATGAGAATGGGAAAAGGCATAATGACCTGGTACATTCAGCTAGTATTCCTTTTCAGTTTTTTTCTACATTAATCTTACTAACAAGATTTTTCATGTAGGTATGATCAGCATTTTTAGAATGCTGAACTATCTGGTTCTCCACTGTAAACCTGGACTTTGATTATGCATAGGTTGACGAATAGTACAGGAGAAAAATCCATGGTGGCGAACATTTAAAATAAATGTGATGGGGGGTGTTATAGGGTGAAATATGACTTTCATACTTGGAGCAGACCAAATAAAATGGTGAACTTTACTAACTTTAGTCCATTGATTTCAGTGGGTCAAATCTCAGTGGGTCAAAATGTCAGATACCTGCCATTTTTAGTATTTTTCTGGGTTTACCTAAAAGGGCAGGGATGCTGAGGCAGATGGAACCTCCCTTCCCTCACCAACTAAGATACATGAGTGGGCTGCATGCGCTCTTCACATTAGTTTTAGTGAGGGTCATTGCTCTTCCACTTTTTTTATTAGGAGATGTTAAGATGCCTTGTGGAGTTCTCATTCTAATTCCAGTGTTGGCTTAGTGCTCCAATCCATAGATCTCTGACACACAACCAGGCTACATGAACATAACTTCAAATGAATCTATGCTTGACATTATGTGGAACAGATAGTTGATACTGGATTTGGAGAGGTTGTGGCCAAAAACAGAATACATCTCAAAAGGGGGAGCAAACTCTGTCTGAGAAACACTTTGCATGAAATTTAGTATTTGTCTTACATGAATTTTTGTTTGCATTTTAGGCACTACAACAGAAATGCATCCCTTCCGGTCCGTTTACAGCCAGAGTCAGTGGAAAAGTTGTACTGCCTTCGTGCGTGTGTAATTCGGTCTTTGTACCACATGTACAGACCTTTTGTTTCTCAGGTAGCCAGGAATCCAGCTATCCCAGAAACTACACCAAGCACTCTCAAAAATTCAAAAGTAAGTTTGAAGAAATGTGCTCTTATCCAAGTGGTGTGGTGTTGTATTTCTGTTGAAGCAGTGAAATGCATGTGTTTGAGCCCACTTCTCAACTCACATTTTTGGACAGGATTTGTTTTTGCCAGCAGCACATTTGTGCATATTTACTTACTGTTTATTAAAGCCTTGGCTCTGGATTTCTGCGGGCATCTTATTCTATGAGTGCCTGATCTTTGACCTGCCAAAGCAGAAATTAAGATGTTTACTCTTAAAATACAAGATTAACATTTTCCATGTCCATTGGCAATGTGTATGCACAACTAATATCTGTTTCAAAGCAGCTTGTACTCCCTTGTCAAATTTTTCTTTCCTAGGAGGTTGTGAGCTAGCCAGTTCCCAATCTAATGGAAAAGAAGGATTGACATCTTTGATTCTTCATGTTCACATCACAACGGCTTTGGTGTCCACAGCTAATAGTGCAGTCATACTAACAATCTACATCCCGTGTATTTGTAAATTAACTTTATAAAAGGAAATTAAATGTCAAAAATCTGTGTTGCAGTAACAGTTATGGTTTTGCTTAAATTCTGCAAGCGTAGGCATTTGCCATCAATCTTACTTCATTGCACCTTTGCATTATTGAAATGCAAGTTACGCATTTGTGTATATAGCAGTGTGTTTGCGCACTGTGCAGCCACAGAGCCTCTACACTTTGATTTGGGTATTCCTCATTTAGAGTCTCCTCTCTCTTACGGGAGGTGACCGCATTGAGCATGCAAGGCAGAGGAACTTGGACCCTTTGGTTACTGAATCCAGATCTTGTATTTAATTTCCCTTTCTCTTTCCCAGTGTAGCTTCTGTGGGACACTGGAGCCGTTGTGGTGTCAGCAGAAGTTTGCCCTTAAGGACATCCCCACTGTTTGGAGCAGCAGGCCACATGGTACACATCTGAAGGGTAGGGCAGCTGACATGTGGATGACGTCCTCAGCCCCTTAGGAGGTATTCATGTGTTAAACTACTTTCCTCCTTGTAATTCATGCCCAAGGCTGCTCAGAGGAGTGGGATAGTTAACAGGGGAGCATGCTTCTGACAAGCTATGAAGAGAGGCAAGTTTGCATGAAAGCTCCTTGCTGCATGCTTCTGAACTTAACTAAAATTTGGCTTGTGCATGTCTCCTTTATGAAGAATGAAGGTTTGATGCTTACAATAGATAGTTACTAGTGTAGGCTCTTATCTATACAATACCTAGGACTAAAGGGAAGAATCACCCTTGAATAGAAGAGTGTCTCCTTCTTATTGTCTGTAAGAAGAATGAATCAGCAATTGTTGCCTTTGGACTTGGGTCTTTTTCTCTCTTGTTTGGAGGGGATTGTTTAGTAATAATAAAAACTCAGCAGTTTACAAAAGATAAAACAGTAAAGTCAAGAAAAATACAACTCAACTTGAAAGCATACACAAGTTAAAATACATAACATATTAAAATTACCTCAACTTTCTAAGCATCTGGATAGGCTTGTACAGTGGTACCCCGGTTTTTGAGGGTCTCGGAAGCCAAACATTTCGGTTTTTGAACACCGAAAACCCGGAAGTAATTGCTTCCATTTTCAAACATGCCTCGTAAGTCGAACGGCTTCCGCTGCATTGTTTTTTTCAAATTTCCCCATTGACTTTGCAGCTGCTCTTCGCGCCTTGGTTGTCAAACAGTCTTCCGGAATGGATTACTTTCGACAACCAAGGTACCATTGTATAAACAGGAATGTTTTTAGCAGGCACCAGAAGAGTACAGTGAAGGTACGTGATTGATCTCAATGGGCAGGGAATTCCAAAGTGCAGGCTCTGCCACATTGAACAATCAAGTTCTTACAAATGCAGAACAGGTAATATGTGGCACCTGCAGAAGGGTCAATTCTGCCAATCAAAGCAGTCATGGATGCATGTAGGGTTAGGTGATCTTGTAGGTAAACTGGTCCAAAGTTGTTAAGGGCTTTATATACCAATAATAACACCTTGAACCTGGCCCGCTAGCAAATCTGCAATCTGTAGATCTCTGAGCGTTAACATGCTGACAAGTCTTTAGCCCTGTCAGCAATCATTCTGCACCAACTGCACCTTGATAACTGTAAGTGTAGGTGTAAATTGTCCCATGTGGTTATAAACTTATCTACAGAATATATGCCCCTAACCTGAATGCACAACTATGTGCCCTGAAGCTTCAACTAATAATATACCAGTAGTTCATCTTATTGTCACTTTTCTGCTCTTGGTTTCTTTATTTTCAGGTGTTTCAATGTGAGTGCTATGTGCAAATAGCTATATTGCATGACTGGTTTGTGTCATGTTTGACACAGATTTCACATGTAATGTTTGGGGCAGAAGCATGTTTTAAGCTTTTAGCAAGTGCTATGCTGCCTCATAGCACTGTAAAAAAATAACAATTTGATTCATGGGCAATGCAAAGTGTATTAATTTGACTATGTACAAACTGCTTTAAAGCAGTTTTGTTGTTGTTGTTGTTTTAAAAAGAAACCTTTCTCTTTTCTGCATCAGTGTCTGCTTTTCTGGTCTAAAAAAGTTGGTCGACAGCCTTCACTGTGGGAATTCAGCTTCAAATTCCAAAGGCAGGTATGAAAGCTAAACAACTTAGTAATTTCATGGATGTTATTTATATACCACAATATAGTAAAATAATAAACATAATATTAAACCACAATTGAAAACAGACATAAAAAGCAGCAATCGAAAATATTTCAGGAATAGTCTGCAGTTATGAAAGTTTATAGATATGGAATCAGTTTCTAGCAAACTAATGGGCATATTTCTTTCAAGAATAAGTCTTTCAAGAATAAGTGTTTGAAACATCTTCAACCACCCATCCGGTACAAAGATGTCCACATGAACCCTGACCAAGACTGCTGTCTGCTGCAGATCACTACTCTTGATTTCATATATATTCCTATAGTCATGGGCATGACAGTTACATTGGTAAGTGTTAGAACTTCTGTACTTTTCAACCATAGCTTCAAAAATATGTCCTGTGCAATCTTTCTACCAGTATTGCTAGAAAAAAAAATTATATTGTGAGGAATTATTTCCTCAAATGATAAAGCTTATTCTTAAAATTTGCACATTCAAATCCTATAGTAAATAGCGTTCATATTTGACAGGTCCAGATCTTAATGTTTCTGATTTATCTTATTTGCAGTTCACGATAAATGTGAGCACCGACATGAGGCATCACAGAGTGAAAATGGTGTTCCACGATTCTCCCGTTTGGAGTGGCAAGAAACACAGATTTGACCATGGAGTGCAAGTTGTAATGGACCCTGTGCACAGTGTGCGCCTTTTTGATTGGTGGCACCCACAGTTCCCTTCTTCATACACCTGAAAACTCTCAAGTAGTTTGTCATATGAACTGGAAAAAAATTCAAGAATCCTGGTTATATTTGTAGACTATATACCATCTCCATAAATGACTAAACTTGATAAGTCAAGTCTCTGTATTTGGTCAGCAATGGGAGGAATATTTTATGATAAGGTTGCATAAGCACTTATGGAAGGCATTTTATGATCGGGGGCGGGGGGAAGCTTCAGCTAAAACTTGTCTGGTGCCAATGAAAATTATCACCACCTTTATGAGAAAAGCCTATTGTTTCTATATAGAATGACAGTTCAGGTACTAGTGGTATATCCAAGTTAAAGTGATAGTTTCTGGTGATCTCTTTACAGCATACTTGGACTGGTGTGCTCAGTAAGGAAACTACAAGGACTGCAGGGTTATATATCCTCACCAGTCTTGATTACTTCTAGCAGGACTTACTCACTCTATGCCTTGGACATAGATAGTTCACAGACTATCTTTGTAGAACAAAGGTGAAGTAGAACTGAGAGCTGACTTGCTTAAATGTGTGTCTTCAGAAGATACTGGCTGTAGTAGAAAGTTCTCTTTAGCTCGGTCTGCTTGCACATGCTATATAACTACTTCCCTGTGTACTGTACTTCAGGGAACTGTATAATTATCTTAGTCTCAATTTTGCAGCAATTGGAGGAATGCTTACTACCTTGCTAGCTTATTAGGATTTCTTGGAGTAATTGGTCTATAACAAAGTCACTTCTGACTTGGATAATATACTAGCCAAAATACTGGAAAATTCTATAAGCAACTTGCCCATAAGGCTCCATTTTTCTTAGCTATAGAAAGAAGATACATGGTCACCAAAGTGTAGTGTTAGGGTAGACAGTTGGGCAAAACAAGTTTTAACATAATGTCATTGGGTTGTATTCACAGAACATTTTCCCCTTCTCCTCCCCCGGTGCACCAATTAAATATGTTCTGTGGCTTTCCCTAATACTTTGAAGTATATTTTGGTTAGGGAGGGGGAGGGAAAGTCCTGTTGCCTAGGTGGAACTTGGGCTTGCACAGTTACTTAATTTAATACCACCCATTAATTGTAGAAATTATTAAACCTCTGCAAGTCTTGCCTCTTCCTCTTGAGCTATTCAACAGTGCAGGCCGATGAAGAGCCCATTGACAAGATGTGAGGAAGTAAGATAAGACAATAAATATGTAGGAAATCTGCAACCTTTCATCTGGCAAATAGTGTCTCCCCCCTGTCTATTTAGCACCTTTGCTAAATGCCACTTGAGGGAGACCCTGCCTTTTCATATTCATGGTCATTACACTACACCTGACCCTCACTTCCTACCCATTTAGGTATCAAACAGGTGATGCATAGGAAGGAAAGGGGTCTGTGACTTGCATTGACAAGCCACAAAGTAAAGGATAAAGAATTGAAGCTGGGCATTCAAATGAGATGGCTATTGTCTGGAAGTACTATCTCAGGCTTGGACAATGCAGTAGTTACTTTGCTAACAAATTGAAGGTGGGTTCTATTTGAATAGGAAACAGCTAAGAGCAGCAGATGTATGCAAGTGAAGGAACCAATGGGAAAATCACAGGCTAAGGAAAAGAAAGTGGTGTGGGAGCTAGCTTTAAAGGGAACCTGAATTTGCACTATCCCTCCCACTCGGGTGCAGCTCTTTTCTCCTTATATACACACACACACACACACAGAGCACACTTGGTGGGCATTTTATGTATTTATTAAAAGCATTTATAGCCCACTCTTCAGCCAGAAAAACTGCCAGAGTGGCTTACAAGTAAACAGAAATAACATCTATATATAATCCTACTTTGAATACTGTTAAATTCTATTATTATAAAGATCAAATTCAAACTACACATAACATGGTTTGAGGTGAAACTGGTGACTGGCTCAAGAGATTCTTGCACTTGCTGCTTCTCTTCACTGTGGTTTTGACTTCTACAACTCTTGCATTTATTAGATCTTGTATGAGTTTTTGCAACGGCACGGTTTCCTCACATTTCCTTTTCTTGTATTTGATACCCCTATTTCAGTTCTCCTGGGACCTTTTATCTGATTATCACCTTAATAGTGGGAGGCTTTCTGCTTGGTGCGTAGTTCTTCTATATTGCAAAGATCAGTGTGTTTGGCTTTCCAAACAGAAGAACATTTCAGGTGTTGGTGTCAAGTGGCATTTGGCATTTTCTGAGTTAAATTTTTCCTTCCTCGTGAGCCATAAAACTGAAATACAAAAAGCAAATTCTTGTCATATGAAAGGCAATCAAAGTTGCAATAGCAAGAAACATGTTAAAGAGTAAAATCAGAGACAAGTGGGACAAATTTAAAACAAAATAAGGCTAAAATTCAATCATGAACCTAGAGCAGCATCCATCCTTTTTTTTGCCTGCACTAGAGAATTTACGGATATATCCATTACCTTATTCTACCACTTTAGTTGATCATGTTTAATTTTGTGCTCATAATCTTGTCTCTGTGCATATCCTCTCCTTTCATAACTAACCTGATAATAATTAACCTGAGATTTGTAGGTGCTAAATTAAATTAAGTTACTGATTATTTAAACAGATAGCAATTAGGAAGATAAACACAGGACAGTCCTGCCATAAGGAAATACTGGACTGTCTTTTAACACTAGCAGACAAGACATTTGCCAGAGAACTGGATTTCAGAATGCCGTCAGAACACTGGATGGTAACACTAAATAAAGTGTTCTATCCACTTCTAGCAATAATCGGGATCCCATGTAAGTATGCTGGACGTAAGCAGCAATTAGAAATGTCTTCCAAAATTGGGCTGTCTTCCTGAGCAAGGGATGCAACCACAGAAGCAACAAAGATTTAATGTCTGGTAGAGCAACAGTCAGCGATGCGGGGGGAGGGGCTTCTCACTGAAAGGGGAGAAGAAAAATACAGTTTTGAATGAGGAGAGAAAAACAGTCCTTAAAGCTGGGTCGTGCTTTAGAAGCTGCTCTCCCTCTTGTGTCCTTGGGATTTCTGACAGCCTGTATAATGTCTAAGTGATTCTCATGCAGTTCTTCCATCTTCTGACAGCCATTAGAGATGTTTACAAATCAGTATTCCAGCTGAGCCTGCTTTGAGCTTATTTCTCGGTGATCTTCAGCTGACATATCATGACTTGCAACTGTCTTGAAATTTACTTCAAATGTGTTTACACATTTGGAGCATTGGAACCATTTAAAAATAATATGAGAGAAACAGTCATAGATGTTTTAGGATGCTGAATGATAATCTAAATAACTCTTCTTCCCAATTTGCAGGGGATAGAACAGGGTAGAATTTAGCTCCTGAAGGACCACCAGTGGCCTGAGAAAAGTCTGTTGACTTTCTCCACAGTTGTAGTGTCAGAACATAAAAAGTGCCTTTCTGCCAATGTACTCACACAAGGTGGTTTGGTATCTTTATTTTAGATACCTTGTGTGAGTACATTGGCAGAAATGCACTTTTATGTTCTGACTCTACAACTGGAGAACTTGTTGAAAAGCTTACTCGGTTGGATGCCAAATGCTGGGTACAACCCCTTAGCATAGTGCCATGAAAGAGGAAGCTCTATTGGCTTTATTTTTTCTTGGAACCTGATCCTTGGTTGCCAGCTGAGCAATAGTTTACCCAACATGTACGATGGACTTATCTGCAGTAATAATTGCAATGGGGAAGCCAGTTGAGTGAGCTGATGGGACAGTGTTTCCAAATATTTGAATTGCTCAGGGAGAAGGAAACAGCAACGGAATGTTTGTAGCTCAACATCTATGAGAGAGGAGAATGTCGTATATTTGGGATCCATACTTCATACAGATTTTGGGGAGGTATGTGGAGAGTAAACGGGCTGCTAAACTGAGACGAGGTCCCTCAGTTGAGGTGAAGGGTAGCTGAAGGAATAAACAGAACAAGCAGATATAAGGGTTAGCGGAGGAAACAGGTCTAGGGAACGGCAGAGTGGAGGGGACACAAGAAGACAAAAGTGTTGTGAAAATACAGGGCCAAGGCACAAAGCGGGTGTGGTCAGGGCTACACTGACGTGTATTAGGCACACGGTTTATTGATTACATGCTTCCAGGTACGGAATTTGGTCCTGGTTCTTGGGTTACATGGTCTTGTTTTTCATTGCAGCAAATATTATGACATTGTTCATCTTGTGGCGAAAGAACTGTCGTATTGCCCCTTCCAGTCGGTACCACCTCATGGCCATATCCTTCTCAGACACAGTGGTCCTTGTTCTTTTCGTCCTCCTTGAGATGGTCACAGAACATTTCAGTGAAAGACCATTCTGGTACAGTGACCCCTGGTGTACCCTGCGGGATGTTTTCTGTTATGGTGCAGTCAACACTTCTGTCTGGCTGGTGGTCTCCTTCACCATTGAGCGCTTTATCACTATCAACACCTTCAGGCTAAAGATGAGAATCTGTTCTGCCAGGAACACACTGTATGCTATTGGTGTGATCCATGTCTGCAGCTACATTGTGGCCATCCCCCATTACTGGTCAAACTATTCGGCGGTGGAGAATGCTACAGGACTTTCTATCTGCAAGTATAACCCTAAGCTCTCCAGAACATACATTGAAGCGCTTGTGTGGTTTCAGACTTCTCTGCTCTATATTATCCCATACACCATCATCTTCACCTTGAACAGCCTCATTCTAAGACAGATAATGCGCCATAACAAGGTGCACTGTCTCTCTCGAGAGGTGTTGCATAGAACCCCACCTAAAACTCACTTAGGGAAACCAAAAAAGAAGTCCGTTATCCTCCTGGTGACAGTTTCAATGACATTTGCCTATCTCTGTACCACAAGGTTTGTTACCCAAATCATCATCAAGACCTGCTACTATGACATAGAAAGGAAAGATTACTCCAAGACCATAAACGTTGTGGCAGATATAGGGACCATGCTGGAAATGACCAACACTGCTGCCAATATGTATCTCTATGCCTGCACCCAATCTGCCTTCCGAAGGGAGCTTATCCGGTATCTGAAGATCATCGTGCATCCCTGGCAAGCAAAAAGAAAAACCCTACCTGTTGTTTTCCAGGCATAGAACAACATACCATCCAACAGAGATGTTCGGATACATCTATTTTGCAGCTGAGTCAGGCCACCTGAGCTCTGCCTTCAGTGCTCTTGCAGGTGGGAAGATGCAACTGGTTCCATGTCCCAATGGCTCACAGCTTCAGCCTACCTGGATGCCTGCTTTTCAGTGACAGCAGCAAAGGCACCCAAATGGATGAGTGTCTCCCATGATTTTGAAAGAATTTGCTGGGCCATTACCAATCCACTGATACATATATTTTCACACTGCCTCCCGTTATTTAAACAGCCTCTGCACATACACACACAAACACCACATGTACCAGCACCGTCTGCTTCATTTGATCACCAACCTCCTACTCTTTCAGGCAGAGAGAAGGGTCTTTATTTGTGAACCGCCCTGAGATCTTTTGATGAATGGCGGTATATACAGTAAATGGAATAAATAATAACAGCAACAGTACCATTGTTACAGTAAGTGCACTTTTAACATTTGCAGGGGGCGGGGAGTGCGGGTACTGCATACCCTTGCGTACCCCCAGAAAAGAAGCACTGAATAATAATAACTATAATTGTGCATTCTGTGTAGCTGAAGCCCAGCCTAAAATAGCAACAGCCCACTGCCTGAAGTAGCGGAAGCCGATAGCGCCGACTTTGCTTCTTGTAGAGAAATCTGTTTCTTCCTCCCACACACTACTAATAACCCTTACATTTGCTCAGTAATGTGTACCTTTCTGAATATAGCAGAATTCTACTGCTTAGTTCTGCTTTGCCTTGGTGTCAAATTGTGTACAGTAAAACGCTTGTCCAATCTTGTGGTGGGTTGGACATCTGTATCATTTCAGAGTCACAATACAGATCTAAACAGCACAGCCCTGACACTGGAAGCAGAAATCATGGATTAAATGGCCGCCTCTCTGCCCTTGTACTTGATTCCTGTGAGATTTAACACCCACATGCTTTATTAATGCTGAACAAACATACAGGGAAGCGGGGAGGGAAATATATTTGTACTATCAGTTCCCCATACATTTAATTTCCTGTAAGACTGCCGTTCTTTCCTCTGTTGCCAAGAATATGCTTGCTGGGAAACACGAAAGAAAAGATGGTTATTGGCATTGTGAAAGGAAGGAAGAAGGGGTGTTGCCAGATACTTCAAAGAACCTGGCACAATTTGTAAACAGGGATGCGAACTTAGGCTTTCAGGGAGGGCAGGGGATGACAGATGCTGGTTCTCATCCTGAACTATGGGACATGAACAGGATTTTCTGCTCCCAGTACGTATGTGGATTGAGACCTCTGCAAATTAAAGTGGTGAGTGGCTCAGTTCTCACTGGCACTGAGCTTTGCAGCATGCCCAGCAGCTCTGTAAGTATTTTAAAATATCTATCAATAAACAACATGTTTTTAAAAGGCAGCAAAAGTTCTGGGGCCTGGTGCAAGAGATCTAGAGGCGGGGGTTTTTGGGCAACAACATCCCTGAAGACATGTTCATTGTATGTATATCTTATGCTTGAAACAGCTGCTTTGCTCTTGCACAAAACAGCTGTATCAAAAATACAGCAGGAGTGCAGTGAGAGGGACCACCCACTGAAACATCACCAGACACATGACAAACCATCAACCCGCCCCCAAATGTGCAAAAGGTTTCCCCACCAGCAGCTACTGCAGATGTATCACAGATTATTTTTGCTTAACAGTTTTTCTATAGTAAATGGAAATCTGAATTAAGAGCACTGTTGCCAGTCAGTTTAAACAACACTTACCTAGATGGACCAGTAACTAGATGGACGAGTGACCAGGCATAAAGCTTACTCTGATGGGTCATTGGTTGTTAACAAGTATACAAAAACCCGAAAGGTCTCTCTCTCTTCATTTGGTACAACCTAGGGTTGGCATACATCCGGAATTTCCTTGACATAGCTGGAAGACTGCAGTCGGAAGCAGTGTCCAGGCGGAAATCTCAAAAAATGTCCGGGAAAATCTGGATGCATGGCAACTCACGTTGACAGTGTCATTTTTGGCGATTTCCCTTAAAAATAGCTCAAAAACGGGGGGGCCACTAGGGGCGCCTTGAAAGATGGCTGCTAATAACATCTTGTCCAGCTTGCAAGAGGTAATCAGAGGCTGATATGGGGAGTACATCAGCCTCCCTTCGTCTTTTCAGGGAAGGAAAAGACGCTGCCTCACCTGCTGTTGCCATAAATCACCCCCGAGTTCGGATGAAGGAGGGGGTGAGAGGCACTAGGTGGAAAGCCCTCGGGCAAGCTTGGAGCTCCCTGCCAGCTTCTTTCAGGAGCGAGCCTGGCTGCGATGTTTAAAAAGAAGAAAAGAATTGGACCAATAAATGCACATGCTTCAAGAGAAATCAGGAATGCTTTTATCTGCTAATAAATTTACCACTGAGTGAAGAAGATCGAGACGGAAGGACGAAGGATGAAAGGAACAGAGATAACACCAGAGAACTGCCGACATTTTGGTATGTGGACGGTACGAGAGGGGGAGGGAAGACTTTTTTATTTTATTTTTATGTGAGTACCTGATAACCCTCGCCCTCAAAAAACCGTCTCGACGACTAATTTACAAGTGGGAGTGAAAATGAACTGTGTGGGAAAAATTATATGTCTGTGAAAGATTTGGAAACAAGTGAGTCTCTCTCAGTGACGCAGTAAGAAATGCTTCGATGCGTAGGCAGATCTCGGCTGCAAGATGGATGGTCTAGGGAGGAAGAGCCGCTTGGATATCAGGCTGGAATCGTAAATCAGAAAGGGCTGTTATCCTCCTGGAAGACTAATTATGAGGCAGCGGGTCTGGAAAGTAAAAGAGTGGACATTTAGACTGTATTTCACCGGAATGACAGGACGGAGTGTCTGCTCGAAAACATGATGGTTGGATTTGTGGACATATGAGAGAGCATTATAAAACCCACACAGAGACAAAATAAGACTGTTCCTTTTAATCCACTTGTGGAGAAAACTCGGAGGTGACAGAAAAGGAAAATGAATAAATGACAAATATGAGAAGATGGAACTGGAAACATCATTGCAGTAAGGAAAGCAGGACGAATTTGGATCTTTGGATTCCTGACGATCGAGGAGCATGGGTACCCCCCCCAAAAAAATTTAATTTGGAAAACATTTGGACTTTATGATGTGTATTGATATAATTTGGACTAATTGGTATGATATGTTTAATTTGGCAAATGGAAACTTAATAAAAATTATTGGGGAGGGGGGAAATAGCTCAAAAACTTCTCTCTCTTTTTTGCAATTTTACACTTTTGTGCCCGGATTTGCACCGGATATGGCAACCCTAGCACTACCTGTTTTGTTTTGTTTTGTTTATTTCTTAAATTTATACACCACGTTTTCCTGCAAGGAGCCCAAGGTGGCGTATATGGTTCTCCCTTCCCCACAACAACCCTGTGAGGTAGGTTAGGCTGAGAGACAGTGACTGGCCCAAGGTCACCTAGGGAGCTTCATGGCATATAGCAATATAGTTGGGAAGGAACTTAATTTAAAAGAGAGAGAGAGTTTTTCAAAAACAACCCATTGCGGGGGGGGGGGGGGGGACAATAACCAACAACCACTTGCTTAGCTATCTAGAAAATGCACCAAAATATCTTGCATTCCCTAACATAACTTACTCCTGAAGGTCAGGCCTGTAAATGGAGGAGCCTAGAATGTGCCCCCTGGTCATGACTTTCTCTGGATTAGTGGACAATGTGATGCCTAGTCTTCTTCCTCTTTACCTCGTGCTCATTCATTTTATTCTCCTGACTGCACTGCTAGACAGGCTGGGGAGCTTGAATAATGGATAGGGGTAAGGTCAGCTGTAACCTGATTCAAGGGTGCAGCATTCCTCCAGAGTCTCTTTCCAGCTTTCATCTTATCTGCTCTTATCCCTACTTTTGTGGGATCAGGTTAGTCTATTGTCTTTGTGAGTTCTAGTGAAGGAGCAGACTGAGTGCTTGGGGCTGCAACATGATGCTGCCTCTAAACCGTCACTCACTCAAACTGCTCCTGTGATGCATACCAAAACAGCCCCGGAGGCTGGAGAATTCCTGGAGGCTGCCAAACTGCATTTCTTAACATTCCTGGCAGCAACACCCAATAGCCCAGTGGGAAAAATTGAAGTTCAGGAGCTCATCGTGGCAGCCTTCATAGCTGCGCTTCAAAGGTAAGTCCCAAAATGCAAGCATGATCCACTCATGCATGCATGCATGCATGCATATAAATCACAAATAAACAATTTATTATTAATAATAATAATTTATAATTTATATCCCACCCATCTGCCTGGGTTTCCCCAGCCACTCTAGGCAGCTCCCAACAGAATATTAAAACATGATAAAGCATCAAACATAAAAAAACTTCCCTAAACAGGGCTGCCTTCAGATGCCTTCTAAAAGTCTGATACAGTAGTTTATTTCCTTGAAATCTGATGGGAAGGTGTTCCACAGGGCAGGCGCCACCACCAAGAAGGCCCTCTTCCTAGTTCCCTCACAGCGCGGGAACCACCAGAAGGCCCTCAGTGCTGGACCTCAGTGTCCGCACTGAACGATGGGGGTGGAGACACTCCTTCAGGTATACTGGGCCGAGGCTGTGTAGGGCTTTAAAGGTCAGCACCAACACTTTGAACTGTGTTCGGAAATGTACTGGGAGCCAATGTAGGCCTTTAGAGACTTGAGACAGCCATGCTGAAATCCATCACTCCATGGTGTTAGAATCAAGTTGGTTAGCGTGTGGTGGTGGTGGTAATGCCAAGGTTGCAGACTCGATCCCCATAAGGGACAGTTGTATGGCATTGCATGGGGTTGGACGAGGGTTCCTTCCAACTCTATGATTCTAATGGGTCTGCACCTTCACCAAGGCTGAATAATTTTTTTACTAGCAGCGTCCAGCAGGGAGGGGTGCAGTGCAAGCACATGGACTAGAGCACTAAATGAGCTCCACCAGTGTATCTGGTCACCATTCCCTCCACCTTGCCCCTCCTGGTAAGCAGCAGAAACTGCTGCAGGGAGACCAGGTGCATGGCAGGGCTCCACTGGACCAGGCACTGTTTGTTTCTGCAGTTTTTGATAGACCCTACATGAAGCATGCCTGCACATCCTCTGTGAGTTCAGTTTGGCAGTTTGGAGGAGAACTGGAGAATGTTATCCGTTCCATCTGCTGCACATGTCAGCCCCCTCCTCCTCTGCACACGCACCCTTATCTGCACACCCACCACTGCTTCCTCCCTTGAGTATCTGTTGCAGTTGGCAGGTGGTGCACAGCAGAGGAGGAGGAGGTGGCGGCTGTGAGGGGGCATATTTTCCTCCAGCAGCAACAGCTTGTCCTGTATTCCAATCTTACAGGCATCACTGGCAAAATACTGCTCCAGAAGATGGCGCCATTGCTCCTACTATGAAAAATAAAATTCGTCTCACTGAGGGAATTCCCTTCCTCATTTACAACTCTGCATGGAGACGCTCCCTCACATGGCTTTCTATGTATTTTACTTACCGTATATTGTTGGGCAGGCATGGAGGAGGAGGAGGAGGAGGAGGAGACTGGGTCCTGTGGGACTCAAGGACCCCAAAATTGTTAGCCCGCTCCATCCCCTGTGCCAATCTAATTAAGAGCCAAAGGAAGAAGAGTCTCCAAAGGGCACTGCTGTCCCAAAACCTATTTATTTACATTTATACTTTCTCACCTTTCCTCCAAGGAGCTAATGTGGCACGCAAGGTGTTTTCACACCCCTTTCCCCTCACAACAACCCTGTGAGGTAGGTTAGACTGAGATACAGTGACTGTCCCAAGGTTGCCCAGTGAGCTTTATGGCTGAGTGGAGATTTCAATCAGTGTCTCCTGCACCCACAGCTCCACAAGGGACTGGATCTTCCCTGGGATTCACCCACAGTCGTGCCAGGGTGATTTTGAGAAACAGCTGTCCCCACAAATGCAAGTTGTGGGATACTGTTGGTTACTCCTGGGATCTCTTAAAGATATCGCTCCACTTTTCAGAGAATGCAAGTAGCCATAAAGCAACGAGGTCTGTGTGGAGTTGGGTCTCTGCGTTACTGCTTCTCTCCCACTCGAGTACAGTCGTTTAAAATATATTTCTTATCTGAGATGGTGCTTGCATGGAAGAATGGGGCAGTAATCAATCACTTGGGATTGACTTCGTTCTCCGACTGCTTCAGCTAAGTACGTAGCAGCCACTCTGTTAGCTGTGCAATATAGAACCACTACCCATTACTCAATCTTGCTTTGTGGCTGGGGCTGGAAGGAATACTCCTAAGTATTCAGGGTCATTTGAACATCTTTTAAAAACGAGGCAGGTAATATATAGAGTGCATATGTTAAGTGACTGTGCAGCTTAAGTGACTTTCATACATTCACCAATCTATCCATTTGTCTGTCTGGCTCCAGGCAAGTTTAGTCTATAATCTGAGGTGACATTTGCAAGCTTCTCTTTGCAACCAGCAGGAAGAAAACCCTGTTAAAAAGTCCTTTCGAGTCATACAGGCTTTCAGAAGCACTTGAGACTGGGACAGTTCAAGGCTGCCAACCTAGCCTGCTTAATTGTCTCTGAATATCTTTGGCCTTTCATTCTTGTCTGACGATCATAGGGCGTGAGCATTGTGGTGTTTTTCCAGGAGCTAGTGCTGTAAACTGATCCTTGCAATTTGGTTTTACAGTGACTCTGTTCACATAAAAGTAAGTGCTTCCTCTCAATTGTCCAGGCAACTGGGTCATGTGAAGCAGACAAGGCAGTTTCATTAGGCAACAGCAGATGGCCAGCTGGAAATGTTTACAGGTAAGCCAGCCTCCTTGATATGTATGAATTGCCTTTCTAATAATGGCTTTGTGTGTGCGTGCATTTTAATAGATTTATATTTTGGTTTTTAAAACCACACAAGTGGGGGACAGTGATCACATTTGATTTCCGAAAAGTTTGTGAAGATTAAATACGCACTGTTTCAGAAATTAAAGCAAAGATTCCCCTTCTTTCTATTGTTTTGTTGAGTACAGTTAGGGAGACTGGAAATACAAACAACTGTCATCTCAGTGACATTTGACTTTAAACACCCACCTAGTTTAAGGGAAGTTTATTTCAACAAAAGCCGCATGGCCGGAAAGATCTGCGGCACTAACACACTAACACCACAGTCATTGAACAGCGCCACTTGCTCCTGTACCGTAAAAGAAAGGAAGTTCTCAGGCCTGTAATATCACGAAAGGAAGGGGCGGAGGTGAGTCTAAAATAATTCATGTCAGGAAGTTTAATACAGTACACAGCAAGAGATCAGCCCTGCAGGCATTCCAAAACAAGATGCTGACAAGCCCTTTCCAGGTAAGTTACAATTTCATTCAAGAGAAGCAACAAGGACTCATGTGGCACATTAAAGACCAACAAATCTACTATGGCATAAATTTTGTCAACTGCAGCCCAATTCCTCAGGGTCATGAAGTGTTCTGCTAGGTTCCAGGAGACTAACACAGCTTCCCCCTGGAAACGATTCAACAAAAGGGGATGCAACACAGAAATAAGACTCAACATGCAACTACATCACTTTTGGGGTTTTTTTTGAAACCAGTTAAGGTATTTGCCGGTTTACAAAGCAGCACCGGCTGTCACAAGAAGTCTGATTTTTTGCAACGTAGATCAAATGCCACACACACAAAAAGAGAACAAAAAACCTTTAAACCCTGTCTCCGGATCTCTGGCTAGGAAATACATTTTTTATGTCGGTAGGGGTTTTTTTTCCTGCTAAGTGTATTCTCAGTCATTTAAACTTTTTCAAGGCATATTTCCTGTATTTTTATTGCTGGTGTGTGTGTGTGTGTGTGTGTGTGTGTGTGTGTGTGTAAAATATATAATTGTGTTGTGCTTTTAAGTAGTTGTTAACTGCCTCAAGTGGTGTACGGACACCAGAAGGGTGGCACGGAGCTCTTAAACAATATATACAATAATTAAAAAGGTGTGGCAGGCATTGCTGGTTTGCAAAAAGCTCATTTATTCTGTGGCTCTGAATTATGAAGGATGCCTGATTCTGTCAGGAATATGATGAAGTAGATTATTTATTCATCCTGATACCTCCAAACTCCAGTGTGAAAGAGAAGAGTTTAAGCCCAACTGGGTCAATGTTGCTGGTGATGAGCACATGGGATTTAAGCAGGATTTTGCATGATGAGGTGTTGATTTGTCACTGTGCTGCACTTCCTTGATTGTCAAGCCATTTTAAAAAAACAAGCACATTTGATATCATTTGCTCTTATGTTGTCCCTCGTTCTGACTGTTGTTCTTGCTAATCTCTACATTATGTTCATGGTTTCGTGATGAAAATCGCCTCACTTCTTACCTCCGCTGTGCTTGACTTGACAGCTGCCTCCATTGAAACAAACTTCCCCACCCATGCTTTGTACCTAATTCAATTTACTGAAGGTGCACTCAGTGATAAAACCGATAAGAGGGTGCAAATGCATATTTGCAGAAAAGATTTTCCAGGTCTCTGACGCAAATTCACAGCAACCCGTGTGCAGTTTTTGCCATGGCTTGTCAAACAATCCTGAGCCTTCTTTCAGTTTTAACAAATGTTACATTACTCTATGCTATAGACTTGATCTGGTTGGATATATTACGCTGAATAACTGAGCACAGGACATAATAATGGCTTCTTCAACTGCATCAGATGGCGGGATGAACACAATGTGTGGAGGGGGGGTTGCCACCCCTCTCAGCTCCCCTAGGCAGAGTTTGGTGAAGGGCTGGGGGTGGAGCTAGTGAGCAGAGTTGTTTCTGAAGGCACATAAAAAGTAAATGCAGCAGTCTTGGTCCATGTGGAGGGAGCGGAACCATGCATGTAGCTGCCCCCCGATCAAGTAAAACAATAGAAATACTTAAGTAACTGACCAATCACTTCAGTTCCGTCCCCCCAACAAAAGTCCTGCCCCCCCCAAAAAAATCTTGGCTACGCTCATGAGAGGAACCCTCCAAAACCCACAGCTGACCAGTACCTTTATTAAAGCCAAGCAAACTGTCATGAAATAGTGGTATGTGGAGATGAGGACAAAGGAAAGAAGGAAGGAATGCTTTTCAAAAAAAGCCAACCCACCTCAAATTTCCTGCTTTGTGCATGATGTTGCTTGTTCTGGAGAACTTGAAGACATGCCACCATTTGGGGCATTTTGGTTGGTCCTTATAAAGGTCCTTGCCTATTTGTAGATTTTACAGCTACTTTTAGTGGGTCTGAGGGCACAGCCCAATGAGTTTTGGTGAGCCTAGGAGGAGCACCCACGTCTCTAGCATATTTGGGCAGCACTTTGAAGAATCCAGCACAAAAGGTGCATATTTACGATAAATGTACATCTGTTTTTAAACACTGCTATAAAGCGGGGTGGGGAGGGGGACAGCCTTGTCCCTTTCTTTCCTGGCAAATGGCCTCAAGCTGGTTGACAGCAGCCAGGAGGGGGGATAGAGGGGGGGAAGAGCACAAAATACTTACTGTGCCAGTTTTTTGTGGTTGCTTGGCAACTAATTCAGATGTTTGTTTTTCTGTTATATTGCTCACCTTTTGGATTATGTACGTAGGTAATTGGATCTCTTCACCACCACATGCTCCTCATTTATAACTTGACCTTGCTGGTTTTGCTGACGTGACTCACAGGAAAGTCAATTTATGAATAGACAGCATTGAGGAAACTTTGAACTACAAGGTTACCCCATGTAGCCACCAAGCTGGAACAGGTACCTGGGAGATTACTCAGACCTACCCTAATCCTGTAGCAATGTCAAAGAGACAGTGCCAGAAGCTCTGCAGGAAGAGAGAAATAGAATTTTTAAAACCGCCTTCTTGGATTTCCTCACCACCACCTAAGCTTCATACTGTTGCACACCTCCTCCGTCTCTGAGTAGTGCAACATTTCAGGGGTTCCAGACTCAAGGTTTGTGTTGCCCTTTGGGAGGCACAGCAGAAACTGGGGTGTCTTTATGAAATATGGTTTATTTACACATATATATAACCTGAACCTACGAAGGAGGGGTTCACAGCATCAGTAGCCCCAAAAGGTCTTGTTTCTCCCATAGCCACAGCCTTGGACTCCAGCAGAAATCTGCTGGAAGGGCTGCCTAGTGGCTTCAAAGCTAAACAAAGATAAGAGCAGGAGTCTTGAAGCTGTTCATCAATGGTTAACACCTAATGAGCAGACTGAGAAGCCATGGGCAAGTCACTTGCAAGTCACTTGCTCACAGACTTGCAAACCTGCCACTTTTCATTTGTGATATATAGTGTGCATACTCTGTTCTTCTGTGGTCTTTCTAGTCTGGACTGGACCTGGCACCATCTGCAAGCCTAGCTGTGCCGTGCCACTGAGCTGCAGCCTTTCCCCAAAGCATTGTAAAAGAAAAAAGACTAATGAGCTATAAAACTAGTCCACGAGAATGGGTTTGATCTAGAAAGCTTTGTTACCTCTGTCCCAAAACAAAACAAATTCTGGTGGAAAGTTGTGCAGCCCTTGGAATTACAAAGAATGCTTGTCAGCTGGAGTAGAAATCTCAACCCAGAACAAGAATATGCTTTAGAGCAGATTCCCAGCGTAAGCAGATTGAAAGAATAAATAGAGTTTACTCATTATGCTATAGGGCCCTACTACCGCTCATGACATTTCTGATTCCCTCGCTTTCACTTATTCATCTCCAGAATGGAAGTTGTGACTCACATTCTCAACCAGCCCACATTTGCTTTCCATGCTGCCGCTTCTTCTTTCCGGTGAGATAACAAGAACTGTATTTGTTCCCAAACATTTTGTAAAGGAATCTCTGGAGGCGGGTAGGGAGGGATGCTTCCCTGGAAATTCACCTCGGATAGCAATGAAATTGCACAGAGTATATGAGAGAAGAGCTGCCTTTGGCGCTCAGGAGAGGTGTCAGATCAGAATGCCAGAGGCAGTAGGAGTGCTATGCCTTTGTGGCAGAGGCCCAGGGGCCTCACTCTGCAGAATGCGTAGGAGGGTCCTCAAAACAAGGTACACAGCAGACTGGCTCATCACACTTTGAAGAAAGCGATGTAATGCACATTACCATGGGGGGTGGGTGAAGACCATTTAAGAAAAACAAAACACATTAGTATCTAAAGAGTCTCCTCCTATTATGTCCAGAGTCTACACACACCATTGATTTAAAGCATCCACAAAGAATCCTGGGAATTGTAGTTAAGGATGCTGGGAACTGTAGCTCTGTGAGTGGTGTACTATAGTTCCCAGGATTCTCTGGGATGGGGCTTTAAATACACATCATATATCTAAAGTTCATTTACAGCAGACTCTGTCCCTGACCCCCATTGGCCTAGCCTGAAACCCCCACCCCACCCCGCTTGCATAAATCAGAGTGGCAGCTGCCCACATGGAACAGAATTAGGCAACCCATTGAAGTAATTTAGGAGGGGATCTAGGAGTGATTTGGAGTTTTAAAATGATTTATTTGTTGCACAATGTTAGTATTTCTATGCTAAATTTCATATACACATATATGCTGTTTTTTTAAACAATACAAGCAGTATTAATTTTGGAAATGCAAGTGTGGGGAGAAGCAGTTTCTTTTTGCTTTAGACCAGCTTATCGTTTGTCTCTCGGTGGAGGATCTCCTTCCCCATATTTTTTGTGGTCTTGAGGGCAGGCCAGGAAAGTAGCAACTGCGGTCTCTTTAAATCGTTGCTTTCGGATGTGCTCCCCCACCTTTTCAACCCTGCTGTGAGCAAAAGGGCTTCCTCCCAGCACGCGCAGAGCATGGCTGCCTCCACAGAGGAGGATGGTAGCAGGAGTCCTGGGGACAGCACAGGCAGGCAGCCAGTGGGTGGCTCAGGCTGGGCTAATCACTCAGGAAGGGGTGGAGTCCGGAGGAAGCAGAAACAGATGCTTGATTGCACAAAAATGGCGAGAGAGGGAGATGGATAAATAAGAGAAAGTGTAAACAAGTGCTGGACAGGTGAATTGAGTCCTATTCACCCACGCATCTGCCGCTATATAAATATTACAAAAAGTGGCCAGCTCCCTTTGTGGTGGTTCCGGTCCTGCTTAGATTGCCATTTCCAGAGGGGGATTCTCTTCAGCCCTGTGGAGCTTTCAGTGTGGGGTTCCTCAGGCTTTGATATTATCCCTCATGCTGTTTAACATCAATATGAAACCACAGAGTGAGCTTATCCAGAGTTTTGGAGTATCTGGTCAGCAATATGCTGATGACACACAGCTCTACTTCTCCTTTACATCTGCAAGTGTGGCTAGTGGATGTGCTGGACTGTTGTCTTACCTCAGTAATGGACTGGATGAGAGCCAACAAACTGAAGCTCAGATGATGATGATCATGATTTATATACCGCCCTATACCCAGAGGTCTCAGGGAGGTTCACCTAAAAGGATCACAGTACATAAAATTAAAATAAAAGCAATAACCCAATACAGTGGTACCTCAGGTTACATACGCTTCAGGTTACATACCCTTCAGGTTACAGACTCCGCTAACCCAGAAATAGTGCTTCAGGTTAAGAACTTTGCTTCAGGATGAGAACAGAAATCATGCTCCGGCGGCGCGGCAGCAGGAGGAGGCCCCATTGGCTAAAGTGGTGCTTCAGGTTAAGAACAGTTTCAGGTTAAGAATGGACCTCCGGAACGAATTAAGTACTTAACCCAAGGTACCACTGTAATACTCCCCCCCAAAAAGAGCCACATCTAAAAGGGTATGGGATGTTGATCAGGTCAACCAAAGGCCTGGTTAAAAAGGAACGTTATTGCCTGGAGCCAAAAGGTGTATAGCGAAGGCACCAGGTGAACTTCTCTGGGGAGAGCATTCCACAGACAGGGAGTCACTGCAGAGAAGGCCCATTCTTGTGTTGCCACCTTCTGGACCTCTTGAGGAGATGGCACATGAAGGAGTGCCTCAGAAGATGATATCAGGATCCAGGTAGGTTCATATGGAAAGAGGTGGTCCTTGAGGTATTGTGGTCCGGAGCCATTTAAGGCTTTATAGGTCAAAACCAGCAATTTGAATTGGGCCTGGAAACTAAGCCAGTGCAGTTGGACCAGGATCAGTGTAATATGCTCAAACCGTCTTGCTCCTGTGAGCAACCTGGCTGCTGAATTCTGCACCAGCTGAAGTTTTCGAACCATCTTTAGAGGCAGCCCTACATATAACGCATCACAGTTATCTAACTTTGAGGTTTCCAGATAAGACAGAGGCTCTGTTAGTGGGTGGTTCCCTAGACCGCATGGCTGGGAGGTTGCCTGCTCTTGATGGGGTTACACTCCCTCTGAAGGAGTAGCATGGAGGTGCCACTGGATCCATTGCTGTCACTTGAGGTTCAAGTAGCTTTGCTGGCATGGAGTGCCTTCCATCAGCTTCAGCTAGTGGTCCAGCTGTGCCCCCATCTGGACAGGGATAGCCTGTTGTCTACACTCTTGTAACCTCTGTGTTAGATTATTGCAATGTGTTTTACTTGGGGCTACCTCTGAAGTTGGTTCAGAACATGGGCGTAGCCAGGATTTATGGGGAGGGGGCAGAACCAAGCTATCTGCAACTCTATTGGTCAGTTAGTAAAGTATTTATTGATTGATTTGATTTTAGAAGGAAGCTTCCTCCCCCCCCCCCCACCTACGCCCATGGTTCAAAAACTTCACCTGGTGCAGAATTCAGTGGCCAGCTTGCTCACTAGGGCAAGGCAATCCTGGTCTGACTGCACTGGCTGCTAATCAGTCTCCCAGCCCAATTCAAAGTGCTGATTTTGGCCTAGTAAAGGTAAAGGTAAAGGTAAAAGCAAAGGTACCCCTGACAGTTAAGTCCAGTCGCGAATGACTCTGGGGTTGTGGCACTCATCTCGCTTTACAGGCCGAGGGAGCCGGCATTTGTGGCATGTGGCCAGCATGACTGACCTATGAAGCTTTAAATGGCTCAGGACGGCAATATCTCAAGGATTGCCTCTCCCCGTATGAATTTTTCTTTATCCACTTTCTTCATGTCACACATAATTTTATAATATTATATCCTGTCATCTCTTTCTCACCCTTTGAAAGTGTCCCAAATATAAATATATAAATAAATATATAAATATATAAATATATAAATATATAAATATATAAATATATAAATATATAAATATATAAATATATAAATATATAAATATATAAATATAAATATAAAGGTCCCAAATGCTGCAACCTTTGCTCCACTTTGGGATTTTTTTCTCCTGGAAATTGGGGGCACAGGTGATCAGTGTCTTTTCATCTTTTCCCTGGAAGAATCTGTCAGTGGTTCAAAAATATGGCTTGAGAGCTATCTGTGTACATTTAAAGCACACCCTCCCTCCCTGGGAGTCCTAGGAAATGTAGCTTACCCCTCACAAAGTTACAAGTCCCAGCATCCTTAACAAGCTACATGTCCCAGAATTATTGGGTGTTTGCACACTTTAAATGTATGGTGTTTACACAGACCTAGTTTGTAACCCATGTTCCTCAATACCTGCTGAATAGGTATGAAGAGTTTGAAGAAGAAGAGTTTGGATTTGATATCCCGCCTTTCACTCCCCTTCAGGAGTCTCAAAGCGGCTAACATTCTCCTTTTCCTTCCTCCCCCACAACAAACACTCTGTGAGGTGAGTGGGGCTGAGAAACTTCAAAGAAGTGTGACTGGCCCAAGGTCACCCAGCAGCTGCATGTGGAGGAGCGGAGACGCGAACCCGGTTCCCCAGATTACAAGACTACCGCTCTTAACCACTACACCACACTGACAACGCACCTAACAAAATTCCCAGAGATCTGATCGCTCAGCTCAGATCTCACTACCTCATTGCCTTTGGAGTTTTGATAGCTCTTTAAGTGACCTGCAAGCTGCATGTTGCAGAAGGGACCATCTCTCCATTCCTGTTGCAATAACTCACCCACAAGGCAAACCATTCCTATCCTACAGTTATGTCTTCCAAATGTCGGTTTTGTCCATATTTATGGAGGATGGAATTTTATGCCCACTCACCTGGGAGTAAGGACACTTTCAGACAGTTGCTATTTTCTGTTGGGATTCAACTGCAAATTCACGTTGCACAATTGATGTTGATTTGGTGTTCTTGCACAACAAGCCTGCTTTCCCCAGCCACCCAGAATCAGACTATTTGCAAACAGGGAAGCAATGCACAAGGAAGTGTAGGACAGCACTTGCTTGCCACAACTTGCTTGTTTAATATCCCTGCAAATGAATCAGAATGAGTGCTCAATAAACTGGATTGGCCAGAATCTCACACAATTCGATGGGGCTTACTTCTTCTGAGCAGGTATGCGTAAGATCGTGTTCTTCTAAATACACAAGTGCAGGCTGCAGATGTTTATCCTGCTCTGGGTTTCAGTGTCTTGAGAGTTGCTTTCTCCAATTCTTTCTGTATTTGCTTTCCTTTCTTCAATGTACAACAAAGGCCTTATTGACTGGCTCTGCCTTGGGCCAATGGGGAAGCTTCTGACCACACATCTGTTCACTGATTTGTTATGGATAGTCTCTGCTGAAACTGCCGGGAAGTGGTTAAGCAATAAAAGCTAAGTGGAAAGAGCATTAGCTGTGCTGACTCCGTAGTATAAATAATATATGGAGAGAGCTCTATAGGTGTATAATGTTTCTGAGACAAACATTTGCTTTCTCCGCAGGCATTTCCCCTCGTATTATCTGCCTAAGGCTAGGGCAAAGAGCCACCTGATGAGGAGAAGAGAGCAAATGATGAGAGAATCTTGAAAATACCTGGGTCCTTGCCAGCTGCCAGTGGAAAGGATGGTTGTGGAAGTCTGGTTGCATCACTCGGCTCTTGGAAGACCATTCTGAATCCTGTGCTTTGCTGGAAAGCACTTGTCCCTCCCTTGGCTAGGATGATGCCTTTCTCTATGGCCAACCTATCTGGGAGACTTTGAAGACTGGGGTCCTTCACAAGACATCACTTCTCAATGGAGCATGACTTTCAGGTTCCTTCTTTTCCTGCTGTCACTTCCAGCCACCTGCTCAGCCACACCCATGAAAGGAACCCACTGGATGAAGAAATAGAGAGGTGCACTCTGCCCTGCTGGGACGGGACAAAGGTCTGTGAAAAGGTAGGCTTAGTAGTGCTTGGGCGATGCTAGTTTGCATCTCATTTTGGTGCTGAATGGAAACACTAAAGTCTGATTGCCAAATGCACTGAGCAGGAAGTGGCTGGGTAAGAGCAGCACTGATTTTGCTTTTGGGCTGGGAGATCATATTAAAGAAAGGAGAGCTTGCCTTGTGTGGCTGTTGGCTGCACAGGGAATAGTATTGTGGGCAGATGTGCAGCCCAGTCCTGTGCTTTTTTTACTTTGAAGCAGAGTCGTTGAATTCAGTGGGACTTCCTCCCAACTTGAAAGGGGGTGTAGAGTTACAATCTTAAACCTCTCTAGCATCACTTTAAAAGGTGAGGTGCAGATATTAGGCCAATCAGAATTAACTGATATTTTTTGATGTTTTATGGCTGTTTTATTAGTATTTTGTTGACATTATCCTGATATTTTGTACTCTGCCTTGTTACATATTTATAAATGTGCAGATTATTAATTTATAGAAAAAAATAAAATAAATGAAAATATTCTACCACATACTTTGTTTGTGGTCTAACCTATTTTGCTTTCATTCCCTTCTGTTTATTTTCTTTACAGGGGGTTTCCCAGTGTCAGCCACATACTAGTTCAAGGTAGATATTTATAAAGAGAGTTGGGTAAAAGAACCTTAAACTTACGTTGTTTCAGGGTTACTATATATGGCAATGTGAAATTCTGCATTTTATCTAATCCATCCACTGCAGTTATTAAGCTTGCAGATGATATCACCATAATGGGTCTAATTACAGGTGGAGATGAATCAGCGTATAGGGAAGAGGTTCAAAAAGTCTCCACATGGTGCCTAGAGAACAACTTGCACCTAAATATCAGCAAGACAAAGGAGATGGTGTTGGACTTTTGGAGGAAGAGAGAGGAACTAGCCCGTTGTATATCAGGGTTGTGTGTGTGGAGAGAGTCTCTTCCTTTAAATTCCTGGGAGTTTACCTTAGTGAAGACCTCACGTGGAAAATCAATACAACCCAGGTGGTTAGGAAGGCCCAACAGAGACTCCATTTCCTCAGGGTCTTGCAAAAGAACAATGTCAAACAAAAATTGATGATCTCCTTCTACCGGGCCACAATAGAAAGTGTCCTTTCTTACTGTATAACAATGTGGTATGCTGGTTTGACAGCCGTGGACAGAAAGTCCCTATGGAGGGTGGTGAATACAGCACATGCATCATGGGTTGTCCTCAGAGTTCACTAGATGAACTCATCGTGGGAGACCGCTGCCTCAGGAGAGCGAGGAAAATTCTTAGAGACAACTCACACCCTGGCCAGCATTTCTTTAATCTCCTACCTTTGGGCAGGAGATACAGAAGTATAGTCAGCCACACCAACAGGTTAAAGAACAGTTTGGGCTGTTGGGCTGCTGAATGGAAATAATAATAATAATAGTAATAATAATAAATTTATTTATACCCCGCCCTCCCCAGCCAAGACCGGGCTCAGGGCGGCTAACAACCAATAATAAAAACAAGTTGATTAAAATACAATTTAAAAAAGATTTTTAAAATAAATAAAATAAAATAAAATAAAAATAGTGGTGTAATTCACTTCTGACAAGCACACAGAGCGTGAACAACACTGAGTGTATTGGGGGGGTTGTTTAATTTCACTGCACACAGATGGTGTAGTGACAATAAAGGTTTATTATTATTATTATTATTATTATTTATTAGAATAAAATAAAAGAACACAGATCTCAGCCTTTTTACTCAGATCTTCATTACCGCCCCCCAGGTAACAGCGTGAGGACCCAGGGCCTGTGGAGTTGCCAGCCTTTGGGAAGGAGCCCTCATATCCAGGGTTCCAGTTGCCATGCGGTTCTTCTTAAGGCGTTCACTTGCAGCAGCTATTTCCCTGCTTGTGTTCCTGCTCCTCGTAAGTCTGTCTCCTTGGACCCAAGAGGATTCTGAGACGGTGAGTATAGCATAAACCACATGTTCTGGGCAGAATAAAAGGAAACTGATACCCAATAGGCCTTGCTACTCCCATCCTGTTGTTCTTCTGTTTGGCTAGAAGCCAGGGATTCTGTTGAGACATTTCTGCAAAATATTTTCAGGGAATATAGGGACCTGACTCCCCACCCCCACCCCTGTCTCTTTATGCAGGGGGGTGAGGATCCAGATTCTTAAATTTAACTGGTGACATGTCCTTCATTGGGGAGAGGGGGTCAAAGGTAGCTGTGGACACAGCTACTGAGGCAGAAAAGCCAAAAGGTGCTTCATTGGGGATAAACAATTAATAACTGATGGGATTGAAAATGTTAAGCCTTTGTAATGGTACCCTGAAATCAGATGTAGGGTCTTCTTCCTCTTTTCCTCAGAAGCGGGTATTGCACCCACTCTCTCGCTCGATAGCAGGAGCATGGATTGAAAGTGACAGGCATCAAATCCCCATATATATCTTGGGTTCTGATTCCTCATTATAATCCTTCCAAGTGATTCCTACAAAAATACATTGTGTTGAATCCCCACCCCCTAAGAAACTCTTGTTCAGGCCTGCTTAGACCTCTTGGGACAGGGGGAGGGTTTGAAAGGTAGAAGGGACTCCTACATCCACCTGTGTTATGTAGCTCTAGAGGGCTCAGGTTGCAGCGGATGGGCAGTGGGGGAAAGGGAGGCTGCCAACCCTAAACTTCGCATTGTATTGCTAAATAGCAGTGGGTGGAGTGTGACTGGCTCTAAAGACTAGGAAAGGCAAAAGGTGTCATTTCCTCCTTTTCTCCCTCCTGAAACATGCCAACATATTGCAGGGAAGGCTTGTACCCAACAACCTCTCCTCCAGCATTCTTTCTCAACTGCAAGCAGCTCGAACAAACCATTCCCTCTGCTACCCATTTTCTTCCCTACCCCTCTGAAAATTAACACCCAACATTATTATGTGTGTCGACTTCCCTTGGTGATTTATGTCATTGATAGGCACACATAATCAGCTGTTCATTACAGATAATGGAGAAACCCGGGGTTTTCCTGTAGCTGTGGCTAGGAAGCAAGTATGCTTACACACAACAACAACAACAGCAACAACAACAACAGGCGTTTATGCTGGCTGCATACACACCATACATTTAAGGCAGGTCCCTCTCTGCAATTCTATGGTTCTACAAACTTATCATTCTGCATTCCTTGTGAGTCCCTTGAGTATGAAGCCCATTTTCCACTTTGGACCTGGGGGCGGGCCCCATACTCACTACCACAGCTTATAAGGCTCCAAGGAGGCCTTGGGGTGGGATGGATGTTTAGTCGGGTGTGGGAATTTGTTTAATTTTGGTGTGTTTGTATCTTTTACTGTTTTTGGTTTTTATTGTTTTGTTGTTGTTGTTGTTGTATAGGTTTTAATTTGATTTTAAGGGGAGGGGTCAGGGCTGCCTGGGAGTGGGTCCCAGCCAACAAAATGGCTGGGGCAGGTTCCACAGGGGGGAAGCACTGGGACAACCGATCTCAGTGATCACGGGTAGGAGGAGGAGTTACGCTAAGACCAGACCACGTCATTACCGAGGAGGCAGGTTTAGTTGTTGTTTGAGGACTATCCCTGCCTCCAGGTCTGGTCTTGACCGGACGGTTACTGGAATCAGCAAGGGATACCCACACAACCTGAAGGTGCTGCTGTGCAATGCCAGGTCAATGATCCATAAAACCATTGTGATCCATGACTTGATCGTGGATGGAGGACTTGACCTGGCATGTGTAACAGAGACTTGGTTGGATGAAGCAGATGGGCCTGTCCTAGCTGCTGCTTGTCCACTAGGTTTCTCTTACGCACAGCAACCCAGGCCTTGTGGGCGGGGAGGGGGGGTTGCAGTGATTTTTAGGAAGTCATTAGTTTGCACCAGGTGTCCTATTGGGAAGATCCAGTTCTCTGAGTGCATGTTCTGAAGGTTGGGCAATAGGGGCAGTACAGGATTCCTTTTGGTATACCGACCTCCCTGCTGCACCAAGGATTCCCTGCCCGAGCTGCTTCAGGTCATGGCGGATGTTCTCCTGAAGATACCTAGTTTGGTTGTCCTAGGAGATTTTAACATCCATGCTGACATGACCTTACAAGAGGCTGCTAGGGACTTCGTGGAAAGCATGACCTCCATGGGGCTGTCCCTGAATTAGTCTGGCCCAACTCATGCCTTAGACCTGGTGTTCACCTCTATGGATGTTGGTGATCTGACATGAAGTAAAAGCGAAACTAAAGAAGTGCCATGGTTAGATCACTTCCTGGTGCAACTGGACTTCTCCACTACCCTTCCTTTCTGCAGGGAGGTGGAACCGATTCGGATGGTCTGCCCCCGCCACTTAATGGATCCAAATGGTTTCCAGAGAGTGGTAGGGGATGTTTTATCCCATGCTGATGGCCTTGCAGCTGATTCCCTGGTGGCCCGCTGGAATGTGGAGTTAACCAGGGCTATTGACTGTTTGGCTCCGAAGCGCCCTCTCCGATTGCATGGAGCCTGGACAGCCCCATGGTTTGCCACAAATCTGAGGGCAATGAAACAGTCGCTGAGACGGCTAGAGCACCAGTGGCTGATAACTCATTCTGAATCTGACCAGAAGGTCCTGTGTGAGTGTCTGGAGGTGGTTGGAGGATGGATGGCAGCTAGCAGATTGAGGTTGAATCCTGACAAGATAGAAATACTGTTTTGGGGGGACAGGAGGCGGGCAGGTGTGGAGGACTCCCTGGTCCTAAATGGGGTAACTGTGCCCCTGAAGGACCAGGTGCGCAGCCTGGGAGTCATTCTGGACTCACAGCTGTCCATGGAGGCGCAGGTCAATTCTGTGTCCAGGGCAGCTGTTTACCAGCTCCATCTGGTACGCAGGCTGAGACCCTATCTGCCCATGGACTGTCTCACCAGAGTGGTGCATGCTTGGACTACTGCAATGTGCTCTATGTAGGGCTACCTTTGAAGGTGACCCGGAAATTACAACTAATCCAGAATGAGGCAGCTAGGCTGGTGACTGGGTGCGGCTGCTGAGACCACATAACTCCAGTCTTGAAAAACCTACATTGGCTCCCAGTACATTTCCAAGCACAAATCAAAGTGTTGGTGCTGACCTTTAAAGCCCTAAATGGCCTCAGTTCAGTATACCTGAAGGAGCGTCTCCACCCCCATTGTTCTACCTGGACACTGAGGTCCAGTGCCGAGGGCCTTCTGGCAGTTCCCTCACTGCGAGAAGCCAAGTTACAGGGAACCAGGTAGAGGGCCTTCTCGGTAGTGGCACCTGCCCTGTGGAACACCCTCCCACCAGATGTCAAAGAGAACAACAATCAGATTTTTAGAAGACATCCGAAGGCAGCCCTGTTTAGGGAAGCTTAATATTTTGTTGGAAACTGCCCAGAGTGGCTGGAGAAGCCCAGCCAGAAGGGCAGGGTATAAATAAATTATTATTATTATTATTATTAGTAGTAGTAGTAGTAGCCATCCCCTTTCTGCTTCCAAACTGATAGGCACTCAGCTACCCCCTATTTTGAGCAGTGATGGTGGTTCTTGGGAGTTGCCAAGAACCTACCTTGCTTGTTGTCCCCGTATCTAGAGATGCGGAGCCCATTGTGTTGGCCCACAGATGTGCTCTGGAACATATACTTTCTTCTAAGTGTTGTTGTCCTGTTTTTCCACAGAAGGAAGTACGACAGTGGGCCCAGGATGTGGGGCTACAGCAATTGCACACTGACTGGAACCAACGTAGCCTCCAAAAGCTAGGGAATGCCACCAACTTCCCAAACATCTCTTATCGCTATCTTGCTGGCATCCCCCCACCCCAGAAAAGTGAGTACAGCACACCTCCCAAAAGGCAGATCAAAATTAGAAGGTGCACAGGAGGCAATGGGTCCATTTTAGAAGTCCATGTTTGCATAGAAGAAATTTGCATTTCAGACTGTCGCAAGAGAATGTGGACTGTGCACGTACAGATCTGTCACATCAGCACCATGCATTTTATGTATTCTTGTACCACTTTAACAGTCATGGCTCTCACCCAAAGAATCCTGGGAATTGCAGGCCTTTGTGGTCAGTGCCCTTAACAGACTACAGCTCCCAGGAGTCTTTGGAGGAAGTCATGACAGCTAAAATGCTATAAGAGTGCTTTAAATTTACTGTGCGGGTGTGATCAGAGAGAACTGGGAATGTGGGATGCCTTTGTGGGCTCACTACTAGGATCTCATCTTTTGCTAAGCACAGACTTCTGCAGTAGAACCATGTTTCTGCCTTTAATTCTAGGGCAAGGGTCAGCAAACTTTTTCAGCAGGGGGCTGGCCCACTGTCCCTCAGACCTTGTGGGGGGCCAGACTATATTTTGGAAAAAAAATATGAACGAATTCCTATGCCCCACAAATAACCCAGAGATGCATTTTAAATAAAAGTACACATTCTACTCACGTAAAAACACACTGATTCCCGGACCGTCTGCAGGCCGGATTTAGAAGGTGATTGGGCCTTAGTTTGCCTTTGTTGCTGTTTAGTCGTGTCCGACTCTTCGTGACCCCATGGACCAGAGCACGCCAGGCACTCCTGTCTTCCACTGCCTTCTGCAGTTTGGTCAGACTCATGTTCTTAGCCTCGATAACACTGTCCAACCATCTCGTCCTCTGCCGTCCCCTTCTCCTTGTGCCCTCCATCTTTCCCAACATCAGGGTCTATTCCAGGGAGTCTTCTCTTCTCATGAGGTGGCCAAAGTATTGGAGCCTCAACTTCAGGATCTGTCCTTCCAGTGAGCACTCAGGGCTGATCTCCTCCAGAATGGATAGGTTTGATCTTCTTGCAGTCCATGGGATTCTCTAGAGTCTCCTCCAGCACCATAATTCAAAAGCATCAATTCTCCGGCGATCAGCCTTCTTTATGGTCCAGCTCTCACTTCCATACATCACTACTGGGAAAACCATAGCTTTAACTATACGGACCTTTGTCAGCAAGGTGATGTCTCTGCTTTTCAAGATGCTGTCCAGGTTTGTCATTGCTTTTCTCTCAAGAAGCAGGCGTCTTTTAATTTCGTGACTGCTGTCACCATCTGCAGTGATCATGGAACCCAAGAAAGTAAAATCTCTCACTGCCTCCATTTCTTCTCCTTCTATTTGCCAGGAAGTGATGGGACCAGTAGCCATGATCTTAGTTTTTTTGATGTTGAGCTTCAGACCATATTTTGCGCTCTCCTCTTTCACCCTCATTAAAGGGTTCTTTAATTCCTCCTCACTTTCTGCCATCAAGGTTGTAAATCTGAGACAGAAGAGAGCCCCTTGTGGCTGCTTCCTTTTTTACCTGGACGGGTAAAAGTTGGGTTTTCTGTCCATTTCTGGCCTTACACTGCCACCCAGTGGGGAAATAGAGCTGGAAGCTTACAGTGTACAGGAACGCATAGCTTTCCTCCACTATTGTGCTTGCTATCAGGGAAAGAAGGAAAGGGGCAACTGCCCCTTCTGTCCATTTGCTCATTATCTGTACCTCCAAGGCAACAGGTGAGGATGTGGTTGATGCATCTCATAAGAACAGAAGGCAAGCCTGCTGGATCAGGCCTGTTCCCATCTAGAACATCATCCTGTTCTCACAGTGGCTGACCTGTGGGAAACCTGTAAATTGAACATGGGTGTATCAGCACTCTGCCCACCTGCAATTCACGGCAACTGGTATTCAGAGGCATAGTGGCTCAGACAATGGAAAATCTTCCTTTCCATCTAAAAAACATGTTTTGCTCACTTGCCTTCCTTGTCCACTGTACCCAGGAGGCCACTGGGTTCCTATAGTACCACAGATGTGGGGAAGGAAATGGAGGGAGAGGCAGTGGAAAGGGGTATGAGGCCCTGCAGCTATATCCTCTCCCACTGCCTCAGTGTGGGAGGATCTCGGACTTGCAATGCACCAAAAGTAGTCAGGTGTGCATGGGCACAAACAACACCACCTTCATGTCCTCTTTGTGTGCACACACATTCAAGGCAACCTATGCCCTGCATAGATGCATGATGGTCCCTCACCTACCTTCTCAGAAAATGGAAATGATAGCAGAACAAGCCTAGGCCATCCTCTCAGCCTTATGCTCACCTGTGCTTTGCTGTCACTTCATTTGGGGGTGATTTTTCCTATGTTTTCTGATTTGATGCTGGGACAGGTACAGAAACATTCGTGCTGCTGTACCACAGGTAAAATTCACAGGGGTTTTTTTTTAAGAGAGCGAAGGAGCATATATATCACATTCTTTTCACTTTTGCTCAGATTGCCCAGATCTTCCAGGCAACCTGGTTTCAAAACTTGTAATTGTCATGTTTCCTAAAACATTCTGATTTTTAAAATCCCATTGGCACTCAAGAATGTCGTTGTGAACCCAAGCCACAGACCCCGAGCTAGAGGAAAGCCTATTGGGGTTTGTGAGAAGCAGGAGTTCCAAGAAGAGTCTTAACCACCAGAGTGCAGAGTTCTGACACTTTATTGAAGATAAGTATAGGCTTACAGCAATGCAGCCTGCTGGTTCCCCTTGCCCTGGCTCAAAGCCTTCTGTGGGACAGACTCTACAGCAAGGAGACAGCTTGTCCGCACCCAAGCAAAGCTATATACAGTATTTATACAGCAGGGCAGTCTGTGTCAGCCACCTGACCAAGTTGCAGATAGCCAATACTCAAAACATGATAGGTAGTTCTTTTTCTGGGCTCTGTGCCTAACATCCCAGTTCCCACTGATAAGGGTACCATCAAAGCAAATCAATTAGGATATCAAAGCAAGCATGTGTAAACATATATGAGCTCATAGCCATAGCAACTACCAATTAATTGTAGGCCTATCTTGAGTGCCAAGATGATGCAAGCACAGCTTCCAAAGCAGTTCACCTTTATTACAACACAACCATTTTATGGGTCAAAAGTGCACACTATCACTTTCTTGCTGCTAGTGAATAGGACTTGTGCAACAAACTGGTCTGTGTTAGCCAGGACCTATCTAAATTTGAAATTCTGAAATTAACAGAGGAATCTATCTCCAGGTGAGTTACATAAAAGCCAGTTGAAGATGTAGAGCACAAAGGTTTTGAACTGGGCTGATCCTTTCATACACAAAGATGGTCATTTGTTGGCCTAATCCAGGCGCATGTTGAGCGGGTTTGAAATCCAAACTCATAAAGCTAACAGGATGGGAAAAATTATCCCCACAGACATGCAACCCTTTAATGGTCGAGTTTATTTTTAATATACTAAGCTGACATTGAATTCTTCATATATTCCAAGTCCGTTTTGTCAACTTCAGCAAAAAATTATGGTCAGAAATGTCCTGAGATGACATTTTAGCAGAAATTGAATAACTCTGCGTCAAACAGTAACAACACTGTGCTTAGCCTTTTCTATTCTGCAACTCTAAACAGTTTTGCTAAATGTTGCTCTGACATTAGCTAGAGATTTTTCCAGAATAAAATCCTGGATTCACAAATGCATGCTTTGAAAGAAGCCTACTTCAGTGAAAAAGCACTTTCATTTGTCTGTCTTGAATTTACTGCCAGCCACTTTGATTTAGCGATGTTCTTGCGGATTTGTGTAGATGCAAGGAACTGTATGCCTGTTATAATCTGCTGCCAGCCTGTCTTGCATTCATGAGGTGTCTCCCCTTTGGCTCCTGATTTCAGAGTTTCTGACTGTGGGGCTGTGTTCTGTCAAGCGGAAGCGAGGGAACTACCTTCTGGAAACCCTGCAGTCTATCTTTCAACAATCAACGCGTGAAGAGCTGAGGGAGATGGTGGTGGTGGTCCACTTAGCTGATTCAGACCAGGAGTGGAATTCTCAAGCACTGGAGAAAATTGCCAAGAGGTTTGCTCCGCAAGTCTTGCTGGGCCGCCTGCTGGTCATCCATGCTCCTTCTGAATACTACCCTCCCTTGGAAGGCCTGAAACGGAATTTCAATGATGCCAAAGACCGTGTGCGATTCAGATCGAAGCAGAATGTGGATTACGCCTACCTCATGAACTTTGCAGCCAACCTCTCCACCTACTTTCTCATGATTGAGGATGACGTACGTTGTTCCAAGTCCTTCTCCACAGCCATCAGGAAGTCTGTGGCATCTCGGGAAGGCTCCCCCTGGGTCACCCTGGAGTTCTCCAAGCTTGGCTACATTGGCAAGCTTTACCACTCCAGCGACCTGCCCCGTCTTGCTCAGTTCCTCCTGCTCTTTTACCAAGAGATGCCCTGCGACTGGCTTTTTGTGCATTTCCGCCTCCTTCTTACCCAGAAGGACGCGATCCGTTTCAAGCCATCCCTATTCCAGCACATTGGCCACTACTCTTCCTTCCAGGGCACCGTAAACAAGCTGAAGGATGAAGACTTTGAAGAGGACCTCTCCACACACCCTGACAACCCCCCTGCAGATATGATTACAGATATTAAGACGTTTGAGAATTACCTTCCCAGCAAGGCTTACAGCAACATGGAAGACTACTTCTGGGGCAAGGACCCCTCTGCTGGGAATTCATTCACAATTGTTTTTAAGCAAGCTACCCAAATCTTCCGCATCCAGATCCTCACAGGCTCCAAACAGCGCCCAGGAGACTATCTCCGGGCGGGGATTGTGGAGTTGGGCACCCAGAAGGGCCGGGGTGGCTTGCGCTGTACTAGCTACACCCCAATTGGACACTTTGAGCATGGAAGCTTTGACAAGCAAGGCCTGGAGGGCAGGACTGCCTCTGCCCCCGAGTGTGTGCGCATAACAGTGACTACGACTCAGAGTGAATGGCTGATCATAAGCAGCATAAGCATCTGGACGAAGGCTGGTCCCTGAACTGGATGACAATTTTACTTCAAGCGCTCTCATGACAATCTTGTTATACTAAGGGTGGTAGACTGGTGGGGTTTTAATTTAGCTGAAGCCAGTAATTAAACATCCTACACCAAATCTGTAATTCAACAGAGGGAAGGTTAGCCTCCAAGCACAAAGAAGCACTTGGAACACAGGATGGAACAGAGATTTTTTTGCCTTAGGAACTTAGATGTTCAGGTGGCTATCAACATGATGGACAGTACTAGAGCTAGAGAACTGGTGGACAGTGTCCTTCCTCCACTCTTTTGCCTCCCTAATGCACAGATGTGATTGCAAAATCACAGCTCACTTCCTTCCCAGGGAGAGTAGCTATGGGTGGCAGTAAGCCAAGAAAAGTCCTGTGAAGTGGTTTCTCTATTTCATCCTCCAGTTATGTTAACATTTCTATGTGCGGCTACACACTTTTTTAAAAATGGAATGTCAATGGGATCATGAATATGAAGATGGACACAAGCTAGGCCAATCTGGTGACACAGAGAACTTAAGGAGAGAATAGCACTCTTTGGGTGCAGTTGAAAATACTGCATTATTGGTGAATGCAAAGATTTGTAACTACCATAGCAGCTTATTATGACCAAGAATGCAAACTCTGATGATGATGATAATAATAATAATAATAGTAAGTCATAATTTATTACTTATACCCCACCCATCTGACTGGGTTGCTGCAGCCATGCTGGGTGGCTTCCAATAGAATATAAAAAACATAATGAAACATCAAGCATCAAAAACTTCCTGAAACAGATGTTACCTTCAGATGTTTTCTGAAAGTCATGTAGTTGTTTATCTCTTTGACATCTGATGGGAGGGCGTTCCACAGGGTGGATGTCACTACCGAGAAAGCCCTCTGCCTGGTTCCCTGTAACCTCACTTCTCTCAGTGAGTGGGAAAACGCTTATGGAGATGGCAGTATTGAGTCAGTAGCTCATGTGCTTCTAGCTTGCACTCTTCATGAAGATTTTAGGAGTGAGGTTCCTACTATCCATACCAGGTCGCTCAACCATTGCTATTGTGTCCGTCCTCCTAGCAGATCAAGACAATCAGGTGACAGCAAAAACTGCCAGGTTTTTACCAGGGGCAATCAGAATAAGATCTATTATTTGATTATTAACGTAAACTTCCAGAATGTATTTTGTATAGTTAAGTTTTTACCTCTATCTTCAGGACATTGTCCTTTACTTTATTTCTACGGCTACTGGCTGATGCAAATAAAGATTATTCTGATTCTGGCATCTGATACAATGTACTAGGGTAAAAAATGTAGCACAGCGACCCCATAAATGACAGTGCAACAAGACAGTAGCAGTGAGTGGTATCGTACTTCTCATCAAAATGACTTGAAGCACATTTTTGCAAAAATTCTGTCTCTAAAGATGTTTCCCCTAAACAGCCATGTTTGTTCACCTGTGTTATCCTTGCTGCATTTGAGATTTCCCATTATTTAGCCAGATAGGCTCTATTGTTCAGTGGGGTAACTAGATTTAACTTTTTTACTTTTATCATATTGTCTGCCTTTTAATTCATCTGCTCAACTAGTGCTCAAAATGCAGTCCTGAACTAAGCCACTACCAGTTTTGATCAACATGGAATAGTATGTCAATGTACCTTAAATCTATGTCATTGTACTGTAAATCTGAGAAACCCCTTCCCACAAAGGACATATGGCACTTCAGTCTCGTATATCTAAAAAAACTCTTGGTGACCAGGAGACTTTCCTTTGGAAGAACATATGTTAATGGCACAGAAAGACTGCTAGATTTTTAGAATGCATGGGACCTGAAACAAAAAGTTTAAGTATGGAGTGTTCCTGCTCAATGCCAACCAGCCAATCCTGCCCTATTCTAGGGAGCTCCATTCCATCCCCCCTTCCAGATTTCCATTCCCATTCCCCTCAAACATCACTCAGCATTGTGTGGCCTTTGGGCACCATTTTGGAACTCCCTGTACACAAAGTTGCTTGTACTTCTGCACACCCAAAACCTCCTGCTACCTCTCTTGGGCACGAATGGAACCACACCCAGTGATCTTTGCTATTTGTATCTATGATGGTTGAGCAGAGATCAACTCTGGAATGCAAAAGCCCCATCCCTGGGCTAATGGAAGGTCTTTCTGTGTGAAGTAACAACTCAAACAGTTTCACAGAATCATAAAATTGTAGAGTTGGAAGGGACCAGGAGGTTGATTCAACCCCTGCAATGCAGGAATCTTTTGCCCAATGTGGGGCATGAACCCACAACTCTGACATTAAGAGAATCATGCTCAACCAACTGAGCAAAACAAGGAGGCAGAGAATTAGCAAAGAACCTAAGAGTATTTTGGGGTGCAGTGTGCCTCTCTCTGAGGATCTGATGTGGGACGGTGGACTATGAATGCAGTGGTGCTTGTATCCATCTATGTTCTACTACGTCTATGTTTTTGTGAATAAACCAAATATTCAAAAATGCTGTAAGTATCCAGTGTTCCTTCAGGAGCTTACTCTCACTTAGGGAAGTTGTAATTGGGAGGTATAGTCCAATAATGTATTGAGGACATCATGTTGGCCATTAGTGCTCTAGGCCAAACTCGTGCCACCTGCTTCCATATCAGCCATTTTCTGTGGATTAGCCACACTTTGTTCACTCACTTCTATGAGGCATTAGCATGACATTGTGCTCAAAAGCATCCCTCTCCCTTGTTTTCCCTGTTCAGTTTTCTCCAGAGCTCATAAAAGCCAACGTTTTCAACACTACAGAACAACTACACGATTTTCTCAGGTGCAGGCAATCCATTGCATAGCTATCCTGTAGGTTTGGGGCTAGTTATGGGCCTATATGGATTGCTCTTGCCTGATCTGTGTCGTCTCTTTAGAAATCCGCTGTTATCATTTTTACCATTCCCTTTCCAAAGACTAGTTTATCTGAAAGGCATGTAGACTTATCTGGGACTAGAGTATGACAATATTGCTTGCCCCTCTTGCCATGCCAAAGGGCAGGCTGGTGAGTGAGATCCACACAAGGTTTCCTTCCAATGCTGGAGCTACAAAGTGTGTGGGGGGGGGTGATGCCAATTCCCTCCCCAGCCCCCAAATTTGTATCTCTGCACTTGCTGAGAGCCAAAACAAACCTCTAATTGACTTGGCTTCTGAAGCCTTTCAAGTTCAAGTACGTTCAAGTTCTTCATTCACATAATTAGGTCAAAGACAAATGACATTTATAAATAACCACATTTAATGGAAAAGCACGGTCAGTAACGAGGAACACTGAACAATGCTGAATGTCTGGAATAGCAGGAGTATTTCAGCTTGTTCAATTTTCCACATTTATAGACACCTGCAAACAGATTTTAATTTAGGCAAAAGTAATCATCATTGATCCAGTTAAGAAGACTGTGGATGTAATATATTATCAATTCATATCTGGATGTGGAAAGTCCATTCAAAGTGTTAAAGAGATATTCAGGCTGTGCAAGTGTTGAATACGTTTTGGGGGTAATAGATTTACTCTGAATACTTCTCTTGTTTGAGAAGTAGACCCTACAACGTGCAAATTACACCATAAAATGATCAACATTCCACTCTTACATTAATATGTGAATTACATACAAGATCTAATTGTAAAGGATGCAAAATGGCCATTCAAACTTGAGTGTCCTGTAGCCCAGGACAACTCTGGAGAAAGCAAACTGAAGTCCTTAGGTACTCTGCAAAGAAATGGTCGAGTTTTTATGAACTATCTTCAGTAGTTCTGCTATGAATATATCCCTTTGAGTGCTTATGTTGGACCACTGTATTAAGAAAAATAATTACCACCTCTCACACCTGTCTGTGCATTAAAGATAGTAAGGAGGAGGAAGAAAATAAATACTCCCTATTCATTTCTGTCCCTAATTCCAATTGTATAGTATAAAACTGAAAGCAGACAGCCTCATTTGCCCTGATACTAGTCCACTCTTGTGGAAGACATCAGATCTTGGGCTAGGCAGCTCTGTTGCATTATGACTGTTCTTTTCCTTAAAATTGGCACCAGTGTGATAAACGCTACACTGTAAAGGCCACAGATTCCTTTCTTTCTGTAATACATTGCTTGATCCTCTTACCACAAGGCTTAATTAGAGAGTTTTTCAAGCACCTCATATCCACTTTGCAATAATAGAACCCTACTATTCATAATTATCTTTTAAATATTGTGAAAAGTACAGAAAACCAAGGTGCACACATCCAACGAAAAGTCTTCAAATAACGTTGCAATTTGCTCATTCATAAAGGATGACAATTTGTTGAACCGCACAAAACAGGAGGATACACAAAATCATTGATACTGCCTATAGTCCCCAAATGGAGAGGGCTGCAACTGAGATGGGTCTTCTGTAAACTGAGGGCCTGCATTTGAAACACAAAACAAACATTAAGTATTCAATGCTCTGCAGCATGTTAACAGTGGGTATGTCTTCAGATCAAGCATTTATAATTTACTCTACAATTGTTTTAAATACCTACTAGTAGACCAAACATAAACTGCAAACACAGACTGAGATTAATCTGTTTCATATCCAATGCTGTGCAATAGGAGATTTTGAGTATGAAAAGGGGCATGGATTAGCTCCTCAGCACTGCAAAATAACACTGGAGCTGATGGAAAGGAAGCCAGGCCATAGAGCCCACAAGATATCTAGAGGATCTACGGCACAGGCTCTATGGCTGGAAACAGGAAGAAGGAAGATCAGACAGGGGCAGCAGGATCAAATATGAGTTTAGTGCAGCAATGAAGCAGAGGAAAACGACCCCTAAAACTTCTGAGTGGGAGGGTAAGCAAGCAGAAGATATTTTATGTTGAGCTTGGCTGCTGCACCAGCAGCAGCACGTATGGCAGTAATGGTAGCAATGGGGAACTGGCAGGCCACACAGCAGGAGGGGTACATGCAACTTACTGGTTGCTCACATATGCCCTATCAGCTAATAGTAAAGATCCTGAAGGTGGGAATTACGGTCAGGAGGATATAGTGCAGGAGGTTAGTGGAGAAATAGTGCACTTTCAGCTACAAGCTGTATATTTCAGTGGGAAGTTAAATGCACATGGACATTTGCAAGTTGCCAAGGAAACATTCACAGTCCTGATTGTAGGAGTGCAAATATCCAGAGTGTGGGGTCAGGTGGGATTACTATGAGGAATTATAAAATATGTATCAAGCCATTGTGTCCACAATGAATGCGTTGTGTTGACTGGGTTTAATTCATTGACAAGAATTTCTGATCAAATCCCACAACCCTCTGCATCTCTGGCCATTTCCTCTACTGCCCATTTCTCTTTCTTGACAAGTCACGTACACAGCATACACAGCCCAGTTGCTTTGGCAGGCATGCATCCTGGGCTGTGAAAGATAGTGGGCAGCTTCTTTTGATGTAGCTTTTCTGATATGTTAATCTTATGATGTTAATCTTAGGGCCAGGAAACAGATCTCACCTGAAGGTGATAATGATCGCTGTCTTCCTGGCCACCCTTCTTATCATGTGTATTGCTTGTTTCTGACCTCAGAGGTTGCCAGATGGCACTCCTTTGTAGTTCTGTTCTTTATTTACCCCAGAAGTGCATGCTTAATTAGTGTTTGTAGTTTAACTTTGTCCCCACGTGGGGTTTGTTGAAATGCTCAGAAGAAATCTGATTGGTTCTTATGAACACTCTGTAAAAAGCTCTTTTGTGAATAAAATGACCTGGGCCGGAGATTATTATACACACCCCTCCCAGAGTCTTGCTGGTTCAAGCCTCTGTATGTATTCTTATTAATCAGAGTTCAATCCTTCCTTTACTTTGAGAACGTCTCACTGATGAAGCAGGTAAGACTCAATGAAATCAACTGGACTACTCCCGGGTAAATCTGCATACTTGGACAATTTAGGCTATTCATACATATCTTTCCAAAGCATCTTTGCTGCTTTGACTAAACAGATCCCATTACTGATTTTCATAGGCACTACACATGGCATTGTGGGCATCTTCCCATCAACTGTAAGCACAACCACTTATCCCACTGTATCCTCATGAAAGCCTAGGATAAAATCTGAAAAGTTTTTCTTTCTGACCATTTCTGTTGATAACCCAAGCTTTAGTGTAAATCATTAAAAGTTTAACGGTGTGCATAAAGGCAACCACCTCACTGAGAATTAATCCATATATGGTTCAAGAACCATGGTTCTTAATAGTTGGTTTATATCAGTTTGCATTTCCCAATTCTGTGAAGATCTCAAGATATTAATCTTATGGATTAATCCATAATTCATAAAAAAGCTCATCTTGTCACACTCCTGGTCTCCCAGATTCCTCAATATTATACCATCTTAATTTCCATAACAAACCATTTGGTTTAAAGATCTTTATATAGTTTAGAATACCTTCCCTCAGATAAACAGAATTCAAATGGCTAAACAGCGGAAAGTCTCAAGGAATCATGACTAACATATTGTGTTGCATCCCAAGCTGTGGTAGGGATCTTACCATTTGGAAACTGTGTAGACGCAAACCTCGTTAATAGAATACCAGCTCCTTCAATTAAAGCCAGAAGAATTCCTCCCATAGCTGCAGACCCAACCATGGCAACTGGCCCATCTGAAAAGAGGTAGAATATGAAAAAGGTTGCTTTTAAAAATATTTTATAATGGTACAGCAGATTATTTCACAAACACTATTGGAAATGTCAGCTATGTGTTATGTGCGCATCTTTGCTAGGAGAATAATTGAGCTAATACAGGAAAGAAATAGCAGTACGGATTGTTTACCAAATAAAAGGCATTCAATGATTCTATTCTTGAGTGAATTTACAACTCAATTTTTCCCCCTCTCAATGCTAAAATTGTCGAAGTTCCTATCTTAGCAATATTGATGCAATCATGTGTTCATTATAAATTCTTACTTTTATAAACAATACAACCCTTACTGCGGAAAGAATGGTCAAGCGCATATGTGCACATAAGACTGTCTAACATTTTTTTAAAGTGACATTAAAATATTTTCAATGAAATATTTCCAATAAACATTCACTCCAAACTGGTGTTCTTACTTCTTGCAGCTAATATAGCTCCGGTTAAGGCACCACTAGTGATGGAATTCCAAGGATCTTCTTTTCCTCTTGCTTTCACCATACTGCAGTCAATCATGGAGAAGAGACCACCCCACACAGCAAAGCTACCTATTTGAAGGGGAAAGATACCTGGGTTCAGAACTGGCGAAAACAGTACTTAACAGCAGTTTCCTGATTTGGGTTTCTGGATATTAGTTTCATGTTCCCAGCAAAGGAAATGGTTACTGTAGATATTCCACTTCAAGCCCACAACAGAAGCAAAGGCAAATTCATGACAAAATCTGCCAATAATTATTCAGGAAGCTGACAATACACAAATGTCTTCATAAGTATAATTCCTAAAAAGGTAAAGGACCCCTGACTGGGGTTGCGGCGCTCATCTCGCTTTACTGGCCGAGGGAGCCAACGTTTGTCCATAGACATATAGCCAGCATGACTAAGCTGCTTCTGGCGAAACCAGAGCAGAATACAGAAACACCGTTTACCTTCCCGTTGGAGTGGTAGCTATTTATCTACTTGCACTTTGATGTGCTTTTGAACTGCTAGGTTGGCAGGAGCAGGGACCGAACAACAGGAGTTCACCCCGTCGCGGGGATTCGAACTGCCAACCTTCTGACCGGCAAGCCCAAGGCTCAGTGGTTTACACCACAGTGCCACCCGCGTCCCATAATTCCTATTACGTTAACTAAAAATCCCGAAATAACAATAAAGTCTCTCACTATCCAGATTCTCCTTTCCTAACAGACTCTATTCACTGCACTCTACAATTGAATCTACTAGCCGCCACCAGTCGTTTCTCATCAACAATTCAAAGCTCTGGAGCTTCTGTGCAAGTCCTCAATCCCCTCAGCAATATTAATAAAACGCAATTAGTATGTTAAAAACCAGGCACTTCAAAACAAAATCAGTTGAAACAAGACAATTGTTTTATTTGGCTGCCTGCCCAGTGGCAGGAGAACAGGAGCAAATGCTTGATGTTGGCTGTGCTTGCACATTGCACTAAACCACAGTTTAGCATGACATGCATGAGTTACACTGAGAAGTTGATTTTTAAAAACAAACATGAGAAAAGGCACCCTGCTCATTTTCAGAAAAGCACCAAGTAGATATTTTGGTCAGGGCCACAATCCCGCACACATCCCTAAAATGTGTGCAGGTGCCACTGATTTCCATAGATTCTACGTATACTTACCTGTGCACATTAGATTCTTTCATTTTAAAATATGGAAGCATAACCCTGAACAAGTCTCATCTGCACTTTTCCAGACCGTGCAACAGTACATATTACTAAGTACCTCATAAAGTTGGAGAGAAAGCTATGTAAAGCCCAAGATAGGCTTACAGAGCTAAAACTGGTATTGGATATGAGTTGTGTTAAAAAAAAGGGGGGGTGTTAAGAGGTAGCAGTGAGGGGAAACATAGAAAGCAGAAAACAACATAGTCCATAAGAAACCAGTTGTATAATTCAACACACGTGTTCTTGGAATAGAAATGTTTCATCATCCCATTCATTTAAGAACAATTATGTACTGAAGGGAAGGGAAGTGAGAACTGTTACCAATATCCCTTTAAAAACAGAACAGAAAAAGAGGTTGTGTAAATAGTGCAATTACCTCCCAACTGTGGTGCTCTGGTTTTAATAGCTGTCAAACTACCCCGCAACCGATAATTTACACCCTGAAACAGATAAAAGAAAGAAATTGGAACAATTTCAATAGTTGAAGCTCTTCACATACTGAATTTAGGATGCATTTAGCCTGAAAACAACACACTTCATATTTTGTTTGCTGCAAGTTGCATGTTTTGCCAGTTTCTTGTTTCTGTATAGCACCTCACAGCAAATAGGGTTTAAAAACAAACGAAAAAGAACTGTTTTTATTTGCACATTGGTTTCATCTTCTGAGCTAAGCTCAAGAGGTTCTAAGCATCTAATTTTCTCTCTCATGGAAGGCCCTTTTATGCCTGATTCTGCCACATCCTGAAATAGACCTTGATAGAGTTGTCTCCATTTAAAAAAAAATATGTGCATTAATTTTCACTATCACTAAAAAAAGTATTATCATAAACCTTACCCACAATAAATCATTTTAACTCACCACTGGGGAATTTCTGAATCCTTTGACAGCTTGAAAGATGCCACCGCCAATGGCTCCCATTGTGAAAGCGCCACCGCAGTCGTCCACTATTCTCCAAGGGCTAAATGAAAGAACACATACATTAATGTGCTCAGTCTCGCAAACATCACACCACAGTAAAACAAACAAATGGATCACTTTATTATCTTATAACCTTATTCACTAAACCTAAAAAGATTATTTACCTAAAAGATTGTCTCACCTCTTACATATTCAAGAGATCACTGTGCTCTGCAGGAGAGGGCCTACTGCAGATTACATCTCATCAAGGCATCTGTTCTGTATAATGTCATAATTGGCCATTTCGTGTGGCAGCACCCACCATTTACAATACTTTCCCATTACCTATCAGGCAGGCGCTGTCTCGATTGTCTTTTTGGCACCTACTGAAGACTCTTCTTTTTTCCACAATCCTTTTAAGTGGAGAGTCCCCCCGCCCCCCGCCGGGTCTGGTATCTGTTTTAAATGTTGATGCTATTATTGCTAATTGCTTTGTTATGTTTCATAGGAAGCTATTCATAAATGGAAATAAATGAAGGACATATGGCATTGTAAAAGTATAACAGCCATTTCCCATTAACTATATACTCAAAATCTCTCCTCCGTATTTTGCTATTGCAGAAAATTATTGGGTCTGGAACACTTAAGCTTTAAACTATACTTCAGAGGTCAACAACCAGTTTGGACTCATCTGTAAACTAGAGAAGCTGCTGTAGGCACCAGACACAACGAAGCAGACACATGTATTATAATGGCTACAATTTCAGGACTATTTTTTTCCAAGAGGGGGAAAACCTGTGGGTGCCAGGGAAGGTCTTTGAAAGTGATGTCTGTCTGCGCACCCTGTGACTCTCCAATTCTCCATCCACTATGGTCCGCCCCACCCCCATTCATTAACACAGGTCAGAACTGATGACTTGCAGAGGTTTCCCTTCTTACATTGCTCCAAGCACTTCAATTGTCCCCCTTCCACTCTCCTACTCTCCCCTCCAATACTAGGCCAAAGGCTGCATGCTCCTCATGAATGATTTACAAATGCAAGCTATCTCTCCACCCCAACCCATGTACACTGGATCTAGCAACCTCATCCATAAAGTGCTGGCAAGGTGTGCGCTGATCCCACTGTTCTGCAGTATTATATTTTTTGGTTGCATAGTCCTCCGATGTGTTTTCAATCTTATAAAGCAAAAGTGTACACTCAGCAGCTCTTAAACCAACCCGCTTTTAAGTGTAACCTGAGCATGCACCATGTTGCTGAAGAATACACATAATGCACTGGTGGTATCAGTCCAGCAATTTCCTACAAAACCTCAGCAAATTGGAAACTTTATGGGTGAAGGATGCATGAGAAACTGGCCGGTATTGTCCCCATGGACCTGCAGAGCACCTTCCCTTATAGCCAGTTAAAAGGTAAAGGGACCCCTGACCATTAGGTCCACTCGTGACTGACTCTGGGGTTGTGGTGCTCATCTCGCTTTATTGGCCGAGGGAGAAGGCATACAGCTTCCGGGTCATGTGGCCAGCATGACTAAGCCGCTTCTGGCAAACCGGAGCAGCGCACGGAAACGCCGTTTACCTTCCCGCCAGAGCGGTACATATTTATCTACTTGCACTTTGACGTGCTTTCGAACTGCTAGGTGGGCAGGAGCAGGGACCGAGCAACAGGAGCTCACCCAGTCACGGGGATTCGAACCGCCAACCTTCTGATCGGCAAGCCCTAGGCTCTGTGGTTTAACCCACAGCGCCACCCGCGTCCCACCTTATAGCCAGTTATAGCCATGTAAATCCGAGTTGTCACATGGGAGATTAAAAGGGCACTCCGAGGAGCTTCCAATTTAGCAAAAAGACGCCCTCCTTTCTGCAACTGCGTTCCGCCAAAGGGCAAAATGGACCTGCCCATTTTGCCTGGGCACAGGGAGCTTCAGCCCATCCCGCGTCTCTGGGATCCTTTGGGATCGGGTACTTCATCCACCCGCAAAGGAGCTGGCCAAGGCAGAAGCAAGGCGCTCCCCGCCGCCCCGGCCAAGAGAGGCTTCCCCAGCCCCTGCAGCCGGTCCGGCGGCGGCGGCGGCGGCGGCGGCGGCTGACCCACTCGCGGCTCCCCAAGGTCACTTGCCCGCCGCCAATCCCGAAGAACGGGAGGCTAAGCGGGTCTGCCAGCCCTGCCTGCTAAGGACCAACCCCGCCGCCCCTCCGTCCCGCTCTTCGTCTCTCCCGGGAGAAGCGGGAGGCGGAAATGCGGCTCCTCACCAAGGCTCGCGCGCGTACTCCTCCATCTTGGCTCCCGGCTTCCGTACCTAACGCGCTCGCTCAGCCGGCTGCCGGCATGCGAGTCACGTGGGCCCCCGCGCCTCCGCTTCCCCGCGAGACTCCTCTGAGCATGGCCATTGGTCGTCCGGCTTCCAGGAGCCGAGCCAATAGGAATGAGGAGAAGGGGGAAAAGAGAGCGACACACTGTAGAATGATACGTACTGTGAACATCTGGTGAAGGACGCGGGGGGGGGGACGGGGACGGTCATGATTCTGGCAAGTGTGGTGTCGCTCACGTTTGTGGTACACCATGAGAGGAACTTTCTGTACTTTGCAGAGTGGGACACTAGTTCCATTTGAGAGCAAGAGTGTCAGTTATGTCTGCGAAAGAGCGTGACTCTACATTTATATCTCTATGTTTACAAACGAGGAGCGCCTCCTGAAGAGACGGCAAAGTGGGGGTGAGAGGCTAACACGGAGGCTATTTTGAAATTTCGCCATAGAACTAGAAATATGATAGATGTGTTCTTCCTTGGTTTCCAACTCGCTTTTCCAAAGCAAAAGACAGACGGTAGAGATGCTGCGGCGGAACAGCTCTGAGTCAGTGTCGGCAGTTTTTTATGGGGAGTTCACTTCGTGCGCCGCTTTAAATATTCAAAAAGCAACAAATGATGTTTTGGCACCGGAAAGACTAACGCATTCCTGGATTACAGCCTATTTCATCAGATGAAGGAAGAGTTATCCTGAGTATCTGACGTCCAAATAAATGGGGGCGGGATAGTGTAGAAAGTGAGGTGGTGCGGGAGGAGGGAGGGAAGGAAGAAAAGCACAAACAGGAGTAATTACGTTGCAATTCACGAAACAGTTGAGTGAAAAAGCAATGTTAAAACAAAGCAAAACAAAAATACTTTTAGATCCAAACCAGGTATCCTCAAATGATCATAAAAAGCTGTGGATGGGGTCCAGTGGGTTTCTGTTTTTCAGAAGAAAAAATAAAATTACAATAATAAAAACAAAAATAACAAAAGCCGCCAGCAGATGGGGCACATAGTTTGTAATGCTTCTAGGCTTGTCCACACTGGCATTTAATGAGTGTTTGCAGCTGTTTGCTTTTCCGTTTAATTTGTGTAGCCTACATGACATTATCTCAAGCAACACCAGTGTTGACGCTTTGCTCCTAAAAATTCAGGATTACTCAAAACAGGGATAATCTGATAAGGAGGGGGAAATCAGGCTCTAAACTGTTCTACTATGGATTGCAGGCTATTTGTTTTGGTGCTTTGAGTTGGTGGTTTATGCTACTCCCCTTTCTGTGCCCACTCAATGCTTTCATTTCTTTTCCGGCTTTGCTCATAACTGTCTCCAGTATGCTCCTGATTGGAGGATTTTTATTTTTTATTCCTCCGATTTGCACAAAACCAGAAAACTGCACAAGCAAACCACAAAGTTCTACACCAAAAATATTGAGCAGCAATCTGAAAGTGAGTGCTGAGAATTTACAGTTAATTTCTTTTTCACTGGTCAGGAGCTTAGCCTTTTGATGCCTAAGATTTGCAGAAAACTGGAAAACTGCAAAAGCAAATTCACCAGAAGGGAGAAGTAAGCTGAACTCCATGAGCACTGGATGGGAGAGGCTGAACCAAGAGGTCAGGAACCATAGCTGGCTTTGGACCCAAGGTTGCTGAAACTATGAGAGGAGCAAGGAGAGACACTTGTGGTGTAATTTTGTGTGCCTGCTCCATTGAAGGCTTCAGGTGTAAATTTGAGTAAAATAACCATATTTCTTAAAAACACTAGTCTTGGTGCCTCATTCCAAATGAACACAAACCCTGGTTAAGTGCCAAGACCCCTGGAATTTTGCACCTCTTGGCAGAGATTGAGATGGACTGTAACAATATTTTCCCATTCCTGAAAGGGGACTTTTTCCTTCACTAGAGGTTTTTAAACAGGGGACCTTTACCTGTGATTCTTGCACTGCGGGGCCTTGAGCTAGATGACCCCTGGGGTCTCTTCCCGCTCTACAGTTCTATGATTTTATAATTCCTTTGTAAATCTAAATAACAAATGTAATGAGCCATATTCAACTACCAGGTCCCAAGAGCCTCAGAATGCAGAAACAGATTGGATGGATGATCTGCAGTTGTGATTGGTGTGGGAGGACAGTGGCATTAACCTAACCTCCCATCTCCTGCATCACTGCTTACTGGTAGCGAAAGGGGCCAAGCAGTGCAAGGTCAGTACAATGGAAACACACCAGTGGTTCCAGACTGATTCTACTGGTGTGTCAGCACCACACCAGTCTTGCCACTGTCTTGCCCCTCTTCCTACTGGTATCCTGCACTGATGCCTGTGACAGGAGGTCAGGTAAGTGCCACTGCCCCACTCCCTTGACCACTACTGCAGATCATCCAAACCATTTCTGTGTTCTGAGGCAGTAGGAGAAGATGCAACTGTCACACCTTCTTCATTGTACACCCTCTCCTCTTGCTTGCTGTAGTAGCAAAGTAGGACTCCAGTTTTGTCCCACAGCAGCAGGCAAAACAGGAAGACAGGCAAAGGAAACTCTGGAGAAATGGGACAGGAAGGGGACCTTTTGCTCTCTAGGAGCTTTTAAATGGGGTATGAGGAACCTGTGGCCATCCAGATGTTGTTGGACTCCAAATTCTATCAACCCCACCCAGCATGGCCACAGGTCAGAGATGATGGGACCTGCAGTCTTAACAAGATCAGGAGGATCACAAGTTCCCTATCCCTGATTTAAAGGCATAGGCACCTTAGGTTAGCTTAAGACCTGGCAACCTGCAGGGTAGAAGAGATGCACCTTTTAATTTGCTCTTCTTCTCACCAGATCAGAAAACCATATCAAAATATGTTTGACAATGTAAATTAAACCATGTGCAAAGGAAGACTGTATTTTCACATGCACATAGTGACAATGAGCTAGAAATATGTAATCTAATATTACAGCCCTAATCTGTGTGCTTGAGTGGAGTATGTGTGTGCTTTGCAGTGCTTTGAAAGTGTGCCATACCATACATAGCACAGAAATGGCTGTCATTTTCTACAGAGGAAACTGCCTTATACTGAATCCATCAGTCCTCCTAGCTTAGCATCCATGGACAGGCAGCAGCTCTCCAGGATTTTAGACCTACCGGTGGGTCCCACCCAGCCCTACCTAGAGATGCCAGATTGAAGGAGGAAATGCTTGCATGCAAAGCAGAGGCTCTTCTACTGAACTATAGACCTCCCCCAATTGTTTGTTTGGTTCATAGAAGCACATTGTGTTGCATAACATTCCAAAGAAAGACCCAGATGCTCATATACTATAAAGAGCAGAGCATGTGTTATTCTTTTTAAAATGGAAACATTTAGTGAAAATGAAAGCCACAAGCATGTCCTGGATCTCCTACATTCTCTTGCAAATTGACTGTTAATTAAAAGGATGCTAAGTGCCAACAATACTTTGTGAATAAATGTGAAGTTGAAGTAGAGGATGTCCTGCAAACAGTTCTGATACTTTTCATGCAGCGTTTGTTTAATCTCTTGTTTTGGGGGTGGGTTTTTTTCTTCTTCTTCTTTTTTACATGTTTTCTTTCCCATTTAAAAAGCTAAATGTGCAGGACTAAATTTGGTCATGCAGCACTTGAAGATTCCCTGGAATGTCCTCAGGTTTCAAACTCCTCTGATAGACACCAGCCCCGCCTCCTGCCGTGTCTGATTGGCCTATCTGAACCAGGCTGCACCGCTTTGACTCTCATTGGCCAACTGTTCTTCGACTGCATATCCATTATACTCAAGGCTGTGGGGAAGTCACAGCTGCTTTCATGTAACATCTCAACACCTCCAAAGTAAGAGAAAGAAGAACCTGGTTTCACTGGACTGTTTCCCCTGAAAGCCTATTAATTTGGCACTTTTCCTTTTCAATATATAGACATACTGTGCTTCATCTGCAAGCTACCAAAATGTCTAGGGTAGCAAGATTCCGAAGTCAAGTCAGTGAGGATCCAGATATTGACAACTTATTGTCTACGCTCTCTGCTGAGGAGATGGAAGAGCTAGAAAAAGAGCTGGATGCCTCTGATACAGATGCAAACATTCCTGTGGGGTTGCGGCAGAGAGACCAAACTGACAAGCAACCAAGTGGCAAATACAATCGAGAGGCAATGCTCAATTATTGTGAGAAGGAGAGCAAGAAAATTCTTCAGAGGGAACAATCAATGGATGTAAGTTGTTGCTCTTACTGAGTGTTGGGAAAGGGAGTATTTGTGCAATTGGGGGGGGGAGGCAGGAACAGGACTTATGTGTTATGAAAACCACTTAAGGGTCACTAGCAAATCAATGAGTCAATAGCTGAGGACTGTCCCTCCTAGAGAATAGTAATGAGCATGGTAAGATGCAGCAGAATTAATACAACCGTCTTTTAAGTGTTAGCTCTTCCAAAAGGGGATAATCAAGAAGCCCAGCAGGGAACATCAAGGTGTCAGTGTTTTACTGCTAACTGCTACCTCTATTATTAATATTATTTCATTGTATTAGTTTGTGCTTCACACATAAAGAGTCTCCAAGTGGCTTCAGAATTTTTAAAGCATAACATAAACTCAGCGAGGAAAGAGCAATGCATCACAATAAAAGGCATACAATAAGCTATAAAACAAATCCAATAGAACAGCAGCAAAACATTCAGCAACATACACATGCTGTCAATAGATAGCAATAATCCATCAAATACCTGGGAGAAGGGGTGAGTTTTAACTTGGTGCCAAAAGGATGCTTATGATTGTGTCAGGGGAATCTTGTTGCCTTCCACTCTCACAAATATGTCCCCAAGAGTTATGAAATATACCGTATTTTTTGCTCTATAACACGCACCCAACCATAACACGCACATAGTTTTTAGAGGAGGAAAACAAGAAAAAAATATTCTAAACGAAACAGTGGATTTTTTATTTTTGTGGTTCATGCTGTGGCCACAGACATGTGATCTGACAGTGAGTTTAGAGTAGCCCAATGCAAAAATCCTGAGGATCCATGTGGATCCATGCTTTGTAACCACGTTTTTGCACCACTGCGGCCCCAGGCAACAGTGGGTGCGTGATTTTTTTGGTGCAAGATGTAGCCATGGACATGCTATGTGATCTGATGGTGAATTTGGGGTGACCCAGTGCAAAAATCCTGAGGATCCATGTGGATCCGTGCTTTGTAACCACGTTTTAAGTGGGGAGGGAAGGAAAAGCACTCAAGGGACAAGGAGCATGCGTGGGGTGGGTGGAGAAGGACGCTGCTAATAATGAAGAAGAGGGGTATAAGGAAAGAAGGCTCCTCTCCTCTCCCGCTTTGCTCCTTTAAAGAAGCAGGCTCTCTGTCCCTCTCTCCTCCCCACTCAGCAGCTCTTCTTCCGCTTTGCTGTTTCAAAGCGAGCCACGGAGGAGGGAAGGGGAACCATGGATCCTCTGCTCACGACTGCAGCAGATCCCCCCCGCCACCCGTAGGCATTCACTCCATAACACGCACAGACATTTCCCCTTACTTTCTAGGAGGAAAAAAGTGAGCGTTATGGTGCAAAAAATACGGTAAGTCACTGTCACAATACAGTATCTTTGTTTCTGCCATTTGGACTCTGCTGCTCTGTGTCCTCCAGCCCAGCAGGGGGCAGGAACATATAAGGGTCAGGAGGCCATTCTGTCTCAGTCCTGACTGGGGTTCCAGGTCTGTTTGCTTCCTGCCACCTTCCTTACTAAAGGCTGTGATACTGACCTTGGGAATCTAGCCTCAATGGTTGTACCAGCTGTGCCTGAGAGCAGAAACTGAGGCAATGGCACACGGGTACTTTCTGGTACTGTGATGGGGTGGAGCATGTTGTGGTGAGGATGACACAAGCACCAAGTTGGCGGGGGTGGGGGTGGCAGGTTCTCATGCATCTGTGCCCACCACTGCCAGCACTGCTACCCCTCCATCCCTACCACTGCTGTGCCTCTTCCTGGTCCTGGCAAATGACAGCATCAACACAGCTGGGTGGGGGCAGTGCAGTTGCAGCGACACTCAATTTCATGCACGCTAAAATGGTAAATAAATGGGATAAAACAGCAAAATGAGAAGGGAAAGCAAGGCCATGGAGATTGACAGCAAGAGGAAGAAATCTGAGAACAGACAGGAAGCCAGGGCAGGAATAAAAACTGGTGTAAAATAAATGATCTACCTTCATTACTGTTGATGTATTTTATAAAATTAGATAATATTGAGTGCATAGCAGTAGCCTTTGCAAGCTGCCCAATTCTATATTCTGATAGGATGCCTCCTGCTGCTGCTGCTGCTTTGATGCTGGAATTTGACTTGGGGCAGCATAGGCCAGTGAGCAAGAAAAGCTGGAGAAAGGAGATGTGTTTATTATCGGTGGTGATTTGCTTCACAAAATCAGAGTCATAGTAATGTTGACCACACAACTGAAAAGTTGCAATATTTTGACTTGGAGGGGTTGCTACCAGTCTGTGCAGGGGTTGTCCATGTTTTTTTTAAAATAATTGCAAAGCAGGCAGAAATTCAACAGGTTAAGTAATTCCCATAATTGAACCTCCATGCTTAGAGAAGCAGGACCTGTTCTATTTCTGTCTGCCATGGAGCTGGAAAAAAGTGGCTTGATCTCTCCCCACTGCACACACACTGATCACTTTTGCAGAACTAAGTGTTCACTACACAAGCGTGTGGTTGTGGGGACTCAAAAGAATTCAGTTACTTGCTAGGGAAGGGGGTGGGAATTGTAAGAGCTTTCAGGGGCATAGGCTTATCTTTAACATTAACATCAGCAGTCCTGCAAAATTCTGTTTGTAATTTGGGACACAATACCGCGTTGAAACATGCTTTTTTCTGTTTAAAAGCAACAACAGAAAAAACTTATGAAATGTAACAGACAGCTTAGAGGGGTTTAATAAAAAAACCATTTTCAGTCACTTGGTCTCTGTTGAATTTGTTTTAATCCTCCCCGCAGATCTTCAGTGCCCATGATGGATAGGTATTATAGCTTGAAATAATCAGCACTGACTGGCAGTGACTGTACAGGCAGGAGTCTTTCCTAGCCGTACCTGGAGAACCCAGGCATTGGTTGCCATCTATCTGTCTCGGGAGACAATAGAGGAGTGTGCCTTTGGAGGTGAAGTCAAACTGTTTGAAGGTTGCAGCGCCTGCTGTGGCTGTAGAGACTGATGGGGGAAAGGCATGCTTTGTTGCAGCTGGGGCAGAAGAAGGCATTCTGTTGTGCTGCTGCAGATGCACCATGGCGTTTCTTCTCTCTGCGCTCCATCCAGCAGTCATTCCTCCTAGGCTGGGCTTTTGCATGCAAAGAATGGATGTCCTCTTCCACTGAACTTGGACCCTGTGTTCGTGCATACGAATAAAGTTGGGAATAGTTAATTGATTTTGAGTGTTGAAATATATAAAATGTGTTTTTCTTTGCATTGGCTGTTCTGTTTGGAAACGAAAACATGTGATGTGTATGAAACTAGCACCAAGAAAAATGTGGCTTTTAAAGTGCAGGTTCTGTATTTGTTTGCATTTAGACTGCTAGGCTATTTGGTCCAGCCTAGGGGCTTGGAGCATGTAACTGGGAATGCATGCCTGTTTTTATGCTCCAGGATGAGCTGAACGAAGGCCAGAACAACAACAACACAAGTGTGGTATTTCAATGAACAGTCATTCTTGACAGTTCATTTTTCAGTCTCGCCCTAGATCAACAGGAAGTATTCTGAACTGCAAAGCTGATGAAAACCAATGAGACAAACGGAAAACATAGCAGCTTGTGGATGGGACCTTGCATGGCTTGTGACCCACCAGACTCAATCTAGCCCACCAGCCATCCTTGTCAGCCAGGTGCTTGATAAAACCCCTGTGTGTTTTCAGTCCCAGGAAGCAGCAACAAGTTCATTGAGCCCCTGGGACTGTGGGCTGATTGGCTGTCTTTTGGTGAGTCACAGGCTCTTTCATGAATGCATAGTTCATGCCTCCTTTGCAGCTCTAGTCCTGCAAATAATTATGCAGTGTTTCTCTTTATTTCTTTGGTTTCCCACTAGATAAAGTTTAGCACACTGTGTATGCAGCACGATTCTTTGTAAGCATCCAGTTTAAGGGAATCTGCATAAACAATGAGTTTAACTAGAGCATGCAGGATGATTTTAAAAAAAACCTCCATAATAGGAAGTAGACAGTTGAAGACACTGTTAACCCTTATTATTATTATTATTATTTATGGCTCAGGGTTGACTTCTTGTAAAGAAGCTGGTAAAATGCGGTCTTGACTATGCTACCACTCAGTGGATTTGTAACTGGCTGACTGACCGAACCCAAAGGGTGCTCATCAATGGTTCCTCTTCATCCTGGAGAAGAGTGACTAGTGGGGTGCCACAGGGTTCTGTCTTGGGCCCGGTCTTATTCAACATCTTTATCAACGACTTGGATGATGGACTCAAGGGCATCCTGATCAAATTTGCAGATAACACCAAACTGGAAGGGGTGGCTAACACCCCAGAGGACAGGATCACACTTCAAAATGACCTTGACAGATTAGAGAACTGGGCCAAAACAAACAAGATGAATTTTAACACTTGGGCAAAAAAAATGAGAGGCACAAATACAAGATGGGTGACACCTGGCTTGAGAGCAGTACATGTGAAAAGGATCTAGGAGTCTTGGTTGACCACAAACTTGACATGAGACAACAGTGTGACGCGGCAGCTAAAAAAGCCAATGCAATTCTGGGTTGCATCAATAGGAGTATAGCATCTAGATCAAGGGAAGTAATAGTGCCACTGTATTCTGCTCTGGTCAGACCTCACCTGGAGTACTGTGTCCAGTTCTGGGCACCACAGTTCAAGAAGGACACTGACAAACTGGAACGTGTCCAGAGGAGGGCAACCAAAATGGTCAAAGGCCTGGAAATGATGCCTTATGAGGAACGGCTAAGGGAGCTGGGCATGTTTAGCCTGGAGAAGAGGAGGTTAAGGGGTGATATGATAGCCATGTTCAAATATATAAAAGGATGTCACATAGAGGAGGGAGAAAGGTTGTTTTCTGCTGCTCCAGAGAAGCAGACACGGAGCAATGGATCCAAACTACAAGAAAGAAGATTCCACCTAAACATTAGGAAGAACTTCCTGACAGTAAGAGCTGTTTGACAGTGGAATTTGCTGCCAAGGAGTGTGGTGGAGTCTCCATCTTTGGAGGTCTTTAAGCAGAAGCTTGACAACCATATGTCAGGAGTGCTCTGATGGTGTTTCCTGCTTGGCAGGGGGTTGGACTCGATGGCCCTTGTGGTCTCTTCCAACTCTATGATTCTATGATTCTATGACTTGAATGCTATGGAGAAAATACATCTCTCCTAGAGAGTGTTTCTTTAGCAGAGGAGCTTCATGAACACTGTACTGCCAAGTTGTGTGCTGTGAAGAGTGCACAAGCAGTTCAATCCTATTTAAAGCTTCCATCATTGTAGCCAAACATTTCCTTCCACCCAGTTGCTAAAGCAGCTGTGCCATCCTTTGCCAGGCAAACAGGGCAGGTGGACAGCTCTGTCCCATTTGCCTCTCCTTAAAACTACACATGACATTAGGAGATCTGTGATGGTAAGAAACTAAGAGGAGCCTGTTGGAGGAGGCAAATAACCCATTTAGTCCAGCATCACGATTCCCACAGTGGCCACCCAGACACCTGTGGGAAACCCATGAGCAGAACCATGCACAAGAGCAGTCTCCCCCACTCCTCCATGGGTTCCAGTATCTGGTATTCAGAAGCATTACTGCCTCTGACCATGAAGGCAGAGCACAGTAATCATTGATAGCCTTAACCTCCACAACTTGTCCAATCTACTTTTAAAGTCATCCAAGTTGGTCGCCATCAGTGCCTCCTGTGGGGGGTGGGTTCCACAGTTTATGCATTGAGTAATGAAGTACTTTCTTTTATCTGCCCTGAATTCTCCAGCGTTCAGCTCCATGGAATGATCAATCTCATGTTTCTTTGTTTGTAGTGAAATTCATCATTCAGATTGGGTGTGTGTGTGTGGAAATTTGATCACAGCCACAGCACTCATGATGTCCTGAAAGAACTGTGGAAGGGACTCCCTCGGAAGTTGGTGGACCTTGGAGGATTTTAAGCAGAGATCGGATAGCCATGCATCATGGATGATTTAGTTGAGATCCCTGCGTTGCAGCGGATTGGAGTAGAAGATCCTCAGGGTCCTTTCCAACTCTACAACTCTATAATTTTCCTACAGGCCATTTGTGTGATCACAATCGCACACATACACCCAGCTGCTTTCCCATTGGTCAGTGTCTGTGTGTGTGTGCGCGCGCGTGTGCATACACACACACACACACTTGTGCGCAGGGAACTTCCTTACTAGCATCAACTTATGTTGGTGCCAAGATTGTGAGGCTGCTATCAGCCCTCATGATTGGGTTCAAAATGTTTCTTATTCTACCTGCCCACGACCTGGTCAAAAATCAAACACACATAGGACAGAAGAAGAGCCTTTTTAGATCAGATCAAATGTCCATCTGATCCAACATCCTGTTTCTCACAGTGACTAGTCCAGGGATGCAGAACCTGTGGCCCTCCAGATGTTGCTGAACTAACTTCCATCATCCCTGACCATTGGCCATGCTGGCTGAGCCTGATGGAAGTTCAACAACATCTGGAGGGCCACAGGTTTTCCATACTTGGTCAGGTTAGATGCTTCTAGGAACATAAATGCAATAGCCTTCCCCTCGTGTTTTCCTATCTGAATACTGAGGTTCCATTTAGCTATTGTTGCTAATAGCTATTGACAAGACTACCATGAATTTGCCTCCATGCCTTTTTAAAGCTCCTGAACCACAGAGACGTCTCCCTAGGATCAATGCTGTAGTGTCAATGGTTGGTGCTGCCCCAGTGTTGCTTTTGCACATGTGCACCATGATGCCAACATGGGAAGTCATAAGCTTTGATTGTCTGTTGCTTTGAAGCAAGAACATAGGATTGGCTTCAACATTGTTCTGGACTTAAGAGCCAGCTATAGAGAATCAGTTAATGTAAAGCAAGCAGAGTCCAAGGAATAAATACTTACAATATAGTGAAAGTAACAAGGGAGTTAGAAGAGCCAGTGGAAAGGCATTAAAAAAGTGCCAATTGTAGCTACTCTTTGTTTAGTGAATTTTTGTTACTTCAGCTGATCAACCCCCCTGCCTGTTTATTGCTCCATGGTTTGTCTTTGATGAAGTCAGTTTCATGTGTAGTCCTACAAAAAGTACTTATTATTTCATTGAGGTTTTGTTCATAGTAATTATACTGATTAAAATAAGCTGCTCAAGGGGTTAGCTAATGCAGTATAAGAAGGGCTCCTTTCAAAACTTCAACTGTTCAGCAAGTTATTTAAGGTATGACAGCTAAATTTTGCTGAAGCTGAGCCAGATAAATGGAAAATGGAAAATGGAAAGCAATGGCTTTTGAAGTAAGAGAGAAATCTGGGGTTGCATCCAGTGTCAATCCTACTCAAAGCAGACCCATTACACAACTAACTTTGTTCCATTAAATTCACTGGATCTACTCTGAGTAGGACAATCTGTACACATTTTTTAAAAAAAATATGGCTCAAGGGCGCACCTACCTCTGGTGTTTGGAGTCATCAGGTGCATACAGTGTAAGCTGTCATCCATATGTATCCTGTAGTCTCTTGAGAAATACTGCTGGTTGGTGCCCTTTCTCTCAAACTTCCATCCAATTTGAAAATGTAAGCCACATTTATTTCTCAGTTCAGCTGAGCTGTGCACATTTGAGGTAGCCATTGTGTATGCACAGATGACAGCTCTCGTGCAGATGACAGCTTTGTGAATAGGAGTTCGGGGTTTTGTGTGCAGGGAAACCAAACGGATAATGTGCATTGGGTGAAAGTGTCCTAACCCCCTCTCCAGTGTGTACAGCAATGGGCAAATGCAACTAGAAACACAGTGAAAGGAAACAATCTCATTGCATTTTAGGCCACTAATGTATACATAGCCTTAGTTGGATACAGCCCCTACTAAGGTCCCCATGTGGACAGCACATATGTGCCTTCATGGTACCTTCAATAATATAACCCTATCTACACAATAAATGTGTACTGAATCATCACATAGAGGATGGGGACAGGATCACACCTGATGCCCCCCACCCCAATATCCTCATATAGATTATCAATGCTAGAGGTCAGTGAAGCATTATTTGTTATTTTTAAAAATGTTCCCTCCTTCCCCCCCAAAAAAGGTTTGTTCCTAAGAAATGATATGGTGTGCCTTTGGATCATATGGTTTTGTTCCTTTTTTCTTTGGAGTCCAAGGGTAAGGTTAAATGCCACCAAATAAACTGGTCATTTGGATTTGTGTTATTGCTCTTAAAAGCCTGGGAACCTCACCTTAAGGTATCCTTTGCCAGAGGACATCTGCAGCCTAGTAAGAAATGAATGCATGTTATGTTTAAAAAAAACAACAAAAACCCTAACCCTACAATATGGCACAATCGGATTTCCAAGTTTTTGCTTTCTAAAATCCATTTAATAGCAGTATCTGAAAGAAAGCACATTTCCAAATAGCATACCCAGGTTCACTGGATTTACTTCCATTGTAGTGCAAAGTTCTGCAAAGAGTAGATTTCATGGAATAGTTATTTCATGGACCAAGCTAAAGAAAGGCCCCAGATACACATTTTTAAAATATTGAACGGCATCTTCAAAGAGTTACCAACTTGCTTAATTTGATGTATGTACTACAGAGCTAAACAGTAGAAGACAAAGAACTTATGCTGGTGGTCAAGCTGCCTGGTAAATCTGCCCCTTTATATCATGTTGCAGTAATAAGATCTTGCCTAGCTGACTCTCTTCTCTTTCCATCCCCGGAGAGAAAGAAAAAATACCCTGTCCAATCCCTTCCTCCTCCTTGGGCTTGTTAGTAATAGGGGGATTAACACTCCTGAAACCCCAGATCCCAGCAGCAGCGGGGCTGAAACCAGGGCCAAATTTCTTATGACATGAAGATCTCTCACAGGCTGAGAAGATCATCATCCGAATGCAGTCTTCCTTGTGCTCCTCTGGTTCTTCCATAAGTAGAGGAGTGACTTTAGCGTTCTCTTGTTTCAACCGAACCCTTTTGAATGGTTGGAACTTTTTAAGTTCTGTTAGTTTGGAATTTTCTCAAGGCTGAAACTAATTCTGGGTCACTTCAATCTAGTCACAGCTGAGATTCTAGTGTCACTATTTGGCATGTTGCTATCATCTCCCCCCACCCTTCACTCCACCCCAGGTATGCAGAACCTCCCATCTCCCCTGGGTTATACAAGAATAACATGTGAATCAGCCTTTGTTAATGGTGTGACTTCTGTCATGATCATCTGAGACACTGGACTGTATTTTGAGCAGGGATGGGCAACCTGTGGCCCTCCAGCTGTTTGTTTGCTTGTTTATATATTTATTGTATTCATATCTTGCCTTTCTCCCAAATTGGAGTTCAAGGTGGTTCACAGCATTTTAAAACACCATTATAAAATACATAGTACTACAGTATAAACAAACTAGTTAAAAACAATACAGTGGTACCTTGGTTCTCAAACTTAATCCATTCCGGGAGTCCGTTCGACTCCTGAAACCGTTTGAAAACCAAGGCACAGCTTCCGATTGGCTCCAGGAGCTTCCTGCACTCAATTGGAAGCCCTGTCGGACAGTTGGCTTCTGAAAAACATTCACAAACCAGAACACTTACTTCCGGGTTTGCGGTGTTTGGGAGCTGATTTGTTCAGGAACTAAGCCATTCGAGTGCCAAGATACCACTGTAGTTGAAATATATTGAAACACATGTAACATTATAGTTGTTCTATAGTTTGTAATAACATGAAGATCTCTCACACATTGAGATCATCATCCCATTTCTCTTGACTGGAGACCCACAGATTCCCCATCAGTTTTTCTTACCTCATGGAAGTGCAATATGTCAAACCATAGAGCTTTTAGTCCTGTGTCAGTGGTTTGTTCTCCACAACTGATTAAGTGAATTAATACAACAATGAAACAGATGTAGAAGACCAGAGTGAAGGCTTGGTTGAAGGCCTGCTTAGCAGGTGACAGTGCTCAGACTGAGACTCAAAGCATCCTTAGAGCTGAGGGATGGTCCATAGAGCTGCCCAGTTCACGGCTACTTCCTTTTCTCTTAGCCCATGCAAATCACCGCCTGTGGCAATGCATTTGCCTGAAGCAAATATTTCCTCATTGATTTGCCAGGAGCGACCCTCCAGTTATGCTGCAATAATCTCTGTCTAAATGCTCTGCTTATAAGTTCCCCAAAGGCATCTTACTAGTGCTGTTGGTGACAGAGTGTGAGATTAAGTGGAGGTTTGATCTGATCCATCAAGGCAGTTCTTTCATATTCAGTTTTGCATGCCAACAATTGACAGGCCTTTGGGTGGTATTTATAATGTGCTTATTACATTTTTATCACACCCTGCAAGGCAGTGCACCTACAAGGAGCCTAGGGCAGCATATACTGTTCCTTCTTGTCCCTGCTTGTATGCTCACAACAAATATGGAAGGTAGGTTAAGCCGAGATATAATGATGAACCAACAGCAAGTTTCGTGGCTGGAAAGGGATTTGAGCTGACAGCTCCCCCAACCTAGTCCAACATGCTAAGCACCATACCACACGGGAGAAGCAGCACCTTCTGCTTGTGGCAGATGAGTTCATTGCAAGCAGAGATGCCCTAGGTGGAGAATAAAGCCACTGCCGCAACTCAGGATAGCCACATGCTTTGCCTCTACCTTCAAGTCACCGAAGTCTGTGTGATAAATGCACACAGGAGCTTCTTAAAGTCCTTAGTTAGCAAATCAAAATCAAACCAGACATGCCGGAAGCAATACCTCACAAAAAGGTACCATGTTGAGTGGTGCTTTATATACACTATTCTTCTGGGTGGACCATGCAACTTGCATGTACTCCACAATCCCATCATTTGCTTGAACTGCCCCATCACAGCATCCTTGCTCCCTTTCCCAACTCTGTGCACGCATGCACAAGGGCCATAGTTTAGTGGTGGAACAACTGCTTTCCATACAGAAGATCCCAGGTCCCATCGCTGGCATCTCCATGTACTGCTGAGAGACACTCCTCGTCTGAAACCTGAAGAGACACTGCCAGTCGGTGTTGTCAGTCCAGAGCTGATGGACCAATGATCTAACATAGTAGAAACCAGCTTTCTGTGTTCCTCTGTTTGCCTCATGTTTCCACCTCCACACTGGATGTCAGTCTGCAGCCTTTTTTTCTGTGTAGGTATATGAGTTGAAGGGACCCCATATATTATTGTGATGTTTTCAGATGGTGTTTGGTTAACAAGGCAAAATATTGAAGGGCTGAGAGATACTTCACAGTAAGCTGACTAATCTGGAGTTTACGACTTTGCTGCTATCTAAAATATGCACCTTTGATCAGACCAGACACCCACAAACCTGCCAGCTGTGCTGGAGATTGCTAACCCAATGTCCATTCCTCCCAAACAGCTTTACCTACTATGCTCCTTTGAGCTGGTGGAGGAACGGGGGTGGTCTTGCATCTGCTTAACCTTGTATGGGAAATACCAATCATTTTCCTGGAATGAGAGAAAAAGACAGAAGCCAGGTCCATGAGGTTCATTTGGAATTTATCAGGGATGGGAAAGTAGCAGGCATGTATGATCTTGGTTCTCTACTGAATCTCAGAAGAGCAAGTTATATTTGGAACTACTTTGACTACATAATAACAGGTCTTCTTTTTCTCTGATGGTTAGGACAACCATAGGTAACCAAGAAGCTGTTTATAAACAACCTAAAATAGAAATGAGCATCTCTATGACTTCTTCATACTCAAAGAGCCAAATGCACACAGCTCAGGAGGCGTCAATTAACCTTATTGGTAGTGAAAGGATTGCTATTATAATTGTGTTTATTCATCACTAACTACATAAAATGTTTCAAAGCCTTTCCGCTGTGGATAAACACCGGCTCTCTCTGCCTGAAGCGAGATGAGCACCGCACTCCACAGTTGACTATGACTGGACTTAATCATCCAGGGGTCATTTACCTTTACCTTTACCTTTTACCTTACCTAGTTATCAATGAAGTTTAACTTAGAACAGACCCATTAAAATTAAAGCACATTAAGTCTGTTACTTCTAGTGGATCTACTACTTCATTTCATAACATCTGCAGAATACAAAACTTAAAACATCAAAAAGATAAAACTCACCCAGCAATGTTACAAAAAGACAAATCTACCCCAACCTACTAAAGGAGGAACATGATAAAATTATTTAGTAAAAGAGCTTATCCTGCAATAAAGGGTGAATTGTGCCATACCCTATTAAAAGTCTGGTCCAGACTAGAGTAACATATCATATGATCCCAGTTAAGAACTGAATGCTACAGTAAACAAGAATGTATTTGCCTGGTGTCTAAAAGCTGATGATGATGGTGCTAGGGACATCTCTCTAGAGATGTCCCTCTCACTCCCCAATTTTAGCAAAGCGTCTCTCTAGGAAAGGACCATAACAGCTCTCAGATCTGCAAAGAAAATCAGGCCCAAGAGGTGAACAGGTTGTGTAGCATCTACACCAGAGCTTTCCAAACTGTGTGTCACGACATGTTAGTGTGTTGGCTGCAGTGTGTAGGTGTGTCGCACAAACGCTCCCCGTGCTCCTCCCAGGGCTGGAAAGGGATTAGTTTAATCTCCGGTTTGCTAGTAAAACTGAATTACTGTGTCGCAAAATTATGCATGTGCATCACCGACATGAAAAGTTCGGAAAGCACTGTTCTAATTATTTCCTCTCATAGCAAACTCAGGCGGTGAGTTCCTATTCAGGCATATAGCCCAAACTGGAGAAACAAAAGGAAGATATTTGATTAGAAGCAGGACCTAAACAGCCTTTCTCTGTGGAACCAGTGAACATAAGAATTTACGAAAGTACTTAAGTAATTCTCTAATACTTGTTACAATCCAGGAAAAGAAGCCAAGAGAGGTACCCGAAAGCATATTCTGTTGTGTGTGACCAGGGTCAGAATGAGGAACAGAGTTAACCTCTGTGACATCTCCGGCTGATGCTGGTGTGGCAGCCAATGTCAATTCACCATTCCCAGAATCACACTATGTCCAGCCAGAAAGTCCAAAGACATGAGTCAGCTGGAGCCTGTGAATTGCTTTGTGGGGGGGGGGGGATAGAAGGACCATAAAAGGAAACTTCTCAACAAAAAAGGACAATTGAGGTTAGTGGTAGCGTATAGGAATCTGGAAGGGGTTTATCAGTTACTTGTCCAATAGGTTGTTGATTATAGAGCCTACAAACGTGGTCATGCAGTAGGAGAAGAAAGTGTAAGTAATGCTTGCCGAGGCCAAAAATCTTGATTTCTCATATATACTCATGGTGGTGACTGACTGGGAATGAGACCTAGGGGTCATAGTGGCCACCCCAATAAAGATGCCAACCTGGTAAAGCTTCAGAAGTCATGCTTCTGAATCAATGGCTACCAGCCGCAGTGGCATTGTTCTGCCTTCACTGCTGGAGGCAGTATGCTTGGAGGATATCAGTTGATGGAAACCACAAGAGGAGAAATTGTCCCTGTGCTTGGCTCCTGCCTGAGGGTTTCCCTATGAGAGCAGGATGCTGGACTGGAGGGGCCATTGGCCCGGCCCAGCAGGGTCTTCTTATGTTCCTAGTGACAGGTGTCTGCCCCAGGTTTAGTTGCTCTGTTAGCTCTTTCACAATATCCATTGTCTGCAAAGTCGTTCAGGCAGAGAATGAGCAAGTTACAGTATTTGAATAGGGGTAAACAGCTGGATTCAGAGAGAGCACAAAAACCAGCAAGCGAATTTTGCACCTGACAAAATGATGAAGACATCAAGTTGATCATCCTCAAATTTGTTTTGGGGCAACAATGTTATTTAGCCATATTATTTTTTTCACACCGTCTGAACGGTTCACATTGAAAGGTAATTGAATATCAGTTGACATTTGAGGGACTGTTGACACTTTCAAGTTGAGAGATGCAGTTGGCACTGCATAAGCTGTTGCTAACTGCATAATCTTTCTGCAGCTTGGCACCACCAACTCATCTATGATGGGAGTGCATTAATCTGAATGTGGTAGTTTAGCTGGATGCTGCACAATTGAAATGTTTCTTCATGGAAATAGGCTTTTGGATGTTACGGAGCTAGTTCTGTGGTCAACATTATCCGCAGTCATGTTTCTGAATACATCTCTTCTCAGACAAGAAGAATAAGCTGCACTTTCTTGTTAGCAATGTTCATAAATAGCATTAGAGAGATCCGTTGTGATTGTGAGTAGTCATATAAAATACAGTGGTACCTCAGGTTACATACGCTTCAGGTTACATACGCTTCAGATTACAGATTACGCTAACCCAGAAATAGTGCTTCAGGTTAAGAACTTTGCTTCAGGAGGAGAACAGAAATCGTGCTCCGGGGGTGTGGTGGCAGCAGGAGGCCCCATTAGCTAAAGTGGTGCTTCAGGTTAAGAACAGTTTCAGGTTAAGTACGGACCTCCGGAACGAATTAAGTACTTAACCTGAGGTACCACTGTACATAGACCAAGATGAGTTATGGAATTAGTTTTCATGACTTAGATACACTTTGCCTCCTTTGAGTTCTCCTGTAATGAACATCCTCAGATACTGTGTCATGCCCCTTTTCCCAATGTGAAGTGGTGTTTCATTTTCTGCTGTGCCATGTGGTGTGTGACTGGCTTACTTCCTTGGATTATTTAGATTGTTTTACTGAATTATTCCTCACAAATCATTTTCTTTAGAAAAAAAATATCCTGCAGCCAATGAAGTTTTCCATCTCTATTCTGAGAAGATGCCTGTTGAGTTTTGGTCTTACATCTGTTAAAAGCAAATATTTTCCTTTGTAAAAGACTTATTCTTATTTGCTCGCCCTTTTTTGGGGGGGGGCGAACCTCACATTTTTAATAGCAACTGGAGACTACCACAAAATATTTAACAAAGGAAATAGAATAGAATCTCAAACTGGGAGCAGTCCTAAGCATAGTGCATTAGTGTCAGATTTATACTGGACTGTCCACACATCATTCTGCTTTATTAGTTGTTCTGTGATGCTTTGCCAATGTCACCATATTGTTGCAGTTGAGAGGGACACTCTTGCACCATAATGCAACAAAGAGGGACAACGAACTCACTCTGGAACATTTGTGGTATGAAAAGTTTCAGGGATTCAGCAAGAAGCTATGGTACACATGCACTGACTGGAAACGAAGTAGTATGTCTGCCCAAAAACTTGCAGATGCAAACGGTATTGAAAGCAGGATCCCGTATAACCACCTCCATACCATCATGAGCACAAATCCTTGTAAGTAAAAAGATGTCCAGAGGGAACAACGAGGAGAGGCAGGACTGAGATTTGGAAATATGCTTCAGAGGTCCAGACTATGGGGAGCCCCCCAAAAAATCAACAATTATAATTTGGATTATAATTTGGTCTTTTTTATTTGAAGTGGATTATGATTGGATATGTTAACTGGATTTTTTATTGGAAAATTAATAAAAAAGATTTAAAAAAAAAGATGTCCAGAGGGGCCTTTCTTCTTTGTTTAGGATTGGTGCCTGCCTTGCGTCTGCATTGCAGAGATGGGTGGGATAGATATTATTATTATTAAATGCATAATTAGAGGGTTAATGTGGAATACAGAGATGCTTGTCGGGGTGTGTTTATATGTGACAGCATACATTTTTTCCTCGGGTGCTCTTATAAATCCTCTGATTATAGTCCTCTGATAAATGACTAGGCTGGATCGGGTCAGTCAAGGTATGTTCACATTACCATTTACTCCACATCAGCGCATTCCCGCTGCTAATTTTCGCAGCAACCTCCACATGACGATCGATATCGATCTTGTAGTTCCCTCTGCAAAGGTGTTTTAGCTTGGAGAAGTGGAAGAATCATAGAATCATAGAGTTGGAAGTGACCGTAAGGGCCATCTAGTCCAACCCCCTGCGATGCAGGAATCCCACCCACAGCCATCCCTGGGTGGACTCGAACCACCAGCATTCTGCTTAATAGCTTAATGCACTGACCTATGGTGCCACTGGGTAATAAGTAGCAGGTGATGTGGTAGAGGATGCATGCCTCTTGCTCAAAGGGTTCCACGCAACCCAACACAACTGTGGGCTGCATCTGAGGAAACCATTTTGAGCTCCTCAGTTTCAAATGTTCGCCCTGTGCCTACTTCAGATCCCAGTTGTAAGCCAAGCAACAATGTGGAAAGCCCAATTTAAGACAGGAATGAAGACCAGGAAGGAGATCAGATTCATGCTTTCCAGACATATGTTTAATGTGCACACGCCCATTCCAGAAATAGTAATGCTTTTGGGGGGGAGGAAATCCCTGTGCAGGCACTTCTCAGAGTAAAGGAATCACTGGCAAGATTTGATGCCTGCCATAGTTACCCCTAGGAGTTATTTCCTGTCCCATGTGGGCCGAACTGGTGGCTCCTGGGATTCTGGGTTTCCTGACCTTCAGAATTTTGCCAAGGTCATGTCTTTTCAGGCTACAGCTTAGGCTGTGTACACATTACCGTTTACTCTGGCTCCCACGTGCTCCCACCACTGATGTTTAAAGTCGAGTACCCATGACCTTGGCCACAATCCATATAGTTGTAGTTTCTAGAGGAATGCTCCTAATGGAGTGCAGCTTCAGTCTGATTTGAAAATGCAAGACATGCTTAACTGTGTTCAGACACTTGTGCAGACGATGGCTTCCTTGAATAGGAGTGCAGAGGGTGTTGGGGCACATGGAAACAAATAGGGTAATGTACATCAAGTGAAGACCCTCCCTCTCTGGTGTGTACAGCAAGTGCAAATGCAACTTGAAATGCAGCCAGAGGAAACATCCTCACTGCATTTTAAGCCACTTAATATATACACCCTTTATTGGACTGTGTGTACACACACACACACACTTTTTTTCTTTTTCTTTTTAACTCTGCATCCATTATGCTCCAGCTGCTAGTTTGGGAAGCAATGTACACACAGCGTTAGCCACAATCCTGCATCTATACTATCCTGCATCTATCCTGTCACTCCTTACGAAATACTGCATTTTTATATGTTCTTCCTCAAACCAGCATCAGTCCGAATTGAGAGAAAGAACTACCTAGCTGTGTTTTAAGCTGGTCCTGCGTCCACAGCCTTGATTTAAGGATAATTGCTTGAGGGTTATTGAGGACTGTTTTAGCGTAGTACTGTCTTCCACTGGATGTTTAATGTAAATAATCTTTTCTTCTCTGTGACCAATCTAGATTTGCTGCTAGTGGTTGCATACGTACTTACATAGTCATTATTACTGACTCTCTGCAAGGCTGAAGAGCAGAGATGTCGCTTAGTAAGTATTGGCTGTTAACAACCCTCGAACCCAAGTGTGCCTTTCACATCCCTTGCCAAACACCTGCCAAGCTCTGCAGCTCAGTTAAGTCACTCTGTTGGTACCTGCTGAATAATACCACTTGCACACAGCCACCCCTGGGCACCAGTCCAGGAGGCTAGCTGCACCAGGGAGAGGACCAAGGAGGGATCATTAGTGCCTCAATGCCCAGATTCCAAACAAGAAGTTCCCAAGTCTCCTTTTCCTTTTAAGGAAACATCTGAGTGGGGCTGCGGAACAATAATTGCCAGCAAGCAGCAGCAATGCTCATTTTAGTATGTTTAGGAGGAACTTGAAGCGCTTTAGTTTGTCAAAACATTTGTGATTAATCGGCGCAAGCAACAGGCTGGTTCTTTTTAAAGAAAGGCCAGGGTCAGAGCATAATAAGTTCGTGCCAATCGCTGCAAGGCATGGTGACTAGGGAGACATTTTGTCCACTCATGGGATGGTATAAGAGGGTAGGTCAGAGGTAGGGCTGCGAGTGAACTGCATAGCCTCCAGCATTTCTCCGATGAAAATAGGGACATCCTTTTCAGCGACGACAACAACAACTGTATTAATTTATACCCCACCCATCTGACTGGGTTGTCCCAGCCACTCTGGGTAGCTTCCAACTTATATAAAAACATAATAAATTACTGTTTAATCTACTGTCAAAGCTACCAATATAGGTTCTTGCCTCTTGTCCCTCTCTGCTTTTTCACTTTGGCATTTTTTTAAAAAAAGGAATTAACCTATTTCCTTTCTTGTTTTTAAATTTAAAAATATTTGTAAAGGCTAGCAAGAGAAAGGGCTGTTGTTGCATTTCTAGGTGGCATGGGGCTATAGGTTGCCTTTCTGACCCAGCAGCAAACCATGTCTGAGGGTTTGGTCCACTTGTTTGCATTCCAGTCCTGGAAGGGCAGCTCTAGATACTGGACTCAAATGAGTCTCGTAATCTCTTAACTAAATACAGAGATCCTTGCTTTCTCAAAAGGGAGTCTGTTTATGGCCATAATGTAAATAATGTCTTAAGGCAAATTTGTTTTAACTATGTGCTGGGTTGTTGTTTTTCCAGATTTCTTAGACCAAAGTCATATAAAAGATTGCCTTTTCTATGGATGTCCTTTAGCTAGAGGGCATGTTGAAGCTGGATATGCAGATTCTAGAAAGTTTGGGTCCTGGCCATGCCAGAAATGAAATCCGTGTAAGCCAAAGAGATTCAGATGTAGCATTTTGGCTCAGCTGTTTCCATAAGGGACAGCAAGACCTGATGTTTATAGAAATGCTCCTTGAGATCCAAAGGGCAAGTTCATTATGTGGAGGGTTTGGCATGAGCTGATCATGGCTCCACGTCAGAGTCAAATGAGTGTTAATAAGATCTCTCTCTAGTTTTCATTGTACACATTCCTGTCTTAAAATGCATCTAGGTTATTCTTCTTCTCAATTCTAATTAAAGCTGATTTGGGGAGGAAATGGATAGGCTCTCCTTAACCACTGTCATTTTCTCCTATTAAATATGACAAACATAGCCTCCGGGAGCAAACTGCATTTTTGCTGCTTCGTCAGCATGCTATTGTCTCAACAAACATTTCTTTTTGCATTTCTCCCCCTTCTCTAGGAAGAGAAAGCAGCAGAGAGGAAGAAAGATGTGAAGATTGTTGAAGAAAAACGAAAGGAAACCCATGGTAGAGATCTGAAAAGAAACAAATCTTCTGATCTCGGAAAAGAAGGGAAAAAAGAAGAAAATGTCCAGAAAGCTAATCAGAAAGGGAAGGATGAACTGGACACTACTAAGAACACGGGGCCAGTCAATGAAGAGAAGAAGGAGGCAAAGAAGTTACCCAAAGACAAATACAAAGCCATCTCAGTGGACAATAATGAAATTAAAGGAAGATGGGAAGAAAAGGGCCTGGCAGCCAAGATCAAAGCAGTTGAGGAAAAAAGGAAAGAAGAAAAGGCAACAGGGCTGAAGAGGGGAACTGAAAAGGACAAAAATACGGGGGATAAAAAAGAACCCGAAAAAACAGGAGCAAAGGGCTCAGCTTTAAAGTCAGGCTTAGACAGAAAGGCAGAAGACAAAAAGGAACCTGAAAAAAATGGAGAAAAAGGTTCTGCTTTAAAGTCAGGCTTAGACAGAAAGGGAGACGATAAAAAGGAATCTGAAAAAACAGGAGAAAAAGGTTCCGCTTTAAAGTCAGGCTTAGACAGGCGGAGAGAAGACAAAAAGGAATCAGAGAGAAATCGAGAGAAAAGTCCAGCTTTAAAGCAAGGATCAAAGGTTGGCAGTGAGGCAAAATCCCCAACAGAAAGCAAAGGAACCTCTGAGGGGAAAACCTCAGTGTCAGGGCAAGAGAAAGGGACAACAGAGGCTCCTGAGAGCAGCCCCTCTAAACTGGCAGACGGCTCTTCCAGCCAGGGCACAGAAGAGGAAGCCACCAGCATCTTTGATGAGCCCTTGGAGAAAGTGAAGAATAACGACCCAGAGATGATAGAGATCAATGTCAATAACTCTGACTGCATCAACAACGAGATCCTGGTGCGTTTTGCCGAGGCCTTGGAATTCAACACCGTCGCCAAGGTCTTTGCCCTGGCCAACACACGGGCAGATGACCATGTTGCTTTTGCCATTGCCATCATGCTGAAGGCCAACAAGACGCTGACCAGCATCAACCTGGATTCCAATCACATCACGGGCAAAGGGATCCTGGCCATCTTCCGTGCTCTGCTGCAGAACAACACTCTGACCGAGCTCCGCTTTCACAACCAGAGGCATATCTGCGGAGGGAAGACGGAGATGGAGATAGCCACACTGCTGAAGGAAAACACCACCCTCCTGAAGCTGGGCTACCACTTTGAGCTGGCAGGGCCCCGGATGACCGTGACCAACCTGCTGAGCCGCAACATGGACAAGCAGCGGCAGAAGCGCCTGCAGGAGCAGAAGCAGGCTCAGGGAAAAGGGGAGAAGAAGGACTTCCTGGAGGTGCCAAAGGCAGGAGGCCTGCCAGCTGCTTCTTCACCTAAGGCCTCTCCGAAGCCATCCCCCAAAACGTCCCCTAAAGTTTCCCCTAAGAAAGCTGGAGCCCCAGAAGCACCACCTCCACCTCCTCTGGCTCCTCCTCTGGCTCCTCTCCTGGCTCCTCCCCTGATCAATGAAAACCTACGGTTGTCACTCTCTCCAGCATCTCAGAGGAAGATGGTAGAGAAAGCTCTTCCTCCACAAGAGAAGAACTCCAGAGACCAGCTTCTGGCAGCCATTCGCTCCACCAATGTCAAACAGCTGAAGAAGGCAAGTAAAGGGCAAATGTGGAAAGCATCCTGGGGTGAAGTCCTTCCTGGGTTCATTGAAGCTACACTCTTAATAATGCCATCTATCTAGGATTAGTGCTACATACACACACTCCCCCTAGCCCATCCCAATCTCCTGTGTCTGATAAAAGGCATATTTTCCATCACTTGCATTCTAAAGAAGTACGGAGTGTTGCTGAGGAACTGCCCAAGGAGTACCAAGCCCAGATTGGCTCATTACAGTTAAATAACATGTGCATTTATTTATTAATGGTATTTGTAGGCCACCTTGCTCTCAAAGCAGCTCACAACTTATTATTTTCTTCTGGAAGCTGTCCAGAGTGGCTGGCAAAACCTAGCCAGATGGGCGGGGTATAAATAATAATAATAATAATAATAATAATAATAATAATTAAAGAGAAAGCCATTGAAAACTCAATAACAATTGAACAAGCACAACTGTTGTGCTATATAAAAATGCTTCTCACAGAGACGAAAAAACACCTTAAAGCTAAAACAGCTTAAAAGGCCTGGGAAAATTAAAAGGTACCAAAATGGCAACAAAATAAAAGGAAAATGAGCTTCTCTGGGGTCTTTGCAAGGATGATAGCAGGATTATCAGGTTCACACTGGGAGCTGATTTCATGGAATAATTTAAAGGAAGGAAGAGGGAAAGAGGTGAGAACTGGAAACAAACATGATCCCCTTTTGATACATGAAACGTTTCTTGCATTGATGTAAAATCCACAAAATATGTACACACATATGACAATTTTGTGACATCTATGCATCTGCTCAGCTTTCCAGTATGTGAACTCAGGGCTAAATAGATACTTTCATACTTCACCATTGTTGCACTACACACTTCATACATTGCTTCCTAGTTCAGACGACACGCCAAACCATGGTAAAGGAAGCTTAATTATACTTTGCCATGTTTGAACACCATTGTTTGCAATTGGCAAAAGAAACAGAATCATAAATTACTGAATTGACAAACTAGACTTTGTGCAAACAAGGGTTGAATTGACAAGCTATAGTTACCATGGTAGTTCTGTCTTCAGAGACTGCTGTGCAGTTGAGATAAGAGTGACATTGTGGATCTTAGGTGCTTAGAGAATGGAAAATGAAAGCAGACAAATACTTCTTAACCATGGTTTGCTGTACATTTGGAAGCTCAGGCCGTGGTTTGGGATGTTCAGATCAGATCTGGTATGATGCCTGAACTGAGTCATTGTACAAAATACAGTGGTGCCTCGCAAGACGAAATTAATTCGTTCCGCGAGTTTTTTCGTCTAGCGAATTTTTCGTCTTGCGAATCACGAATTCCCATAGGAATGCATTGAAAATCAATTAATGCGTTCCTATGGCCAAAAAAAGTCCAAACAAAGCCAAATTTGGTACAACAACCTCCCCAGCTGTTGCAAACCCCTCCCCAACTGTTGCAAACCCCTCCCCAACTGTTCCCCCAGTCACCCAGCACACAGAAATTCAAATCCAGAAATTTTTTAAAAAAACAGCAGAGTGGCCCAGTGGTCACAGAAAATCATAAAAATGCAGAAAAAAACACACAAGCTTCCAGATTCCTGCAAACCCCTCCCCAACTGTTCCCCCAGCCACCCAGCACACAGAAATTCAAATCCAGAATTTTTTTAAAAAAACAGCAGAGTGGCCCAGTGGTCACAGAAAATCATAAAAAAATGCAGAAAAAAGACACACAAGCTTCCATATTCTTGCAAACCCCTCCCCAACTGTTCCCCCAGCCATCCAGCACACAGAAATTCAAATCCAGAATTTTTTTTTAAAAAACAGCCGAGTGGCCCAATGGTCACAGAAAATCATAAAAATGCAGAAAAAAGACACACAAGCTTCCAGATTCTTGCAAACCCCTCCCCAACACCAAGTCCTTGAATTCCAAACACCCCAACCCAAAATCCAAAACCCCCCAAAAAAGTTTTAAAAGCTTAACTTGGCTGCAAAAGAAGTTTTGGAAAAGCTTCAAAAATCACCAAAGTCTTTAAAAACCTCAAAAAAGGCTACTATGTACACTGCGTTCTATGAGTTGCTCCTTGAACTCAAGTCGCAACTGTATTAACGGTGTTAAGAAAAAGGAAACAAACTTGCAAGACGTTTTCGTCTTGCGAAGCAAGCCCATAGGGAAATTCGTCTTGCGAAGCAGCTCAAAAACGGAAAACCCTTTCGTCTAGCGAGTTTTCCGTCTTGCGAGGCATTCGTCTTGCGGGGCACCACTGTATATAAACTAAAATATGAGGAACCACATGTATCTACTTTGCCAGTCTTATGCATGTTGTGATGCTCATGCACCAATAGGCTTCTTAAAACATTTCCAGGACATATTTAATCCTTAAAACCCTAACTGATCACGAACCTGGGTTCCTAAATGACCACCTGCACTCACATGGACTTCCTGATTATTAAGATAATCCTTGAAAATCAGAGGTGCAACCCTCACAGTGCCCCACCAAACAGGGATATGAACTATCAGGTGGTGGCTCCCTTTGTTTTGAATGCTTTCCTGGTGAATATTACCTTGAACCAAGTTTCATGTTCTTTGTATGGGTAAATCAATTATTTACCTAGGCCTTGTGGAGGTTTTATTATAATATTCTAAAACAGTTTAAGAATGTTTTAGACCATCATGCCCTGTTAACACTATTTTTTTCTGCTTTGATGCTTTATATACTTTCAAAAAATACTGCATTGGTTTAGTTATGCTCTGGGAGTTTTAACTAAAGAGCAGCTTATAATATCTCTGACCACTAACCAACCAAATTAATAATAAAAATAATAATAATAATAATAATAATAATGTATTATTTCTACCCTGCCCATCTGGCTGGGTTTCCCCAGCTACTCTGGGCGTCTTCCAACAGAAGGTTAAAAATACATTAAAACATCAGTCATTAAAAACTTCCCTAAACAGGGCTGCCTTCAGATGTCTTCTAAATGTCATATAGTTGTTTATTTCTTTGACATCTGATGGGAGGGCGTTCCACAGGGCGGGCACAACTACTGAGAAGGCCCTCTGCCTGGTTCCCTGTAACCTGGCTTCTCGCAGTGAGGGAACCACAAGAAGGCCCTCAGTGCTGGACCTCAGTGTCCAGGCTGAACAATGGGGGTGGAGACGCTCCTTCAGGTATACTGGACCGAGGCTGTTTAGGGCTTTAAAGGTCAGCACCAACACTTTCAATTGTGCTCAGAAACATACTGGGAGCATATCCATGGCATATACCTCAGAGACTGTGTTCTTACGTATATGTTGTAAATGCTTGTAGATCCATGCAGGAAAAAACAGAGACAGAAAAGTAAAATGAATGGCCCTTCATATGTGAAGCAAGGTTCGCATAGATGCAATTAACAGGCATATTTTTGTAATGTAAATAGCAGATGTGGTTCACATGGGGAGCAGTACTAGGATTGCAGGTCCGGATGAAAATTGCTCCCCCTTCCTGCAAGCTGCTATTTGCATCACCAATAGCTTCCTTTGGTTTTAGATCTTGCATTAACAAGCACACCTTTTATCTTGGCAGGTGGAGGTTCCCAAGATACTGCAATAGGGAGCAGAATCCAGATTTCCCTGGAAGGATGAGATTGCCAAGGCTGAATCACTATGTTTGTCTCTCAGGTGACTGTTTACACGAGAAGGACTCAGCAGGAGCAGGAAGCTGCCTTGCTCCAGTCCCAAATGAGCAGTGTTCTCTACGGGGTTGAACTGAATTGGATGGAAGGACTGAATGAGCTGCCAAGGAGACGTTGTGTCAGGAAGAAGCAATATTTATTTTTAGAGCTTTTCAACCACGAAACTTTTTTTCCCCATGAGAGGAGAGGTCTGCAGATGCTCAGAGTGTTATGTAGCTGGGTTAATTGTCCAATTCCCCCCCCCTTTCAGAGTTTTGAAAGAAAAGTGGGAAGTATTGAAGAAGCCTATATTTGCAGCATCCCTGATTATCTTAAGACAGCACGGCAATCACTTGCCACTAGAAATATATACAAGAGTAAAGTCACACTGGAGTAGCAGCACAGAAGAAAATTACCAAGCTCATCTTCAGCACAAAATGACTCCAAAATTGTGCGTGTGTGTGCGCACACACAAACCAGCAGCATGTTCTTGCCATTTGCTGCTAAATCTAACTGGTAGCACCAATGTCACTCTACCTGGAATATTATGAAGCAGAAGTTTGGAGGAGAAATCACTGGGCCAAATCTAATTTCCTAATGTCTCTGTGATCTCAAGGATTCCATTTCTCTGATAGATGATTGTGCAAAGGCTGGCTTTGTTCCCTGAAGAAGCATGAAAAGCATTGCATGTTTCTGAGTTTTGTATGTGTGTGTGTATGTAAATGGCTTCTCACCGTACTGCAATCAAACCTTTAAGCACACGCGTGGGCAATGGCTCTGAAAGGATTACGGATTGTGCTGCCATGATGGGGGGAGGGGGGGAGCTACATGGTGCTTGAACCTCTGACATAAGCAGCATCTTCCAAATTACTATTGTGATGCCTAATCTTAAGAGGCCTGATAGGAGGGAAGGAGCACATTATGGTTGGCCATGTAATGGAGGTGATGGCAAACGCAAGCAGTGGCTGTTATGACACAACAGAAGGGGGGGGCTTGAAAGCTTGCATTGGGAAACCTTCATTCAGAAGCGTTCATTCAGAATCTCCAGTGCTCAGGGCACACAAGTTCTCATTCATATATTTCTGGCACTTGGGCAGCAGCTGTGTCATGATAGTCAAGATCAGGCTTCCTCAACCTCAGCCCTCCAGATGTTTTTGGCCTACAACTTCCATGATCCCTAGCTAGTAGGACCAGGGGTCAGGGATGATGGGAATTGTAGTCTCAAAACATCTGGAGGGCCGAGGTTGAGGAAGCCTGGTCAAGATGACAGTAACCTAGCAGAGAGTACAGAACTCCTGCTTCACTCCTTTGCTACAGAAACAGCATAAGACTTGTTTTTGGGACCAGAAGGTTTCTGTGCCAATTCAGAACTTTTCAAAATAGTTCAACATCTGCTCATTTGAAGTGAAAGAGGCACTCCCAAGGGAGTAGCATTTGTGGCCTGTTGACCAGTGTCTCCTGAACTATGGTCAACAAGCCATGGCATGTGGGCTGTGAAGATACTATGTCTTCCAACCAACCTATGTGTCAGATTCAGCTTCCGTGTCTCTTCTCTTTGCAGGCAAGCGGAGCCCAGCTCATACATTAACTTTGCAGCATGGTGGCTGCCCAATGCTCTCCTGAGGTTGCTTCCCATTATGCACTGGTAACATGTTGGTGTTCTGCATCTCCACAGATAGCCTGGATTGCAGGAGTATTTCCCATGCCAGCAACAGCAGTTCCAGTGGCGGGGCACTGCCAAGGGAGGTGCCCATGTACATAATTCAGACTCCCTGGGTAGTGTGCTGCTGATAGGCAGCTGATAGGCATTTGGGTCAACCACATGGAAGCACTTTTGAAGTAGCAAATGTGCCACAAAGAGAATGTATGGAGGGGGCCTGCAAGAAGAAGAGTAACCAATGCCATCATCTTTCTTCCTTACTCCTGCATGGAGTGAGTGATGGATAATAGAGCAGCTGTAGCTGTATACCAGTTCAGCTACAAGGATGTTGCCCAGTTCAGTTCCCTGCAGCTTAACTAGTTTGTGGCTCAGCCTGTACATAAAGAAAGATTATCTATGCATTTGTGTGGCTGTAAGAGTTTAATATATAGACAGATGGATATATATCTTAATAGATGTACTCTCTAAGGAGCAGAGTTTTATTTCTCACACAAACTGCCAAAGCTTGTCTGCACCGAGATGGTGCCAAGTGATGCAGGAGCAAGTGACTGGGAAGTGATTCGCTTACCGGTCTGTTTAAATCAGTTTCCAGATCAGGAAACTCATTCATGGTTCCTCTGCGGTAGGAGAGAAACCAGCAAGATTTCTCACCCAGGAACAGGTAGTATAGAACGCTCTCTCCCCCAAGCTGCACATGTGTTCATCCTTCCATGAAGGACAAGTGGAACTCCTGTTAATGTGTCTATGGAGATCCTCGCAACTCAAAAAGGCTTTCCCTGCCTCTTCTCTTATCCAGCTGAGCATGCAAACTCTGCAGTTAAGGGGTCCTAATAAGTGAGTGTAAAATACAGGAGGGGGTTTATGTAGCACTTGAAAGAGAACTGTTCTTTGTGGGTTTTAGTTTTTTTAAATCAGTCTTTGGAGAGGGAATCTGTGCTTGCTTACTGAAAAAGAAAGTAGTATTGGATTTAGATCTGTAGCACGTTTTGGACAAATGTTGGAGAAGGAGAGAGAAATAACAAGAGACAAATCGCTTGAGCAGGTGATCTCGGGTGCAGAAGCTGCTGCAGTTTTCAGTTCCAACTCATGAATGTAAATCTTATTTGAAATATGTACAAAATCACCCACACTTTCATTAATAAAGCTCACAAAATGCTGCTGATGGCGAGTAGTGGAAAATTCTGCGGCTGTGGGCAGTGAATACCTTTAGACTTATGCAAGTACGTGCAGATTTGGACAGCTCTGTAGGTGTGTCAACTGGCATCTGGCATCAGAATCATGTTTCAAACACCCCATGAACTCATTTGTTACTGATACCCACTTGACACATGGGCAACTGAGGTTAAGAAGCAATGGTTTTCTTGCAATTGTAGTCGGTCTGATCACAGAGTCCAGAATTTTCGTTTCAGGTCAGGCTCAAAATAGGTGATAAAATAAGTGAAGAATTGGTTCCTTTTCTCTGTTCTTTTTAAAAACTTGCCCGAGCATGTCAGGAACTTGCAGAAATCCACAGCTGGGATGGGACGTTTCTCTTTGTGTACAAACACAAGAAGCCCACCCTGCAGCCTGAGTGTGTTGGGCACTGGGCCAGAAAGGAGCTTCTCCCTCCTGTTGCTGCCAATTCAGAGGGTTGCCTGCCAGCTCTGTGCAGAAGTCAATCACTGCTGACGAGGGTCTGGCTGACTCCAAAGGCAGCTGAACTGCTCCTCAAGAGTCCAGAGAAATGTCTATATTTGGGCATTTTGCATAGACTAGCCCAAGCAAAACTTCATTCCTTTGCTCTTCCTAATAGTGGGAAGCCTTCCAACTGCCCAGAGCGGCCAAGAAGAGGAGAGAAAACAAGGCTTAGTTCACAAGGACCTCTTCCTTGGTTACCAAGCTACACTCACAGCAGCACTGCGGTCCTCCCTCATCTGGTGCTTCTTCCACCTGTGGTTCTCCTGTCATTGCCACCAGGTTCTTTGCCATCAGCACACAGCTGTCCTCAGTCATAAGAGCACCCGGCAGGCTCTGCTATCCTATCACAGATGCCCCTTGACTTCTGTAAGTCAGTGCCACATTGCAAACAGTCCCACAGGTGGCAGATGAAAATAGAAAAGAAGGGCAAGTGATGTGAAAGCAAAGGAGGAGATTTACTTTCATGCTATTGGGTTGCATGACCCGCCTAAAACGACCGGCTGATGAATTCACAAAGACTTCATTTCCCACCCACCTAGAAAGCAATCCCCCCCCCTGCAAATCCTCAGTATGGGTCTGAATTTCATGGTGTCACACAAATTCTCCCCTGTTTCTCCCACACTGCTACAGTGATATCCAAGACCAAAATGTTGTCTGGTATTGTCCCAGCCAATGAGGTGAAGTTGGAGAAAATATTAGAAACAGATTCAGTGCACACCACCAGCCATATACTGAGGTATTTCAATAAACATAAAGTGGAAGACTGAGCACTCAGTGGCATGAGGAATTTGCAAGTAAGCCAGGCTTAAACACTCATATGTGGTGTTCCTATTTGCAGACCCAGACTTCATTTTTTCATATAGTTTCGTAAATGAAATTGCTTATATTTCTATGATATCAGTGAGTTTACAGTGTTTTGCACACAAAACAACCATGAAAAATTGTGGCTAATGTTGAGAAAGGTAGTGGAAGAAAACAGGGCTTCCTAACTGATTATTTGTGGGGCGGACTTTTCGGTCTGTTCAAGCCAAATAACTTGTGCCACAGCATTTGTGTCTGCAATCTGCACAGAACTCGGGAACTTAATAAATGAAGATGTTTACACTTAAAACAGTTTTACATGAGCATCTATGAGGGAGCCATTCCAGCAGTGACTCAGAACCAGATAACAATGTCTCAGGGCTACGGGAAACCATAAATGCTAATTGCTTGAGTGGCGCGGTCCCTGAATGGAGCAACTGTAGTCACTTAAAGAGGAATTTCTGTGCTCTTCCCTTCCCTCTAATATTAAAAATGGCATCATCATCATCGTCATCATAATACTTTAAGATACCTTGAGATGAGGACAATTCTCTACCCTTGGTAGTCTCTCACTGTAATGCATAAAATGAGGCTGTTTGGGGTCATAGCACCATCACTTCCCCTTGGCTACTCAGAGCTGTGGAACTTCTGCTTTCCACTGAAAATAATGAAAAATGGATGGCCTGCCTTTCCTCAGTAAACACTATGGATTTCTCCATCTAATGCTGGAAAGCATACAAGGGGACTTTAGCACCCTTTGTTATTTATGGCACTGAATTATGCTGTCCCAGGACTACTAGAGGGATTTCCAAAGGATTCGCCATGTTGGTTTGTTGCAGCAGAAACAACAAAGGTACCTTAAAGACAAAAAAATGCAGGGCAAGTGGTCCTCAGTTGTTGGGTATATATACACATGGACAAGGGTTAGGTAGGCGTTAAATAGCAAGTGAATTTTAAAAGTACAGCCTGTGACAATTCAGTTAGATCACAAATGTATGCAAAATGACCCTTCCCAGCAGAAATGACTGGAGATGAACTATCATCTTAGCATTGCTGGGTAATTTAATACTTTAAGTGAGGCAGAAAACCACGATCTCTATTCAGACCCAGAACAGAATTGAATGTTTTGATGATTTAATTTGGAAAAGAGATCCTGTTCTTTGGTTTGATCAGTGACAATCTCTTCTGCCCCTTTTGTGAGCGGATATCTGCAAGTTCCCTGGGATGCAAAATATAGCTTGGAAGTGGGAAGATGGATAAAAAAACAGTAGGAGAAAAGGAGTTATCATTTCCAACACCACTGTCCCAGTCCACACACATGCACAATTTTAAATTTTAAAAAGAATGAGGATTATTGGATCATGGATCTCCTGATGTCTCAGGAGCTCAACATGACAGAACCATGGTCTTCTCATCTCTGATGCCCAATCACTGATTCAAAAAAACCCCCACAATGGGCAGAAACCTGCATTCTAGGAAGCTTTCTGTCCTCCCAAGTGCAGCCCCCCCATGTGCATCCAAAATCTGTTTCATAGAATCATAGAGTTGGAAGAAACCACAAGGGTCATCTAGTCCAACCCCCTGAAATGCAGAATATTTTGCCCAACATGGTGCTTGAACCCGTGACCCTCAGATTAAGAGTCTCGTGTTCTACTGACTGAGCTATCCCAATCCTCCAGACCAAATTTTGAGGGCACACCAAGGGCTGCAGGGAGAGGAAAGGAACATGGGCGTAGCCAGGATTTTTGTTAGGGGGGGAAACCTCATATTCGTATTGATTTTTATCAGTGCAACCCCCTTGACTACGCCCATGGAGAGGAAGGTGAAGTTCAATGGGGCTAGCGCACTGTTTAATCAGTTATCACTTCTTTTCTTTTTTCCAGAATTGATTAAAATGTGCAGGGTTAGCTCTTTCTGAGTGAATATTGTCTGCCAAATTCCAGACAAATAGGTGCATTTGTTTTTCTGCTGGGCACCTTTTAAGGGGGGGGGTGTTTGTTTTTTGCAGGGGGCAGTAAAAATGGAATCATCTGTAAAGGGGCCTGCTTTTTATTGGGAAGAGGGCAGAAATAAAAGAAATTATTGTTCAGCTTCATTTCCACATTCCCCTCCTGGTGAAAGGATCAGTAGAAAGATCAGGGTCCTTAGATCCCACTTTCATTAGAGCACCAGTAGTAGTAACCATTATCACAAGTTGTGGAACACAACACTTAGGGGAAAAACAGAAGTGGCAGGGGCGGAGCAATGGATTTTAATCATGGCTGGACACTGTCTTACTCCAGTGTTAGTTAATCTTGAATAACTATCATCAACCCCGACACTTTGATTTCACCGATCAGCATGCACTGAAAGGATGGAGAAATAGTCTGGGACTTCACTTTCCGTTTGGGTGATGCAACCCTGCCATCAAGTGGTGGGATTCTTGCCTCACATGCTCAAGGGAAAGCACATTGCTATTGGTTGAAGGGCTGTGGTTTTGGGGTTTTTTTATAAAAAAAAAAGGTTTGCAGAGGTATTTTGTTTTTAATATTTTGGGATTCAATTAAGGCACAATCCAGGCACAATTAAGGACTTTTAAGTCCCATTAAGCACATGTTTAACTGTGCAAATGATGGGAATTTATTGAACCAAGTGATAGCCCTAATGCACGTAGTGTACGACGAAGAAAATCCTTAATCAACCTGCTCCTGGCTAGAGCTGATGGGAATTGAAGTCCAAAACAGTGGCGGCTGCAGGGCACCAGGTAAGCTAAAGCGGAAGTAAGTTCATCTCCACGCACCAGACAAGCGGGGTTCCCTAGTCAACAAAAGTTTATGTCACAATATATTGACATAATGGGATATTTATGATGGGATTCTGGGCCTTTTGCTACAAATGTGACGTGCAGGAGGAATTACAACAGGTAGCGCCTTCCACATCACTGCCTCTCCGTGAAAAGCATCACATGTTGAACTTCTGCCCGCCATGCGGGAGAACTTCTGCCGGGTGGGAGAGCGGGGATTCCACATGGATCAGATTTAGCCGTGCAGGGGGACAGGGCCGGGGTCCAGCTCCTTTAAAGGCGCACAAACACGCGCGCACCGATTCCCACGCCGCCCATCTCCTTTCTCTGCGCCAAGTGCCTCCACTAGGGGGCGAGAGACGGGCTGGCCCGGCGCAGCCAGCAGCAGACAAAAGGCCCTTGCGCTCTCGCTCTCTTTCCGCGCCACCGCCGCCCGCGCGTTTGTCCCGCCGGCGGCGGAGAGCGATGTGTCTGGGGCGTGCGCGCCGCCGGGCGGAGGCCGCGCGATGGCCGGGCGCCGCGGGCTGCTGAAGCGCAAGCCCAACTTCACGCTGCAGGAGATCGACGTGCTGATGAGCGAGGTGCTCCGCTACGAGCAGTTGCTCTTCGGCGCCGCCACCGTCAACGCCTACGAGAAGCAGAAGATCTGGTGGCGCATCACCCACAAGATCAACGCGGCCGGGCGCAACCAGCGCGACATCGGCGAGGTCAAGAACCGCTGGCGAGGACTGCGGCGCCGCGCCAACGACAAGATCGCCCGGCACCGCCTCCTGCAGCGCCAGGCGCAGGCCGGGGGGCGACCCCGCCTCGCCCACCTCTCCGGTAGCGGCGGCAGCGGCAGCAGCAGCGAGCCCCACAGCTCACCGGAGCTCGGCCCCGAGTGGGCCTCGCCCGGCGTGCGCCCCTCGGATGCGCCGCCGTCGCCTGCTGCTATGGAGGTTGTGGCTCTTCAGGGTGAGTGTTCACCGCCCACAGCCAAAGGTGGGGGAACCCTCAGGCGCAGGGACCCAATGCGGCCTCTCCATTTGGCCCGCGGGATGCCATTCGGCCCTCGGGATGCTCTCGTTTAGCACCGCCTCCTCCGTAGGCCCCGCCCCCGCGGACCCTGTCACGCCTTCTCACATGGCTTTCTGGAATGTGTGTCCTTTGGGGTGACGAATACCTTTTGCTTGCCTGAATGGATGTGAGAGTGTGTGATCCGCCCTGTGCACTTAAAAGTGCATGCGGTGCGCTTTTAAAGCACATGGCTTCCCCCCAAAAGAATCCTGGGAACCATAGTTTCCCACCCACAAACCGCACATTCCCAGTACCCTCAACAGACTAGAGTTCTGAGGATTCTTTGGGGACTTTTGTGTGTGTGTGTGTGTGTGTGTGTGTAGAAACCTCTGGATTACATCTCTAGAATGTAGCTTTCCACTCAAATTAGAAATCCCAGCCATTGGCCCACCCACCACTGACATGCAGCGCCTAGGTTGGCCCACAAAGCTTCCCCACCTCTGAACTAACCAGTCACCCTTTTCATCCACCCAGCAGTGGCACCAGAAAAAACGTTTCTGGGTAGGAGGCACAGAAGGGGCAAAGTATATTTCTAGATGGGCAAGTTGTAACCCACAGGTTAAGATCACTGAAAGAAAATTAACAGCATATATTCATGACAAGAGTCCAGCAATGGGAGTAGGGCTTGTTTGGAGGGTGATTGCCCCCCCTTGCCCCTCTCTGGCGCCACCCATGCAGCAGCCTCATGGAAGTTGAGGCATCGCTCTAGCAGCACTTAGCTCCGTTTGGGCTAGCATACTCACAGCATGCCCGTAAGGTGCATGTATCCAATGCACATTTAAAGCACGTGACTTCCCTCAAAGAATGCTAGGAGCTGCAGTTTAAGGGCACTGTGAATTTTAACTCTGGGAGGGGGAAAACTACAATTCCCAGGAGTCTTGGGGGGGCAGGAGCCATGTGCTTTAAATATACAGTGATACCTCGGGTTAAGTACTTAATTCGTTCCGGAGTTCCGTTCTTGACCTGAAACTGTTCCTAACCTGAAGCACCACTTTAGCTAATGGGGCCTCCTGCTGCTGCCGCACCACCGGAGCACATTTTCTGTTCTCATTCTGAAGCAAAGTTCTTAACCCGAGTTACTATTTCTGGGAGTCTGTAACCTGAAGCGTATGTAACCTAAAGGGTATGTAACCCGAGGTACCACTGTATGGTGTGGAATTGCCCCTGGACAGGTTTAAAACAGGGATGGGGAGCTTCATTGAATTACAGTTCCCATCATCCCTCACCAATGGTGTTGCTGATTGAGGCTGGTAGGAATTGGGCATACAGGCAGCTGACCACTGATGTAAAAAGTCAGCTGGGGTGTATTTGTTGGACCAGCAAAACAAGATTTTGGTATAGCTAAGAAACACGAGCATCCACTTAGCGGTGAGAAGTATTTCGATAATAGGTTTACAGTTGCTGAAATTAGAGAAGCAAATATATTTTGCCATGTATCCATTTGTCCAATAAAAATCAATCCAAAATCTCTTTAGTAGTTCCATTATTGCACACCCAACATAAATTTGTTATTGCTGCTTGCAGACACTGTGGGGAGGCGTGTGAAATCAAAGCCCTATCAAAGGGCTAAGCTGCACTGGGAATAACACATTTAAATACCTCTGCTTACACAAAGCCAACCAAACTGGAGGCATGTGGGGAAACAGAACCGTAATTAATTAGAAGTGTGAACTCTGGAAGCCTCATTGCACTTTATATTAGTGTGATGTTGGGCAAAGGCAATTAATTTTCCAAACAGAGGCCACATCCACACCCGGATTTAAAGCGGTATCATCCCACTATAAGCAGTCACGGCTTCCCCCAGAGAATCCTGAGAAACATCATTTGTTAAGGGATGCTGAGATTTGTTAAGAGATGCCTATTCCCCTCACAAAATTATAATTCCAATAATACCCTGGGAAGAGGACTTGATTGTTTAGCCACCCTGCCAACTGCAGCACCCTTAACAAACTACACTTCTCAGAATTCTTTGGTGCGTCTAAAGTGGCACTGTAGCACTTGTATGGTGCGAATATGGCCAGCATTTGCTTTCATAGCCTGCTCTCTCAGCTTTCTGTTCCTTTGCGCTACCGCTCCCTCTGCCTTGATGTACTTCCTGTTCTTTTGCCCTCTTGACCTTCAGGCTAGGTTCATTTTTATCAAAATCACTATTTTTAACAGCATGGTTTGGTCTTTGAAGTGCTGACATTGCCATGCATATCACATGACAAGATAGGAAGAAGTTGCATTGATGATACAATGTAGTGGAGAGTGGCATCCTGATAATGCGGAGAGGTATTTCTTCACAGCAACAAAGGATGAGGGAAGTTAGATACAGCAAGACAACGGCCTTTTAGACTGCGGGGGAAAGCATTTCTTCCTATGGCTATGTACACATATTTTTGTCAAACTGTTTTTACAGGTTGTTGACATAGTGGAAAGCTCGTGTTGTTTTTCCAGAGGTAAAAATGGCCCAAGGGCAGGCATACAAATTGAAATCCCTCTTTCAAGCTGCCTTTGACTGCCTGGGAAAAAGAAAAAAACCTATTATATGGCCCAATGGTCTAACGTGGTATAAGGCATCTTCTCATACTCCATCTTGCAGTGCATATTTTTCTTTTCCACTTTCTTGTCTCCCTGTATCAAAACATTTCTGTATGATGATAGATCCTTTGATATAGGCTCTTGGGACAACTTGAAGTTGGCTTTCTCTCTCTCTCTCTCTTTTTAACTGCATGTTTGGATGTCAGGAAGGGCCTGAAAGGGCTTGTGGTTCTAGCTGGCTGCTACTTTGAGTTAACCTGATCTGTCCTCTCTGCTCTGGGCAGGTGTGAAGGAGGAGCCAGTGAAGGAAGAACCAGTAGATGTGAAGTCAGAGCCATCCCACTCCCTTCCCACTAAGGCCATCCACCAGCGTGGGATCCAGGGGGCTGAGACGCAGCTGCTCAGGAGCTCTGCCCATGCCCCCAGTGATCCTTGTGAGGGCTGGAGGAGAAGCCCCTCAAATTCCTCACAGACTGAGCTCTCAGAGGCCCTGGGTTCGGATTATGGAAGCATCACATTTGACCATGACTCACCACCACCTGGGCACCTAAGCGACTGCAACATAGGAGATATGGTTGCTCCTGAGACTGTGCTGATTCAGGAAGGGCTGTCAGAAAGCCTGAGCCTAGCAGAGAGGCGGGTTGTCCAGTCAAATGAACAGCTGGCACAGGAGGTGCGTGCCTTCCGGCAGGAATATGCTGAGAGCCGCAGGGAGACGGCCTCCATCTTGCACAGCATTGCTGAAGCCCTGAGTGGCGTCTGCAGCAGCCTGTCCGAGATCCGGGACCTCTACCTCCGCCAGCAGGTGGTACCCAAGCAATGAGGGATCCACCGGCAGAAGATCCCGAGCAATCTGGATGCAAATGCCCTTTCGCGGAAAGGTGCCAGCTACTCCAGAAGTGACTAATATGAGGAAGAATTTATTCAGCTATTGTGGAGTTACAGGTTGGTTTGTTTTCAGGACAGGTTTTCCTTTGGATTCTCCTTCCATTCCCAGCTCAATAAAACTGTGAAATTGATATCTCTGCTTAAGAATCAGTTACCAAGCAGGGCATGTCTGTGGTATTGATGGACCATCTAGCTAAACAGTAGTTTGTGCACCGCATCACCCTGTTTCTGTCTCCACTGAAAACCCAGAGTCCTTTTTCTAAGGGGGGGAACAACGCTGATTTTTCTACCTCCATTTTACTTACTTGGTCTTATTGCTCCAACTGCCCCTCCACACTGCTCTTTTGTTCCTCTGCCTATCACAATTGTCAGCAGAAGGGGCTTGGTTTGCCCTGCTGAAAATCATCAAGAGCTAAAACTTGTTGTGGAGTCCACTTATGGTTGCCCTGGGGGCAAGAACAGTGGCCACTCCAACAGAATTATTGATTGTTGATCTAGATGGCAATGCTCTAGCATACATACAGTACTTTTAAGCTTATAGCCTCAGGCTGAAGTGGCAGTGGCAGGAATACAGAGATCCAGTTAGATTCCTCTGGCTGGCTAAGACGCCATTCAGAGGCAGAAGAAAGATTTCTCATGACAAAATTTGGTCCAAAATTAAAACATCTGTTAAGTGGTTGCACTTGCAAATGAAGTCAGTTACATGGGGGAAATGTGTGACCATTTGGGAAGGAATGCTTCAGGGAGAGAGAGAGAGAGAGAGAGAGAAAGAGAAAGCTCTGAGGGACAAGGAGGAGAGCAAACCTGTACAGTGGTACCTCAGGTTAAGAACTTAATTCGTTCTGGAGGTCTGTTCTTAACCTGAAACTGTTCTTAACCTGAGGTACCACTTTAGCTAATGGGGCCTCCTGCTGCGCTGCCACCGCACAATTTCTGTTCTCATCCTGAAGCAAAGTTCTTGACCTGAGGTACTATTTCTGGGTTAGCAGAGTCTGTAACCTGAAGTGTCTGTAACCTGAAGCATCTGTAACCCAAGGTACCACTGTACCTCTGTGATGGGGAACATGAGTGCCTTCACTTATTGTTGGACTGTCAACGCCCATCAGCCCAACTGGAGAGACGGATGAGTTGCAGTCCAGTAAGATCCGAAGGTCTACAGGTTTCTCAAACTGTGCTGTAATTAAAACATGGGGCTGCAGTTCAGGGAAACGCTGTAGGGATATTTTTGTACACCAAGAGCACTGTTCCAAATTCAAGCCTGTGTTACCATGGCAACCAGGCTTTAGTTACCTATTTTATACCAGCGGGGCTACTTTGGCCTATATCTCTCCCCCACCCCCAGCTTGCTTGAGAATTTACACTTTAGAAGTGGGAGAAGCTTACCTTTGCAGCTGTTTGTAAACATTATTACTCTGATTGTCAGAGTGGCCTGTGAGTGCACACCTCAGTGCAGAATCACACCGACTCACTTTCCTTCCTTTCTCCAACATATTCATATTTTCCCCATATCAAGCTCTTAATCCTTCCAAAAGTGAGAAAACCGCTCTTAAGTATTGTTGTTCTCCCAGAACCACCTTCAGGTTTATGTACCATCCTGTATGCCTCACAGAGAGGAAGAACACACACGTAAAACAGTTGCTTTATCAGTATTTACAAGTTTAATCCACATTTTAGCCAACGTTTTGTGATGCCAACACTTGTCATTCTGACATATAACATGAGCTCCCGGAAAATAGCAGGGCCATGCCCCCCACACAGTGGGAACAAGGCTTGACCTAGGGTAGGGGTGGGGAACCTGGGGTCCTCCAGATCATCTTTTCCCAACTTTGGATTCCCAGCTGCTTGGACTACAATTCCCATCATCCCTGACCATTGGCTTTGGCTGATGGGAGTTGTAGTCCAGCAACATTTGGGGACCCAAGGTGGGGGCAGGCTGTTCTAGATGTTGCTAGACTACTGCTTCCATCATCCCTGCCTATTAGCCATGTTAGCTGGTGTTGATGGGAGTCCAGCAGTGGGGGGGGGGAACAGGTTATTTATTTAAGCTATTTCTATACTGTCCCATACTTCAAATAAATATTTGCGAGGTTCTCCACCCTAGAGACATTGGTCTGAGCTCTCTCCTGAGCTGTACTCCCAGACGTTTTTGGTAGCCCAGCTCCATAAGACAGCAACACACCATGTAAAGTTGTGCTGTGGTCTTGCAGTAAAGGTCACATGCATGGTGCATTTTCCCTCTTGACAATGGGCCCATTGGCCTCATCCGTTCCTAAGAGCCATGAGCTCAAGGGGAACTGTTTCACTGCTGTGACATCAGCATTTCCCTTTTTGCACACAATGACCGCTTTTGTACCCTGACTGGTATATTGTGCCTTTGTTCCACACTCTTGCCTTGCTCCCTGTGCCATGATTCTACTCCAGAGAATTAAAATTTAAGAGTCAGCTTCCAACACTCTCCGCTCCAAAAGTTGGCATCAATGCATCAGGAGAGGGACATCACCCTGGACCTTGCATCCTCATCTCCACAGACCGAAGGTTGCTATCGTTTGAGAGGAAGGGCTGGTTTAAGCCTGCAGGAGCAGATTGGTGAGCTGCTCAGCCAAGACAAAGAGCCATGCAGCCAGAATATGGGCAAAGCTGCAGGGAGAACCAATAACTTCCTGGGGGAAATGTAAAATAATGGCTACGCTGCAAAGAACCTCATTTAAAGTAGATGCTCTAACCTCCACCCACCCCTCAAAGGCCACAGACAAAGCTGAAGTGGAAAGGGTTTCGGTAAGGGATGCTGGACAAGTACCCAGCTTAGCTGTTTGTAAAAAAAGGAGGGGCACTGGGTGAGTAAGTTTAATGGTGTATAACAGCCACATATGAAAGCAGACTCCTGGGGTATTTGCGCATCCTCCCATCCCCCTTTTCCAAAGTTTCAGGACTTCCTTAAGAGACAAAACTTCAACCTGGGGCCATGAACAGCAGGCGTAATGGATCCTTGTGCTTTGTCAGGGAACAGGATGGACCGAAGTCCTTCTGTGAGATACAGACCATTGCACTTTGCTCTTCGTTGCCACCTTGAGACACCTCTTCCTTTCCCATCGAAGAGGCTCAGCTGCACAGTCGATGGAACAGTCAAGTGACACATGTGGCATTTGCGGCGGTCTTAACACATGCTCTTTCCTGAGCCCAGGTGGAAAGCAAGGAGGACTATCAGCTTCCCCACAGTGACACAGGCAGGAATTGCAAGAATTGGGGGTGGCGGGTGCGCAGGCAAAGACGTAGAGAGTCATGATGCCTCCTACCATGCAGAGCAAAAGGTAACTAGTAGGGACATTGGCAATTGCTGAAGCTTGGGCTGGAATTTCAGTGCAGCGGGAAACCCAATATAGGTTCTGTGGAAACGGCAGACCCAGACAGAAAGGGCTCCTTTGGATAGTCTCTGCAAGGTCCTCCTCAGGTGCTGGGCTGTGACGGCTGTGGTGGGATGTAGGGTGGGGGAGCTGCAGCAGAAAGAGAGGGGCAATCAGGATGTGGCCAGAGGCACTGAAGGTTAAAGTGAGACTAGCCTCAGAGGGAGGGGTGGATGTGAAAGTCATCACTCAGCAGTTGCATTCTGCACAGTGCACAGGGATAAGGGAGGTGTTATCCCCCCACATGTCAGGAACAACCAGAAGAAGCTCTCGGGCCACATTCACACCACAGATTTAAAGCACTATGATACCATTTTAAAGAGTCATGGCTTCCCCTAAAGAATACTGGGAGCTGAAGTGTGCTGAGAGTTATGAGAAGACCCAGATTCTGCCTCCAGAGCTACAATTCCCAGAGCTCTCTGTGAAGAGGAATTTATCGTTAAACCACCCAGGTAGCAGTGATGGCTAGTGCGCCCATTGGGACTGGTAAGACAGAAGGCAGAGAGGCCAACAACACATGGAGCCAGAGCCAGGTACAGTCGTACCTTGGAAGTTGAATGGAATCCGTTTCAGAAGTCCGTTTGACTTCCAAAATGTTCGGAAACCAAAGCGTGGCTTCTGACTGGCTGCAGAAAGCTCCTGCAGCCAATCAGAAGCTGCGGAAGCCCCATCGGACATTCGGATTCACTTGCGGGTTTGCGGCGTTTGGGAGCCAAAACTCTCGAGAACTAAGCTGTTCGAAAACCAAGGTACGACTGCAGAGCCAACTAATTTGAGTTTCCCACCTCCCCATCCTCCTCCCTGCTGAGTTGGCAATGGCTGAAATGCAGCCTACCCTACAGATGTAAGAGTCAATAGCAACCCTGATACTTGGGAGGAGACAGTGCCACCCCCTGGAATGAATGTAAGTTAAGAACGCAGGCAGAGGCTGGCCAATGTTGGTAGAAGAGTTCACCATTCGCCCTGTTGGACCATCTTCCACTTCCCGGTAGTAACCTCTGTTCTGGAGATGTTGGTCTAGAACAGGGCGGCTAATCTCAGAAACCTGCAGAAGTTTCTGGACCACAATTCCCGTGATCCCTAAGTATTGTCCATGGTAGCTGGGGGAGATGGGAGTTTATGTCTAAGAAAACCTGAAGGTTCCCAACACCAGCCTCCTTCTTTCCCCATTTGGTGGCTGAATGAAATGTAATACTTCAATTCCTAAGGCAGGTTCTCTATACAGAAGGAGAGGATAAGACAAAGCTTTAACTAAGGCCCACTTGTCTTCAAGCCTAATTCCTCCCTCCTTTCTTACCTGCAGGGTTGTAGTATGGTGGCCCAGGTGGATATAGAGGATACTGTGCAGCTGGTGCTGTGGGAGGATAGGAAACAACTGGTGTATAGCCAGGATGATATGGTGCTGGCCCAGCTTTGGGATCCATAGGGTAAGGCCCTGGAGGCTGGGCAGGGTAGCCAGAAAGTGGGATCTCTTGACCTGGGACAAAGGAAACAGACTGTGAGCATATGATGGGCTGATGAGTCTACCAGTCAGGCAAGGAAAACCTGTGGTGCTCTAGATGTGGCTGGACTGCAGCTCCCTTCAACCCTTCACATTTGGCTTGCTGGTTAGTGTCGATAGGAATCCAACATGTGAAGAGCCACAGATTCACCTCCATGCCTCCCCTAACTTGCTTTCCCCCCGCCCCCTAAACTAAACAGCCCCAGAAATTGTAACTTTTCCTCTTAGGGGAGGTGTTCTAGCCTCTGGTCTTTTGGGAGTCTGGTCCTGCAACTTTTTGAGATGTCCTGTATAGTTTCTTAAGTGCACAGATCAGAACTGTGCACTGTATTCTTAGTGTGGTCTCACCATGGATTTGTATTAAGGCATTACGATATCAGCAGGCTTGTTTTCAAACCCTTTCCTAAGCCTTCCTAACATGAAATTTACTATTATTATTATTATTATTATTATTAAAGTGGCATACTGAGCCAATGTTTTCATTGAGCTTTCCTGGTCAGTCACATGCCGGCTCAGACCATATCGGTGTAAACATGAATGTAGGATGTTCATCATTTTACACACATTTTGGAGTTATTTGTTTTGGGGGACAAAAGCTGTCCCATTTAATCCCCATAGCTTCATTTGCTGCTGTTTATGCTTTCACATAAGCTTTTCAGGAAATGACCCTGGTGTTCAGAAAGATTGAGGGCACAAGGAGAAGGGGACGACAGAGGACGAGATGGTTGGACAGTGTTCTCGAAGCTACCAACATGAGTCTGACCAAACTGCAGGAGGCAGTGGAAGACAGGAGTGCCTGGCATGCTCTGGTCCATGGGGTCATGAAGAGTCGGACACGACTAAATGACTAAACAACAAGCATGCTTTCACAGTCCACACATGCAAAGAAAAGCACAGCTAACTGCCCCAATCTACAAATGTGTAGGTCTACTCTTGCAGGTCAGTTGTCTTGAGAAATATCCTTGCAGAAGAGGCTACATAGCATATTTAACTGGGCAACAAACACAGTATGCTATAGATAGATTAACATCTCCAAGACAGAGAACATCAAGGCCTAAGCCAAATGTTCTGTAAGGTCTGCCTTGCTGGATCTGACCAAAGTTCCATTTACTCTAACACTCTCTGTCTTCCACAGTAGCTAGTCAAATGCCACAGGAAAGATTCCCCATTGGAAAGCACATCTGAACTGCAGAAGTCCCATTGCAAATATGAATGCATTTTATAGAAAATTAGCTGATCCCCAGCTGAAGCCCTCTCTTCGTGTTATATGCTGCATTATGAGACATGAATATATCTTGTTATCCAGAACAGGTTTAAAACCAAAGAAAATTTGATTTGTTTTTGTTTTGCATGACCTTGCACATCCAATTGCTGCCTTAAGAAAAATAAAAATTCTAAAACATTGATATTCTCAGACCTGCAGCTTACGAGAACACTTCCACAAAAGCATATAAACAGTATCTGCACAAGAATTTGCAGATCATGGAGATTCATATCATCTCTAATCCTGAGCTACTTGTGAGAAAGAAGGTCATGGCCCACATCACCAGGACTTCTCCTACCTTGATAGGGTGTCTGAAGGTGATGCCGTCGCTGGTACAAGTAGCAGCAGGAGCACAGGAAGCAGCAGACAATTGTGGCAACAATAGCCACAAAGAGAATCACAGCTGAAGCAATGCCAGCAATGGTTTTGGGGCTATAAGATACAGACAGAGGTGATAAATAAGGTGTGCATACAATAGCATCTGATACCAAACCAGACACCGGAGATTCCAGAAGTAGACTTGGCTGAGGTAGAAATAAATGTGTTTTTCTTAATAATAACAGAGGGAAATTGTGTTGTCAATATAGATGAGCTAGGTGACAGATTACTTTTAGCTGTATGTAAAAAACACACCCTCCCTCTACCCCATACCTATAATTACATGATTAAGAATAACAGTTTCATGCATTAGCCTGCATTGAATGTGTGGTCAAATGCTTCCTCTTCTAGTTTTTAGCTACCCTGATTGTGGGTTAAATGGAATAAATAGTTAACTCACCAGGGCATCAACAGGAAACCTTGATAAGCTAACTGGAAACTGATGAGGGCAGAATGGAAACCTACTGGATCCAACAACCTTTGAGGCAGACAATTTTAATATACCGTATGTGTGTAGAGAGACTATAGAAACTATGGCAGGAGTGGAGAACATTTTAGAGTCAAAAGGATGTGATCCTTCCTGGGCACCCTTTGGAGGGAGCAGGGCACATGCCATTGATGGACAGAGGCAGAGACAAAAGTGGGTGGGGTCAGAGGCTAAAAATGGGTGGAGCAACCTTTGTATAGTAGGCTGCACTCCAGCAGCACAAATGTCAGAAGTTGCTCACACAGCTCTCCATCTTCTAGCCAGGCAATCCAGAGGTAATATCAGAATTCAAGGATATGATTGTCTTTAAATAAATTCCCATTTTTTGCTGTCATGTTAATCCCCAGGTTTTCCAACTCTGGAGTAGGAGATCCCATGAGGTTCACCTTCACTAGGGATTGATCTTACCTATGATATCCATGATTTCTAACTGAGGTATGAGCTCTGTACTTTATGCTCAAATCAGTGAGGTGTGTGGATCACAGTGTGTGTATACATACACATGTCTGCAGTAGGGATTTGAAAAGGAAGTGTTTTTCGTTCTGCCCTGTATTCCCAGCATGCAGAACTGTTTCCATTCTGCTGCAGCTCACCTTCTGCCAAAAACAATGTTATTCATCTCGCTGTCCATTGTAGCGAATTTATGTAACTTACATCATTTATGTAATTAATTAAGTAAATTATGCCATTACCTTGTCAATGCATTACTCCACCCCGATCATTTCAATGCAAAGAGATGCAATGCAAATAGGGGGAGGAATGTAATTAACTGTGTATTGTTTGAGGATGGAAAGCAGCAGCAGCAGTAAATAACAATCATGTTCACTGGATGGATGTCTATTTTGGACATGGGGCAAATAAATGAACATTGGCAAATCCCACTCCCATTTCTGTTTTGTCAGAATTTTCCAACATCCCTTAGGGTCCATCTCCATGGTGAAAGCCATTCCCAGCTGCACAGCAGGAATTTTGAGTATAAAAACCACTCAGAGGAAATTATTCCCCTGCCCCCACACAGCCACTATTATGATCTGATCAAATTTGCAACCCCTCCATGGCTGCATATCAGGAACAAAAAGGAGTGGGGGATAATAAGAAGTCTGCTCACTTCTTTCCTCCTCAGCTCCATCTGGTTTAGCCTTTTCAAGTATTGAAGCACAACCTTGACCCTTTCTTCCTGTCTCTCTTTTTCTCCCAGCCCCTCCCTTTCTTGGCACACATCTTGCCTGTTCTTACCCAAATGCTATGCAGTGCTTTTGTTGCCGTTCAGTGAGGAGTTTCCTGAGGTCAATGCAGCAGTAACGCTCATAGCAGTCACCGCAGCAGAAGGAGGGAAAGTGGCAGTCGAAGCCGGGATGCCATGAGCCATTTCGGTCCATGTACCACTTGCAGTCCTCATCGGCTGAGACTGTGGGGAGGTTGAATAAGTCATTCGTTAGTCTCTACCTGCCTCTGAGCATGTGCAGAGTACATTTCCCTCACCACTTGTCAACTGCAGCCTGTCTGCTTCCCTACCCACATGCTTAAAATAAATGGCAGTGATGCCATATGACAGCACAACTTTATCACTGCTAGCATTCATACCAGAAAATAAAAAACCATCTATTTTCTTTCACCACTGGAATACAGTCCAAGGAGCGCACTAGAATGCAATCCAATAATACAAGATGCAGTCTTCATAATCTAGCTATTCCCTGCTCAAGATCCACTTTTACAAGGATCAGGATATACTGCACATCTTCCTCTAAATGCAGTATAAACTTCCTGCATGAATGCATACAAATGAGAAAGTTGTATCCCAATTCCATATCACAATTCTCTGTTCTTTCTCTGCGATTGCTTCCAGAGGTGGACAGTTTAACAGCACCCAAAACTCTACTGCTCAAAGCAGAACAGCAAATCTGTTTCCAAACTTCTAACACTCTTCAGCCAAGGGGACACTCCGCTTTTCCACAGCCCAAATATTGGAGTGGGGCTATTTTCATTGGGGCCATTATGTGTGAGGGAAGGATTAAATACTCCCCATTCACTGCACTGCCAATCATGATTGCCTCTCCAGCATAGAAATGGAGGGGTTAATGTGATAGTGTTTATTCCTAGAGAGATGGAACAGTTGACAGAGAAGAAAACGACTAGGGCAAGCTATGCAGTCCATAACTGGCCAAAATAGCCACCCAGCAGGACATCTACACGTGGGGAAATTATGCAACTATTCTATAGAGCTTTTAAAAGTTGGATTTTAGGACTGCTGGGAGGGAAACAAACCAGAAGCTGAACAGACAGAGCATGTAAAGGTAAAGGGACCCCTGACCATTAGGTCCAGTCGTGGCCGACTCTGGGGTTGCGGAGCTCATCTCGCTTTATTGGCCAAGGGAGCTGGTGTACAGCTTCCAGGTCATGTGGCCAGCATGACTAAACTGCTTCTGGTGAACCAGAGCAGCGCACGGAAACGCCATTTACCTTCCCGCCGGAGTGGTACCTATTTATCTACTTGCACTTTGACGTGCTTTTGAACTGCTAGGTTGGCAGGAGCAGGGACCGAGCAACGGGAGCTCACCCCGTCAAGGGGATTTGAACTGCTGACCTTCTGATCAGCAAGTCCTAGGCTCTGTGGTTTAACCCACAGCACCACCCGTGTCCCTGACAGAACTCGAGAGGGATTTTTTTTCACTGTGCAGATGCCTTCATAAAAAAAAAAGTGACTAAAGCAGGCTATTTCTCAGTAAATTCCTATCAAAGTAAGAACAGTTGGGTCACACTAAGGGAGACAGCAACACTTTCGAATTCTCTGTGGCTAAAGAATTCCCATAAATAGAAGTGGTGTGTAATAATAATAATAATAATAGCTACCATCAAGGGGACTTTAACCAAAAACTTCCATTTGCTCTGAAGGGAGCTAGTAAAGATATAGCAGGCCAAGATAAAATGCACTTGAAAGTTTCCACTGAAGCCCTCTATTTAAATGGACAAGGGAGTATTGACACCCTCTATACATCGGCTGGGACTCCTAAAATAGCTAATGCTTAATCTTCATCCAGTTTCTAATCCAATCAAAGCAACACTGTATCACCTAACAAGTGATCAAGAGTCCTAATGCCAGTAGTGTCCTTTGCAATAAATGTGCTAAACCTCACATGAACTCCTCTCCTTTGTAAACCAGGTAAAGGTAATAGCCTTTATTCCACACTGGAGGGGAGCCCCATCTGATGAAGCATCTTGGGCCCAGTGGCAAAGCTTCAAAGTGACAAGTGATGTAGGAAGCTGGGCAAGGAGACCAGGGCAGGCTATTCTCTCCAACCTGCTACTCTCTCTGTAACAAATCCCAAGCTCCAAAACAAATTAGCATAACAAACCATAATATCAGAGATGAAGCAAGGATGTCAGGCCTATTCAGAATGTCAGAAGTATGACTGTCTGCCTGCTGGACAGACATTGTGGGTACTCAATGCAATGAGCTCCTGGCCACCAGGTAACACGTTTGTTGTTCTAGAGCAGGGATGTCCAACCTGTAGATCGTGATCTACTGGTAGATCACTGGGGTGCTCCAGGTAGATCGCGGGACGATAGGAAGTGATCACTGAGAAACAGCTTTGGCCTCCCCCCCCAAAAAAAAGCTGAACAACCCTTGGCAAATCTCCCCCCATTTAGTTGCCACCTTTGGTAGATCACTGCCAGTTTTTTTATATTGGGAGTAGGATCACAGTCTCTTGGGAGTTGGATATGCCTGTTCTAGAGTAAAGTTCTCCCAATGGGGATATGCAAGAAGCTCTTGGCACACATTCGCCCTCTTCACTTTTTCAAATCCTACTTCAATTCCCTTCTCCTTTTCCCTCGGAAGCAGAAACAATTAACCAGACAGCCTCCTATCTCCCTATGTAGATACATGTCCTGAGCAAGAGGAGTAACAGATCACTGGGACCATCCAATAAAGCCAAATGTTGGAAGGACAGACACAGCACATAGTTAAACGGCACACTGTTGAAAGGTGTTGTGATGGCCACCAGTTTGGATGGTTTTAAAAGGAGATAAGACAAATTCATGCAGACAAGCCTATGGCAATGCTCGCTAGCCATTATGGATATCAGAAGGAGTGTGCTTTGGCATACCAGTTGCTGAACATTGCAAGTGGGGGGGAAGAGTGCTGTAGACTAGATGGGGCTTTGGCCTGATCCAGCAGGCTCTTCTTTTATTCTTTTCATGGGCTGTATTAACTCATTGTCACTCCTTATCTGCAGTTGAACAAAATGTAGGACAAAACTACTTTTCCTGTTGTCCAGACAACATGGTGCACATGTAGCCATTCTGCTTTTAAAATAAATAGATGAGGGGGCAGGTGCTGAAGTCACATGCATGTCCTTCCTTCTTGGAAATGTAGATGAGCATGCATATATAAAGCCTGTCGCAGGCGAGAAAAATCAGGCACACATAGATCATATTACACCAGACCTGGCCGTGAGTCAGGGCAGCAGGGGAACAGGAAACTGAAACTCCTCCGCTCTTTGAGACATGTAGACTGGGCAGCTGCCGTGGTTTTATATTGCCACCTAGAGTATCATGTTTTGGAAGTTCATACTCATGCTCCAAGTCCCCTTCTCTTCCAAATGTAATCTCCAAATATGGAACATGATCAGCCGCCTTGGAATGGATGGAAATGATGCATGCCCTGCTCTATACACACAGCGCAGCTTTGATTCATGAAACCTGCCTTATCCAGCCAGGTCCAGCTCCTTACTCAGGAATCCCACCCTCCTGTCATTCTGCCTGTGACCTTTGGGCCATAGCAACTGCCATAAGCTCTCAAATCTTTTAGGAAGCTGTATTGATGCACTAGGTGCATAGAGCATGCAGGGTCTGCTTGTATTTTAGCAGTGAGGAAATTATCTAGTACTTTGGGGCAATGATGGGGCAAATTGGCAAATCCATCCAATTCAAGCTTATTTCAATGCCATCATAATGACCTGCACTTAAACCATAAGTTACAGTGGTGCCCCGCAAGACGAATGCCTCGCAAGACGGAAAAACCGCTAGACGAAAGGGTTTTCCGTTTTGGAGTTGCTTCGCAGGACGAATTCCCCTATGGGCTTGCTTCGCAAGACGAAAATGTCTTGCGAGTCTTGAGATTTTTTTTTCGCTTTTCCCCCCCTTTATCTAATCTGTTAAGCCTTTAATAGCCTTTAATAGCCTTTTAGCAGCTAATCCCCTAAGCCTTTAAGCCTTTAATAGCCGCTAAACCGCTAATAGCGCTAATCCGTTAAGCCGCTAATAGGGTTGCTTCGCAAGACGAAAAAACCGCTAGACGAAGACTCTCGCGGAACGGATTAATTTCGTCTTGCGAGGCACCACTGTATTTTCATATATTTTGTTTTCAAACTATGCTGAACTTCTGAAGAAACTGTCATAACCATCTGTCGTACACAAGCTATTTTATTTACTTATAATATTTTGTCCTTTCGCCAAGTAGCTCCAAATGATGTGCATGATTCTTACCACCGCCACTATATTCTCACAACAATCCTGTGAGACAGGTTAAGTTACAACATCACACATTGAGCTTCATGCCCAAGTGGAGCTCTGAACCAGCCCTTGTCCAAAACACCAGCATTATATTTTTTGACAAATGTTAGTCCATTCAGTATCTGCACTTCTAAAAGCAGCCCCTCCCCACCATGCAAGCAATTCCCTTACAGAGAAGGTGTATTCTCACCACGCCACAGAATCTAGAAATGTGTTTGTAATCTCTGGCAGTAAATACAAGATTAAGGCAAATCTCAAAAGCAATGATCTGATGATTACTCAATAAGTACTTTTCCCATACAGTGACTTCTGTCTTTGTACTTCTGTCTTGCCAGGCTGTGATGCTTTATGGTTTGCATTTTTTATTCTTTGTTTTCTTCCTTTTTGTTATGTTTGCATTTTTCTCTTTGTAATGAATCAATAAAATATGTATACATTTTAATAAATACAGTGACTTCCCTTTATCTTGAGTGTGCTCAGTGTCCCCCAGTCCATGGAAACTGAGTTTATTATTTACAAACATATTTTGCATTTCTATTATTACTGTTGTTGTTGTTGTCATTGTTGTTATTTTATTACCTGCCCTTCACCCTAAGGCACCCAATTAGCACTACCTTCTCGGTCAACAATAAATGTTAAAATCATTTTAAAAAACCAGAACCCTAAATATTAAACAGAAATAAACCTGCACTACAAAATTAAACAATTACATAAAACCAGGTGCAGCAAAACACATATGAAAACAACAGAATTAAAAATACCAAAAATCTTTAAATAATCTCAAAATGTCTGGGGGGAAATAAAACAAAATAGACAATCATGACCTAGATGCCACGCGAGATTCGAAGGTGTTTCACAATTGGGATGCCATTGCTGAAAAGGCCCTTTCTCTGACAGTCCCCACTGTCCCACCCACAATACAGACTGACTGAGAAACATTAGCTAGAAGTTGCATGGCTTTGTGGGTTAAGAAAGTTGAAAAACAGCCATGAGACCACAGAACTACAGGGCTGACAGACACCTAAAGGTCATAGCCACCTGGTCCCAAAAAAAAGAAATGGAAATATACTGGGTCTCAGGGAAAACAATCTCATCAAGGGCCCATATTTGCTGTGCTCACTCATTGAGCCAAGACTAGCAGCCAGGATAGGCAATATATAAGTTTTGTGGGTTTTTTGTAGGAGGAACAGCTGCACCTCCCTTTCTTTCTCTCTCTGCAGACCACAGCATCACTCTTTCCCCTGGCACTGGAAGCCCAGAAAAGAGGTGTGCATAGCCACCATTAACACTCTCATATTACTTCTTCTATAGGGTTTGAGGCATGCAGTAGGAATAGTTCTGCGGTGACAGGATGGAGAGGTAGAAGAGCAAGCTAATACAAGCGTAGCCTTCTAACATGTAAGCTATCCATCTGTAGGAAGATTTGGACATCGGAAAGGAATTTCTTCAGTGTCTTCCAACCAGAAATCTGAATCATATACCTCCCTGTCTATTTCTATATGATCTTAGAGACGCTCGTACAACAGACTTGTTTTTGGCTAGATAGTCGATTTACTGAGTTTAATCACTCTTTAGTATTTTGTGCAGAGATATTGCCAAGCATGGAAAAAGCACTCTTGCAACAGAGCTTGAATAATTAACGTTTCTGGCATCAACTCCTTTAGTGCAGTAAAAACATCTCTTCCTTATACAAAACTGGAAAAAAGGAAAAACCACCCTCCTAGTATTATCGGGGTCATAAGCAACACAGATCCAAGACAGAAACAAATGTCTATAGAAAGATAAGTGTAGGTATGGACATTTTTAACAGAAGCATCTAGCCAGATCCACTCAGAAGTTTTTCAGATTAAAAAGGTCTTCACCAACCACCCAAAGACTAAGACAAATCCAATCAACTTGATAAAAAAATCTGCTTCTACAGCTTGCAGATCACAAGTGCACAGAATGTGGGGGTGGGAGTAGGAATCTCAATATGGAAGTTGCCCCATGTTGGCTCTGAAGCAATACTTCACAGTACTGTACCTGGTCATTAAAATGGTACCAAAGATGGTACCATGGACAGCACCACCAAGATGCACAATTGGATGCAAGAAATTCACATTAAACCTAATGCAGTGGTACCTTGAGTTACGAACTTAATTCATTCCAGAGGTCTGTTCTTAACCTGAAACCGTTCTTAACCTGAGGTGCGCTTTTGCTAATGGGGCTTCCCATTGCCGCTGCGCCACGATTTCCGTTCTCATCCTGGGGCAAAGTTCGCAACCCAAGGTACTACATCCGGGTTAGTGGAGTTTGTAACCCCAAGTGTTTGTAACCCGAGGTACCACTGTACTGAAGTAATGAGCAAGGGACTCTGGCAATCATTATATGATTGGCCGATGGATGGATAGATAAATTCAACCTTGTAACATGCAGAAAATAACATATGTTGATAAACCAGAGAGGGGAGCTGAAGGAAGTCTGGAGGGCGGAGGGGAGGGGGTTATGTTTCGGGGAGGGGGAGGGAAAAATAGGGGGGGATTTAAGGATGATATGTTTTTTGTTAAAATGTTATGTTGAAATTACTAATAAAAAATATTAAAAGAAAAAAAGAAGATAAATTCAACCAAACTCATGACAGTGGCAACCTTCTTAAGGCAATTCAGCACTTGACCTCTTACAAGGCTTCTGCCATGAGCCATGATCTCAAATGTCCTATTTCTGCTCAGTCTCCCCCTTAGAAGCATAGACTGGTAGAGTTGGGAGGAATCACAAGGGTCATCTAGTCCAACTCCCAGCAATGCAGGGATCTCTTGCCCGATGTGGGACTTGAACCACAACACTGAGATTAAAAGTTTCGTACTCTGCCAACAGATATCTGCCTTCTTCCATGCCTCCCCCCATGCTTTATTTTTCCTCCCTTGCGGTCAGGATTTCCCTCCCTTTAAGGGTTCCCAGACTTCATTCTCCCAGCTCCACCACACCCCCGGCAATTTTTCATTCAGCCTTTCACATTTAGCTAGCCACAAAAGAATCCACTCTTGTTACCGTAAGTAGATTCATTTCCCCTACTGTCTCCACCATGGGATTATCTTGTCTTCCTTTGATTAATATTTGTCTGATATACATCTTCATCTGATTATCCTCAATTAAAGCATTTAGCTCTGAAGCCACCAACTCCCTCTCTCCTCCCCCCGCCCACACCAACAGCAAGTGAGTACATCCTTGATCCTCGAAGAAGGTGACAAGGAGCAGCTCAGCTGCAAGAACATAGGCATCATTTAATGACTAGAAGTCTCTTATCTTCCAGATAGTTTTGGACAACACAAAGCATCTGTTTTTCAAGAATTCCAAGTTTTTGTTCTGATTCTTCCTTCTCTTTCAATTCTATTATTTTTTTGGTGTTACTACAGATAATGAGGGGGGAAATAAACGGTTATGAAAACAAAAAGAAACAGAAAAGCCAGACAACCAATCCGTAGAAAGGACTCTATGAATTGCAAGCAGATATGCTGTATAGTATGTACTTTTGTTATCCAAGAAAATATTTTAATAAAAGTAATTTTTGTTATTAAACAGGAAACCCACACAAGCGGCACTGCATTGTACATATAATTCCAGAGGCTGAGTTCTTTAACCAGCTTTTAAATGTATCTGACAGGGAGGGATCTCAAATCTATAACTTATATGCAGTATTCTCAAATAGTTATTTAGCAAGGAAAAGATGGAACAGCTACTTTTGAAATCTGTGGGATAGTGAATAGAAGAAGAATGTTTGCTTTAGAATAAATACAGTTCTAATGAAAGATTACACTGAGCCCACTTAAGGCTCCTGCTTTTGTGTGCTGGTGATAGGGGTGATGTGTTTCTCCTCTAGGGGGACTGCTTCCTCCTCTGGCCTTTTTATCAGTAAGTAAGCCCCTGTAAGGGATGCGGGTGGCGCTGTGGGTTAAACCGCAGAGCCTAGGACTTGCTGATCAGAAGGTCGACGGTTCGAATCCCCACGACGGGGTGAGCTCCCATTGCTCAGTCCCTGCTCCTGCCAACCTAGCAGTTCGAAAGCACATCAAAGTGCAAGTAGATAAATAGGTACCACTCCGGCGGGAAATTAAATGGCATTTCTGTGCGCTGCTCTGGTTCTCCAGAAGCGTCTTAGTCATGCTGGCCACATGACCTGGAAGCTGTACGCCGGCTCCCTTGGCCAATAAAGCGAAATGAGCTCCGCAACCCCAGAGTCGGCCACGACTGGACCTAATGATCAGGGATCCCTTTACCTTTACCTTTAAGCCCCTGCTGCCCAAGCTGCTTTTTTACCCAAGAAAGGAAAGAAATATAGGTATCACAGATGAAAAAGGAGTCAAGATAGTAATTTTGAACAGTAAAATGGCCATGGTTAAAGAGACTCTTCTACTCTTCATCACAGCTTTCCATGGTTGATTTGATTTTTAAAGGAAGAGGCTATCACTGATCCAGAGACCAACCCTCCAGATGTTGCTGGACTACAATTCCCATCATTCCTGACAGCCAACTATGGTTGGAGTTGATGGGAGTTGGAGTCCAACAACAACTGGAGGATCATAGGCTCTCCTTCCTGTCTGGCCTACACCCCCACCTGCACACTCTTTTTGCTCTATAAATTAGGTTTTCACCCCCTCCTTTTTTGTGCAATGAGGAGAGCCCCTGGTTTTAAACTGATTGGTCTGCCAGCATTATGCGTAGTTTGAGCCTCAGTTACTTAGATTTGTGGCTCACAATTTCTCCTACCACACTGACTTGCTCTTGCCAGAACCTTTCCTTGATTTTTTTTTATTAAAAAACCCATCTCTTTGCAGCTGTATTTTGTGTTGGGAATAGCAGCATAACTTCTGTATGTGTTTTTAATTGTCACAAATTGAAAACTGCTTTGAAAACTTTTTTTAATCTCAAGTGTGGGGCAGAGACTGTGGGTGGAACTCAATTCAGTGTAGCACTAATAAAGGAAACAAGGTTTACTTACACAGTGGGACATTTCCCCCTGCACACCCCCTAAATCTGTTCTGGGATTCCCCCCCCCAAGCCTCCAGAGAAGATATATGGGGCAGAGGGGATAGGAAAGGAGGGAAATCCTACTGCATGAGCAGAGCTCATTCCATGCATGCAATACCTCCATTGAATTCCACCCTATATCTAGATCTAAGGCAGAGTCATCTGACATGCGACAGATCTTAGATTACTCCTCTACTGAACAAAACTACTGCCACAGACCAAACACAACAGACTGTTACAGAGAGAGCCCCTAACACTCCATCTGCCAAAGCACTGGAGAGGTTTTTCTGCCCAATAAGCACTGTAGCTTCAAGAATAAAGGGTTTTTCTGCTCCTCAGTAGGAAAACAGGACTAATAAACATTGGGGTGCAAGAAAAATAAGTTTTCTTCTGTCTCTAGGAACTGTTATGGAAGTAAATAAAGAAGCTGGGTAGAAGTCAGTGTCTGAAATCAGCAGTAAAATTGTGACTTACTAGTAAGTCAGTTTGGTGGTTGGACAGTAAAAAAAAAAAAAGGGTAAAGGACCCCTGGATAGTTAAGTCCAGTCAAAGGCAACTATGGGGTGCAGTGCTCATCTCGCTTCAGGCCAAGGGAGCCAGCGTTTGTCCACAGACAGCTTTCCAGGTCATGTGGCCAGTGTGACTAAACCGCTACTGGCGCAACGGAACACAGTGACGGAAACCAGAGCGCACAGAAAAGTCGTTTACCTTTCTGCCACAGAGGTACCTATTTATCTACTTGCACTAGTGTGCCTTCCAACTGCTAGGTTGGTCGAAGCTGGGACAGAGCAACAGGAGCTCACCCCGTCGCACGGATTCAAACCGCTGATCTTCTGATTGGCAAGCCCAAGAGACTCAGTGGTTTAGACCACTGAGTCCAGTGGTTTGGACTAGGACCCAGGAGATCAGGGTTCAAATCTCCATTTATGAGGCTCACTGGGGGACCTTGGGCCAGAGTTGTTGTGAGGTCGAAATGGGGAGGGGGAGAACCATGTATGGCACTCTTAATTCCCTGGAGGAGAGTTGGGATATACCGTAAATGTAACAAACAAGTAATAACTCTAATGGGTATGTTAAGGGATAAGTAATCTATATTAAGTTAATCTGAGACAGCAGTCTGGGACAACACTCTGAGGAGAGACTGTTTTTCAGGATTGAGGAATCAATTCTGTATCTCTCTCTTGTAAATATCATTGCTGGCATTTACTTCTTTAATCACAGGCCCATCGTAGTTATCAGCACTATTTTGGAAATGGCACCCCACAAGAGAGACAGAGTTTATAGATTCCATACAGATACTGTTTTCATAAAACATGCAGAAATATATTTGAGGCTCTCTAGTACTTCTTATTCCATATAGCAATAGTTGTTACCATAGGATAAAAAGTGTAAAAGAAACAACAAGTGCATTCCTGCCAATACAGGCTTTCCATTTGCTTTAGATTTAAGGAAAAGCAACTACAAGCAAATTATTGGAGGGGCATTAGTTCAGTGACAGAGCACACAACTGGTACATAGAAAGCCTCATCAACCCCTGGCACCTCCAGTTAAGGAGAAATACTTCTGCCTTAATACAGCGGAGAGCTGCAGCCAGTCAGAATAGACAGTATTGGGGTCATAGGAGCCAATTCCTAGGGGTCATGGGGGCTTCGGCCCCCACAATAAAATATTTTAGGGGGCCAAGTCCCTGCAAAGTTGATGGGCATTCCCATTCAAATAGTGTGTCTGCATGGCATCATGTGATCAAGAGCCTAGGACTTGCCGATCAGAAGGTCGGCAGTTCGAATCCCTGCGACGGGGTGAGCTCCCATTGCTCAGTCCCTGCTCCTGCCAACCTAGCAGTTCGAAAGCACGTCAAAGTGCAAGTAGATAAATAGGTACAGCTCCGGCAGGAAGGTAAACAGCGTTTCCGTGCGCTGCTCTGGTTCGCCAGAAGCGGCTTAGTCATGCTGGCCACATGACCCGGAAGCTGTACACCAGCTCCCTCGGCCAATAAAGCGAGATGAGCGCCACAACCCCAGAGTCATCCGCGACTGGACCTAACGGTCAGCAACAATCTGAATAGTCAATTAAAAGAGCATTAGCAATTACACTCTGGCTCTTTCTATAGTATAGTCAGATAACCCCGCTTTTTGGGGAAATAGAAAGGAATTACTGTACTGAGAGAATCAGACAGCAGCATGTTCAGTTGCCAGGGATAAGTTACTGCATGCACTCAAGTCAATGCACAAATCCACATTTCTTTTAAAAAAAAGGCATAGCTATTTTTGAAACTCACACTGAATAAGACATTTAATTCTCTTGGTCCCCTCTAATTACAGGTTCAACATCCTTCCTTAGCCACAGACAAAAATTACCCACAAAGAACTCTATGGGGACGTGGCAGGAAATGGAAAAAGGGTTCAGCAGGTAGGCGTTGGTATGTGCCTTTTCAGTGGCTTCCAAGAGGTGCCCAAGATGCAGCAACAGAATGCATGGATTGGTGGCAGTGATCACAATACCTACAAAGTGCAAATACCATTGAAAGTTTTTCCCTGCACAAACGCCACTGAGATAAATACTCACATTCTTGCACAGCTCCCATTCACTTCAATGGAGCACACTCAGAAATTTTCAGGGTTTAGTACGGCAAGTTTCTTATATTTGACTCTTTTCTGGCTCCTAAAACCAATCCATGAATTCTACTTGTGTAGAAGATTATATACCACTTAATAAAAAAAAAAGGATTGTAATTCAGTGGTAGAGCATTTGCTGTGCATGAAGACACTGCCTGGTTCAATCCCACACATCTCCAGGTAGGCCTGGGAATATCTGAAGTCCTGGAGATCCACAGTGTGGATGATACTGGGCAAGATGGACCAATGTTCTGGCTTGGTATAATGTAGCTTCTTAATATATCTAACAGTGGTTTAAGATCCTCATTTTTTAAATAAAAAAAATAATAATGAAAATTACTAATTGAGGGAATACATAGTTTTAAGCCAAAACTCTAAGAAGACTTAGTAGATTCCTGTTGGGTTTGTTTCTAGGCAATCCATATGGTCAAGGACCAGTTTGGGCGTGATACTCTCCATAGGGTGTCTGCCTCCATAGGAACAAATCTGGCCTTGCTAGCTAGGGGTGATGGGAGTTGTAGTTCAACAGCATCTGGGGACCCACAGGTTGAGAAATGTTGTGTGTAACCAATTCCAGTTTTAACTACCTGCACTTTCAAAAAGCGCTTCCTCTCTGTCCTGAATCTCCCACCACCCAGCTTCCTATACTCAGAGAGGGGTTAGGAAACTTCTCTCAATCCACTTTCTCGCCACACCATGAGTAATCCATACACACCTCTGGTTAGCTTCAATCTAAGACGTAACTCCCAAGGCAGAAAACCTTGAGAAATATATGGGGTGGGGACAGCCCTCAATTCACAAGCAAGCAGAAGCAAAGGGCCCACAGGCAGAGCCACCACGCGAGGATCCGCTTCTTCCCAACTAATGGGAGCTGTGTGAGGGGCCCCGGGGCATTTTGCACATGCTCAGAGGCGTGGCTTCTCAGGTTGAAAAAAACAATCTGGGGAACAACTTGCCCCGGGTTCGAATTCCGGGGAAGAAACAGATCTCCCCCCCGCCCCAGCTTTTCCTCCTCCCAGTAGAGGCGCGCCTAGACCCGTGACCCATATTTCCAAGGGGCGCCAGGACAAGGCAGGGCTGTTGGCTCCACAGGTCGGGCCCGAAGCAGGCGCGCCCCCCAGCGCCCCTGTTGTTCTCCTGGGGCGGGAGGAGGAGAAAGGCACCTCGGGCGGGGCAGCGTGTAGCCTTGGGGCGGCCCATCCTCCTGCCCACCTCGCCCAGGCCCCCCTTGCCTTCCCTTCCCCTCGCTTCTCTCGCCTCCACCGCCTCACCGGAGGTTGCAGCAGCCAGACTGCAGAGCACCATCGCCGCCAGGCCCCAGGCTCCCATCGCGGCAGCTCCCGACGGCTCAGACCAGCTCGGCGCGCCCCAGGGCGACGCTGCGGGAGAGGGCGGGAGCCGAGAAACTGGATCCGGGGGGCGGGGGGCGGGAGGCGACGCCTCCTCCTCCTCCTCTTCTCCCGGGAAGGGCGGAGATCCTCACCCCACCCCAGTCCACTAGCGAGCACGACGACCGGCCTCGGGGAGCCGGACGCGGAGGCTGCTCCGCGGTGCTTCCCCTCGGTGCGTCTCCTTGGCGCCGCTGGTGGCGGGGGGCGAGATCGGGGAGGGAAAGGAGGACTAGTCTACTCGGCAGCGAAAGGCTGGAAATCGATGGCGAGAGGTTGGAAACCGGAGGGCTTTTCGAGCCCCACGTTTTGCTGGGGATGCGAGAGAAGAGAGCCGCGGAGGGCGGGAAGGATGCCCCCCCACTGCAGAATTGAGACCTACTGCGATTTTTGCGCGTCGTGCGTTTAGTTGGGCGTTTCGTGGCGACGTGCAATAGCACCATCAAACACCATACAAAACTAACACAATTACGGGCGAGTCCAGTCAACATGCTGAACATTTCCATAGCTGCCAGCATCAACAGCAGGCAAGGGCTGTGTTGAACAAGGGAGAGTTTTAACGTGTGCCGAAATTGTATCTATGCATCATTTTCTAAGTGCTTGCAGACTGTTTAATTCTCTGTTCTAGGACCTTTCCTGGTATCAACGTCAAGATAACCAGTTGGTAGTTGCTTGGTCGTCGTCCCCCCCCCCCTTCTTCTTTTTCTTTTCTTTTCTTTTCTTTTTTTCTTTTTGGAAGATGGGGACATTTGCCTGCCTTCAGCACACAGGAACCCCAAAGAATTCTCAAAGAATATAGACGGAGCCTCTAAAATTGCATCTGCAAGTTCCTTTAGTATCCCTGGGAGCAGTTCATCAGGCCCTGGAGATATGAATTCATTTACAGTAGCTAGGTGTTCTCTTATCACCTCTTGGGCTGCATCTCCCTTTATGAATAATTTATTCTATCATCACCAGGTTGTTGGGCACTGTTTTCTTTTGGGGCAAAGCAAAAGCAGAGGCAAAGTAGGTTTTGAGCAGCTCCACTTTCTCCTCTGCCACTCAATAGCATCTCTCCATGCTTAAGAGTCACCTGTGTGGCACACATACACCTAGGTCCCCAGGTACATACTTGGGAGCATCAGACTTGAGAAGAACCAAAACCCTCCCCACTATGGTTCCTTAGTATCATCTCACCATGGCCTGAAAGAAATGTATTCAGCTCAGTTATCAGAGGGCAAGGTCCTTTGTTGCAGAAGGAGCTTCTGAAGTCATCCAGGTGAACCAACCTTACCAAGCTTCCACCAAACCTATTCTCATTCACTTACTAAGCCTGTGGGCAAAATCATCCAAAACAATGAATTCTACAGTTCCTTAATCATACTACAAAAGCCCAGATACTTATTCTGGGTAAAATGAGAATTTCAACTTTTATTTAAAAATATATAGCTAGCGCTTAAAGCAGAAATGGCTAGTTCATGGGCAGTATGTGGCCTGCCAAGATAATTTTGGTGGCCCATAGAACCCCCAACATTTATTGGTGGCAAATTCAGTGGTGCTGGTTGCGGGGGGGTTCCCCAGGTTTCCCCAAGAACCCTTGGGTATAATATGGGTAATTTTCATCTCTGTAATTTTCTAAATACACCCCCAAAATGGCTCCCTTTTAGCTCTTTATAGTTCCATGTTGTAAAGAATGCTTTGCCTTAATTTCTGGCAGCACTATTAACAGTGATACTTACTGCGTTCAATAAATGAAACAGTCCAAATATTTTCTTTGCACCATCTACATCTGTTGTTGTTGCTTTTTGGTACTGTTTCTATTCTTTTGCATGTGTGCACACAAAATAAGATAAAAATAAGCACAGCACTACTGAGTAGCTGCCTGCGATGCTGTCAGCAGCCAAAGTGTGGACCTTCAGCAATCTGTCCAGAGTTCTGCTGAATACATCAGAGTGGGGACAAGCAGTTGCAGCCAGCAGCACCACTTTAGCACTTAACAATAAGCACTGGTGAGCAAATTGTGTGTTGTGATTTGTAGTCTTTGTAATGGAGAACAAATGGTGTTGGGTAGGGAGGGGCAGTTGGACTGCTGTCAAATAAGCTTGAAGGCAAGGAAATGAATTTTGGAAGAAGAGATTTATTAAATAACTTTTAGAGGGAAGAGGAAGTTAAATGTATTAAATTGATTGGGGAGGGGGAGAATAGAAGTCAAGAATTTAATTCTTTTTTTTTTTTTTTAAATCATATTTATTAAAATTTCCAAAAATATAAAAATACAAAGAAAAAAGACAAAAGAAGAAAGATATTTAAAAACCTTACTTTCTTTCCCTACTTTCTGGGACTCCCCCCCCCCAAATTGTATTCCCCTTTCCTTAATTTGGTTCTACAAGCTCTCACTCCCAATTTAAAACTTAATTTGTTTAACCCACTATCCAGATTGAATTATACAACTCTTACCACCGTCCCACGTCATTAACAGAAAAAGAAAAAGATTTTCCCCAAGATCCACCCCAGTTCCTTCCACAAATTCCCTTTTTTTAAACACGTCCGATCAAAGTAAAATAACATACGTAAGTTATGTAAAGAAATAGAAAATAAAAGATATAGAAAAATTCAAAAAATGGTTACACAGCCTTTGGATTTCAAATCTCCCCCTTCCCCGGTTTGAATTCCCCATGTCCATCAGTCTATACATTATCAGCTTGGGAGTCTCATTTCATGACCAGATTTCTCCCGATTCCATCTTGCCGGTTTTCTTTTAGTTTATTAATTTAAATAATATTTGACTTCAAATGTCCAATCTAACAAAGGCCTTTAATTTCCTTGATCTTTACCACTCCTCCCGTTGTTCTTTCCGTGTCGTAATCAGTCCTTTATTCTTCTTATTCCTCACTTTCTCAGGTTTCTTGTCCTGTTCAGCTGCTAAAACTTTCTAATTCAGAAATCTAGTGTCTCTGCAGAGGTTTGTTATTCAGGAACAAAAACTTACGTCCAGTCCCTTTCTTTCTTCAATAAAAATTCCATTGTCTTCCTCTGTAGACAAAATATTCTTTCAGTTTTGCAGCTTTCCCAGAAGATAACAAATCCTGTGCGAATCCCAGGGTATTTTTCCACTTACGACCGTTCTTGTAGTATCCCGAAACCCCTCTAGGGGTTTGTAATAACTTTGTATCCTCTAATCCAAAAGTCAAATTGTTACTTATTTTCCAACAGTTTATATCCATATTATAGCAAATTGTAACAAAATTTACCAGCAAGGTCCTCGTAAAGTCCTCTTTATATTCTCCAGCTTTGACAGCCACTTTGACAGCTGTCAAAGTCTCCGTCTCTCTTCACCAGGCTCCACGAATCGCCCCGGTTCCCAGGGGGGGGGGTTGCATTTTTCTTCTCACCCTCCACTCTTCTCCTCCAGCACATTTCTTATAATTTCCCATCGTGAAATTAATGATTTTTATCAGAGACATACTTCCCTTTGGACCTTGGTTACCCAGTCCTTGTTTTGGAATGTTTACAATAGGGGGATTGACTTCCTTTTTAAATCGCCCCCGCTCGTGCCAAATCCAAAATTTTAAACCCGGTTTCCCAATTACTCACGGGTTGTTGTTAATAGTCCAAATTTTCAATAGAAGAAGTCAGCGCTCTCCGCCGAATGGCATGCGGCTGCGCTCGGCAGGGAAAGCAGTGGACTCAAAGCACCACGCCACTCCCGGCACCCGATCCGAAGCCTTTAAAAGGCTCCTTCACGAGTCGGGAGGGCGCTAATGGTGCAAGCCGAGTCACCCATGTCCACGGACTCCGTGCCCGTGGTTTTTAAGGGTCCCGCGTCGCCGGCGCGGTAGGACCCAGCCCCTGCCGAGCAGACTCCCTCCGGAGCTCGGAGGGAGTCCGCCATTCGGCGATGGCGCTAACCCGGAAGTCCAGAAGTCAAGAATTTAATTCTTGACCTGGAAAGTTAATGGAATGAATTTGGGTTAAGGATGGAGCATAAATTGGTGTCCTTTTGGAGGTTTAGACAGCATGAATTGGTGAGTTTTGGTTGTACTCCAATGATTTTAGCGGGGTGGGATTTTGCTAGCAAGGTACTGTTAGAGTAGTAGGGAATTAAAAAAAACATTGATGTTCCGGCAAATCACCAGAAACATCACCCACACATCCCCCAATCCAGAATTATATACAAAATTGTTTCAACCAAAGTAACACCATGTACATCTCTAACTGCTGTTAAAATAATCCACATTGTAACCAGATTCAAAAAGCAAGTAAGAACAGTGCAAAAACATTGTTGAGATGGATATACTTTGAGCCAAGCATCTTCTCATGCACCCACCCCCAGGCTTGGTTTGTACATGTTGCGAAACGGAGTGTCAATGTAAACCATAGGAAGGTTGAGAAGCTAGGAAGCTCCTTTGTTTCTTAACCTCGTAGTAAGACCAGAAGCTTTCCTGGCCCATAAAATGTCCAAGAGGTAGGAACACACACTGATGCGGAACTAGTGCAAAACTTGAAGGTGAGCCCATAAACAAGGGCTCACCTTCCCAACTGTGGCACCCAGTATTTCACAGCAGACTCCTACAGGAGTCATCTTGCAACAGAGCAATCCTAACTGTAGGAATTCTGCGCCAATTACGGCAGCATAAATTGCACTGGCACAATTTAGCCCCTATTCCATTCCGGAGGCCTTTGAATTACACCACCCTTTCTGCTGGCTACGTCCTGCTGCGCCACGTGATGGAGCTGAAAGCGGTTTGGGCCCAGGGGTGCCTACTTGAATAAAATATTGGGGAGGAGTTGTGATGATACATTGGGCTAAAGCAGGCATAGGCAACCTTGGGCCCTCCAGATGTTTTCGCCTACAACTCCCATGATCCCTAGCTAACAGGGCCAGTTGTCAGGGATGATGGGAATTGTAGTTCAAAACATCTGGAGGGCCGAAGGTTGCCTATGCCTGGGCTAAAGATTTTGGATATAATATTCAATTAGAATCATGGGAAAGGTTATGGAAGGAAGGTATTAATTTTACTGCATGCAGCGCACTTAAAGAAAATGTTACAAAAATGATGTATAGATGGTATTTAACACCAGCTCAACTTGCCAAAATGTATAGGACAAGAACTAATGAGTGATGGAAATGTAAAGAAAAGGAAGGTATCTTTTACCACATGTGGTGGACTTGTAAAGAGGGAAATGCTTTCTGGGAAATGATATATAATGAGTTAAAGAAAAGGTTTAAAAATACTTTTGTTTAAAAACCAGAAGCCTTTTTATTGGGTTTAGTGGGTGAAGAGATATCAAGGGAAGATAAAAGACTGTTTATGCATGCAACAACTGCAGCAAGAATTCTTCTTAGCCCAAAAATGGAGACAACAAGAAGTAGCAACGAAAGAAGAGTGGCAGATGAAGATGATGGACTTTGCAAAACTGCCAAAGCTGACAGGAAAAATCCGAAACCAGCAAGATCAAGTATTCCAAAAGGACTGGAGTAAATTCATACTATATTTGAAAGATTATTATAAGCAATTAACATCACTAGCAGGATTGTTTGAAGACTTGTAATTGAAGGGGACAGGTTAGGTTACCCAAAAACCTGTGTAGTCACCCCCCCCCCCAAGCCGGCCTCAAGACTTTTAAATTACTTTCTCTGAGGAGGGTTCAGTAGCTAAAAAAGCGTTAGCTAGCATTAGCTTTGCTGTAACAATAAAGGCTGAGAAAACAATGCTTTTTTGCTTCCCAGGCTTTCAGTGGCATTGTCTTACCAATTGCAACGGCGCCAGGAGAGCGAGAAAGAAACAATTCTATGGAAGATTGTTTCTGCCAACATTCATGTGTAAACTCATGAGGCAGGGCTCCTAAGGAGGGGGAGAAGGGTACCCCGGATGGCAGAATAAAGCTCTTTCTCTGAATTAACCCCTCAGTGTCTGTGTTGGCTCCTTCTTCCCTTCCCGGGCGCAATGCTCTTCCTACCTGTGAAAAAGGCCTAGAAAGGCTACATAATGAGAAGCTTCCTACCTTTCTATAGTCATTTAAATTTTGATTTATTTTGTAATGTGTGTAATTAGAATTGGAAAAGGTACAAAATGCAATGATATAAAGGTTAATTTTGAAAGTCATGAGGCGGGAGGGAAGGAAGCTGACAGGCCCTAAAGAGCCAGGGACGTAAAGTGGAGCGTAATGATGTGAACGTATTACATGGAAAATAAACAAAAATTGTGTGAGAGAGAGATATTGGGGGGAGGACAGGTAAGCCCCGCCCCACATAATCGATCACATGATGCGGCACATGCACACTATTTGAATGGCAATGCCCATCAACTTGGGGCGGAGGGCGTCCCAAAGTTTTATTTGGAGGGACCTCGGCCCCTAGGAGTAGGTAGATTGGCACGGGTGCGAATCTCTCCTTGCTCCATCCTGCCACGGGGTTGCCGTGATAGCAGCGCGGGATTGGGGGCGGGAAGGCCATGGCATCCAGCCAGCTGTCGAGGAGTCAAGCGTAGGGACGGAGAAGGGCATTGCCGAGGCTCCTCCTGATCCTCGCACCCGCGAGCTGCTCCCTCCCCCTTCCCGGGCCGCCAGCCCCACTTCCCCCAAGGCTGCACCACCATCCACGTGGTCCCTTGCGCCTTCCGCGCCTTTCGGCTCCGCCCCCCGCCTCGACGCGCCCGGGTTTGGCTCCGCCCTCTCCAGAATGCCGGCCACGAGGGAAGGAACCGGTCCAATGTGCGGAAGTGCTCGCCGCTCCTCTAGGCCTGCTGGGGCGCGAGAGGGGGCGAGGTCATGTGGAGGACCCGGACCCCCCTGCAAATCGCCTCGCATATCTCACGTCGGTTATAGTAGCCTTTTATTTCATGCATGCACCCCAAAGCACTTCTCTGGGAAACGCAGTGAAGTGCCACACGAGACAATAGGAGAGCATCATAAAAGTTTTTGTTTTTATTTTTAGGGGAAATCCTTGGCCACCCAAGGATGGATCATGCCTGAGGTGTCATGAGCCAGAATTGGGGAGCTTAAACGGAACTAGTGTTCCATCCTGGAAACAGCAGCAGGGCATGCATAGCAAGCCAACAGTCAGACAAGAAGAAGGGGACTTAGCACACATGCAAAATGTGCTCTCCCCTCCTTCTTCAATGAATAAGCACTGTTAGCCAGTGTAATCTGACATTACAGACTTGTGCATATGTGCATTCCCAACTAGGCTTGAACCTAGCACCTCCCCCCCCCCCAGAAAGTATGCATTGCCATAATTGTATGCCACAAAATTATGTTCTTTTTCAGTTTACTTGTTTATTCAGTTTCATAGGCAGTATCAACTGTCAATTTGTGAGCAGCGACTGCTGCAGTAACTAACAGCCTCTTATGCCCAGATTTTCTGGCTCTTTATCAAAAGCTGCTGGCATTTCCTAGGCAAGCAAAATGTGTGGGACACCCCAATGTTTGTGAACAAGTTAAAAAGTAGAGGTCCCACTACTGATCCTGTCTTAGAAGAGCTAACGCTCTGAATAGGACCAAAGCTTTTTTTCCAGATACGGTCTGGAATTATTTATAGTGTATTTATACTGTATTAGTAATCTTATTGAATGGCTAAAAATACCACTATCTCAACTTGCCTGGAATAGCACAAATGTTATTAAACTTCTTTCTTTCTTTTTTCTTTCTTTCTTTCTTTCCTTCTTGTCTACAATGTCTCTCCCTCTCCCAATCAACCATGAAAGTGTTTTGCTAAATTTGTACAGCTAAATGTGAAACAATTAGGAAAGTCTGCCATCTTCTGGAAGAAAAAAGGATGCCCAAGTTGGTAATTTCCAGAATACAGTAGTAGCATGTTGCAGCAAAAACAACAGTATTGTGGCACTATCAGTGTGGGTCCATGGGGGTAGGGGAGTGTGTGTGTGTGTGTGTGTGTGTGTGTTTGCTTGTTTGTTTTATTAATTTCTATCCTGTTTCTTTCAAAGGAGCCGACACCAAAGTAGTAAAACAATACAATTAGAACTGTGTGACTTGTTATCATTTTTGTTATATAAAAAGTTTGGAATGTGTTACTGATGTTTCTGGCCTGCTTTTTGTCTCTTTTTCAAATTTCATACCTGTTTTCTGTGATAATTTTGTTCTGTGCTTGCTTTTGAATTTTAATATATAACAGATTGGCTAATTAAAGACAAACAAAAATCATTCGGCCTCCCAATTAGGAAGATGTGACAGAACAGGACATGCTGATTAGCTCCCTCTCTCCATCAAATTAGCATCTCATTTGCATGCATAAGGTCACAGACCCAGGTAGGACTGTCTGAAGCCCCTGTCAGCTGTTGTCAGTCAGTGTAGTGCTGAGGTAAATGGACCAGTGGTCTGACTCCTATAAGACAGCTCCCCCATGTCAGTCCAAAGACGGCAAGAAAAGAACAGCCTTTTTTCTTCCTTTTTCTTTTGCAGCGTTCGGGCGGAGTTATCCAGCGGGCGGCAGCTGACATCGCGCAGCTTCGTTGTGACTCTGTTGCCTAGCAACCGAGGCGGAGCCGAATCCATCCGCCGCGCTTCTTCCTATTTAAAAGATGGTTCCCGAAGCCTGCGGCTTGGCGTCCACCATAGTGACGTCATCGAGGCGCGCCAGATGCAAAGGAGGAAGGAGACGTGTGGGCCTGAGGAGCCGAGCCGGGAATCTCTCCCCTCACGGGGAGGGTGCGGCGGTGAGTTTGGACGGGGGAGGAGGCCCCGAGGGCAGAAATGCTGCGCGGCCCGCCCCCTTCCATGTGCTGCTGAGCGGAGCTCCTGAGCCCCTGCTCCCGCCGAGGGCTTCCACGGGCCCAGGGGAAGAGGTCCATGAAGCCCTGGGGAAGAAGGGAGAAGGAGAGCTTCCCTTTTCGCTGAGCCACAGCTCCCTTCCCAGCCGCTCCTGCTGAATAGCCAAATATATAGGTACCAGTATTTCAAAATAGAGGTATTATCCTGCTGTGGGTTTTGGCGACTGCACCGGTAATAGTACCAAATTGGGTAGCTAAATCTTCTCCTAAGCACTGATGATTGAGGTAGGTCAGGAGTGGGAGCCCTTTTCAGTCGGAGGGCCATATTTATTGCCTTCTGGGAGCCGCATGCCTGTGGCGGGTGGGGCCAAAGTGGGCGAAGTAGCAAGTTTAAATTTTGCCTTTGTACTCTTAGGCTAGTTTATACACACACTCACACAGCTCTCTAACCTCCACCCGGAAAAGCGTGAGGCATGATCAGAGGTCAGGGATGAGTTCCAACTCACTGGAGAGCCAGTGTGGTGTAGTGGTTGAGAGCGGTAGTCTCGTAATCTGGGGAACCGGGTTCGCGTCTCCGCTCCTCCACATGCAGCTGCTGGGTGACCTTGGGCCAGTCACACTTCTTTGAAGTCTCTCAGCCCCACTCACCTCACAGAGTGCTTGTTGTGGGGGAGGAAGGGAAAGGAGAATGTTAGCCGCTTTGAGACTCCTTAAAGGGAGTGAAAGGTGGGATATCAAATCCAAACTCCTCCTCCTCCTCCTCTTCTTCTTCTTCTTCTTCTTCTATGTATCTCATTCAGGAATGCCCAAGAATTGCAATGTTATGAGGGAAGTTCTGTAGGTTTGTTGGAGAATTCAACTCCAAGAGATTATTCCCACACTGGAATGCCACTGGAATGGTCAGCGAATCTCTTCAGTTAACAACTGTTTGTGGTAGGGAGCAGAATTAGCTCTAAAATGGATATTTTCTGCTCACATTATTTGCAAATGCATTTGTCTTTGAACCATTGCTACAGTTGCTGCAACTAAACACCAAGTAAAACTTGTGTGTACAGTAAGTTACCTGTCATTACATTGATAAGCTAGGGGTGGCTAGGAGGTATAGCCTTAATAACCTTTGAAACAAGAAAGATTAGGCTATTATTCTGAGTTGTGCACCCTTGTTTTGAAGTGAGTTCCATCAAATTCAGTGGTACTTGCTTCTAAGTAATTTCTACAGCAGATAATGATTTTTGAGTATCTGCTGTAGTAAGTTCTTGAAGGTTTGTTAACATACATTTATACACTTTATAAAACAAAGGCAGAGGCTTTCATTGTAGAAGTCTTGTTCTATTGATCTACATTAGGAAATATTCATATATTTGTCTCTTTAACTTCCAAATAAAATTGAAGTAATTGACATGGGGGAAAGTTAAATAGGTGGCAATATATGGTTTAACTTTGGCCACACTGTTGTGCTTTCCTGGACAGGTGGTGCTCCACCATTGTCCTTCGGCTAAATCTTGTCTTTGTCTTTATTAGTCTGTAGTTCTGAAATGCTTTGATGTTCTGCAATTTGCCTAGCACACATCTCGCTGTAAATAGATGTGTACTGTTCTGAGATTTTATTGTATTAAAACATCGAATTTCTATGTTTTATGATATGCCTATGCTTCTGTGAGGTAGGGATGGTGGTAATCTGAATGTAGTTGAGTAGCACAATTAGAAGTGAATCAAGGTAGACGACAGGCCCATGGGATAGAAGAGAGAACCAGCAGAAACCAAGATCCTCATTCTCTACCTCTTTCAAGCTTGATGCCATTAGTGAAGCAGACTCTTCTCTTAACAGGTTACTCAAACTCTGAACCTACCTTCTCAACGCTATTGTTGACTGGAGTAATACACTATGGCTCCTAAAGATATAATGACTAATTCTCATGCCAAGTCCATTCTCAATGCAATGAACTCTCTACGAAAAAGTAACACACTTTGTGATGTGACCCTTCGTGTGGAGCAGAAAGACTTTCCAGCCCATCGTATTGTGTTAGCTGCTTGCAGTGACTACTTCTGTGCTATGTTCACCAGTGAGGTAGGCAAGATGCAGAGTACACACATTTTTGTTTTTATTCATGCAAATAAGAAAGTAGCTTGTAATGCAACTTAAAAGTGCAAAAATGTCATTAAGGTTGCAATTCTGTATGCATTTATAGCTTGCTCTTCACCAAGCAGCCCTAATGCACATTATGCACAAAGCCATGTAATGCTTTTCACTTACTCAGCAATTAAATCCATCTTAAATTGCAATTAAGGTCAACAACAGCACTGCAGTAGGGAACATCAGGTCTTATCCTGTACCCCTAAAGATCTAGACACCTCCCATCAAAAATCATACTAAGACAAGGCCATTTGCCCCTTGGATGGGGGGCATTCCACAGCCTGGGGGCCACCATAAAATTGGCCCTCTCCCGCACTGCCACAAGAATCATATGGTGGCAGTCTTGTTAGCAGATCTCAATATGCCAGTACAGTATAAGAAAAGTTAAATTGTAGGCTTCCTAATGTTTCAACTTTATATACAATTTAGCTTTCTTGGATAGCTAGGCTTAAAAATTTTTTATCTCTGTTGCAAATCCACACTATTAAATTGTTACTAAGCTGGCTGGCAAATGTGTTTTGTCTTCTGGTCTACCAGGAAGGAAGCTTTACAAATGTTGGTGGTTCTTTTTTAATTTGGTTGCAAGTGACCCATGTAAGTACATAATGGGTAAACAAGCCATGCAGATTTTTTGTAGGATAGAAAGGCATTACTATGTTCTCCTCTCAACCCTGAACTCAGTGTAATAAGGACATTGCTGTAATTTATATGTAGAGGTGCATGTTAATTACTTTTGGTGAATTAATTTGCCTGCCCCTTGACAGTATCTATTTAAAGCATGTTATTAAAGTCTGTTTCTCTGATATTTAAAATAACACTTTTCAAAGTCAAAACAAAATAAATAAATAAAAAATCCTTCCAGTAGCACCTTGGAGACCAGCTAAGTTTGTTATTGGTACGAGCTTTCGTGTGCATGCACACTTCTTCAGATACATGCACACGAAAGCTCGTACTAATAACAAACTTAGTTGGTCTCCAAGGTGCTACTGGAAGGAATTTTTATTTATTTATTTTGTTTCGACTACAGCAGACCAACACGGCTACCTACCTGTAACTAGAACTTTTCAAAGTATTATCCTTGCACCAAAATGTCTGTAGGGTATTTGTTATATGTTCCATTTGCTGAAATATTCATTTGAGATTATTAATGCTTTATATCTCTTCCCCATTGCCCACACTGTAGTTTCCAGGTTATGTTTTGGAACCCTGTAAAACCCAGGGAATAAAAAAAGTACTTCCCTTGTTTATAATTCACAGCTTTCAGAGAAGGATAAACCTTATGTGGATATTCAAGGGCTAACAGCATCAACTATGGAAATATTGCTGGACTTCGTATACACAGAGACCGTTCATGTAACAGTGGAGAATGTTCAGGAGTTGCTTCCAGCAGCCTGTTTGCTTCAGCTGAAAGGTAATGACAAAAACATACAGTGTAGATCAGGAGCGAAGAGCTTTTGAGAATCCTTGATCTGTATTGCCCATTTTTTAAGATATTTATAAAGTGGTGAACACAATAAGAAAACAAATATATTTAGACTAATAAACAAATATAAAACCAGCAGCTTCTAATACAACATGAGCCTAACCTTGTCTAAAAGCCCACATGAACAAAAGCATTGTAGCTTGAGTAAACCTATTCAATTGAGTGTGTCAACCACTCGGGTAATATGATTGAAAATGCCACATTGCAGATACCAGTGGGTGATACTTTAGTGGGCTGGGGTCTGAAGAAATATCTTGAACCATGCTCTCAACGGGCAGAAGGTTTTCCAAGGATTCACCAGAAGTGTAGCTTGATTAATAAGGAAAGCCAAGAACAATATAAAAGTCAAGGAGGGTTCCTTTTTAAAAGTAGAAATTTTGCCATAATGAATAAAAGGATCACAAACATCTCTGCTTGTTCTTATTCAAGCACAGTAAAACATGCTTCATCAGGTGATGTTGGTGGAGATGTGGTATTTCTGTGGTTTCATGCCTCATGCATTGATTTTGTAATTGGACAGCAAATAGGAACTGTTCTCTAGTGCCACACTTTTTATATAGAAACTAAAATTTATGAACTGCCTGTCATAATTCATTCAGAGGCAATGTACAGAAAATTATACAACCAGCACTACATATAAAATAATATTAAAACCCACATTACACCATAGTAAAAGGTATATACTTTTGCAAATTTTCATACAGGGACTCTTTAGTGAGAGAGTCTCCCCATTTTAAGATTGTTAAACTTGAAATTATATGCATACTAGGAACTGCATCCCTGCTAGCACTTCTTGCCAGCCCCACTGCTCCTTACCAACTACCCTCCTTTTAAGCCTGGCTGAACCCCCCTCCCTTTTATGTCACAATTTGCATGGCTGCCCATTGGCCACACAGACTTTAGCTTGATGATATCCTTAAAATTTTATTATATGCTAAGATACTGAGTTCTGGGGGAAATGCAATCCTGAGAACAAATGAAAATATAAAATTGTAAAACTGCTGTTGATTAGTACAGTAGTTTGGGAGCGTTTTCTGGGTAGTAAGATATTTATGTCTTTGTGAAAGGGTAGATATTGTTTTTGTAATATGGATAAAATACAATAGTTAAGAATGTATTTTACTGATGTTACACCATTTTTAGAATTTATCGCCACCAAAAAGAATCTCAATATTAACTACCAAGGAAAATGGCAGGCTGGTTAAGATAAAAAGATGACTTTTTATTTACTAGATTTGGTGTTTGTTAGGAAAATGGATGGATTTGTTAAGCACAGTTTCCCCCCCTCTTAAACACTTTTCAGAACAGTGACTTAGCCCTCTGAAGTGCAAATCATGTCATTTCTCACAGGAGTGAAGCAGGCTTGCTGTGAGTTCCTGGAAAGCCAGCTGGATCCTTCCAACTGTTTGGGGATTCGAGATTTTGCTGAAACACACAATTGTGTTGACTTAATGCAGGCAGCTGAAGTTTTTAGCCAGAAGCACTTCCCAGATGTAGTTCAACATGAAGAATTTATTCTCCTAAATCAAGAAGAAGTGGAAAAGCTAATAAAATGTGATGAGATTCAGGTAAAATATTCCTTCTTGTTGTCCAAAGCAATGCTATTGAGTTCTAGTATTTGATACAGGAACCAAACACAACCTAGGAATTAACCAGTAAAATACTGTGGAACTGACGGATGGAGTTCATACCTTGGAAGTTAGCAATTTACAATCCATGAGCACTTGTAAGATCTTACTAGAATTCTGAGAATCCTAGTTTTCATTTCAATATAAAAGCAAGTTGGTAGCCTTTACAGTTACCAAGATCTCTTTAAAGAAGCAATGGCAAAAGAGAGAATGTGAACAAAAAGGGGTTAGAATGGATGCAAGGCTAAAATTCAGAATTCAGGGCAGAAAGGGGGGCAGGGTGTACAAGATGGAAGTCTGGAATAATCAATACAGATTTACAAGGAAAGCCCCTGGAAGACCTAGAGAAGAGCTCTGCACTCAAGAGGAGCCCTTACTTGCTTCTCCGGGAATGTTCCCTGTGACACAATGTGGGGGTGTCTCCACAACTACAGGAGGTTTCCTCTTGCAAACAGTAGCCCTTGAACTCTCAGAGGAACATGAGAGTGACCAGAGCTCATGCCCTTGTGCCCCTTTCCCCACCATGTGTGTGTGTTAAACCAAGATTCTGAATTTCTAAACAGGGCTTTTGAGACACAGGGTGTGGGTTTTCTTAACAGTTGGTCCATGCTCTTAAAGAGTTATAAATCAATACTTAATTTTGTGCTACAAAATCATTGGCAGTAAATGAATGATTTAAATTTGGTGGAAGCTGTTGAAGAATGTTAAAGTGAGAAGTGCAGTCTTGCTAGTTACTCTGAAAGATTTTGAAGTATTTTGTAAGGCACCAACCAGATCTTAAGCACATTTGTGCTTGTAAATGTGATCACCCTTTTATCAGTAGGAAAGAGCCCTCTTTGCACTACACTCATGCTAACCCTATCTTGTTAAATATATGTTTGCCTAGGTTAACATCATGGGAGATATTTGCTTTATGAACAAAACCCGATTGTCCCCCTTCTTAAAAGAGCAAACCCAAAGTTGAGTTGGGTGTGTGTTATTATTTTTTACTTTGATATGGATTTTTGTGTTTTATGTTGTAAACCGCCACGAGATCCTCAAACAGAGGATTAGTATAGAAATTTAATAAAGAATAAAAATAAAAGGGACTGCACTTTCTTCAGAGAAAATGCTTTTTGAAAGAAAAAATCTTGCATGGTCATGGTGAGGAATATGTGCTGGTCTTGGGTTAGAGTACTGTTTAGGGAGGGTTACAGGGGTGTTTGTTGCTGTTAACTGATTATTATTTTTACCCTTATTTTTAAATTTTGCTGTGATTTGTGTGGAAATTGTTCAATTTGGTTGTGTACTTTTTGATGTGTTTATTGTTTCTGATGCTATGGTTATATTTGTAACTATGTAATTTGTTTCATGCTGTAAGCCACCTTGAGCATGGTTTTAGCTATGGAAAGGCGGCATACAAATAAAAGGAAGTATATCACATCATTGACATTGCACATTATATGCTTGTCACAGTTACACGACAAAGTTACACATTTCCCCCTCTAGAGAGCTGCCTGTGCTTGCTTTGCAAGGTGGATCTTGCTTTCCAACCACCATAATTTTCTGTGCAAATGCAGCTTCCCCACACCAGAAGTACAATCTATGCTGCACCCCCCCTTAAAGTAATCCCTCCTCCCATGTCGTAGCCATCTATTTTTCAAAAGACTGATTAATTCCATGCCTTTTCTTATAGGTGGATTCTGAAGAGCCTGTCTTTGAGGCTGTTATCAATTGGGTAAAGCATTCAAAGAAGGAACGGGAAGCATCCCTGCCAGAGCTTCTGCAGTATGTGCGCATGCCACTACTCACCCCACGCTACATTACTGATGTCATAGACACTGAGGTAGGGCCAGTTGCCCTGTTAAGCAGCTCATGGAATAAGTCCTGCAGAACAACTGCTGTATTTAGGAAAACCTCACTCATAATAGTAACTTTGTAATGTGTTCTAGGCGATCCTTTGCATATATACATGTTAGAATATGGGAACAAAGATTAGTACCCCTGCAATTCTCCCTGAAGAGAAACCCTAACCTCAAACCCATCTACTTTACTGTGTAAGAACTTGAAAAATTATCTAAAGCAAGTCAGCTGAACATGCCTCTCAGCAGTGAAATGAATGACTTAGCCTAACTGCTCCCCATTTCCCCTCCTTCCTTCAGTAATGTGTATTAATACTGGAGGTAGCCATGAGTTCTGTGAAGCCTAAACATAGAAATGAGAAAGACAATCCAATTCTGGTATAGCCTTTGTGCAGAAAAAGGGGGAAACTCATCATTAGTTGTATATTTTTAATTTCCCCATCCATGTAAAAAAAACCCATCCCATAATTTTCACTTATTTAGCCACAGGCCTTAGCTATTCAGATGACTTAATATAACAAAATAACATCAGTTCTAATAAATGTAATACAGCTGATTTGCAATCTACTACACAAGTCAAGGTTCCTTGGACAAATATTTGCAGCTGCCATAGAAAAGTTAGGCTGCTTTCAGAGTAGCCTTCTTTTTAGTATTAACAAGTAGGTAAACAAGATTTTTGCAGTTTTGGCCAATGGGTTCTTCCCTCCAATAACTGAGGAAGGAATTTCTGTGCTGTATCCTTGAAAATTAGGACAATAGAAGGAAGCTCACAGAAGGCTACCTGCCACCCTACCCCAGGCAGTCCTTTGCATTGCCTCAAAAAGGGGACCTTCCTGAATGGTGTGGGATGAGGCACAGGGCTTTGCTAAAGGAAGGGAGAATTGGCCAAAATCAAATTCACAAATCGGTATCCTTAGTATATAATTTTACATTCAAACCAAATAAGTTAATGCAAAGGTCTTCTGGAACCAGTGTTTTAAGTTTTAATCCTGCGAACTGTATTTGAATGAAGATTTCTGTTGCATGCTCCACCAGCTTGATTTTTCCATATCTTTTATAATACAGTACTTGAATTAATGTAACTGGACTAATTTTAGATTAATTTCATTAAATATTAGGGTTTTTGCAGTGGGTCATAATGTGCAAGTATTTCCATTCTTCTACTAGCTATAGGGTATTTTGAAGAATTGTAAAAGTGTATAAAGAATTGGATAAAGTGAAAACAATGCCTGTATGTCTTCTGCAGCCTTTTATTCGATGTAGTTTGCAATGCAGAGACCTTGTAGATGAAGCGAAGAAGTTTCATCTAAGACCTGAACTTCGGAGTCAGATGCAAGGTCCCAGAACCAGAGCACGTTTGGGTAAGCATCAGAGAAGTGCATATAAAAATGGCTGGAAAAAGGTATGGTTTAATGTCTTCTGCCATTTGGCAGGCTCAAAATGAAGCAGTGCTTCATGTTTATAAGGAGTCTGTTCTTTAGTGTACCTGAACTTTGGAACTCCCTGTCTGTTGACATTACACAGGTACTGTCACTGTAATCCTTTAGATGCCTGTTGAAAACTTTTGTTTCAGTGGGCCTATCCAAACATGTAATTTTGATATGTAATCTGTTCTTAATTTGTTATGCTTTTATTGCTTTTAGATGTTTTAACCATTCTTGAAATGTTTTAAATATGTGTTATTTTATGTTTAATAATGTTTTTATTATGGAAATGTTTGCCACCCAGGACCTTTTGGGAGGAAGGGCAGGATATGATTTTTAAAAGTAAATAAAGCTGTGCCTTCAGGCCATCCCCCGGAGATTTAGGGAAGGATGTGGGGGGATACTGCTCATTTGCAAAGACCTAATAAACATGTGGGTACAAGGACCCAGATAGCAGCTGTATGATTCAAAAGAAGCACCTTCACAGCTTTGTCTAAATAACTGCTTTATAGGAATAACCAGTGCTTTTTTTCTAAAAAAAATGTTTAGGGGTACTCTCATTTTGACTCAAGAAAATCACCATTTTATAGTTCCAGTGGGGGAAAACAAACACAGTAAATGGACAAAAGTACAAAGATTCACAAAATGTTTAGGGGTATGCGTATCCTTGTGTATCCCCAGAAAAAAAGCACTGGGAATAGCAGCTGTTGCCCCAAACACACCTTTGGGGAAGTAAAATTGCTGAAAGCTACCTGTAGTTAGCCAACATATTCATTTACATACCTCAGGTCCTGCACAAACATAAACAATGCTCAGAAAACAAATAATTGTCAGCTAGGTCTTTTAATTACTTGGATTAGTGTGTCTAGATATATAGATGGATGTTAAAGATATAGATGGATGTTTTAGATGGATGATAGATGGGTGTTAACTGCCTTGCAAATACTTCTGCAAACTGTCTAGCCTCAGAAAATTTTGCTAGCCTATCTGCCCATACTTGCCCACATGGCATATGTGACTTAAAAGAGAATGAAATTGGTTAATACTAGCTTGCTTGCATGCATGCCTGGAAGCTATTGTTAATCACGAAAGACAGCCATATAAATTGCATCTTACAAACCTGGTATAAATGATAAATAAAATTCTTAACGTGTGTTCCAAGCAAAAGAGAATCTCTGTATATGATAAGCAAGCATATAAAAATACTTCTGCTGCAGTATGGTATTTAATATTACTCTCAACTGAAGCATTGTGTAATGAAGGTTTGTTAGAAGAAAATGGAAGTAAGTTATTAGATAATATTACAGCTCAGTGGTAATTTTCAGATACTCAAGCCTTTGCCTGTGACAGGCATACAGATACTTACTATTCTTAGATTCTGTATAAAGCTGAAAATTCAACATAAATTTGTTAATGACAAACTGATGATGCTGGGAGAAAGTCAAAGCATATTTTTTTTAAGACAATATGTTCAGGATGTTCTGGAAAGTGAGCAAAAAGGCTTCTCATGTGGTATGACAAACATCCTTGAAGCTTCACTATTATCTTCTGGATTGGAGCAATTAACTGGAAATTAATAGAATGGACTTGCCAAGGGCAAATATGGTTGGGAAACAAAGCCCAAGTGCACAGCTGCAAAATGGGCTGTAAGGTTGTCAAGAGAGAGAAATGAAGATTATATGGCACAAGCTAAGCATGAGTCGTCTGTGTGGTGGTGCTGTTGAAAATTAAAGAGCAAGGGTTATTGGCTTGGATTCACAGACATAGGATATTAATATAGTTCAGTTTGGCGTTAAACCAAAACTGGATTCTTATTGTCACACTTATCTAGCCTTTAGTAGATTGATGGGCAAAATAGCAATCTTAAGGCTGTTGTTAAAACAGGATTAACTATTCCTCACAGTCATGTAAGAAAAAGCAAAATGCAGTGAAATACACCAACTCATAGATAGGTTTGCTTATGTGCCATTGAAATTTAAAAAAAAATTAAATGCTTAAGTTTCATGATTTGCAAATTGTGTCCTGTGTTTAAAATGGAAGCAGTATAGATTTAGACATAATTCAGGGGTGGCAAGTGGAGGGGGGACTACTAAGACTACAAAGTGCAATGAAATCAGTTGCTTAATAAAATAGTCAGGTGTCTCTTGCTGGAGAGTTTAAAAAGGTTAGGCAATCTGTCAAGACGGCTTAAGAGTATGTTGGCTTGTATTTAACAACTTACCTAGCAGCCATAGGAATTCTATGTAGATGCGTTAAAGGCCTGACTGAGAGATGGATTTCTCCATCCTCCTCAGCCAGCCCACTTGGTTTCCAGTCTAGCAACAGAGGAAGGAAAGTCTCTTCCTCCACAACCATCACAGAAATGCAGTGGGAGAATGAAACACCCTATCCTTTCATCAGTCTGCAGTTTTTCAGTAGCCTGCATTTCCATGCTGACCACGGGTGATGGACTTCTGTTCTCCACAGCTGGCATGAAAATGCAGGCCACTAGCTCCTTAGCAAGTTATCAAAAAATAAAACAACGGCTAGTAACACTTGTGCTTTTATTTTCAAGGCTGAACTAGTGTGTCACTCAGCTCTACTATTCTTGACCCACTACTTAGAGTTAAAGTGAGGATCGGTACACCAATAATGGAAGTAAAAAGTATATACTCTAGGATATTAACCTTAAAGTGGTCCGTTTTTATTCAGGTGCCAATGAGGTTCTCTTAGTAATTGGGGGCTTTGGAAGTCAGCAATCACCTATTGATGTGGTGGAGAAATATGATCCGAAGACACAGGAGTGGAGTTTCTTACCAGTATGTAATTCTTTGCTTTACCATCTCTCTGCCCTCTGTTTTTTCTCTGATTGCTTTTCCTCCGTGGGGTGGACATACGTTTGCAATTGGAAATGCTTATTTTGAACCTTGTGGTTGGAGGAGTTGTGTAGGGAAGGTTTCACAAAGATGTTTCTAATGCAGGCATCTTCTCCACGTAGGAAGATGGATAAACCCTGTAGTCCCACTGTTGTGAAATAGTGGGCTGGATTCGGCCTGCCAAACCAATGCAAGCAGCTCACCACACATTGGCAAAATCTTACCATCCCTTGCAGCACTGGGCTGAGAGGTGTTTAACTCTCTGCAATGTGTGTATCTCACATGCGTGTCTCAGTGGCATCGAGCTGGCTAACATCTGGCTAAAAAAAGGGTTAGCCAGCTCTGCTGTACAGCATCATCTGTGGGCAATAATACATGTGTCTCTGACCAGGAGCTGAAGGGTGACTTCACACCAAGTATATGGGTGGCAACACAGTCTTGGACACATGCTAGGATAATAATTACCAGGAATGAACTGCGAGTCGGAGGTCCCCAGTTCAAATCTCATCTCTTCCTTGAATTTACTGGGTAATCTTGGGCAAGCCACACTCTTCCATTCCCACCAGCTCCCCCCTAATAATTTCCACCCTCAACTCCTTTGGGAGGAAGAGTGGCATAGACTTTTAATAAAATACTGCCCTTTTTTGCCTTCATAGGGCTATTATAAGGATTGTCCAGAAAAGGCATGTGAAAGGCATTGAACCCATGAAAGCATTGCACGTATATAAATGTTAGAAAGGCCTCTTGTGTAAAGTAGTCTGAGATGAAGAATTGGGGAGGTTCTGGATGATGACTCACAGAGCCATCTGAAATTTAATGTTTTCTAAATCACCTGGTGAGCTGTTTGCTTTCTGTATGTCAAAACCTTTTGATACTGCATTCCATTGAGGCTCTTCTCGTCTCATGCAGAGAACCCCAAAAGTGTGCTCCATACTGAAGATGTGAGCGTGTGAAATTGAATATATTGAACATATTGTTGTAGATAAACAGGATATATAGAAATGATAAGCCCTGACACATTAGTGCAGCATTGTCTGTATTGATCGCACTATCTCTGTATGGCATCACTAGGAAATTGCAGGTGCCCATCATACCTAAAGATACCCAAAAAAATTGTTTCCATTTTTTTCTTTATGCATAGAGTATCAGCCGTAAAAGACGCTATGTTGCCACAGTTTCCTTGCATGATCGGATATATGTAATAGGTGGTTATGATGGCCGTTCTCGCCTCAGTTCTGTGGAATGCTTAGATTATACATCTGATGAAGACAGTATCTGGTACTCTGTGGCTCCCATGAACGTTCGACGGGGCCTAGCAGGGGCTACAACCCTAGGAGGTATGTATTGGTAAATGTATTCTAATTCCCCTACTGATAATCATTGCTGGAAACAATCTTAAGTACATTCATTTTGCGGGGAAATTAATTCATTTATTCAACCAACATAAATGCATATTTGTAAAATACTGATTTCAAATACTGTGATTTGTTTAATTCAGTTAACTGTTGTATTACAGACATGATCTATGTTTCTGGAGGTTTTGATGGAAGTCGGCGCCACACCAGTATGGAAAGATATGATCCCAACATTGATCAGTGGAGTATGTTGGGAGATATGCAGACAGCTCGAGAAGGAGCAGGACTGGTGGTTGCTAATAATGTTATCTATTGTCTTGGTAGGTAACCTCAGTGTATTTACAAATTTTTATATGGTAGTGCCTCAGCTGCAGTCTGGTGAAAAGACTATGCAAGAAGCTGTCATTAGGAAGTGATCTTGCAAATTTCACAGCATTTGTAAGTTCTGTTTTGCCCTGGAATGCCCATCAAGTATGAAAGGTTTCTTCCGTGGAAAGCCTTTGCATTCAGAATTCCAATATCTGAAAGCAGTAGGCTCCATATATAAATGTAGAAACAGAGCAAAGGCAATGATTCTGCAGGACAGAGCTCAGGAATTGTTGCATTGTATCGGTCCTGTATCTTTTGGTTTTTAAGAGGTGACTTAATATTTAAGAAACCATCCCAAAGAAATCCGTAGTAGGTGCTTAAGAGTTGTTCAGCATAGTAGATGCAGCAGCCCCCAGCTCCACAGGCTCCTCAGCCTACCAACCCTGAAGCCTCTGCCTCCAGGATCCAGATGCCCAAGCCAGACACTGCCACTACTGGCCACCTTACTTCACCAGCCAGCTTGGGGATCTGCTGCTGCTTCTACTGCTGCCAGCTGGCCAGTTAGGAGTCAGTCTGACAGGAGGAGTGTGGGAACAAGGAAAGTTGGTAGAAACAGTGGATAGTTGGCCTGATAATCCACTGCTGCAGTCGCCACCGCCAATCTCTAGGCTGGCTTGCTGCTGCCTTCCTCTTTCTGCAGTTCTCCTCCTGCCAGTCTGACTCTTCATCCTAAAATGTTTGGCAACAGCACAAGAAAGTCTAAGTCTTTCATGATCCTCCCTGCACTCCTCCTTTGCACCTCTGACATCAGGAGAGGCAAAGGAGAAGTGGTGGCAATGGGGAGATTGTAAAAGGCTTTTGGTGAGCTCTTAAGGGGATGTGGGTGTTTTTTGTGCAGAGGTTGGCTTGGTGAGTGAAGTGAAGCGAGCAGGGGCAATAGCCCCTCATAAAAGTAATACAAGTAATTTAATGGGTTCCTCTGTTTTCAGGTGGTTATGATGGTCTAAACATCTTAAATTCTGTGGAGCGATATGATCCCCACACTGGGCACTGGACAAATGTCACTCCAATGGCCACAAAGCGCTCAGGTGAGAGTCCTGATCAGGGTGGGGAGCTGTTGGCAGTATACCACTGTCTTTAACAGTAACGGTGGTTTAATAGGGACCATCTGATTAGAGTGAGAATTTTGTTCTTGCTTCTCCCTGCAACTGTACTCGTACAGAGTAGAGCTCCTGAAGCTTCCAAATAATGAATCTGGAATTTGCCAAGGACACCAGTAACCAGCCCTCTCTTCCCAGCAGCTCTCCAACTACCACAGGGTTGTATCAAACAGTTCATGGAGTTCTGCTCATGCAATGTGACTTCCACTTCTCCCTGCATGCTCCCAACATCTGCTCCAGACAGTCCCCCAGCTTCCTGGAGCAGATTTTTTTTGGGGGGGGTAGTGGTGGTTAGGATTAGGGTTAGAGAAGATGTCCTATTACACTACACAAGCCTGTTTTGTGAGGACTGTTAGATACAATTCATAATATCTGAATAGCCTTCACAATATAAAACATCTGTTTTCTCTCACTCCTTTATACAATTAAGACAGTTTGCATACTGTCTTTAAATGTATATAAATGTATACTTTTCTTGGATATCTTTAAGCAACTTTGACATCCTGTGCAAACATTACAGTTCCGGGAAGATTACTTTCCCCCTGTCACCTTTGCAGTGGTAGACTGTGACTATTAAAAGAGGCAGGCATTATGATAACTTCACCCACCAAGGGGCTTGTTCATTTTCAGAAGGCATCCAGATATGCCTTATATCCATCCAGATATGCCTTATTGTGGGATTTGGTGCCACATTCCATGGTTTTTCTTTCCCAGGAGCTGGAGTAGCCTTGCTGAATGATCATATCTATGTGGTTGGAGGGTTTGATGGAACAGCACATCTCTCATCTGTGGAGGCGTATAACATTCGCACAGACTCATGGACCACAGTGACCAGCATGACAACCCCCCGCTGTTATGTGGGAGCAACAGTCCTGAGGGGACGACTTTATGCCATAGCAGGGTAAGGGGGCCAAGCTTCACTCAGAAATACCTTTAAGCCCTAGCATAGCTGGGGAAGTCTGTCTATACTTTTTATAAGTGCATTAGATGCCCAGTAACAAGGCAAAAGGCCCATCTGATACAGCATTTGTTTTAGCGCACTGAGGCACATGAGCAAGATAAAAAATGCAGGCGGGGTGAATGCTGTTGTGCACAGTCTTGCTTGCAGCCTCCCTATAGGTATCTGTGAGAACAGGATGCCGAAATAGATGAGCTACTGGCATACCAGGCGTGAGTCTTCCTTCTGTGGAAATGTAATCTGTAGATTGGTCCATAGGGTGGGTTTGTGGTAACATGGTCAAAGATGGACATGGCAAGTGTTTCCTTGCACTGACCTCTCACAAAATACAAGAGTTCTGTCATCGTATGACTTAATAGGGATGGGTGCGCCACCGCTCCAAACTATTATCAAGTCATCGTCTCCTTTTTAAGAGTTCCAGACTTCAACACGTTCTCATCAGTAATCTTCTCTCACGTGTAGGTACGATGGGAACTCGCTTCTGAGCAGTATTGAGTGCTATGACCCTATCATTGACAGCTGGGAAGTGGTGACATCACTGGGAACCCAACGGTGTGATGCTGGCGTTTGTGTGCTGCGTGAGAAGTGACCTTAGGGGGAAGGCCTTGCGAGAGCACTTCTGTGGAACAAAGAGACTATGGGAGAAAGTACTGGCTCACTTACAGCTATTGCTCTTGTAGCTGTGGATGCAGTGACCATTGCTATCTGGCCTGCGCTGCAGACCTTCAGGCTCATCTTCAAAGCTACTGATTCCATTTAAAAAACAATCCACACACAAGGCACTTTGAACTGAAAACAGAGAAATCACATGCTCATGTAATGCTAACCCTGTGAAAGTGAGTTGCCTAAAGCAGTAAAGATGTCTATGCTTTCTGGCCTTCTGCATCTCTAGAACATTGGCACATACAAGGAAGTTTGAGCATGGCACCAACGATTTGTGCCTGAATGTTTCCATGTACCAAATATGCTGCAGTGCAGACATACTGTTAGTGAGCATTGTGTGGGCACACTGTGTTTGTTTTTGGACGCTTTTTACGTTCTGCACAGACTTGCCCATGGTGCTGGGGAGAAGAGCCAGAGGCTGATGCATGCAACTGATAGAGACTCTGTGTGTTGGTATAAGCAATCTGGCCTTCCACCATAACGGAAAAGGGGGCAGCGGAGATTATACCCTGCTGGAATATTCAGTCTTATCTGCTGGGAAGAAAGGCAAGCGGATGGGAAGAAAATACTGAATTTTGTGTTTTTACCAATTTTACCTGAAGAGAGGGTGTGTGTTCTAGTACTTGTGAACAAAAACCTGTTTACATCTGCTATCTAAGCCAAGTTTTTTTTAGTGTTAGTGGAGCAGTGAAGTAGCAAATCTCGACATATTGGCGGGAAAGAGTTTAATGTGCTCTGGAAAGGGTGCATCTGCCCAGGCCACTTAGGCTGCATTGCAAATGTCCCTTCAATCTCCACAAATCACTGAACATCTTTTCTCAACCCCACACCGGTCTTAAGCCTGATACCCTGTGCAGGCCTTCTGCATGAGCATTGTCAGCACAGGTTGTCTTGCACTCAGCTTTCATTGTGCTTCTGCTTTAGCACCAAAGTAGGAGCATGATACGTTATATTTCGTTAAGAGCACACTAATGTTTACAGTGCATTGTAGGTTTACCTGGTGTCATTTCTCTCCAGACCCAATTACAACAAGGCATTTCACGTGAACTGGAACATTTGCTCAAGGCATCTCTTTTGTGGCATATTTATGATTCTCCTGCCTATTTTAATACCCCTCTGGTGTGTTATGCAGCTTGTACTAGATATGTGAATTCACACCACATTGCTGAAATGGACACTTGAGCCTGTGGATAATACGCCTCCAACCCCTCATGGATGTGCCCTAAACTTTCAGCATGATCCTGGAGCGAGCTCTCTCTCTCTCCCATGACCCACTGAGCCTCTTCCTGTGTCACACAGCTCTATTGGGAGCCAAGGGGTGAATGTATTTATTTGCTGGGTGATATTGACTCCTTGCTTTGGGGATATGGTAGCATGGGAGAATGATGCACTTTCGAATAACACTGAGTTTATAAGTCCTGTCCTATCACATCAGTGTTTGTGATTCATTTCTTACATATTTTTTAATAAAAGTATCTCTGGTACATGTGAACATTTGGTCTCTCCAAGTAGGTTGCCTTTATTTTTGCAGTGCTATTCTCTAAACCATTTTTAAAAATCTAAAGTATTTGTTGAAGTGCTCCTTTTATGTAGGCTTCTTCTGAAGAGGTGCCAACCGGGCATTGGTGGAGTCTACATTTGCCCACTTTTCTCTTAAGTTCATCTCTTTTTTACAGCTTATTTCTTAAAGAGAAAGTAAAGTGGTAGGGATTAAGAAAATGTTTATAGAATAATAGAATTGTAGAGTTGGAAGGGACCTTGAGGATCATCTAGTCCAACCCTCTGGGATGCAGGAATATGCAGCTGTCCCATATGGGGATCGAACCTGCAGCCTTGGCATTATCAGCACCACACTCTTAACTAACTGAAGATTATTTTAACTTTGATGCATTTGCGGCTTTCTTAATCTTGCATATCTTCAGATCTCCTTTTCCACTCTTGCTTATATTATAGTATGACCCCATTGCTCCTTTCAGGGAGGGAGCTGTCATCTATTGAGGCAGGCTCTGAATGAAATGAAAAATGCATCTCATCATCTGGTAAAGAAGTTGCCAAGAAATAATTGTGTGTGTTTTCCTACTCTTTTGAGCCCTTCCACTTTTCTCTGTAATGTCTTACCATAAAAGAGAGGCAGGGAGCTTTAGCCAGGTATCAATCTCCTTACACAAGAAGCCATCATATTCTTCTTCCTCTTTAGTACTGTATTTTAATCGAACTCAGTGAAATACATTACAGGAGAGAAAACTGAGTAGTATTCTGAACAGAGAACCCATGGGCACAATGAGTTGTTTGGTAGGCACAATGGCCGCATGTGTGAATGGAGTCACGTTTTATTTTGGGATGACTCCTTTCGGCTACTTACATCTACCTCTCTAATCCCACCCGCCTAAAAAACACACACACACACACATTACGGCATCTATGCCAGCCTTCAATAATTCCCCAATTAGCAAACAGGAACAAAGAAGAATCAGCACTAGCAGGGCGTTCTTCCCAAAACGAAAGTGGGATGTGCGCGCTACCACCTTTCCTGGCATAACGGGAAGCTGCCTTCCATTCACGCAGACGTGAACAAGGGCGCAGAGCCATTTGCTCATCTCCCCCCCCCCCCCGGGTTCGTAGCTGATGAATTCAGCCGGCGTCTACTTTTACTATTTCCGTTCGATATTATATTAGTACTAAAAAAAACAAAAACCCGGACCGGTGCAACGGCAGGATTGCAAAAAGAAGAAAAGAGCTTTAGCAATTGAAGAGCGCTGGACTGCGCCGCTCGCTCGGTCTCCTCTCCGCTCTCCGCGTAATTTGCGCGCGCGCCTTGCAGAGCCGGCCGAGGGGAACAAAGCGGGGCGCCTCTCTCGTCCCCGCTGCTGTCGCCCCGCCCTCGCCCTCTTGCGCCTGCGTGGCTATGGCGGCGCCCGGTTCGGAGATGGAGGCGGCGGGCGCGGCGGGGCCGGAGGAGCTGGTGTGCGCGCGGGGCCGGAACCGCAAGGCCGTCCTGTGCCAGCGCTGCAGCTCCCGGGTGCTTCTGCCTGGCACCGCCACCTTCACCCGCCGAGAGGTAGGCAGCGGGCGGGCGGGCGAGAGAAGGGCTTGCTGGGGCGCCGCGAGACCGGCTTGCCGAGGCCAGGGCGGGGTTTTCGGAGGAGCTTCCCCGGAAATCTCCCGTTCCTCCGGTGGTGCTTTGCTTAATAAGAGCCAGAGGTAGAAATCTCTGCCTAGCCCTCCGTGATTTGGGGCCAGTCATTCTCTCAGACTCAACTAATGCTACATTGCAGGGAGGTTGCGAGTTAAAAATGGGATATATTGCGGTGGGAGGGAGGGGGGGGGCTGATATCTGCAATGTTGAGCTTGTTAAAGTCCGGGGTATAAGTGAAAATAATGGCTATGAAAGGAAAGACGTTTAGAAAGACGCTTGGTGACGTGTCTGGCTGCAGAATGGGAAGACTGTGAAGACACCCTGCAGATCCTAAGAGGCATACTTATTATTAACACATGCAGATCCTAAGAGGCATACTTATTATTAACAGATGCTTTACAGTTATGGAGATAAGTCTTGCCTAAAATGAAGCCCTGAATCCAAAATCTAGGTGGAGCGCCTACTTTGCAGCCAGAGGCGTACCCAGGCTCCCTTGCACCCTTTGCAGTGAGCTGTCTCGCCCCTGTCTTCCCTTGCACCCTTGGCAAGGAGATCTATTGGTGTGGAGAGACACAATTTTTGCACCCTCCTGGGCCTGCACCCTTGGCAGGGGCCAACCTGGGCAGCCCCTAGGTACACCCCTGTTTGCAGCTAGTCAGCTTGTGTATGCTAGGGGAGGCTAACCAGTGTTATTGGACTCTGATTCCCATCAGCCCCAGCCAGCGTGGTCAATAGTCAGGGATGATAGGAGTTCTGGTCCAACAATGTCTGGAGGGCCACAAGTTAGCCACTCTTGAGGAATATTCAAAGTAACAGTGAAGAGACAGGGAGTTGTGTGTTTGGGAAACTGTAGAGAGCTCTAACTATCCCCTAGTAAGTACCAGCACATCATGCCAGCCATTTTGCTCCTTTCACGATAAAAGCAGATGACTTGCTTGTTTTCTTGCTCGACAGCTTTTCCTCCCTGCTATGAAGAAGAAGACCGCCCTGGTGGGTAACAGTGACTTGGATGGGGATGTCCTACAGGACCACTGGCTGGTTGATGACATGTTCTCTTTTGAAAATGTTGGCTTCACCAAGGATGTTGGAAATATAAAGTTCCTGATCTGTGCAGACTGTGAAATCGGTCCTATTGGCTGGCACTGCTTGGATGACAAAAAGAGTTTTTACGTGGCCTTGGACCGTGTGTCCCATGAATGATGTGCTGGCTGGTGACCAAAAGATCAATGATCTTCCTGTCAGCTGGTTCAGACTAGCAGACTAATGTCTACTTTGTAATGCCAACATGCAGCCTTGAAAACGGCTCAAGAATGGTGCCCTAACATGTTGCATTGAAAGAAGTGTCTGCTTATATTGCTTGTCAAGTGACTTATGACTCCCTTGAACCCCTTCTCCCCATTTAATTCTTGCCCTGAGTCCTGTTCTTGTCTAAAATCTTGCAGATTACATTGGTGTAATTTGAAGCAAAGACCTCGCTTTATTTAATTATCGAGTGAAAGAAAAATATTGAGATACACTGAACCATCTATCCCCTGTAAGATGAGCATATTAATGCAACTGGAAGAATTCTTCTAGCCTTTTTTTTTTTTCTTTTGGGCAGTATCATATCCAGATTTATGGTTTTCTGCTGTATTTTGGACCAAAGGGTGCATACTTTTGACTTTAATGTTTACAGACATGACTGCTATATCTCCGTCAATTGACATTTTATAATTGACATTTTATAATTTCTATCTTATAATTGTTATTGAAAGCCAAGTCTTGGTTGCGGGACTTTTTAAATGTGGGAAAATAAAACGAAGCTTTTGAGAGTGCAGAAGAAAAGTAGAAGAAAAGAATGTCATTGGATGAGCTAACCTTCTAATCCTTTACAAATATTTGTATTTAATTAAATGTAAACCAAGCTTTTCAATTTGTATGTTGTGATCTTTCTATAAAATGTTGCCAGAGATAATGAACCTAATGAATCTTAGCTAATTAAAAACACAGCAAATCTTGACAAAGAAAGAATGCTTCAGTTGGATTTACTTCCACTTCTCCGCATAGTCCTTTTCGATTTTTATCAATTTTCCTTGCCAAAAATGACCCATTAGTTCTATAGAAACAGAATTCTGATGTTAAAACAAAACAATTATCTGATAAAATATATTAAATGTAAATCTCACTACTTTTGTAGAAATGAGAATTATGTTCAATAACAGTGACGGATAAAAACAAAGTAGCACATGTAGAAACACCCATCATAGGAAGGGTTGAGGGAGTTGAGGCTGTTTAACCTGGAGAAGAGGAGACTGAGAGGAGAGATGATAGCCATCTTTAAATATCTAAAGGGCTGTCACATGGAGGATGGAGCAAGCTTGTTTCCTTCTCCCAAAGCTAGGACCCGAACCAATGGATTCAAGTTACAAGAAATGAGGTTCCAACTAAACATCAGGAAGAACTTCCTGAGAGGAAGAGCTGTTTGACAGTGCAAGGACTCCCTCAAGAGGTTGTGGACTCTCCTTCCTTGGAGGTTTTTGAGCAGAGATTGGGTGGCCACCTGTCATGAATGCTTTAGTTGGGATTCCTGCATTTCATGGGGTAGGACTAGATGACCCTCAGGATCCCTTCCAACACTACAGTTCTATGATTCTGTGGTAGATCAAAGGAACTATTTGGAAATTAGAACTACAAAACATTGCTAAAGGACTTCATGAAGAGAAATGCCCAATGCTTTTGTTAGGCAAAAATATTCTAGACCAGCAATAGCCAATGTGCTGTTTTCTAGCTATTGCTGGACTACAACTCCCATAATCCCTGACTGCTGACCATATTGGCAGGGGCTGGTGGCAGTTGGGAGTCCAGCAACATCTAGATTTTGGGCTTCCCCTATCTAGTGAGTAGATTTCTAGTGCCAACATCCTGCTTAGTTGAGAAAACCCAGCTTTAGAGCATCCTCAACCTCTCCTGAAGCCCTCTAGCCCTCTAAGGAATTAGTTCTATTGTTGACATGCTCTTAACCTTCAAAACATTTCTCCTAATTTAGTTAAAGTCTGTCTTCCTACCGTTTAAACCCATTAGATCTTGTCCCGTCCTTTGGGACACCAGAGAAGAAGCCATTGCCCTTCTTGGCAAGCATCCGAAATGACCTGGAAAGTAAAACGGAGAGGGCATGATGACATTTCCACTTCAAATGTACACCTCATGGTGGCACCACTGCTTCAGGGCTGTAGTGTGGAGTTTTTTTGCTTCTGGGATCCAGCACTTGTCTTGCAAATAAGTGAATGTGTCCCTGTTAAAGCAGTGGTTATTTCCAGTGCAGCACCTTCCTTCATACCTCTTTACTACATTTCCTTAAGTGGCTGGTTCTCCTCAGTGGCTTTTGATACCACTGGCCATGTTATCTTTCTGGGCCATCTGTGGGAGGTAGGAAGCACTCCTTTGCAGTGCTTCCATTCATATTCTGTGGCAGCTTCAGACAATAGCCCTGGGTGACTTCTGCTTGGGCCAGAGCTAGCTTTCTTGCAGAGTCGCGCACAGTTTAGTCTTAATTGTCCATGCTATTTGTATGAAGCCACTGGAAGTAGCCATCAGGATTGGAGCACCAAGTCATCAGTATGCTGATATCACACACACACACAGTGTTCTCTTTTCCACTTGTACCAAGCAAGGCACTGCAACTGCTCAGTCAGTGCCTGGAGGTGGTAGTGAGCTAGATCTGACCCAATAATTCATCTTCAGTGTAGTGTAGTAGTTACAGTGTTGGATTGGGACCTGGGAGATGGGCTCAAATCCCCAATCAGCCATGAAGTTCACTGGGTAGCCTTGGACCAGTTCACTGTCTCTCAGCCTAACCTTCCTCACAGGGTTGTTATGAGGATAAAATGGAGAACCAATATATCTGCTGCCTTGATTTCCTTGGAGGAAAGATGGGATAGAAATGTAATATAAATAAACTGAAGCTGAATCCAAACAAGGCAGAAGTGCTATGGGTGTCCAGGAGGGGGCAGAATTAGCTGTTCTTGATAGGGTGCACTTCTTTTGAAGTTTGTGTATTTTGGGGACACTCCTGAAATCATCTTTTTTGTCACTCAAGGCCAAGGTGGCCGTGGCTAGGAAAGCCTATGTCCAGCTTCAGCTTATGTACCAATACAGTGGTACCTCGGGTTAAGTACTTAATTCATTCTGGAGGTCTGTTCTTAACCTGAAACTGTTCTTAACCTGAAGCACCACTTTAGCTAATGGGGCCTCCCGCTACCGCCGGAGCATGATTTCTGTTCTCATTCTGAAGCAAAGTTCTTAACCCGAGGTACTATTTCTGGGTTAGCGGAGTCTGTAACCTGAAGCGTATGTAACCCGAGGTACCACTGTATAACCATTTCTGGATAGGAATACCTTGGCTGTAGTTATTCATGATCTGATAAGCGAGAACCTGATTTGCTGTGCATGGGGCTGTCTTTGAAAACTCTCTTGAAATCACAACTAATGAAAAATGCTACAGTAAAACTATTTATTGGAACAGCAGGCCATAAGCACATTACTCCTATCTTGAAAAAAACTACACTGGTTGCCAGTTGTTTTCTGGGCCAAAATCAAGGTGTTTACTTTGATGTTTGAAGGCCTAAATGGCGTGGGACCCAAATAGCTGCAGGAATGCCTCCTTTCAACTCAACCTACTTGTGTTTAAGATCAGCAGGTGACACCCTCTTGGTGGTCCCTAAGCAAGATTGTGAGTGGCCCAGGGAAGGGCCTTTTCTATGGTGGTGCCTTGCAAGTGGATCACTTTTCCTACAAAGGTGCCCCTGGCCCCACCTCTTTATAGTTTTAGGCACCTGGTTAAGATGCACCTCTTTCAGTAGGCATTTGGAGGATAAATGGGTTACAGTGGTACCTCAGGTTAAGTACTTAATTCGTTCCGGAGGTGTATTCTTAACCTGAAACTCTTCTTAACCTGAAGCACCATTTTAGCTAATGGGGCCTCCTGCTGCTGCTGTGCCGCCGCTGCCTGATTTCTGTTCTCATCCTGAAGCAAACTTCTTAACCCGAGGTAATATTTCTGGGTTAGTGGAGTCTGTAACTTGAAGTGTACGTAACCCGAAGTACCACTGTACAGTGGTACCTCTAGTTACGAACTTAATTCGTTCCGGAGGCCCATTTTTAACCTGAAACTGTTCTTAACTAGAGGCATGCTTTCGCTAATGGGGCCTCTTGCTGCTGCTGCTGCTGCTGCTGCTGCACCACCAGTGCACGATTTCCTGGGGCAAAGTTCTCAACATGAGGTAACTCTTGCAGGTTAGCGGAGTTTGTAACTTGAAGCGTTTGTAACCTGAGGCGTTTGTAACTCGAGGTACCACTGTATTGGCAATATTATCATCAGCATTATCATTATTATTTATTTATTATTTATACCCCACCCATCTGGCTTAATTTCTGCAAGCGAATTGGTTCAGGCCTCTGACAGGAGTGATGTGCCCCTCCTACAGCAGCCTGCTGGACATGCAACAGTGGGAGAGAGAGAACAGGGTGGCCTCCCACCAGCTGCTTGTTCAGCCCTACCCATAGTCAACATGTGGCCCCTGACAGACTACCCTCAAGGGAATGTGGCCTTTGAGAGGAAGATGTTTGGCCGCTCCTGTTTGAACTGAACTGGACTGGTATACCATAGTGTGTTTGTTCCCCAGCCAAGAGAGCTGCTTCTAAGAACAGTCAGGAAAGGGATGCCACATCAACAGTTTTCAGCACAGGCACCTGTCAGAGGAGGCTGCTTCAGGCAGCATCGTCCTGCGATGGAACAAAAGGCCCCTAGCTACTGTTTAGTGCTAGCCGGAGAACATTCCTTCACGAGATACTATGTGTGGAGCGCCAGGAAATTCTTGCCTTTCCTTCATTATTTTTCTCCTTTCTGTGCAGATCATGACTTGGCTCATTCTGCCAGGACAGGCTGAAGAAGAGGATGGCCCTTTAGGCAGTGCGTACCATAGGAAAATTTGGCAGGCGGAGGGTTATTATAAGGGAACTAGATTTGAAGGACATTGCAGTGGGCCAGATTCAACTAAGTAGGTCTGCTGGCTGGAGCCAGTGCCAGGACTCCTGCTAGCACAATGGGACTTTGAGTTCATGTTTAGAATTGGAGTTTTACTCCCAATCAACCAAGTTTCCCTTGTTTTCAGTGGAACTTAACTCATGACTAACGTTTGCTAGACTGGGGACTTATTCTTTAACAACAACAAAAAAGGAATATCAAATATCAAGCAGATTTCCTTTAAAACAATGTTCATAATATTTTTAATCAATAATTTTTATATGCTCATGAACCATTGCATATACATCCATTTATGACAGGCTACAGTCCTAAGTGCTTAAAAGGAAGCCCCATTGACCCCGGCTTAAAGTGGAATTATAAAGTAGCCATGCTAGCCCATTTAAAAGCTTTGGCCGAGGGAGGCGTTGGGCTGCAACTCACCTTGCTTTGTTGACTGGCATGGGAAGGGTAAATAGGGAGGAACCTCCAGTCTTCCTTTTGCTGATCTATTTATTCAGTATTATACTGATACTCTCAGAGCCCCTGGCCTCATTTCCTACTGCCTTTTCTTCATGCTCATCCTGGGAGATGAGACATCTTCATGAGTCTCTCCAGCAGACATCAGTGAGCTCCATGTACTCCACCTGAGTGAGAACTAGGATCTTTCCTATCAAGAATGTGTTTCCTTTAATAAACTTAGCTTTCTTATTTTCAAAACTCAAGAGTCTCAGTGTAAAGTGCGCTTCTTCAACAGTGTTTCAGTTAAGCTTCCAAGTTGCATGTTAACGCAAAAAACCATGAGAAAGTTCCTTATTGACCTTGGAGCAGCAAGGCATAACAGCAGATTTAAAGCATGCATTATGGTATTGCAATCAAAAACTTTTATTAACTATTAAATTCTACCCCTAGAGACAGAGATCTATTTGTGTACTAGCGCTCTATTTGTGAACTGGCAGAAATCCAAGAACATGTTAACTCCTGGGCTGTCTCCTTTGACAGCCACCTATTACAATACTGAATTCTAAGAAGAAGAAGAGTTGTTAAGCAATAGGAATATGTGGGGAGCATCTGGTAGGATTAAATTTAGAAGGGATACTTAAATCATGCTATCAGAT